AGAGCGAGCGGGGAAGATGTCCAGCCCGGGCGTGGATGGCGACCCCAAGCCCCCGTGCCTGCCCCGCAACGGCCTGGTGAGGCTGCCCGGCCAGCCCAGCAGCACGGGCGCGGCCAGCATCACCAAAGGCACGCCCGCCGTCAAGAATCGGCCCTGCCAGCCGCCGCCGCCCACGCTCCCGCCTCCCAGCCTGGCCGTGCCACTGCCCCGCGCCGCTCTGGCCGGGGGCCTGTGCCCCTCGGCGGGGCTCTCCCTCGGCGGGCCGGCCTCCACCCCAGCGTCCGGGCCCCTGCTGGAGCGGCCCCCCCTGGCCACAGATGAGAAGATCCTCAACGGCCTCTTCTGGTACTTCTCGGCCTGCGAGAAGTGCGTGCTGGCCCAGGTGTGCAAGGCCTGGCGGCGCGTGCTCTACCAGCCGAAGTTCTGGGCGGGCCTCACGCCCGTGCTGCACGCCAAGGAGCTGTACAACGTGCTGCCCGGCGGCGAGAAGGAGTTTGTGAGCCTCCAGGGCTTTGCCGCCCGCGGGTTCGAGGGCTTCTGCCTGGTGGGCGTCTCCGACCTGGATATCTGTGAGTTCATCGACAACTACGCCCTCTCCAAGAAGGGCGTCAAGGCCATGAGCCTCAAGCGCTCCACCATCACGGACGCCGGCCTGGAGGTGCGTCCCTGCTGGCTCCGGAGGGACAGGCCTGGCTAGTGCCGGGCCAGGCTGGGGGCGGGAGCGCAGAAAGCAGAGTAGCTGAGGGGGTGCCCCTGCCCCGGGGGGCTCATGGCTCTGATGGGGGAGCGGGGTTGGCTACATCATCTGGGGGCCCCCAGCCCAAAACAAGAATGCGGGGCCCTTACTCAAAGACGATCGAGGATTTCAAGACAGACAGCAAAGCCGTCAGTCGGGTGAGGCCTGTTGGGTGGGCGCCGGCAGAGGGGGCGACAGGCGGGCCGGCACCTGTGCAGGAGGTATGCTCACCCGCACCCGCGACTCCCAGAGCTCCCGGGCCTGCCCACCGGGGCTCACTCCCGCCCAGGATGCGGCTGAGATGGCACCCTTCCTGGTGCGCAGCTGCCGCCCTCTGAGGCCCCGGCGGCCTCCCCCGCCCAGCTCCTAACCCGCCCACACCCGCAGGTGATGCTGGAGCAGATGCAGGGCGTGGTGCGCCTGGAGCTGTCCGGCTGCAACGACTTCACCGAGGCGGGTCTGTGGTCCAGCCTGAGCGCCCGCATCACCTCGCTGAGCGTCAGCGACTGCATCAACGTGGCGGACGACGCCATCGCGGCCATCTCGCAGCTGCTGCCCAACCTGGCCGAGCTGAGCCTGCAGGCCTACCATGTGACGGACACAGCGCTGGCCTACTTCACGGCGCGCCAGGGCCACAGCACGCACACGCTGCGCCTGCTGTCCTGCTGGGAGATCACCAACCACGGCGTGGTCAACGTGGTGCACAGCCTGCCCAACCTCACGGCACTCAGCCTCTCCGGCTGCTCCAAGGTCACGGACGACGGCGTGGAGCTGGTGGCCGAGAACCTGCGCAAGCTGCGCAGCCTCGACCTCTCTTGGTGTCCGCGCATCACCGACATGGCGCTTGAGTACGTGGCCTGCGACCTGCACCGTCTGGAGGAGCTCGTGCTGGACAGGTGCGCCCTCCAACCCCGGCCCCGGGTGGGGTGCCGAGGGGGCCCTCTCTGGAGCGGAGCGTGGGCTGTGACCAGCGTCGACCCGAGCGGGTGCAGCCCAGAGACGGGAGGGGTGCAGCGGCGGGAGAGCTGCGGGCGGCGGCCTCGGAGGGAGGGGCGGGGCTGAGGCACCTGGGCGGGCGAGAGGCCGCAGGTGGGGGGCGGGGGAGGGGCCGCAGGTGGGCAGCCGCCTCCGTTGCAACCGCAGGTGTGTACGCATCACGGACACTGGCCTCAGCTATTTGTCCACCATGTCGTCCCTCCGCAGCCTCTACCTGCGATGGTGCTGCCAGGTACCAGGCCTCGGGGGAAGGGGAGCAGGCCGGGTGGTGTGCGGGGGCGTGGGGAAACCCCCTCTGGGCAGTCCGCTGACCTGCCTCCGGCCGGCCCGTCCGTAAGGGAGTCGGGGTAGCTGGCGCCGAGCGGCCCACGCGGCGGGACTCGGCGGCTAGAGTCCTGCCAGCACTCCCAGGTGCCTCCAGGCTGGGGGCTGGGGCACAGGGGTCGGGGTCCCCCCGCACGTGCGTGAATCGCCAACTCGCCCCCCCAGGTGCAGGACTTCGGGCTGAAGCACCTCCTGGCCATGCGGAGTTTGCGTCTCCTGTCTCTGGCAGGTGAGGGCCCCTCCGACCTTGTGGGTAATGACCAGCCAGCCCCGTCTAGTCCGACTCTGCCCTGCCCGGTCCCCGGTGCGGTCACCTGGGTACCAGGTCCTAGTCTGCACGGACGTGCGAACAGGCGCCGTCCAGTCGCGCCGGGGCCCCTCCGCCGGGGCCCCGCCCCTCCGCCGGCCCCGCCCCTCCGCCGGCCCCGCCCCTCCGCCGGCCCCGCCCCTCCGCCGGCCCCGCCCCTCCGCCGGCCCCGCCCCCGCCTCACCGCGCGCCGCTCCGCAGGCTGCCCGCTGCTGACCACCACCGGGCTGTCGGGCCTGGTGCAGCTGCAGGAGCTGGAGGAGCTGGAGCTGACCAACTGCCCTGGCGCCACCCCCGAGCTCTTCAAGTACTTCTCGCAGCACCTGCCCCGCTGCCTCGTCATCGAGTAGCACGGGGCCCCGCCCCGTCGCAGGAACCCGTCTTGCTCCGGGCGGGGCGCGGGGCCCCGCTCCGGCCCGGCCCTTGGGGGAGCCCTGCCCCGCGCGCGCGGGCGGGCGCACCGAGGAAAAGCCCTGCCCTCGCGCCTCCGCCCCCCCAGCCCCGCCCTGGGCAGGGCGCGGCGGCGGGCGCGGCCAGCCCCTCGCACGCAGCACTCTCGGGGACCCTGTGCATGCCCCTCGCGCCCGCCTGCACGCCGCCCCCCGCACCGCCGCCACCCCCCGCCCGCCCGCCCGCCCGCCCCCCCGCCCGCCGGGGCGCGGTGCCGGCCCCGGCCCCGCGGGCGCCCGGATCGTCCTGGCCGTGTTTCCCGCCACACCCGCCTCGGCCTCCCCGCTGGCCCCCATCCCGGGCAGGGCCCAGGGGACGGAGGGGGCCCGGGAGAGCCCAAGGGCTGCCCACATCTTCCACTGCACCGCCTGGAGCCTCCGAGGGCAGCGAGGGGACGGGCCACCGCCAAAGCCATGGCCCGCCGAGGAGCCCGCGTGCCCGCCCCGCCCCGCCCCGCCCCGCGCCGCGCAGCCGGACCCGGCGCCCGCCCCTTCCTCGGCGCCCGCGAGGAGCGGCCCGGCGCGCCCACCCCCTGCAGGCGGACGGGCCCTGGAGCCGGACCGGGCCAGAACTGAGTTGGGGGGGCGGCCTCGGCACGGGCCGAATTAGCCGAGCCGGCTCCAGCCCCGCAAGGGGGAGAAGCGGCGGGAGCCGCCCTCAGAGCCTGCGGGCCGGGGGCGCGTCCTCGCGGCCCCACCCCTGTCCCCGCGGCCAGCCGGGCCCAGGCCGCCGAGCTCGGCCCCGCACCCGGGGCGGGGCGCGTCCGCGCCCGGCAGAAGCCGCGCCCCCGCCCGGGCCCGCGGTCCGTGCCCGCAGCCGCGCCGAGCTCCCGGGGCCCACGCGCGGCGCCCAGAGGCGGGAGGCCCCTCGCAGCCGCCGCCCGCCCAGCTCCGCTGCCCGCGCGGGCCCGAGCGGCCCCGCCCGCCGGGAACTGGGCGGGGTGGTGGGTGCTGGCACCTTGGCAGCTGCTGAGGGGGGCGGGGACCCCTTTCCATCCCAACCCCGAGCCCCAGGGGACACTGCGCCCACACCCGGTCTTGGGACCCCCCGCCTGGTTGGAGAAGAGAAGCCAGTTGCCAGGGAGCGGGGGTGGGGGCGAGCCCGAGCCGGGGGCGCGCTGCGGAGACCCCCGCTGCGGAGACCCCGCGGCTGCGCGCCCCGCGCCCGGCGGCGGCTCCCGGCACCGGCACCGGCAGGAGGCGAAGCCCGGGGAGAGGAAGTCACACCAACCCCCCAAATCATTTTCTTATTGTACATTACGACCTCACTCTCCTGTATATGCGGAAGATATAACCTTATATTTGGTAAGTGTTTCTTGTGCTATTTTATCACGTGACCTGTTTATAAAAATATATATTAAAAAAGTTGTAAAAACACGCGTCCGAGTCCTTCCCGGGCGGGCAGCCCGGCGGCGCAGGCGCGCGCGGGGCCGGGCTCGGCTCTAGCCCCAGCTCCGGCGCCGCCAGGTCCCGCAGGCCGCCGGGGGGCTCCGGGGGGCCGGGGCGCGCGCGACCCCCTCCGAGCCCCGGCGAGCGCGGCGCTTCGTGCCCAGGGGCGCCGGCGGGGCGGGCGGCGGCCGGAGGCCCCTGCAGGGCGCGAGGACAGCAGGACGCACACCCGGGCGCGAGGGTCGCGGGCGGGCGGGCGGGGCGGGGCGCGGCCCGAGCGACAGGCGCCCCTTCTTCCCGGGAGCGCCCCGGCTCCTCCCGGCCCCGGAACGCGAGGCGCGTGGGCACGCGCTTCCGGCGAGCGCCGCCTTGGAGGGACCACTTCCGGCAGGGGGGGGGACGAAGAGGGCTGCTTCCGGCGCGGCGCTTCCGGCCGGCGGGCAACCCGGGTGGACGGCGCGGGCGCTCGCGGAGGAGGGTCCTGCTCGGCCGGGGCCCGCCCCGTCCCCGAGAACCCCGCCCCGCCCCTCCGGGAGCGCCGGCCATCCCGGAGGCCCCCCTCGCCTCGTCGCCGGGATTGGACCGACCAGAGGCGCCCGACCGCTCGGGGCTGGCTGTCAGGGGGGCTGGCGCTGGCCGGGGTGGGCGGCGGCCCGGGGGGTCTCTAGAGGGCACACGGCGCGGGCCGGCCTGGGACAGCTGCGACGCCTCTGACCCCGGCCGGTGACGGAGCCGGCTGGTCAGGCTGACGGACGCCCCGCGCAGCGCCCCCGGTGACCAGCCGGCCGGTCAGGGGCCGGCCGCCGTCCAGGCCTGAGCCCCGGGGTACCCGGCAGCGCGAAGGTCCGAACCGACTGGCCCCCCCACCGGCGCGGCCATGGAGAAGATGGCCCGCGTGACCACGGCGCTGGCGGGCACTGCGTTGACAGGCCGCACCATGCACTGCCACCTCGACGCGCCGGCCAACGCCATCAGCGTGTGCAAGGACGCCGCCCAGGTGGTCGTGGCGGGCCGCAGCATCTTCAAGATCTACGCCATTGAGGAGGAGCAGTTCGTGGAGAAGCTGAACCTGCGCGTCGGCCGCAAGCCCTCGCTCAACCTCAGCTGTGCCGACGTGGTCTGGCACCAGATCGACGAGAACCTGCTGGCCACTGCAGCCACCAACGGCGTGGTGGTCACGTGGAACCTGGGCCGACCTTCCCGCAACAAGCAGGACCAGCTGTTCACGGAGCATAAGCGCACGGTGAACAAGGTCTGCTTCCACCCCACCGAGGCACATATGCTGCTCAGCGGCTCCCAGGACGGCTTCATGAAGTGCTTTGACCTGCGCAGGAAGGACTCCGTCAGCACTTTCTCGGGTAGGCGGCGGGTGCCCGCTGCAGGGCTCCAGGTGCTCCCAGAGGGCTTCTTGGAGAAGGGGCTGTCTGAGTCCCACTGCCAGGGTGGGGGTCAGCGGAAGGGGTGGCTGCCTGCCATGGGGAGGGGACACCATGAGGCGTGAGGGGAAGGCCAGGGGCAGCAGGGAGGAGGAGCGGGCAGCCGAGCAGGGCTTGGTCTCGCTGCCTCCTCTCCATCCCCTCAGAGCTCCAGGCTGCTCCAGCAGGACGTGGACTGGACCCCCAGAGTCCTCGCACAGGAAGTGGGGTACATCGTTGGGTCCCCCGTGGGCCTTATGCCCCGTCCTGAGTCCAGATCACAGCTTTTGCCACGATTGACAGCAGACACAACCAGGGAGAGCTGACCGGCAGGAGGTGGTGGCCGCCGCCGCCCAGTTTTGCTTCCACTCTGAAGCCTCTCCTTGCTGCTGCCCCCCGCCCCAGGGCAGCCTTGGGGGTGTCCACAACCTTCTCCTGACTTCCTGGCCTGGCGCCTGCAGCCACGGCAAGGTCCCCCCCACCAGCCTCCCCAGCACCCAGCCGGCCTCTCACCCTCCTGAACCCCCAGGCCAGTCGGAGAGCGTGCGGGACGTGCAGTTCAGCGTCCGGGACTACTTCACCTTCGCCTCCACCTTCGAGAATGGCAACGTGCAGCTGTGGGACATCCGGCGGCCTGACCGCTGCGAACGGATGTTCACGGCACACAACGGGCCTGTCTTCTGCTGCGACTGGCATCCAGACGACAGGTGTGGGGGTGTGGGGTTGTGGGGCGGGGCGCCGGGCGCTGGGGCCCTCGACGCTGAGGCTGTGCGGCCCTTCTGCAGGGGCTGGCTGGCCACAGGTGGACGTGACAAGATGGTGAAGGTCTGGGACGTTACCACGCACCGCGCCAAGGAGGTGCACTGCGTGCAGACCATCGCCTCCGTGGCCCGGGTCAAGTGGCGGCCCGAGTGCCGCCACCACCTGGCCACCTGCTCCATGATGGTGGACCACAACATCTACGTGTGGGATGTGCGCCGGCCCTTCGTGCCGGCCGCCATGTTCGAGGAGCACCGCGACGTCACAACGGGCATCGCCTGGCGCCACCCGCACGACCCCTCCTTCCTGTTGTCTGGCTCCAAGGACAGCACCCTGTGCCAGCACCTGTTCCGGGATGCCAGCCAGCCTGTGGAGCGTGCCAATCCTGAGGGCCTCTGTTACGGCCTCTTCGGGGACCTGGCCTTTGCTGCCAAGGAGAGCCTCGTGGCTGCAGAGTCGGGGCGCAAGCCCTACTCCGGTGACCGGCGCCAACCCATCTTCTTCAAGCGCAAGCCAGACCCTGCCGAGCCCTTCTCGGGCCTGGCCTCCAGCGCCCTCAGTGTCTTTGAGACAGAGCCCGGCGGCAGCAGCATGAGCTGGTTCGTGGATACGGCTGAGCGTTACGCCCTGGCTGGTCGGCCGCTGGCTGAGCTCTGTGACCACAACGCCAAGGTGGCGCGGGAGCTCGGCCGCAACCAGGTAGGCGGGCTGGGCCGAGCACTGGCAGGCGGGGGTGGGGCGGGCAGCTGAGGAGCCCAGGCCCAGACTCAGGTCAGGGAGTCGTGAGGGCGAGTCCCTGTTCAGGGCCATGTCTGCTTTTCCCTCTCCAAGGGCCTGTAGAGGCCACGCTGGCCGCTGCCCACTTCCTCCTGCCCTTCCACAGGTGGGGACTGGGGTTCTTGTCTTCCCTGTGGGTCTTGGCTTCCCCACATAGGATGGGCCAGACATTGGGTCTCTGGGGCAGCTGGACCCTGAAGGTCTATGTCTCTTCAGGCAGCCTGGGCGTCCCTGGTGCGCTGGGGGCTCAGGATCCTTGAGTGACCGGTGCCCGCCCCTAGGTGGCACAGACTTGGACCATGCTGCGGATCATCTACTGCAGCCCCGGCCTGGTGCCTGCCACCAGCCTCAACCACAGCATGGGCAAGGGAAGCGCCTGCGGCCTGCAGCTGGTGAACAGGTAGACACTGGGGGTGGCTCTCCCCAGAGGAGTGCGGTCGGGGCCTACCCACCTTCTGCCCTCCCTGCCCCCAGCTTCAACCTGAAGGATGTGACCCCAGGGCTGGGCAGCGAGGCCCGGCTGGACCGCAGCAAGGGCGATGGCCGCAGTGACACCGCGCTGCTGGATTCCTCAGCGACTCTCCTCACCAACGAGGGTAGGGGGGCACCATTGTGGGGGTGGGGCGGGGGCACTATGGAGCAAGCGCCCTGGAATGCCCTCCTTCCCTGGCCGCACAGACAACGAGGAGACTGAGGGCAGTGACGTGCCGGCCGACTACCTGCTGGGGGACGCTGAGGGCGAGGACGACGAGCTGTACCTGCTGGACCCAGAGCACGCTCACTGTGAGTGGGGGGGCGGGCCGGCGGGGCGGGGGAAGGGGCGGGCGAGTCCTGGCTGGGCTCAGACCCTGCCCGCCCCCGCCCCCAGCCGAGGAGCCCGAGTACGTGCTGCCCCAGGAGGCTTTCCCACTGCGCCACGAGATCGTGGACACACCGTCCGGGCCCGAGCACCTGCAGGACAAGGCCGAGTCCCCGCACGTGAGCGGCAGCGAGGCAGAGGCAGCCTCCCTGGCGCCGGCGGACCCCTCCTTTTCGCTCATCTCCGTCTCACATGCACTGCACGACAGCCGCTTGCCCCCCGACTTCTTCAGCTCCCTGGTGTGTGACATGCTGCGCTTCTACGCCGAGCAGGGCGACGTGCAGATGGCCGTGTCGGTGCTGGTGGTGCTGGGCGAGCGCGTGCGCAGGGACATCGACGAGCAGACGCAGGTGCGTGGGCGCTGGGAGCCCCGCCTGCCCGCCCGCCCGCCCGCCCCGGCTGAGCCCCTGTGTGCCCCAGGAGCACTGGTACACGTCCTACATCGACCTGCTGCAGCGCTTCTGCCTCTGGAACGTGTCCAACGAGGTGGTGAAGCTCAGCACCAGCCGGGCGGTCAGCTGCCTCAACCAGGCCTCCACCACGCTGCACGTCAACTGCAGCCACTGCAAGCGGCCCATGAGCAGCCGCGGCTGGGTCTGCGACAGGTGCGGGCGGGCGCGCGGGCCGGGGCTCTGCGACAGGGGCGGGCGCGGGCGGGGGCGGCGGACCCCGCTGAGGCGCCCTCCCGCGCAGGTGCCACCGCTGCGCCAGCATGTGCGCCGTCTGCCATCACGTGGTCAAGGGGCTGTTCGTGTGGTGCCAGGGCTGCAGCCACGGCGGCCACCTGCAGCACATCATGAAGTGGCTGGAGGGCAGCTCGCACTGCCCGGCGGGCTGCGGCCACCTGTGCGAGTTCTCCTGACGCGCGCGGGCAATAAAGAAGCGCAGCCGCCGTCTGAGCCGCCGTCGCCCTCGCGCCTCCTGTGCCTGCGCCGGCGTCTCGGGGCGGGCGGGTCGCCGTGGAAACGGGGCGGGCCGCGGGCGGCCTGGCGGAAGCGCGGCGCTCCGCTTCCGGGGCGGGCGGCGGGGTCGTCGCCATGGCGACGCGGCGGCCGGCCGGGGCGGGCTCGGGGGCGCGGCGCTCCCGGCGTGCCCCGCGCGGCCGGCGGGCGTCATGGCGGCGGGAGCGCGGGCGCTGCTGGCGCTGCTGGCGCTGCTGGGGCTCTGCTCGCCGGCGCGGCCCGGGCCCTCGGGCGACGGCGGGTGGTGAGCGGCGGCGGGGCGGGCGGCGGGCGGCGGCGGGCGGGCGGGCGCGGGGCGGGGCCGGCGCTGACCGCTGTGCCGCAGGCGGGGGCGCGGCCCGGGGGCGCCGGCCGAGGAGCAGCGCTGCACCGTGGAGCGCCGGCCCGGCCTCACCCACGCCGAGTTCGCGCAGCGGTACGTGCCCCCCCGGCCCCGCCCGCCCGCCCGCCCGCCCCGCCCGCCCCGCCTGACTCCCGGTCCCCGCAGCTACGCCTTCTCCAGGCCCGTGGTCCTGCCCGCGCTCACGGACAACTCGGTGAGTGCCCGCCCGTCGCGCCCGCGGGGCTGCGGCCGGGCGCGCGCTGAGCTCCCCTGACGCCCCGCAGCGGTTCCGCGCCCTGTGCTCCCGCGAGCGGCTGCTGGCCGCGTTCGGCGACCGCGTGGTCCGCCTGAGCACCGCCAACACCTACTCCTACCGCAAAGGTGAGCGCCCGCGCGGCCCCGGCGGCGGCGGCCCCGCGGCCGGGCGCCAGTCTTGACCGCCGCTTCCCCACAGTGGACCTGCCCTTCCAGGAGTACGTGGAGCGGCTGCTGCGGCCCCAGGACCCCGCCTCGCTGGGCAACGGTGAGCGGGGGCGGGGGGCGGGACTCAGCGCGCCGGGTCCCGGAGCCTCACGTTCTGTGCTTGCAGACACCTTGTATTTCTTTGGGGACAACAATTTCACCGAGTGGGCAGCGCTGTTCCAGCACTACTCCCCGCCCCCCTTCGGTCTGTTGGGCACTACTGCTGCTTACAGCTTTGGGATTGCAGGTGGGTGCCCCGCAGGGGCCTGGCATTGGAGGGGTGGGGCAGCGGGGGCTTGGTCACCAGCAGCTCTTAACTGACCCACAGGAGCCGGCTCTGGGGTGCCCTTTCACTGGCACGGGCCCGGGTTCTCGGAAGTGATCTACGGCCGCAAGGTCAGCACAGGGTGGGGGCTGAAGTGTGGGGGGCACTAGACACAACACAGATCACCCCATCCTTTTCTCTGCAGCGCTGGTTTCTGTACCCGCCTGGGAAGACACCAGAGTTCCACCCCAACAAGACCACGCTGGCCTGGCTCCAGGACACATATCCAGCCCTGGCACCCTCCGAGCGGCCCCTGGAGTGCACTGTCAGGGCTGGAGAGGTCGGGATGGTGGGAAAGAATTCAGGAGCTGGGCTAGGCAGGGGAGCCCCCAAATAACCCCGTGCCCATCCCCCCCAGGTGCTCTATTTCCCTGACCGATGGTGGCACGCCACGCTCAACCTCGACACCAGCGTCTTCATCTCCACCTTCCTCGGCTAGCCAGCCCGCGCACGGCAGCACACGCCTGGCAGCACGCACAGATTTTATTGCAGGGGCAGCGCAGCAGCGGCCTCAGCCCAGCCCACCCTTCCCTGCTACTCATGGCCCAGGCGGAGGGGAGGGGAGGGGAGGGGAGGCTGCGGCCCAGCAGCAGGATGGGTGGGGCAGGCGGGGACGCAGACTATGTACAGGCTGGAGCTACTGCCCAGGGCCCCTGGGCCAGGCCGCCCGCAGTGGAGCAGGCACCCCGGCCTCAGTAGTCCTCCACCCAGCCGTTCTCAGAGATGAAGGCGTCGATGACCTCTTTCATGGCCAAGTTGGGGATGAGTTGATCCTGGGTCAGGGGGCTCCGGGTCACGGGGTCAAAGTGGCCCACACGCTGTGTGGACAGTGGGATCAGAGGGTGCTCGTGGGCCCCACCCCCGCCCCACCCCCCATGCCCCGGCCTCACCTGCAGGTGCTCCTCGATGTCCTTGCGGTCGTAGGTGATGCCGCTGGGTGTGATGCAGGGCTCTCGCATCAGCTCAAAGCTGATCTTGCCACACAGGTAGTCGGGGATGTCGCGCTTCTGCAGCAGGGGGCCAGGTCAGGGGGGGAGGGGCCCCCACCCCCCGGCCCCAGAGCCCAGCTCACCTTCCTGCGCTCGTCCACCTGGGAGAACAGCTCATCCATGCCCGCCAAGTACTTGTCCTGTGAGGAAGCGGCTGCGTGGGCCCCATGCTCCCCTCCCCAACCCTGTGCAGGCACCTACCCCGCAATCGCCAGCCCCTGCCGCGGACAGACCCGGGCGTGGGCCGGGCACCCTCACGTGCTTGGCCTCAATGCAGGCCTGCTGGGCCCGGACGTGGCCGTCGTCCTCATCCCCCTCGTGGCTCCGCTGACACTCGTCCAGCTCCCTGCAATGGACCAGGAGCTGGTCAGACGTGGGGCAGACCCACCCCACCTGCGGCTGTGGCTGCGCCCCTCCTGCTTGCCAGCCCTGCTGTCAAATAAATGCTCGCACGGACGCTCCGCGTGGGTGACTGGGGGGCCCACCTCTCGCGCTCAGCCACGATGAGGCGAGTGAGGTAGGCGTGCAGCTCGTTCTCCTGGTGGATGCGCCGCTCCTCGAGGCTGTTCCAGCGCTTCTTCTTGGCAATGCGTAAGGCGCTGGGGATGTCGTCCCCGAAGTTGAGCCTCTGCTCCTTGGCTAGGTTGTAGGCTGGGGACCGGGAAGCCCGCGGTCACTCCTGGCCGGTGGGTGCACCCGGCCCGGGCACCCCGCCCTCCCCAGGCCCACCTCGCTGCAGGTTGGCGATGGCCTCGTCGAAGCTCTCCATCTCCAGCTGGCACTGCCCCAGGAAGAAGTGCGCCTTCACGGACTGGCCGTCCAGCTCCAGGGCGCGCCGGCAGTCGGCCAGGGCCTGCTCGTGCTGCTGCATCTTCAGGTAGCACAGCGCGCGGTTGGTGTAGTACACGGCCACCAGCGGGTTCCGCGTCTGCGGGCGGGCGGGCGGGCGGCGCCGCGTGAGCGCGCAGGCCCCGCTCGCTTCTGCCGCCCCCCGGCCGGGCCGCCGTGGGAAGCCACAAACGCGTCTCCGGCCGCGCCTGCCCCGCGGGCCGGGCCTCGGAGCCGCGCGAGCGCGCGCCGGGCGCCAACCGGTCTCGGGGCGACGTCCCCAGGCCTGCGGGGAGCCGCGGGCGCGCACCCCCGACGCTCCCAGCGCCCCGGGCCGGCGCCGCCCCGCCCGCCCGCCCCTGGCCCGGCCGGACGCCGCCGCGGCGCCGGGCGCACTCACGATGGCGCGGCCGTAGCAGGCGGCCGCCTCCGGGTACTTGCGGCCCACGAAGAGCCGGTTGCCCTGCTCCTTGAGCTCCTGCGCGCTCGGGCTCTTCTCGGGGCTCCCGCCGCCCGCGCCCGGCCGCGCGCCGCCCTCCTTCTCCTCCTTGCCCTTCATGGCGCCGCGCGGCCCGGCTGGGCTCCGGCCCGGCCCGCTCTGCGCCCGCGACCCGCTCGGCCCGGCCCGCGGTCCGCGTCCCCCGCCGGAACTTCCGGCTGCCGGGGCGGGGCGGGGCGGGGCGGGGCCGCGCGTGCGCCTCCGCGGGGCCGGGCCGGCCGGGCCGCGCCTCCCCGAGCCCGCCCCGCCCCGCCCCGCCCCGCCCCGCCCCGCCCGCCCCGGGGGCTGCTCGGGCGCGCGGGCCCTGGGGCGGCCGGAGCCCTGAGCGGCGGGGGGCGGCCCTGGGGCCCCGACACCCGCCGCTGCGCGGCCTGCGGCGCCGGCAGGCGTTGCCCCGGCCGTCGAGCGCCGCGCGGAGCAGCACGAGACGCCGGGGCGGGCGGGCGCGCGGCCGGCGTGGTCCGCGCGGGGCCCCACGCGCGCTCCGGCTGCAGACGCGCGGGCCCGAGCTGGAGCCGGAGCTGCTGGGCGCGCTCGGCGGCCGCCCCCGCGTCCCGCCCGAGGGCCGCGGGCCCGGCGAGGCCGCCGGCGGAGTCTTTCGCGGCCCGCAGCGGTCCCGGCCGGCGCGCCGGGCTCGGGCCTCCGCGTCCGACGAGGCGGCGCAGGGCGTCCGCGGGCTCCTGCCGCGCTCCGCCGGGCCGGCGCTGGGGGCCGGGGCCGGGCGCCCGAGCAGCGGCAGCCGCGGGTCCAGGCGAGCGCGCGGCCGGCCCGCGGCCCCCGGCGTCAGGGCCCGCCCCTCGGGCCGCCCCTCGCCGCGTGGAGGCCGCAGTGGCCCTGGGGGCGGCCCGCGCCCGCCTCCGGCGAGCCCCGCCGAGTGCGCTGGTCGCCGCGGCCCTGAGGCCCCCGCGCCGCCCGCGCGCCTCGCTGGGGGCGCGGGGCCCCGGGACCCCGCGGGGGGGCGGCCCCTCTGGCGGCCCGGCGAGGGGGAGGCCCGCGCGCACCGGAGCCCAGAGCCCAGTCGGCCGCCTGGCGCTGTGTAAAATATTTATTCATTCTCCGAAAAGGCTCAGGCTGAGGTCCCGGCGGCGCCGTCCCGGGCGCGGGGGCGCGGGGGCGCGGGGGCGCGGCGCGGCCCGGGGAGCCCGTCAGGGCGGGGGCGGGACCTGGGCGCCCAGCAGGTCGTAGGCGAAGATGTTCCAGAAGACGGCGAAGAGCAGGAAGGTGCCGTAGGCCAGCAGCACCACCCACCAGCCGCACTGGTCCCGCAGGCGCTCCTCGTAGCTGCGCAGGATGGTCAGGCCCATGCTGACCCCCACCACCGCGCCCGCCAGGTGGGCCATGAAGCTGGGCTGCGGGCCCGAGGTGGGCAGCGGCGGGGAGAAGCGCAGCCACACGGCCCGGCCCACCTCGGAGCTCACTGTGGAGGGAGGCGGCAGGTGGGCGGCGCCCCGGCCGGGAGCCGCCCCCCGGCCCCCCCTACTTACTGCACACCAGCGCCAGCACCATCCTCAGCAGCTTGTAGGGACACCGCATCCCGGCCCAGTTCTGGGGGAGACGGGGGGGGGGTGAGGTGGGCCCGGGGACGGTGCCCCAGCCGCCCCCCACCGGCCGGTTACCATGACGACGTTGGCCAGGTGCGCCGAGCACAGGGCGTAGACCCCGCCCGAGCCCCCCACCACGGGGGCCCGCATGTCGGTGATGGAGACCGTCAGGGAGCCTGTGTGAGCAAGAGGCGCGTGAGGGCCGGCCGGCCCTGGCGCGGGTGCGTGGGCGCCGGCGGGGCCGCCTCACCTGCCAGCACGCCGGCCAGGTAGAGCAGGCCGATGCGGAGCAGCCCGTGCACCATCTCCAGGGGCACCCCGATCATCAGCTGCAGGAGTGCGTTGAACCCCAGCTGCTCCAGCCTGGCGGGGGGCCGGGGGATGGTGTGAGGGCGCCTGGCCCCCCGCCCCGCCCCCACCCACCAGAGGGAGCCCCTCTCACCCCACGTGCATGAACATGTAGGTGAGGAAGCGCCAGGCCCGCGCGCGGTGGCCGGGGTGGTAGACCAGGGGGCTGCGCATGTACTCGGGGTGGTACGTCTGCAGCACCCACTTGTTGAGGCGGGCCCCGTAGCACAGGAACACGATGATCTGGGGGACAGGGGCGTCAGCGCCACGCGGGCCGGCTGCAGCCGCGCGGGCGGGGCGGGAGGCCCACCTGGGCGAGGGTCACCGAGGCCATGAACACGGGGGGCGGGCAGCTGCGGTGCCGGGAGAAGTACCAGTGCCGGTCCACCTCGCGCGGCAGGATCTCGTAGGCCACGTAGCGCACGAAGCGCTTGTAGACGCCCAGGCCGGGCTCGTCCAGCAGCCCGGCCCGGGGCAGCGCCCGCTGCCCGTGGGCAATGGCGCGCTTGAAGCTGCTGGAGCGCTTGCTGCTGATCTGGGGGCGCGGCACCGCGTGGGCACAGACGCCGCAACGCGCCGCCCCCCCCCCCCGCCGGCGCGCCGCGCCCCCCAAGGCCGTCCCCGCTGGCACCCACTGTGACTGACCAGGTCCACCAGCTCCTGGTAGCAGACCTGGCCGCGCTCGTTGCTCTGGGCCAGGGCCACCAGCATGTCCAGCTTGGCCGGGTCCAGGGGCAGCTCATGGCTGTGCACCAGGCCGGTGAAGGTCTCGGCGCCGATGAAGCCTGTGTTCTCGGGGTCCAGCTGCTGGGGTGGGGGAGCCGCCCGACACGGGGCTGGGCCGGGCCCGCGCGGCGGGCGGCGGGCGCCGCGTGGGCGCCCAGGCCTCTGGCTCCTCCGTGCTCCCGGGGGCTCCGTGCCTCATCCCGCCCTGCCCGGCTCTGGAGATGGCGCCGACGCGAGGGCGGTCCCCCTCCCTCCGCCCTCCCGGGCTCGCGGGTCGGGCCAGGGGGCCGGGGCCGGGCGAGGAGGGGGCGTGGGAAGTGGGCGCGGGCGGGCCGGGCCGGGCTCCGGAGCCGCCCCCGCCCGCGGCGCAGGGCCCCCCGCCCCCACGCACCTGCTCCTGGATGAGCTGCAGCAGCGAGCTCCTGTCCATAGGGCGGGCCGGGCCGGGTCGCGGCCGCGGCCGGGAGGGGCTGCGCTGCGGCAGAGTCCGCTCCGCCCCGCGCCCGCTCCGCCTGCTGGGCTCGGCGCCGCGTCACGGAGCCGCCCGCGCCGCCGCCCCGCGCGCCCCCCGCGCGCCGCCGCGCTCCCGCAGGCGCGCCCCAGCCCCCTCCCGGCGGCGGCGGCGGTTGGCGGCGGCCGCTGCGGGGCAGCGCGGAGCCAGGCCCGGCCCTCCCGCGCGAGGCCGGGCGAGCCGGCGGCCCCCGCCAGGCCCGGCGCACCCCAGCGCGCCACGCGGCCGCCTCCGGGGTCAGCGGGGCGGCGGCCCCACATGCACCTGCAGCTGGAGCCCCGGGGCTTCTGCACCGTCCGCTTCCAGGAGGGAGGCCCCAGGCAGGGCCATGGCCTGCAGCGGGCACTACGCGGAAGCCGGCAGGCTCCTCAGGCCACCCCGGCGGCGGGAATAGAGGTGTGTAGCCACGGCAACCCCTGGGGCGGGGCCTCAGGGGAGCCCCAGTCACCCCAAACAGCCACAAGGGCTGTCCACCCCCAGGACACTAGCCAGGCCCCTCAGGCCAGGGCCCCCGTCCCCAATTAGGGCCCGGGGCCGCTCCCCTAGACCACAGCCCCTCCGATTGCTAGAAAAGGCCACGCTGGTCCTTGCTCAGAGCCTGGGTCCTCGCACCGCCCAGCAGGCCCCAGCACAAAGCCCGCGGAGTAGGCAGCTCCCTCAGCGGGGAGAGGCAGGCCCCAAGGGGCCCCAGCATGCCAATGGACTCGGGGTGGACTCCCAGGACTCCCTGGACTCAGGGTGGGGGCCCAGGCCTGGGGGAAGGCAGGTCAGGGATGACACCTCCAGCTCAGAGTCAACACTGTGATTCAAAAAATAGCCGTTGGAGGTGGGGAGCACAGTGACGTTTAATCGTGGGGGCAGGGCAGCTCCCCCCAGTGCCCTGCCCCTCCCACCCCACCTCAGCCCCGCAGGCTGCTGCACAGCTGGGGCCCAGCGCTCGAGCGGGTCCCTCCTGCATGTCCAGGCAGGACGTGGGCCGCGGGGACCGGCTCCGAGCAAAGCGCAGAAGCCGCAGTCAGAAGGCGGCCGCGCCCCGGGCTGGCCGCAGCAGCGGGCTCAGCGGGTCTTCACCAGCACCCTGTAGAGTGAGAAGCTGAGGACGGCAGCGGCGGCAGCCCCCACGGCTAGGCGGAGCCAGCAGGACGGGGCGTGCACCTCCCGGGGCGCCGGGTGTCTGCGGGAGACAGAGGCTGCTGGGGAGGCCCTCAGGCTGCCGGGAGCTCGCGGATGGAGACCACGGCTGCCAGCCCCCAAGCCAGGCCCAGCTCCCACAAGGCGCCTGCGGGCAGCCCCTCCCCTGCCCACCCGCAGGGGCCAGGCCCAGGTACCCACGGGAAGGCGGCCACGGTGGCCAGGCGGACAAAGATGGCACTGCCGGGCTGGGAGGAGCCGGCGCAGGAAAATGGGGTGGGGACAGGCAGTCGGTGCCGGAGGCAGAACTGGGCCGGGGACGGGCCAGGAAGCGGGACGCCTTCAGGCAGGTCAGCCTTGCAAGAGACCAGGAGGCAGGGGGTCTGGCCGTCCATGTAGTGGTGCTGTGGAGGGGGTGGCGTGAGGGCAGCAGGGTAGCCGGCCGGCTGGTGGCGGGGGAGAGGGAGGAGGCTGCCCACCCACGCGCCCGCCCGCCCACCCTGCCTTGTAGACACTGGCGCAGGCGGCGAAGGAGCTGAGGTCGCTGCCGTCAAACAGCAGGCAGGCAACGTCACAGGCGGGGTCGGCCTCGCCGGCCAACAGGCTGTCCGCGTCCACCTCGCACAGCTGGACGGGGGCGAGGGAGGGGCGGCTCAGTCTGGGGTGGGAGGCCCAGGCCCGCGGCCGGGGGCCCCAACACTCACAATCAGGTACTTCTCCTGCCCGTGCGCCTGCACCGTGTTGACGGCGAACCCCGGCGGCTCCGTGGGGCGCTCCCTGGGGTCCTGGGGGCAAAGGGGGACAACTGACACGTGTGGCGCCGCGCCCAGCCGCCCAGCCTCAGCCCAGCCCACCGGACGCTCACCCCCAGGCCCCGGCCCAGGAAGGCCTGCAGGAAGGCAGACTTGCCCACGCCGCGGGCGCCCACCACCTTGCACAAGAGCACGCGCCTCTGTGTCTGCCCCTTCTGCTCGTCCAGCCTCTTCTCCCGTGTGACTGTGGGCACAGGTGAGGGGGGCGGGGCACAGGTGAGGGGCTGGGGGGCGGGGGTGGGGCGGAGCAGAGTGCTGTGGGGCGGGGCACCCACCTGTGATGGCAGAGCTCTGGGCGTCCTGCTCGCAGAGGGTGGGGTAGCCCAGGTAGGCCAGGTGCTCGAGGCAGCGCCGGGGGTCCAGGTAGGTCACCAGGCTGGGGACAGGGGGTGTGGGTGTGGCGGGGGGAGGGGGTGGGGGTGGTGGGGCGGGGCGGGGCTGCACTTACGTCCACTGGCAGAGGTAGGCGTGCAGGGACAGCCCGCGGGGCTCCATGGGCACCACGAGAGGGAGCTCGGCACCCCAGGGTGCTGCCGGGAACACGCTGAAGAGGGCCTGCATCTCGGCGGGCGCGAGGACGCCGTCCCGGTCCTGCAGACAGAGCCGCGCTGACCCAAGCCCCTGCCACCCGGCCCGCAGCCCTGGTGCACCCTCACCTGGTCGTGCTTCTCGAACAGCCGCTGCAGGAACTGGGCGCCAGCATGGCTGAGCTCTGTGCTGCAGCCGGGAGGCACACGCAGGCTGCGGGGTGGGGTCCCAGGGCACAGGTGAGCTCGTGCTCCTGCGCCTCCTGGCCCCGCCCAGCGCCCGCCTGCCCTGCACCCAGGCTGGCCGCCCGCACTCACGGGGGGCAGCGGTACTCGGCGGTCAGCTCCAACGAGTCGCCATAGCCGAAGCGCCGCAGGATGGCCCAGGTGGTCTCGTGGCGGCCACGCTGGATGAACAGCGTGTTCAGGAAAAGGAAGCCTGCACGGGAAGGGCCGGTGGTGGTGGCAGGCAAGGCCCAGGGCCCGGCCCCTGCCCTGCTGGCCCGCGGGCGCCGCCTCACCATCCAGGGTCAGCCGGCCGTCCCGCACGCCGCCCGCCACGTGCCTGCGCACCACCGTTTTCACGTCCTCCAGGGCCTGCGGTGCCAGGGGGTGCCCGAAGCAGGACTTCTGCCCCCGAGACCGCCCGTCAGTGCGCCCCACGACCTGGGGCGGGGGCGATGCGCAGGGCTGGGGAGGAGAAGCCGCACCTGGAAAGTGTTGAGCTCCTCATCGCTGAGGCACTGATCCAGGTCTTGGTCTGAGAGCTTGAAGACGCGCGTGAGCGCGCGGGCGCAAGCGGGCCGGAGCTAGAGAGAGCTGGCTCAGTGCCCTGTCTGCACCCTGCCCTACATGAGCCCGCCCCCCCCCCGCCCCACCTGCCCCCGCACCTGCTTGGCCTCGGGGTCGTAGAGCGGGGCTGTGGGGTGCAGAACGGCCTTCTGTGCGTAGTAGAACAACTCAGAGATGTTCCTCAGGTGCTTGGCCGAGCACTGGGGGCACAGAAGCCGCTGGGGGAAGGGTCCCAGCAACGCCCGGCAGCGGCCCTGGTGCCCGCCCTGCCCACACCCACCTCCACGCAGGTCTCGATCTCAGGATACTGGCTCATGATGGGCAGCACGGCCTCCATGGAACTGCCCGGCCGCAGGTCTGACTTGTTCCCCACCAGGATGATGGGGACCCTGTGGGCACAGGCTTGTGGCTAAGGGTGGGGGAGCCGGGTCCAGCCCCCCAGGCCTGCCCATTACCTGGGCCCCCTCTCGGCGCCCCCGTTCACCAGCGGGATCCACTTCGTTCGGATCTGAAAGGCCAGGGCAGGCAGCGAGATGAGGGGCCGCCCCAGAGCTCCCACCTGGAACTGGACCAGACCTGACCCAGAGTGAGGCGGCTGTGGGGTGCAAGGCTGCAAGAGCCAGGTGGGCTGGGTGGTGGGGACCCCGCTGTAAGGCCTGTCAGAGGAGACAGGCGCTCCACTTGCCTTCTCGATGGTGGTCTCCTGGGACACATCGTACACCACACACACCACGTTGGCCTGCAAGCGGGAAGCACATGAGTAGTGCTGCCCGCCCATGACGGCAGCTCGCAAGCTGCAGTGGTCAGCACCACGGGGCTGGGGACAGCCAGGTGTGCTGGGGCTACGTCCTGTACCCCAGGGGCCGCGGCGGGGAGAGGGCGGCGCACAGGAACAGTAGTGGAGACAGGCCCGCCTGGCGCCTCTCTGGGCAGATATCCCCGGACACCTAGACCGGGCAGCAGGGGTGTGGAGCCGGGGACTGGGGAGAACGCTTCTGTTCTCTGGCCCCCTGGAGAGCGTGCTGGCCAGACCGTGGGGCTGCAGCCCCAGACGGAGATGACCGCGGCCCTCGGAGAAACCCGCCGGGCGACACGCACCTTGTGGATCTCGTCCTGCAGCTCCTCCACCGTCTGCTCGGCCTCTGCGGGGAGACGAGACCCCATGCACACCTGCGCCCCGCGCGCCCGCGCCCGCGCGCCCGCGGCCGGCCTACCTGACGAGTCCACGATGTGCGTGGGCACCTTCTCCGGGGTGACGTCCGCGGGGATGGTGATCTCCTCCGCCCGGGGCGGGACCTGGGACAGACCCGCCAGGTGGCCGCGGCCCGGCCCCGCGCCCCGCCCCGCCCCGCCGGCCCGGCCCGGCCCGGCTCACCTCCGCGGGGAACTCCTCGCCCACCAGCGACAGGATCAGCGACGTCTTGCCCACCTGGGCTGCGGGGGTGGGTCAGCGGGGGTCCGGCCCGGCCCGGCCCGGCCCGGCGCGCCCCCGCCCGGCCCGCCGCGCCTACCTTCGCCCAGCAGCAGGATGCGCACGTCTCGCCTCATGGCGGCCGCCGCGCCCGGCGCCGACCCCGCGCCCCCCCGCCCGCCCCGGCCCGGCCCGGCCCGGCTCGGCTCGGCTCGCCCGACCCCGCCGGAGCCCGCCCGCCCGCACCCGCCCGCCGCCCGCACTTCCGGCCCGCCGCCCGCACTTCCGGCCCCGAGCTTCCGGCCCGCGCCAGGCGGCCAGAGCGCCCGGGCTGCGCGGCAGCGCCCCCGCGCGGGCGCCCTCGGCACTGCGGCCCCCGAGACGGGCCGCCCCGCTGCGACGCGAAGCCCGCGTCAGGGACGCGGCGGGGGGCGCGGGGGCGCGGGGGCGCGGGGTCCCTAGCCGCGACGCCCGGGGGAGCCGCCCGCGAAGGCCCGCCCGCGCAGCCGGCTCTGGGTCTTTCTTTTCCAAACATTTATTTGCGCTACAAGAGCTGGGGCGCGGGGGGGGTGTTAGGGGACCCCCGAGACAGCGGGGAGCGGGGCGGCGGGTCCACAGGCCGGGACTCTCCCCTGCGCCCCGGCTCCGGGTGTCGGGGCGCGCCGGGCCTCCAGGCGGGAGCGGGGCGCGCTGAGCGCGGGTGCCCTGCGGAACCCCAGCCCGGCCCCGCCGCGGGCCTCCTCACCGGGCGCCCCTCCGCGGCGCAGGAAGCGCCTAGGGCGGCGGGGCGGCCGGCGGACCCCGACCCCGCAGCGCGCGGCCGGGGCCCGTCTGGCCGTCCCCGCAGGGCGCCCGCCGCCGGGGGGGCCCGCTGGCCGCGGGGAGCACGTCCTGCCCCTGGCCGCCACCTGCGGGGGACGGAGAGGCCGGCGGTGCTCAGGGGCCAGCTCGGCGCCCGGTCTGCGCCGCCCGGCGAGGGGGCACCGGGGCGCACCGCCGGCCGGGGCCACTCACCGGCCTCGCTGGGCGGCGCCAGCACGTCCCAGAGGAAGACGGCGTCCCCCGCGCTGAGCGCGCGCCGGCCGGGGGCGAAGGCGACGGCCCGCACGGGCTCCGAGTGGCCCACGAACACCTGGGACGGGGGCGGGGTCACCGGGGCCGCCCCCTCGCCCCGCCCCGCCCCCCCGCCCCGCGTGTCAGCTGGGGGGCGGGCACGCACCTGGCCGCGGGACGGAGCCTGCGGCGCGAGGTCCCACACGTGGAGGGCCCGACCCGCAGCGGTCAGCAAGAGACGGGAGTCTTCGCTGAGGGCCAGCGTGGAGCAGGGTCCAGGGGGCCCAGACAGCTGCAAGAGCGCGCTACGGGGCCACGGGGGCGCAGCCTCCGGGAGGCCTGGCCCGGGCGTCCAGCCAGACAGCCGCGGCTCCCGGCTCACCTCCCGGACCACACAGCCCGACGTGGCGTCCAGTACCAGGACCCTGGGAGACGCCGTGGACACCAGGAGGTGTGTGGGGGACGCAGGACTGAAGCAGACGGCCGCGGCCAAATCCAGGTGGCCGCCAGCCAGGTCCAGGGTGCTGATGTCCACCCGCAGCAGCTGGGGAGAGTGCAGCAGCCCTGAGAGCCCAGCTCACGCCCAGGGCTGGAGGGAGGGATCAGGGGAACTGCCTGCTCAGGTCTCCTCCAAGGGCAAGCCCCCTGCCCCGCCCCCACCCCCAGCAAGTCAGGGAAGCCCAGGAGCCAAGTGGGGGGAAGCCAGGCAGCCACTGGGGTTCGGGGAGTACATGCAGGGCAAGAGGCCCGCCCACGCTGCACACATGAAGTCGAGGCTGGCCCACCTTGTCCAGCGAAGCTGTGTCCACGACAGTCACTGTGTTTTTGGAGGGACCCACGAAGGCCAGCAGGCGGCTGTCCCCGCTGACCGCCAGGGTGTTGGGGCTTGGGCAGGAGTCCTGGCACACCACACCAGCTGCCAACGGCAGGGGCGCTGGTCAGCGGGCCAAGTGGGTAGGGAGGGACAACAGGACAGGGCCCCCGGGACGCCTCCCCGGCCCAGGGTGGGTGGCCACGGGCCCGGTGCTCAGACTCCTTGCTCCCTCCTCAGGGCAGGTGGGCACAGACCCTGCTGACCGCGAGGCCCATGGGTCTGACGGCCCCTCTCCCACACCCAGAAGACAGCGGGCTGGTGAGGGTCCTGACCTGCCACACGCAGCACACGGCCTGGGGGGGTGGCAGAGCAGTACTGCGCCAGGGTCCCCCGAGAGCAGGAGCTGAACAGGAAATTGCCATTGGGCGTGACCACCAGGCCGGTAACCGCGCCACTGTGACACCTGCGGAGAACAGAGACCCCAGTTCCGGCCCTGCCCCGCCCCACCCCCAAGGCCAGGAGCAGGCCTCCTACCTGTGCTCCGCCAGCACCTGGGGGGCCTCTAGGCTGAAGGGGCGCATGGCCCCGCTGCTGAAGCCGCAGAAGACGAAGGGCTGCGTGGGGTGGAAGGCAACGGCGGTGGGGGGCTCCTCAGGGGATGTGAAGTCGAACAGCTGGGGGCAGCAGGCGCCTGAGAGCCAGGTCCAGGCACAGGCAGGACGCAGGGCCTGTGCGTCGCTGCCCCTGCTCCCACCCCTCCAGCACCCCCACCTGCTGCCGGCTCTCCAGGTCCCAGACGCGGACCGTGAGGTCCTGGGACACTGTGGCCAGCTGCCCGTGGCTGCCCTCGGTGGCCAGGCCCAGCACTGGGGCGGTGTGGGAGCGCATCAGCACGCTGTACTCCTGTGTTGGGATGTCCAGGAAGCCCAGGTGGCCCGAGGAGGTGGTGGACAGCACCCGCCGGGCGTCAGGGCTGACACGCACCGAGCTGACTGGGCCCTCGTGCTCTGTGGGTGGGGCCAGAGGCGGATCAGGGCGGCCGCCTGCGCCAGGGCCCTATTGCGCGGCTCCTGAACCAGCCCAGGCGTCTCCACGAGCCCCGGGCCCACCCCACAGTACCGCGCCGGGGCGGGAAGGGCCAGCTGGGCACCATGGGCGGGGCTTGGACTTAGCCCCCGGGCCCAGGCCGATGGTCTAGCCTGGGGAACCGCTGCCCCTGCAGATGAGGGCTGGCCCGCGGGGGCGCAATGCTCGGGCCTCACCCGCCTCCAGCAGCACAGAGGAGAAGTCCAGCGACCAGAGGCGCAGGCGGCCATCTTCAGAGCCCACGGCACAGGCCGACTCGGAGACGCTGAGGCTGCTGATGGGGATGCCCGGGCCTGGGGGGTGGGCGGGTCAATGCAGGCCTCAGGCTTGCCCCCACCCCGCGGCAGGTGCCCACCTACCTGAGCTGAAGGCCTGCTTCCGGGGGGAGGGGCTGCCAGGGGCGGGGGTGGGCAGGAGGCGGCGGGCGAGGCGCACAGCCATGCGCTGCGGGTCCACCTCCAGGATGTGGCCACTGCGGCTGCACACGTACCTGCCGGGAGGGTGACCGGTGAGAACGGCGGCAGTGGGGCTCCAAGGGCTCCGGGGCCTGCGCGGCTGGGGAGACTCACAGCGTGTGCCGGCCCTGCGTGCACCCGAAAGCCAGGCCCGTGAAGTCCAGTGTGTGGTGTTCGCCCAGGTCCACCGCGCAGGAGCGCAGCGCCCCGCCTCGCAGCCGCCACAGCCGCACTCCGCCGCGTCCGCACGACGCCATCCTGGGAGGGCAGGGGGGGTGAGCATGGGGCGCAGGAGAGCCCCTCATGGGCGGCCCCGTGCCCGCAGCCCGGTCACCTGGTCTCGTCGAAGCGGGCGACCTCGAAGGCCTGGATGTCCACGTCGGCATGCACCTTCGCCAGGACCACAGGCTCGCCGCCACGCCGCACCGGGGCCACGTCCCACGCCACCACCACCTGCACAGAGTGGGTGCTGAGCTCCTGCAGGGCCTGGCCGCTGCCAGCCGGCCCCCAGCGCGGCGGGGATGGGGACGCGGTCCTTGCACAGACACAGCCAGAAAACAGCAACCCCAAATCTCTCAGAGGGAAGGCGAGGCGGAGAGCACAGGGAGGAGGGCGGGGCCGGGGCTCCTGAACGGCGGGAGCCTGGCTGAAAAGGCCAAAGTGCAGGGGACTGGCGGGGTGGGGGGTCCCCCAGGTCGGCCCATTACCGTCTTCCCGTGGCGGTCCCGCCCAACACCGCAGAGCAGCGCCCCGCTGTGGGAGAAGCTGTGGACACAGCGGAGGAGGTCAGCGGGGCCCAGGCGCCACGCCTCTGCCCCACACCCCCCAGCCCAGGCCCACCTGAGGGAGCCCACGCTGTGGGCGGGGCTGCGGAGAAGGCACAGGCACTGCCTGGTGTGGGGGTCCCAGAGGCGCAGCATGCCGGGGGGCCCCGCCTGCACCGAGGCCAGCAGGGAGCCACTCACGTCCAGCGCCAGGGCAGAGACCTAGAAGGCGATAGTTGAGGGCGGGCTCACAGGCAGAGGCCCGGCTGCCCAGGCTGGCACCCACCTTGTCCGTGTGGCCGAGGAAGAAGCGCTGCTGCCGGGTGTGGACGCACAGCTCCACCACGAGCGCATGGCAGGGGTACAGGACTGCGGCACCGTCCCTGGTCCACAGGGCCTGTGCAAGCCAGGCTGAAGGTGCAGCCGCCTGCCTGCCCACCTGCCCGCGCCCAGGGCGCAGCGCCCAGGAGAACCAGCCCATCTCCAGCACAAGGAACTTGGGTCCAGGACCCAAGGGGCCCCCAGAGGTTCAGAGCCTGGCAAACCTGGGGCCCTCCCTGGTCCCCTCACGCCCGCCTGCAGATAGGGCTGCATCCTCGTGAGACTCCAGTGCCACACCCCAGGCAGCCGCACGGCCTCTCACCCATTTGGTGCTGTGGCCCCCAAAGCCGATGACCCCCTGGAGCCGCAGGGCCGGATCTGGGAGGGGGCGCTGGCGAGGGCGACTGGCATCATCACCAAGGCTGGCTGGGCCCGGCCCCCCAGGGGTGCCTGCCTCGCACCTGGCCCCGCTCACCCTCGGTTGGGAGGAGTCTCTGCCTGGAGCTGCTGCCTGCCCGCTCTGCTTCCCGCTGGGAGGCTAGAAGGGGAGAGCCCACCACAGCTGCCCACGAGGTTGCTCCTGCTTGCGGCCACTCCCCGAGCCTGGATGCCCTTCCCCAGGACGGCCTCCCTGGAGCGGCCTGCGCACCCTGGTGGGGAGCCGACAGCCTGCGCCCAGGGGGCACTCTCAAGGCCATGGTCACCAGGGCCAGCCGTGCGGGAGCCCTCCCAGTGCCCACAGCAGACTGGCCTCCGGAAGAGGGCTGGGGGCCCAGCCAGACTTCACCCTGGGGCTACCTCCCAGCCCCATTTCTGAGGGCACATAGACACTCACAGCGGAGGGGCAGGGCCCTTGGGCCGCACAGGCCAGTCCCGGCTGGATACATGCAGCTGGACGAGGGAGAGGCGGGCATCCCTGGCCTGGGAGCGCTGCACCAGGCAAAGAGCCTGCTGAGCGAGTACGGAGGCCATGCTGGGCCAAGTCCCCCAGCCAGCCCTGGGTCCCCCATCCCGTCTGGGCAGAGTGTGAGCCCTGGGGACCCTGCCGGCCTCCCCAGAGCCAGCACCCCAGCTGTGCCACCAGTCCCCGGCCCCGCGGGCCCACCTGTCTCGGGGCGGGAGTGGCTCTCTGGAGCCGGCTGGGAGGGCGCGTCGGGACCGTGGCTCGGGAACCTCGGCAGGACAGGGAGAGTCAGCATCTGGCCCCACCGACCCCGCCTCCCTGGGCAATCTGCTCTCACCGGACATGCAGGTACAGGTCATGCCAGCGCTCCCCGCTCGGCACCGGGAAGGCCATCTCTCTCGGCACAGGGGCGACGGGCAACGCTGCCCGCCGGGCTTCTGCCACAGTGACAGCTGCAGAATTGGGTTCTGCAGATTGGGAGGCTGCGGGACACTCTCCAGGCCCACCTGGGTGGCAGCTGCCCCCACCTGCACCCGCAGGGGACAGGGGCTCACCAGGATCGAAGCACAGGTTGCTGGTGTAGAGGCCCCCAGCCAGCAGGCTGGCGCACAGCCGGACGCCCTTGAGGTGCCCGTAGTCCCGGTGCAGGTGCAGCTGCAGGAGGCCTTGTAGGTCAAGCTGCAAACAGGTCCAGCGGCTGCCAGGGCGGGCCTGGCCTGTGGGGCAGGAGCCGAGATCAGCACTGACCCTCACCCCACAGCATCCCCATCCTTGGCCAACACCGGCCCCCATCCCCATGACCCCCACCCCTCACGCAGGCCACGCCCCCCAGGCCCCTCCAAAGCCTGACCAGCCCCGTTCCTCGCTGCGCCGGCACCCTTCTGGCTGCAGGTGGCCTGGCCCAGGCCTCCCCCGTCGCCTGCCCTGGACGTGGGGATCTCGCAGGTAAGAGGGAGGTGAAGCCAGGTGGCCGTGCACCTGAGCTCCCTGAAGAGGCTGGACAGAGACACGCGGATGATCTGGCTGTCCTGAGGGCAGAGGGCAGAGCGCAGCGTGAGGGGGACCCCGAGAGGCCGAGCCCCTCCCTCCCGAGGCATCACCTGCGTGGCCACGTCCAGGTGGATGACGAAGTGCTTGGCGGGCAGGGGCCGGAAGAGCAGGTACAGGTACCGACCCGTCAGCCCCAGGGACTGGGCGCTGGTTCTGGGGAGCTGGATGTAGTTGCGGGCGGGCACGGCCCCGCGGATGCGGTACACGGTGCGCCTCAGGGTGCGGTCCTGGAAGGAGGCGCGGTGCCCAGGCGGCGGCAGGCGCGAGAGGGGCTCCGGGGCCGCTCAGGGAGGCCCCGCCCCGGCCCGCCCCGGCCCGCCCCGGCCCGCCCCGGCCCGCCCCGGCCCGCCCCGGCCCGCCCCGGCCCGCCCCGGCCCCGCCTACCATCACGGAGGCCACGTCCCCCTCCTTGCGGGCCCGCTCCCGCTCGTCCACCCTGAAGTGCCTGAACACGTTGAGGAACGGGTGCTGCCAGGCTGCCGGGACGGCGCGGCGGGCGGGGCGCGAGGACCCCCGGCCGTCCGGCGCCCCGCCCCGGCCCCGCGGCCCCCCGGGCGCCATGGCCGCGCCGCTCGAGCTTCCCGCCTCGGCGGCCGGCGCGCGACGCGCAGGCGCGCACGGGCCTAGCAACGGCCGCCTGGCAACAGCGCCACTTCCGGCGTCGCGGCCGGGCACGTGACCGCGCGGAGGCGCGGCCCGGCCCCTCGGCCACCCGCGCCGCCGTCTCCGTCTCCCGGCAGGCCCGCCCCGCCCGGCCGCCCCGGCCCCCCCCGCCGCCGCCTCCGGGCAGTGCCCGCGCGGCCCGCCGTGGAGCCCCGGACCCGACGCCGGCGTCTGCGCGGGCTGCCCCGGCTCCCACCCCGCCGCTTCCCGGCGCGACTCCGCTCGGCCCGGGGTCAGCGCCGCCAGGGCCACCCCACCCCACCCAAGTGCCGGGGCGCGCCCGCAACACCCCGCTTCCCCCAGGCCTCGGCCCCTCACCCTCTATCCTCAGCAGGCCGGCCCGAGGCCGGGGACCTCCCCGCCAGACGGGAGGGCGGCCCCGGGGGCAGGGCGCCAGCACCCCGGGGCCAGCGGAGGTGGGGCCAGCCGCCCGAGGCGGGGCTGCACCCGACGACCACCACCCAGGAAAGGCCACGCCCAGAGGCAGTTTCTCGACTTTATTAGCCTGGAGTTCCCCGGCACGGGCTGGTCCGAGCAGTGAGCTGGGTTGAGGTCAGACAGGTCCAGCCAGGCCCCAATGCAGGGCCGCAGGCTCAGCAGCGCAGAGTCCAGGTGCTGGCACTTCAGGTGTGGCCGCCCCGCGGCCAGGCCAGGGTGGAGGGCACTGTGGTCCTCTTTAGGCAGAAGGTGGTCGTGGGGCGGGCCAGGCCGCCTCCCGGGCAGTGGCTAGGAACAGCTGGTGACCCTGGCCAGGAACTGCTGTGCCCACCACTCATCCAGGTCGATGGGCACGAAGTCTGTGGGCAGAGCACAGGCTGCTCAAGCCACGCCCCGGCCTTGGGATGGAGGGGCGTGGGAGACACGGGCGTGGGCAGCAGGGACTCCCAAGGGTGGGGGGGACGCTCACTCTGCAGCCGGGGGTTGGGGGTTCGCTCCACGTACTGCACAGGCCGGGGCCCACTCTCGCTGGTCTGGCCAGCTCCCAGCTGCCGCTCCACTTGCTGCCAGGCTGTGGGAAGGAAAGGGCCAGGCTGAGCCGGACCCTGGCACCCTGCCCCCCCCCAGGGCCTGGTGGCCACCCTGGACTCCAGCCCAGGACTGAGCGGGCGGCTTGCTGGACGGTCGCAGGGCAGTGGGCAAACGAAGCCCAGGCCACCCACTGTTCCCTGAGAGCCAGGTTGCCGCGGGAGAGGGTCCAGCCCGGCCGCCCTCGAGCCGACACTACCTTCGGACACGAAGCGGACGTTCTCCTCGTGGGCTGGCGTGTAGGTCTCCTGCGTCTCCTCGAGGGACGAGGTTGTGGCCGGGGGCCGCCGGCCATTCACCCGATTGAACACGAGCCTGGGCCCTGGACTGCAGGGGGAGGGTTGGTGACTGTCCCGAGCCCCAGTGCTGCCTGACTGAGCCCTGTGTGCGGCTGCAGGCCACACGCTCCCGCCGGGCCTGGACACTGAGGTCAGCCGCAGGCCTCTCCCCTGTGGCCCGAGCCCCTGCAACTCACTCCCCTGTCCCTGGGCAGGGGCTACCTGGGGCCCAGCCCCAGGGAACCTCCCCCAGGCCTCGGGACCACACAGCTGGCCCTTCAAGGGTCCCCGGAGCACCCCCTGACCTGACTCCCACCTCCCCGGGCCGCCCAGCCCCAGCAGCCCAGGCTGTGGCCCAAGTGGCAGCCAGGCCAGCTGCCCGTCCCCGCTGGCCACGCTGCTCCCTTCAGAGACGCCACGCCGCAGCCCCCCCGTGTAAGAAAGGTGCACCCCTGCCCTTCTGGGCCGCTGGCCCTGGGGACGAGCCCCAGCGACGGCCTGGCCCACCCACTGCCCGCGGCCCCACAGCAGGCACATGGCCAACCTGGCCTGTGGGTGGGCATGCGAGGTCCAGGTGGCGGCCTGGCCCGCGCAGCCGGCGGGCGTGGGGGAGCAGGGCCGCACCTACAGCAGGAGGGGGAGCCGGGAGTCCGGGGCCGCTCCCGCCACTCCGCCAGGCACTCGCGGTCCCGCCGGCCTGCTCGCTTTCCTGGGCTCAGGCGCCCCACCGCCGCTCAGGGGTCCTCCTTGGCTGAGAGGGGCACTAAAACAAAGAGGAGCGTCTTGAGGGGCACCGGTCCCACCGGCTCCAAGCCGGCAGGGGCTGGTGGCCAGAGAACACAGAGGCCCAAGCGGCACACACCGGGGCCGTGAAGGCTGACCCTCTCGGTGAGCGGTCCCCTGGCCTGCTGCCCCCACCCCCACCAAGGCCAAGGCCGCCAGGGAGGTGGCTTCAGGGAAGGAAAAGCAGAGGGAAGTTTCAGGCAAGGGGGAGCAGAAGGGACGCTCCTCCATGGAGGGGCCGCCGGGGACACGAGGCTCCAGGTCCCCCGTCCGGCCGTGGGGACGCTGCCTGCATGCCAGCTCCTGCCACAGTGCTGGCGGACCGCGCCTGCTCAGCACCGGTGCGGTGCCCTCCACCCCAGCTCAGAGGACGGTGGCCTGGCTAAGGAAGGCCACAGCCAAGCCCGAGAGCTCAGGACTCAACCGCAGGCCTGTGTGCCCCATCCAGCTCTCCCGCTGGCCAGCCCGCAGTCTGCGGCGCACCAGCCTCCCGAGTCTGCGGATGGCCTTGGCCTGGGTGGCGACAGCCCCATTTCTCTGCTCCCCAACAGTGGCTCCCACCCCATGTACCCCTCTCTCGCTGTCCCTGGCCTGGCCACCACCTGGGCCAGTGCCCGCCTGCTGGCCGGCAGGTCAGTTGCCAACATCTGCGAGGCACGGGCCGTGAAGAACCCATTGCCCAGGCCAGTGCAGGCGCCATGCCTGGGGGAGGGAAGGGAGCAGGAACTGGGAACAAGGCCCCTGAGGAGGAGCCTGGTCTGCTCCGGCCTTGGGGGGTGGACAGCAAGGACCCCCTGCCTGTCTCCCTGGCCCCAGCTGGGAGGCCTCCCAGCCTGGCTCCTCCTAGAGATCCAGGGCCATGAAGAGACCAGCACCCGCCGCTGCACTCGGGGGAGGGACCAAGGTCGCAGATGCAGCATGGACACTGCACTGCCAGGCCTGCCCCGTGCACCTCCCTTCCTCGGAGGCCCCCCAGCTGGCCCCGGAGATCTTCTCCAGCCCCGAGTGTCAACATGCCCCTGAGGAGGCCCCAGAAGGTCTTGTCCAAGGGCCCTCCCTCATGGCCCCCAGCGCGTGGAACCGAAGGTCCAGGCCTGAGCCAAAGGAGTGAAGGTGCAGCGGGGGCGACTGGAGCACTGACCCCGGGGCAGCGGCCCCGGCTCTGCGCCGAAAGGGGGCCCTCCGGCGCCACAGAGGCTGTCTGGGGTGAAGGGCACGAGCGCGGCGCCTGGCAGGCCCGGCAGGAGCCACGTGCACCTGACCCCGGGGCGCTCGGCGAGGGCGCGCTGGCCGCCGCCGCCGCGGGGGCCGAGCCAAGAGGCCTCGCGGGCCAGCGCCGCGGCCGCCCTTGCTCCGGAGGACGCGGCCCGCCGCGAGCCTCCAACGCGGCCCGGGCCCGCCGGGGCGCCCCGGCCCGGAGCCAGCTCCGCACGCGCGCGGCGCGGTCCCACCCCGCCCCGGGGGGCTCGGCGCGGCCCCGCCCGGCGCGCAGGTGAGCGGAAGCGCGGCCCGCCCCGCCCCGCCCCGCGCGCCACCCTCTGCCCAAGGTCACGGCGGCCGGGGCGGCGGGGGAGGGGCGGCGCGGCGCGCGCTCACCTGGGCAGGGGCCAGGGGCCCGGCGGCTGCGCCCGCGGGGGCGGCGGCGCGGGCGGCGGGGGCTGCCGGCCCTTCAGGAGCTCGCCCAGCCGGCTCTCCACCTGCTGCTGCGGGGGACCTGCGGGCGCCGAGAGGGCCGTCAGCGGCCGCCGCGCCCCGGGGCGCCCCGGCGCCGCCCCGCCCGGCCGGCCCCCCGCACCTGTGCGGCGCTGCGCCACCAGCTTGCTGGGCCCCTTGGTGATGGTGTACATGGTGCGCGCCGCCCGCGCTCCGGCCGGCCGGTCCCGCGCTCCGCCGCCTCGCGCTCCGGGCCGCGGGCGCGGCCCCTTTAACGGCGGGGGCGCGGCGGGGCGGGGGCGCGCGGGCGGGGGCGGGCCCGCTACACGCCCCCGGCCCTTAAAGGGCCCGCGCGGCCCGGCCGCCCGCGACTCGCCCGGCCCGCCGGCACCGCCCGGGACCGGGCCCTGCCGGGGCGGGGCGGGCCTGGGTCCGCGTGAGCGGCCCCTGCCGGCCGGGCTCTGGGCGGAGCCCCGGCAGTCTGGGCGCCCCCCCATCCAGGAGGGGCGCCCACTTGCCCATCCAGGAGAGGGGGCCTCCCCGTGACCTCCAGGAGCCCGACCCACGGCCCCCCCGGGGGGCTTGCCCCTGCGGGCCTGCTGTCCGCGGGGGGCGCAGGGAGGCGCCCGAGGACCTCCATTTGGCCCAATCTGATGCTCAAGGTCCCCCTGAGAAAGCAGGGGGCAGCCCCCGGGGTCGTGGGGTCCCCACACTGCTTGCGCCCTCAGTGTTTGAGGCACCAGTGCTTGGAGCGAACCCACCGCTCCCTACACCCCAGCTCCAAAGCAGGCCCGAAGCCCCCTCCGGGCCGGAGCCAGCACAGCACAGGGTGAGGCGGGAGGGGCCCTCCATCAGCCGCTCTGCCTCCGCCCTCCTGTGGGTGCCCCAAAGCTCAGGCTGGGCTGCCCCTCCTCTCAGGCAGGCCTGCAGCCCCCGGGCTCAGCCTGGGCCCCCAAAGGGGAGTGTGTCCGGGAAGTCCAGGTCCAGCCATGCTGGTGATGGCTGGACCCGCCCTGCCCCTCAGCCGGGGGCAGAGCGCGCTCTGGGGTGTCCTGGGGAGAGAGGACAGCTGCATGAGGCGCCCATGCCCCTCCGCTGCAGCTTCCACTTGGGCCATCTCCCCCAGGCACCCCTCAGGGGGCCAAAGCTGGGTCCAGAACCCTGGGCAGGGCTCGGGGAGCAGCAGCTGAGTAGGAATGGCCGTGATGGGGCCAGGGACAGGATGAGGGTGCGGGGTGGGCTGGGGCAGGTGGGGCCCCAGCAGACCATGGCCAAGGGGGCTGGCCCTGGTCCTCCCAGAGGGCCCTTCCCAGGCCAGAAGGGCAGTGGGGGGCCTGGGAGCCAGCCTGGCAGCAGGGGGGGTGCTCCTCAGGGAGTGGCGGGGCTGACCTCACAGACCAGGCACCTAGCCTGGCCCTGGGTCCCATCCCGCCCTGATGCCCTGCCCTCCCCCAGGCCCAGGGCATGGCTGGCCATGGCCCCGAGATCAAGACGCCCCGCCCTTGGTCTGGACCCCAGAGCCCCGAGGGGTACTTGCCCTGGGGCGTTGTCCTGCAGCGAGGAGGAGCCAGGGCCTGTGGTGGGGGTGCAGCGCCCGCAGCCCCTCCTCCAGGAGCCTCCTGCGCCCCTCCCATGGCCAGGCTCCAAGACGGGCTCCAGAGTGGGGGTGCGGGAGGGCCAGGCCCCGCGGGCCAGGCTGGAGGGAGGCCAGCGAAGGAGAGCATCTGGGCCAGTTCTTCCCGGGTGCAGCGCGCCCTGCCGGGGCGCGGGGTGGCGGAGGGGTGCGCGGGCGCCGGCGCCCTGCTAGAGCCCCGCGCCCAGGCCCTCGCGGAGGCTCGCCGAGAAAGCAGGTTCGCGCGTCAGGGGTCCCGGCCACCAGCGCCTGCGCGCGCGCTGGGCACGCCCGCCCCCTGCCCGCAGCCCGGCTCTGCGGGCCCCCGCTGGGAGAGGGGCGGCAGAGCCGCCAGGGCCGCCCCCCGCGAGACCCCGTCAGGCCCCGGTCACCTGGCGCTCGGCGGGGAGGTCCCGCTGGACCTGGACGCGGTGCCGAGGCGGCGGCTGTCTGGGCGCAGGCCAGGCCGGGCCCCGCGCCCCGGGGAGGCAGGTCTCCCTCGCGCCCCGGCCCCCGCCGCCCCGGGCCCACTGCGCGCGCGGGGAGGCCGGCGTGGGGCGCCCTCCCTGGGCCGCCGCCGCAGACCCGAGACGGCCCCGGGCACGCCCGCGGCGGGGCGCGCGGCCTCCGGCTTCGTCTCCGCGGCTCACGCCGCCGCAACACCGGGGAGCCGCGGGGACGCCCCGAGCCTGGCGGGCCCCTCCGCGCCCCGAGCTCCGCAGCGGAGACCGCGCCGCCCGCCCCCCGCGCCCCGCCCGGGACCGCGCCCCCGGAAAGGCCTCGCTCCTCACCACGCCCCACGGCCAGAGGGCTTCCCCCGGTCGGCTCCCGAAGTTCCGCGGTTGCCATGGTTTCCACGGCGCTGACCCAGCCGAGACTGACGTCAAGCGCTCCCCGCGCCGGGCGCCCCCACGGCCGCGGGCCCGCCCGTCCGGGAGCGCCTCCCGGGCTGGCCGCCGCAGGGCGCATGCGCCGGCGTCCCGCGCGCGGGGAGTCTGCGTCACAATCTCCTAAGTCTCGCGGGCGCCTGAGACCTCAACAGCGCCGCTGGTGTAGTGGTATCATGCAAGATTCCCATTCTTGCGACCCGGGTTCGATTCCCGGGCGGCGCACAGTGGCTTTTTTTTTTTGGCTTCTCCCCTTTTCGAAGGAGGCCTCTGGCGCTCCGCGGAGAGCCCCCGAGGAAAACAGCCCGGGGCTGGGCGAGCGAGACGAATAAGCGCTGTCAACCGCGGCGGGCGTCCTGAAGACTCCAGGACGGGCAAGCGACCTTAGGGTGTCGCCGGGGTGGGTGGGTGACCGCGGCGGCGCGCCGCCCCCTGGGAGTTGTAGTCCGGAGTGGCCGGGGGTCAGGCCACACCTCCCGGCGGGACCCTCACCGCGCGGCCCCTTGGGAACTGTAGTCCGGAGCGGCCAGGCCGCCTCTCCCGACGCGCCTCTGGCGGGGCCCAGAACGCGGCGCGCGGCCCCCTGGGAATTGTAGTCCGGAAGGGCCAGGGGCCAGGCCGCACTTCCCAGAGGGCAGCGGCGCCGCGATGCTGGTGGCGGCGGCCGCCGAGCGCAACAAGGAGCCCATCCTGCGCGTCCTGCGGCAGTACGTGGACCCGGCCCAGCGCGGCGTCCGCGTGCTCGAGGTGGCCTCGGGCTCCGGCCAGCACGCGGCCCACTTCGCGCGGGCCTTCCCCCACGCCGAGTGGCAGCCGTCCGACGTGGACCAGCGCTGCCTGGACAGGTGCGCGGCCGCGGCCCCTGGTGCGCTCGCGGGCGGGCGGGCGGGCCGGGGCCCCGCCCGGGGGCGCCCCGAGGGGCCGCCGCGGCGGCAAGGGCGCGTGCGGACAGCGTGCCCACGGCTGCCCTCCAACAGCATCGCGGCCACCGCGCAGGCCCAGGGGCTGTCCAATGTGAAGGCCCCGCTGTTCCTGGACGTGACCTGGCCCTGGGAGCGGTGGGGCGGGATCCCGCCGCGCTCGCTGGACCTGCTGCTCTGCATCAACATGGTGCACATCAGCCCCCTGAGCTGCACAGAGGTCGGTTTGGGCGCCCCGCCTGCCCCCGGGATCTGGGGCCCCGGCTCTGGCGGGCCTTGGGGGCGAGCGGCGAGAGCGCTCAGGCCGTCCTGCCTCCCCGCAGGGGCTCTTCGAGGCCGCGGGTCACCTGCTCAAGCCCAGGGCGCTGCTGGTCACCTATGGGGTGAGGGCCTTCCCAGGCACAGCCCGCTGCCCGTCCCAGCCCACCTCGGCCCTCCCCCGCCCCTCCCCCCTCCAGGGCCAGCTGGACCTCCGCGGCGGGGTGGGTCCGGCGGCCCGTGTCCTGGGGGTGAGGGCCGTGCCCGTGTCCCTGCAGCCCTACGCGGTCAACGGGAAGATCTCGCCCCAGAGCAACGTGGATTTCGACCTGACGCTCAGATGCAGGTCAGCAGGTGGGGGCTGGGGCGCACAGGCCGTGGCCCAGCTGACCGGTGCTCCTTTCCCTGCAGGAACCCAGAGTGGGGGCTGCGGGACACGGCGCTGCTGGAGGCCTTGGGCCGGGCCAGCGGCCTGCTTCTGGAGCGCATGGTAGGTGGGGGCTGGGCCTGCGGCGGCCTCCCACGCGGCCGTGTCTCCAGCCGAGGCTCTCCCGCAGGTGGACATGCCGGCCAACAACAAGTGCCTGATTTTTCGGAAAGAGTGACCCGTCCTCTTGCCTACCGGGCCCCCACGCGGCTTCCTTTGGGACCCACCGCGACCACCAGCCCCTGCCCTCCGGGGACCCCTGGCCCGGCCCCGCCTGGGGGCTCCCGGGTGGGCGGCCACGGGGCCACCGAGAGCCTGGGAATAAAGCGTTTGCCGGCCGCCTGCAGCGTGCCCGCGCCTCCTCGTTCTGGGCAGCGGCGGGCAGGGGGGGCCCGGGGAGACCCGGGGCGGCCGGGCGCGCCCGCCCGCCGCGGGCAGGGAGGGGCAGGAAGGGGCGGCCGGCCAGGCGCGGAGGCTTTATTGGGCGCTAGTCTCGGAAGCGGCCGAGCAGCTCGCAGGCGCCGCGCTCCAGCAGCTCCGCGATCTTGCGGACGCGCCTCTCGCTGGCGGCGCGCACGTAGCTGCCCGCGTCCAGCACGGCCGCGCCGTCGCGCACCTCGCCCATGAGCAGCAGCGGGCCGCCGCCCGCCGTCACGTTGGGGCAGGGGCAGGCCCAGTCCATGCCGCTCAGCGTGAGCTCCAGGTACCGCGTGCCCAGGAGGCGGAGGCCCATCTTGTCGTCCTTGAGCACGTGGTCCAGGGCCACGCGGGCCAGGCCGCCGCCGCCGCCGGGCTCGGGCTCCTCCAGCAGCTCGGTGAGGCGGCCCACGACGGCGAAGTCGCTGCGGCACAGGCTCGGCGCCAGGCGGCCCGGCGGGCGGCAGGCGCGGCAGGCCGGCGCGCGCGGCCCGGGGCAGGCGTCCTCGCAGCTCTCGCGGCTCTCGAAGTTGTTGCCGTTGCCCTCGCAGCCGCCGAACACGAAGGGCTGGCAGCGCTGCAGCAGCGGGCTGTAGGCCCAGCGCGCCTCGCGGGCCTGGCAGGGGCCCTGCACGGCGGGCAGCGCGCAGGCGTCCCCGGGGCCGCGCGCACAGGCCCGCTGGCAGGCCTCGTAGGTGTCGAAGCCGCGGGCGCCGCAGCCGCCGGCCGGGAAGGTCCTGCAGCCGCCGCGCTGCGCGTCGAAGTGCCAGAGCACGCGGCCGGAGGCGGGCCCGGCGCAGGCGGGCGCGGAGGGCAGGCAGGCGGCGGGGCCCGCGGGCGCGGCCGGCTCGCGCGGCAGCACGGACAGCGGGAAGTCGGCGCGCAGCAGGCCGGCCGCGTTGCGCGCCGTGCAGGTGTAGAGGCCCGCGTCGTCGGGCCGCGCGTTGTACAGCACCAGCTGGCCCAGGCTGGTGACCACCACGTTGCCGTGCATCTGGTCGGGCCGCAGGATCAGGCTCTCGCGCGGGCCGCTCTGCTTCTCCCAGGTCACGGCGGGCGGCGGGCGGCCCCGGGCGTCGCAGTGCAGGCTGGCCGTGCCGCCCACGAGCACCGCCTGCGGGGCCGGGCTGCTGTAGAGCGCGGGCGGCACGGCGGCCTCCCCGGGCGGCGGCGGCGCGCTGGGCGCGGGCGGGCCCGGGCTGCTGGGCGGCCAGCGGAGCACGTGCTTGCAGGCCACGACGTGCAGGCGCCGGCCGCGCAGGCAGGCCTCGGCGTCCATGTAGCAGCGGTTGTAGTAGGTGAGGCCGTCGGAGGCGCAGGTGAAGCGGGGCTCCTTCTCGCAGCGCTCCCGGCAGCGGCACACGGGCTGCCCGTCCCAGAGGTCGCAGGCCGCGCCCTGCTGCGCGCACGCGACGCCCGCGCACGAGGCGGCCGGGGCGGGCGCGCCGCCGTCGGGGAAGCGCGCGGCCACGCAGCTCCGCAGCCCGCACACGTTGGTGCAGCACTTCTCGGCGGCCGCGCAGTCCTGGGGGGGCGGGCGGCGGCGGCTCAGCGGGCGCCCGACGCCCCGCCCGCCCCGCGGCCCCGGCCCGCCCCCGCGCGCCCGGGAGGACGCTCCCGGCGCCGCCGCCCGGTCCTGGGGGAGCGAGGAGGGGGCCGGGGCTTCGGGGCCGCGTCCCGGGCGGGCCGAGGGGCTGGGGCCGCGGGGGTCGGGGTCCCCTCGGGGGACGGGCCGGCGCGCCCACACGGCCCCCCGCGTGGCCCGCGCGCGCTCACCTGGTCCCCGCTGCATCCGCGCTCGCAGGTGCTCTGCGCGTCCACCCACAGGTTGGGACTGAGCTGGTTGGGGCACAGGCCCGGGTGCGCCCCGCGCCCCGGCGGCAGGCTGGCCCCCGAGGCCGGCCCCGCGAGGAGCAGCAGCGGCAGCAGCAGCCGCAGGCCCGGCATGGGGACCGCGGGGCCGGGGGGAGGGGGGGGCTGGCCGCCGGCCCCTGAGGCCCCGCAGGGCCCGCGTCCCGCGGGCATCCGCCCCCTGGCTGGTGGCCCCCGCTTCGGCCCCGCACACGCTGGTGCGGGCACCCCTGGTCTGGACAGCCCGGCTGAGGGTCTCCACGGTCTGCGGCCGGGAACGTGGCGCGGGCCCCTCCCCGCGGGGCCCTCTCCGGTCAGCTCCGGGCAGGGGGCGGGGAGAGGGGGAGGGGCGGGGGCCCAGAGCGAGGAGGCGCCGGCCGCCAGGGGCCCCGAGGCCGCAGGGCCGGGGGAGGGGAGGGGAGGGGAGGGGAGGGGCGGCGAAGAGTCGCTCTGCGGACCCCCAGCCCGGGCTCGCAGGGCAGCGACGGCCACGGCTCCAGCGCCCCAGAGCAGGGCCAGGCCGGCCCGTGTCACCTGCAAGCCCCTGCCCAGGGCAGAGCCCCTGGGGGTGGGGGACCCGAAGGCCCAGCAGGGGCAGCCCCTCCCCAGGGCCCCTGTGAGATGCAGCCCCTTTGTGCTCCGGCAGGGTCGAGGGGCCCTGCTGGCCGCCGCGCCTGGTACAGGGGTGGGGGGGGGGTCCGGCCGCAAGGTCGTCCCAGGCCTCTGCAGGGCCAGCCCAGGGCTGCGGACCCTGGCGGGGGAGGGGCGCAGGACAAAGGCTGTCCCCGGAGGCGCCCACCCACGGCCGGCCTCTGGCCTGGGAGGCAGAGTGTGAGGAGAGCAGGTCCGGTCAGGATGTGCCAGCCAGGGTGGGGGCCGGGGCCAGACTGGACAGGACCCCGGCGGGCAGAGCCTGCACCCACCGCCCAACCCAGGCCCTTGGGCTGTCCATGCGTCCCCCGGCTCCCTCTGCTACTGCGCCCGCAGCGGGGCCTGCTCTCTGCAGCCTGGGCCTCCTGGACACAGCAGGGGCTGCCCCAGGGGTGCACCCGCCCATCTGACCCCTGCCCACAGGGAGAGCCCGGCCTGACCCCCAGCAGCCACCACTGCAGGCCCACTGCAGGCCCACAGCAGCCACCACTGCGAGGCCAGCATGGGGCTGCAAGCGCCCACCGAGCGGTCAGTTACATAGGACCATGGACGCCGCGCGCCGGACACAGCGGAATCACTTTACTGTACAAACAAGAACCGTCCAGGGAGCCCAGCCAGGCCGGGCGGACAGCAGGGAGAGCAGCGCTGGGGGCGGCCTGGGCCTCCATGCAGCCCAGGTAGGGTCCGAAGTCCAGGGAAGTCCGTGGGCGGGTGGGGCCGGTGACGCCCACCACGGGCCCTGCGCCGGAGCCGAGATGGCCGGGGTGCAGCTCCAGGTGGCCGGGATCCGGTGCCACCCCAGCACCAGGGCTTCGCTGAGGTGGGCAGGGCTCGGGGGGGGGCTGCGCAGAGGAGGCCGCTGGGGGGGCGCGGCCACACCCGGTTAGGGCACTCGCGGCCGCTGGCAGGAAGGAGGTAGCCGCCAGCGCCGCGTCCTCTGGTCCAGGTGCAGGGCGGGGACACAGCTCCTGGCAGGCAGGGACGGTGTCCTGCAGGCCCAGTGCCCTCGGCCTCAGAGGCTGCCCCCGTGTCCCAGCTGTCCCCACAGCCCGGCAGCCCCCGGGCTCCCTGCCACCCCAGGCCGCGGAAGGGGCGCCTGGTGGGGCGCGGGGGCCGGGGGGCCGGCCTGCTAGGAGATCTTGCAGTTGCTCCGCGAGCAGTTCTGGGGGGGGCTCTGGGGGGGACGGATGGACTTGGAGCGCTTGAGGCTGTTGCCCTTGCTGCCGCCGCCTGCCGCCGCGCCGGCCAGCGAGTAGGAGCGGCCGTGCATCATGACGGCGTTCATGCCGTTGGCCATGGAGAAGGACTTGAGGTGGCTCTTGATGGTGACGGGCAGCGGCAGCTTGTCGATGAGGTGCACGGGCGTGCAGGACACGATGGCCCGGCAGCACAGGTCCTGCAGGCTGAAGACTGCAGGGAGCGGGGGTCAGGGGGGGCGGGGGGCGGGGCCCCCCCCGCGGGCGGGCTCACCTCGGTTGGGCCTCCAGATCTTCTCCATGCCGTGCCGCATGAGCACGATGCGCGACAGCTCGGTGAAGGACTCGGTCACGTTGAAGTTGCACAGCGGGCTGACCTCGAAGAAGGTCATGCAGTTCTTCTCCGCGTAGGCGCGCGCCTGCTCCGTCGGCACTTGCCGCTTGAAGGCCAGGTGCAGCCGGTTGCCCACCAGGATGCGGGGCACCCCGGGAGCGTGCTGGGGGACACGGCACTCAGCGGGGCGCCTCGGCCGCTCGGCACCCACGCGCCAGGGTCGGTGGGGGCCGGCAGGGGCGGGGAGGGGACGGGACACCCACCTCGTCAATCTCCTTGATCCACCGGTCGATGCCATCGAAGGACCAGCGGTTGGTGATGTCGTAGACCAGGAGGATGCCCTGTGGGGACGCGGCGTCACGTGGCCGCGGGCTCAGCACCCCGGCCCCTGCCCAGTGCCCGGCCAGCGGTAGGGGGGGGGGGGCATCCTTGTGGGGTCCCCCAGGGCCCAGCTCCGGACTCGGCTCTGGGCCGCCCGCGGTGGGTGACGCAGCCCAGGTGGACGGAGGGCATTGCCCACCCCACCGCCAGCATCCTGCCGGCTGGCCACGCACCAGGCCTGGGGCCCCTCCCCCAGGGCGGCCCTGACCTCCTGTGCCATGAGCGCCCGCAGCCCCAGCCCCAGGGCCTGGGCTGGACACGCCGCAGCCGGCCAGCGGGGAGCAGGCGCATGGGAGGGCACAGCCAGAGGCTGGACCTGGCCGGGGACCCTGCCGTCGTGACAGGAGGACGGGCCCGCCCACTGCTGCCGGCCACATGGCCACACGATCGGCCTGCACCCGTCACCGGCCAGGCCGGGCAAAGCGTCACGGATGCGACACGGCCATTGAGACGAGGCGCCGTGGCCCAGCTGGCCAGGGCGCCTGCTCCAGGCACCGCTGTTCCGAGGAGACCCCGGCGGGCCCCGCGCACTCCTGGCAGGTGGGCAAGCTGGCCTCGGGGCCGGCAGCTCCAGAAGTCCGGGGGGTCCCACATCACAGACAGCACTGAGCGTGCTGGTCCAGGCCCCGCGGGGCCGCTGCAGCCAGGCGTCCACACCGGCCTGTCCACACAGGCGTCACTGCTCCCTGCCCTCCCACCCAATGGCCAGCACAGCAGCCTGGGGCGTAGGACAGCGAGCCGTGTCCAGCTCTGCCGCATCTGGTCAACCTGGTCTAAGACCCCAGCTGCTTGACAGTGTCCAGCCTGGCGGGCAGAGATCCTGGCTGGAGAAAGAGCCAGCCGCGGCCTCAGTGACCAGCTGGCCAGAGGCCTCCCTGCAGTGGGGTCTGCGAGCCTCCTGGACCCCGGCCCTCAGAACCCGCCCCGGGCGGCACCGGGTCTTACCTGCGCGCCCCGGGAGTAGGACCTGAAGATGGTGCAGAACCGGCCCTGACCCGACGTGTCCCTGGAACACAGGGTGGTGAGGCCACGGCAGGCCCTGCAGTGCAGCCGGCTGTCCACCCGCCGTGCCCGGCCAGCCGGGGGTCCCTGCCAGGGTGCAGACCGGCCCGCAGGCCGGGTCTTGGCCCTGAGTCTCGGGGTGCTTCCTAAGGAGAGGCCCAGTAGGGGCGCGGGGGAGGACGTGGCCGCCCTGGAGGACCCCGAGCGCTAGGCCTGAGCGGTGACCCCAGGCCGCAGCCCCGCCCGCCCGCTCACCAGAGCTCCAGCTTGACCCGCCGGCCGTCCAGCAGGATGGTGGTGGTCTTGTAGTCGATGCCTGCAGGAAGCAGCGGCGCTGAGCCTATTCCCCGGCCCGGCAGCTGCAGCTCTTGGACCCTCCCGCAGTCCCGGGGCTCCCAGGCTCGCCGCGCCCTGCAGCCGGGCGCCGAGGAGGGGAGGGGGGGGCCTGCCTGCCGCCTCCCCAGGCTTTGCCTTTCCCGCCGAAGAGTTTTCCGGAGACACCGGGTGGGGCCACGGCCGCCCGCCTCGGGGCCCCTGCTGCCGAGGGCCGCACAGCTGGGCCGACCGGGCGGTGGGGGGAGCCCGTATCTGGGCCGAGGGCCGGGCTGGGAGCGACGCCCCCTGCAGGACGCCCTGCGCCACCCCCCGACTGCGCGGGGCAGGCCCCGGGAGCTCCCCGCCACCACACACCGTCCTTTGGCCTTCAGGCCCGCGCACGCAGCTCTGCTGACCCCGGAAGCCCACAGCGCCGCACAGCAGGTGAAGCCGGCGGGCGGCCGGGAGCCTCAGGGGAGAGCCAGGCCCGGCGCGGGGTGGTGCGCAGACACCCCACACCGACCCCCATGGCAGCGTCAGGCGGAACTCAGGAGCCGGGCCCCGCTCAGGCCAGGAGACGGCGGCAGGCCCGCACCGCGGCGGGCAGCGCCCCCGGCCCAGTCCTCACCTCGCAGGGCCCACCCGCCTGCCCAGGGGACCCCCAGGAAGGAGGACACCAGGGCCCCTCCTGGCAGAAACTGCGTGGCCGCAGCGCAGGGGTGACCGGCTGACCGGGCCCGCCCTGGCCCCGGCGGCTCCCACAACACGGACAGCCGGCGGAGCAGAGGGAACGGGCCGCACCCCCAGCCCCGCCACCCGCGCCCCTTCTGTGGGAGCTATGCGGACCCAGAGGCGCAGAGGCCGGAGGAGGCAGGGCAGGACCTCACCGCCCTCGAGGGGCTGCGGGCGCCGCGAGGGGAGCAGGCTGGCGGGACCTGGGCGCAGGCCCCGGAAGCCACCCAGATGCACGTGCCGCCGGAGAGAAGCTCCCAGGCCCGTGGCCGCCCCTGCGGGAGGAGCCCGCCCCGAGGCTGGGGGCGCCTGCTCAGGGCCCGGCCTAGGTCTGAACACGCGGCGGGGACGCGCACCTTACGCGGGCCGCCCTCCCCCGCAGGCCTCCCCCGGCCGCCCAGTGGGGTCGCGGCGCCAGCCTGGCAGTGGGACTCCCATCAGCCCAGGCTCCCAGGGCTCCCGGCGGGTGGCCAGGCCGCGCCCCCAGGGCAAGGCCGCGTCCAGGATGGCCGGCCCCCTCCTCACCCGGCCGACCTCTGGGAGGGCCTCGCGCACCTGCTGGGCAGGCACAGACCCTCTGCACAGGGGGCCGGCCCCTGCTTCTCGCTGCCTCCCAGCAGCCCCAGTGCGCGGTGCCCTGGCAGTGCCCAGGCGGTGCCCGGTCCGTCCAACCGCCTGCGGGTGTGAAGGGCAGGGCAGGGCGTCCGCGCCCTCGGCGCCCAGAGCCGTCCAACAGGGCGGGCGAGCTGGTGGGGCAGCCAGGGAGGGTGTGGCCACCCCACCCGTCTCTGGGGCACCTGGAGTCGAGTGGGACAGGGGGCGGGCTCAGGCACGTGTTGGGCCCAGCTGCAGCGGGTGGCAGCGGCATCGGGCTGGGCACGGGCTCTTTCCTCCGCGAGGGGCGGGAGCCTCAGTGCAGAGCCCTGGGCAGCAGCCTGCCCACGGGACCCTGCGTGGCTCCTGCCGGCCTCTGGCTCTGGAAGGTCCCCAGGACCTCAAGGGGCGCAGCCACCTGAGGTTCCAGGCCCAGCGGCTTGAGATGGCGAGAAAGGCACAGCCCCTGGCACTCAGGCCGGGGGACACTGGACCCCCGGGGCTGCACCTTGGGGTCTAGTGGGTTGCTGGTGGGGTCTGTTAGGGGCCTGGTTGGGGCCTCTAATCTGGGGGGATCTGGCAAGAGTCTAACCAGAGGACTGGGGAGCCTGGGCTTTTGGTGGCACATGTGGGGTCTGGCTAGGGGCTCTGACGAGCATCTGGCCCTGGCAAGGGGCTTGGGGGGTGGGGGGGCACTGGGTGCTGGAGAGCTGGAGGGTGGGGGGGCCTGGGGGCTAGGGGGTAGGGGGGCTGGAAACCTGGGGAGCAGGGGGGGTGGGGGCCGGGGTCGAAGGGGCTTGGAGGCCTGGGGGTCTGGGGTGTTGGAGACCCGGGGGTGGGGGCCAGGGTCGAGGAGGGCGCGGGCAGGGGGGTGGGGGTCGGGATCGAGGGGGTCACGGGCCCGGGGTGGGGGCGCAGGCCGGGGCCGGGGGCGCGGGCCAGGATCGAGGGGGGTCCCGGGCCCGGGGGTGGGGGCCGGGGTCGAGGGGGGCGCGGGCCCTGGGGTGGGGGCGCGGGCCGGGGCCGGGGGTGGGGGCCGGGATCGAGGGGGGTCATGGGCCCGGGGGTGGGGGCGCGGGCCGGGATCGAGGGGGGTCCCGGGCCGGGGGTGGGGGCCGGGGTCGAGGGGGGCGCGGGCCCGGGGGTGGGGGCGCGGGCCGGGGGTGGGGGCCGGGGTCGAGGGGGGCGCGGGCCCGGGGGTGGGGGCGCGGGCCGGGGCGCTCACCGTTGCTGTAGGCGTACGGGGACTCGGCCGCGCCGTCCTGCAGGCTCTCCAGGATCTCGCCCTTGCCCACGTCGCTGTCGCCCACGAGCAGGAACTTGAGCAGGTAGTCGTAGCTCTTGACCGGGCTGCCCTGCGTCCCCATGGCTCAGGCGCGCGGGCCGCGCCGCATGCCCCCGGCGGGAGGCCCCCGCGCTCGGGCCGCGCCCCGGGCCGCCTCGGGCGACGGCCGGCCGCCCCGCGACGCCTCGCCCGCGCCCCGGCGCCCGCGCCCGCGCCGCCCCGGCCTCGCCTCGGCGCCGCCGCCCCGCTTCCCGCACGGCGCCCGCGCCCCGCCCCCGGCGCGCGCGCCGCCATTGGCCGCCCGCCGCCGGCCCGCCCGGCCCATTGGGCCGGACGCACGTCCGTCGCGGCCGCCCCGCCCCGCCGCTGCCCACGCAGCGCCGCGCAGCCCGGGCCGCCCGCCCCGCCCCCTCGCCGTCGCCATTGGCGGCCCGTGGGCCCTTTCCTACGGCTATTGGCCAGGGCGCACGCCCGTCACGACGGCCCCGCCCCCAGTTTCCCACACAGCGGTCCGGACGCCTCTCCACCGTCGCCATTGGCTACTCGCGTCCAGCGCAGCCACTGGCCGGCCTGCACGTCCATCAGCGCAGCCACCTCCCGCCTCTTCCCGCGGTGCCTCGCGTCACCGGCGATCCCGCCCACCGCTCGGCAGCGCTCAGGAGCGCCCGCCCCTCCCCGTCGCCATTGGCCAGCGTTGCGGGCTCTCCCAGAGCCAATGGGCCTTCCGCACGTCTGTCCGCGGCTGCCGTATGCACTCACCAATCAGGCGCTGGTTGCGCAGGTCCCAGGGCGAAGTGACGCGACCGAGGGCGGCCCCAGCCCGGGGGCGTGGCGCCGCCGGTCGCCTGGGAGCCGGGGGCGGGACTTCCGCTGGGGGCGCGGGCGCCGGCTGGGGGGCGGGCGGGCGGCCTGGGCGCGGGTTCCGGGCGGGGTTCCGGGCGGGGAGGGGGAGGGGAGGGGAGGGGAGGGGAGGGGAGGGGAGGGGCGGGGAGGGTCGCCGCCGGCCGGGTCGGCCCTGCCCTCCGCACCGCGCGCCGGCCCAGCGCCCTCGCGCGGCAGGCCGGGTGCGGCGCGCGGGGCCGACGGCGGCCGGGGCCGGCGGTCCCGGAGACCGCGGTCCGCCGCGCCCGGCGCAGTTCCGAGGCCCGCCCGGCCGGCGCCCGCGGCCACGGCTCTGCTGGCCGGGCCGGGCGGCCCTGAGCACCCTCGGGTGGGCGACGGCGGCGCCGGGCGCCCAGGCCCGCGCCGCGTCTGGGGAGGGGCCGCCGCCAGGGCGGCCGCGCGGAGTGGCGGGCGGGGGCCGGGCCGCCGCCGCGGCGCGGGGGCCGAGGCGAGGGTGGGTGTTGTCGTCCCCCGGGACGCCCCCGCCCTCCCCGCCGCCCCCCAGCCCTGCCCGCTGAGACGGCGGCCCCTTGAGGCTGAGGCCCTGCCCCCGGGGGTGCTGGGGGATGCCCAGCCCCTCCGGCGTCCCACGGGCCGATGCAGCCCGCCGGGGCCAGGGCCGAGGCCGGTGCTCTCCCGCCTGCCCGTGCGGGGCCTGGTTCCGAGGACAGCAGCTTGGCGCGCGCCCGCGCGGCCAGGGGTCGGGCCCTGGTGAGCGCCCGCAGAGGCGGCCGTCCCTGTGCCAAGGACAAAGGGCCAGGAGGACGGGAGAGGCCGGTGTGCAGGTGGCGCTTCCTGGAGGCGGAGGGACCCGGGCCCGTGGGCCCCACCGACGGGCCAGGCAGGGTCTGAGGAGGCAGATGAGGGCTGAGTAGGCTGCCCAGGCTGGTGACCCCAGGAGCGCGGAAGAAGGAAGCTGTTCCCAGGGGTGACCCTGGGGGCCCCGGCCGGCTCCGAGCGCCCCTGGTGAAGGCTGGAGCCTTGGAGCTGCTGAGGGCTTCCCGGCTCCGGGAGGCCCTGACTGCAGGGGACGACTCAGCCAGAGGCGTTCCCCGCCCCCGCCCCATCCCCTAGGCCAGAGCCCGGCCAATGCGCCCACTCACAGGGGATGCCCGGGTGCCTGGGGCTGCCCCAGCAGGAGACATCGTGTGGCTGAGGGCACCGGCTGGAGAGGCGGCTGCAGGCCCCAGACCCAGGACGACGCGCGGCGGCAGAAGCAGAGCCAGGAGCAGCCGGAAGAACACGGAGCTTTATTGTCCCGGCAGAAGCAGGACTTGCCCCACCACCACCCGATGGAGACTCCCCAGGGCCCCGTGGCCACGGCCAAGAGCCTGGGCCGGGGGAGGGCACACAGAGCGCCCACAGCGGGCCTGCAGAGAGCACCGTGGGTGCCGAGCGCCACGCAAACTGCCGCCCCACAGCCCCCTGCCGCCAGGGCCGCAGCCGTCGGCAGACACCTGTGCTTGGCACAGGTGGGTGGAGACCTGCCAAGGGTCTCCCTGTGGGGGCTCTGGTCAAAATTGGGGCAGCCCTGGGGCCCACATGACCCCGAGCCCAGGCATCCCTAAAGCCTTGGACAGCCCGTCATGCAAAGCCTCCCGGGAGCAGCGGCCAAGTTCTGGGCAGCTCGGCGCACAAGGCTGCTGCCACCACTCCTGGAGGGGCTGGGGCCAGGCAGGCTAGGTCTGAAGAGAGCCCCCTGGGGAGAGGAGCAGTGCATTCTGGGGACCGGCATCCCCACTCCAGACAGCAGATACACAGGCCGTACCGGGGGGCAGGCCAGGGTGGAGTCCCTGGGCAGGCCTGGGGGCTAGTGGGCCTTGAGCTGACGGTGTGATCATCCCCACTGGAGGGCAGGGCGTGGCTGAAAGAAGCCACACTGGACTCTGGTCAGGCTGGCCAGCCAGGCCTTGGCATGGGGCAGCTCCGGGGGTCACCCAGCAGATGGGTGTGGGTGTGGCGGGCCCCTCAGTCCTGCTTGTCCCCTCTCTGCCTCCAGGGGTAGATGAGCTCCCCGAAGAACAGCTTGCGGCACAGGACACCCCAGGAGTGCTGGGGGGAGCAGCCGGAGCGGGGCAGGCGGTAGGCGTGTGCCACACGGGCATAGGGCAGGGGGTTGATCTGGGAACACAGCTGGGGTCAGTGGCACGGTCACCTCCTGGGCTCCCTACCCACTGGTCGGCGGAGGGGCAGGCCGCTTGTGGCAGCACCAGCATGCAGCTACCCACGCACCCTCCGTGGGCCACCCAGTCAGTGCCATGAAGGAGCCCACATGAGCAGGGCCGAGTTCCTCTGCGGGGAACAGCAGCCAGCTGGGGCCGCTAGGGGCAGATGTAGGCCTGGGGTTGAGCACCTCCCTCCCGCCAGCCCACGGAGGCCCCCCCCCCAGGGTGCCAGAGGCTGGTCCCGAGGTGAGGGCGAGCTAGGCCTCACCTGCATCAGGAGCCGCAGAGGCCCGCCAGCCTCATGCGCCAGGACACGGAACTTCACGCCAGCTGCAGGGGCAGGCATGGGGGTGGCGTGAGGGTGGGGAGCCCCCCTCTGCCCAGAGCAGCAGCCAACCCCACAGCCCCCGACAGGGGTCTTCCCGGGACCCCTACGAGGGGCCTGCTGCCCGGCTGGCATCTGTGTGAGGCCAACCCAGGACCCACAGCACCCTGGGGGGTTCCAAAGCCACAGTCCTTGAGAAGCAGCAGGAGCTAATGACCAGCTGACCAGGAGACCCTAGGCCAGCGGGGTAGAGGCCGTGAGCCACCAGCCCACAGCCTCCAGTGTGGACCCTGGGGCTCTGGGTGCCCGGGCGGCAGACAGACATAAGTGCCTGACCCTTGGGAGCTCTAGTGCCCACGGCTGGCCAGGGGCTGTGCCAGGAACCCCGCAAGTTCCCCGACCGTCCAAGTCTCTGGGAGGGGTGGTTCCTGAGCTCACAACCGGCAGGGCAGGCTCCCTGGGGGCTCAGGCCAGACACAGCCGGGGCCTGCAGAGGGACGGCGGGTTGGGGTGTGGCCTGTCCGGAGGCATCCCTGTCCCATAGGTCTGGCTGGCGCAAGCCCCCTCCAGCCTGTCCCCCAGGGCTGAAGGCCAGTGGCAGGTGCTGCCCCAGGCTGCGGGGAGGCATCTTCCCCAGCCTCCTGGCGCTCACGCAGGGTGCCCCACCCCTGCGGCTTCCGGGCGGGAGGCGCATGTCCACACATGTCCACACCTACCCGCGAGCCGGTAGGGCCGGCAGAGACGGAGGCCGAGCGAGTACAGCGGCAGGGAGTTGACCAGGTCCACGAGCAGGTGGGTCAGGCCCTGCGCAGTGACCACCAGGAGCCGGAGCTGCAGACACGGGGGCTGGAGCCGCGAACGCACGCCCGCCGGCCAGGGGCGGCCAGCACGCCCACGCCGCAGGCCTTGGCGCCGGGCAGGGGGCCGCTGCCAGGCCAGGGGGCCGGCGCCCACCCGGGGGAGCTCCGCCTGCTGTCCTCGGCACATCCCACCCTGGCCAGGAACCCCGCGGTGCGCCCCGCTCTCGGGCACGCAGCTGCCCACGGGGCTGGCGGCCGGCACCGGGCAGCCCGCGGCTCACAGGCGGGCCTGGGGCCCCCAGCCCGGAGGCCGAGGCCGCGGGCGCGCTCACCAGGGTGAACACCAGGTAGTACAGGGCCGTGGTGGGCAGCAGGAAGACCAGGATGGTGAAGAGCAGCGTCCCGATGAACAGCTGCGGGCCGGGCGCGCGTGAGCCGGGCGGCCGCCGCGGGGCCCTCCCGCCCGGGGCCCCGCACCCCACCCAGGGTCCGCTCGGCCCCGTCGCGCCTCGGGGCTCCGGCAGGGCCGGGGTGCGGGGTCACACCTGGTCGAGGTCGTAGGAGCAGGAGTCGACCCGCTGGCGAAGGACGTTCCACTTTTTCCCGCGGAACAGGCGCCACAGGGAGGACAGGCCGCAGACCTTCAGGCGGTACAGCCTGCGGGGGGGGGGGGGGGGGGGGGGGGCGCGCTCAGCCCTGCCCCGGCCCGGCCCTCCGGCCCCCCCCCCCGCGCCCCCGCCCGCCCCCGCCCCGGCGCACCGGGCCCCGTAGACATAGAAGCAGTAGATGTGGAAGGTGAGCAGGGCCGCGATGTCCGACAGCAGGGACAGGGCCACCGTCAGGCCCAGGCAGGCGGACAGGCCCACGTGCCACAGGATGCGCTCGATGAAGGGCGACATGAGGTGGATGTAGCCTGGCGGGAGGGGGCGGCTGAGGGGGGCGCGCCGGCCAGCCCGGTACCGGGCTCTGCAGGCCGCGCCGGGCCCCCGGCCCCCGGGCCGCACTCACTGATCCACAGGTGGATGTGGTACAGGAAGAAGCGGCCCAGCACCTGGTCCAGCGCCCGGTTCATCTTGAGCCCGGCCGGCGCGCCCATCAGCCACTGCAGAAGGTGCTGCAGCTCCTCGGCCACGTGCTGCGAGGGCAGGGGCGCGGGGGCGCGGGCTGCAGCGCGAGCAGGGGGGCCGGCCCCTCCTCCCGCAGCAGGCACCCCCGGAAGGCCGCCCGGCGCCCACAGCTCCGACCACCAAGGACAGTGCTCCGTCCTTCCCGCTGGACCCGCAACTCCCCAGACCCGGCACCGGCTGGCACCAGGCCCACCCGCCTCGTTTGCCAAGGCATCCTCTGCTCGCGGGGGCAGGAGGGTTTCCAGCCCACACGCCCAGGAGCAGTCGAAGGGCTGCGGGTCCCCAACAGGATGGGTGCAGTTGAGGGGACCAGCAGCCGCGCGAGCTTGGCAGGAGGAAGCGGCTCCTCTAATTCAGCACTGGCCCTCTTGAGCAGTTCTGGGGCAGCCACTCCCCTTTTGGGCCCCAGGCCCACTGACCAGACCCCCCAGAAGCTGCAGGACGCTTGCCCAGAGCGGCTGGACCCTGATGCTGGGAAGGAGGGAGCCCACAGGAGTGACAGCCACCCGGGCTGAGAGGGAGACACTGCAGAAGCCCACGGGGTGGCCGCAGAGGCCCGCGGAGTGAGCCACGCAGAGGCCGGCCGAGCACACAGCCAGGCCCACGGAGGATGCCCTGTCCTCGCCGTGCAGGCCCAGCACGCCACCTGAGCAGGGGCAGGTCACGCGCAGTTGGGCGCCCAAGGCGTGACCTGGGCCTCCAAATGCTCAAGCGCCAGGTTGCCCCAATGCAGTTGCCAGCGAGCCAGGAAAGGGAGACTGGGCGCGGGACCCGGTCAGGGTGGGCGGCAAGCGCCCCGGGCCCAGGAGGTCAGCCCTGACCCGGGAGTGGAAGCTGAGTCCAGCCAGGCCCCTGCTCACATCAGCCGCGGGCACGAGGGCGTCGGCCAGCTGTCCCAGGCGGTCCTTCCTGTGCAGCCAGGACAGCAGCGCCAGGCCCAGGGCCACGTCCAGCAGCACGGAGACGAGCGCGTTGGCCTTCCTGCGAGAGGGGGTTGTGTGGTGAGGCAGGCTGGGGTGGGGGTGGGGGCCGGGTGGGCCAGGGCAGGGGCCACACCTCATCCGCTGGGCGGGGTCCTCGGCTCTCTGGGTGCTGAAGACCAGCCTGAGGTGCTCCAGCCGGTGCCCCAGCTGCTCGCAGGTAGACAGCTTGCTCCAGATGAAGGACAGCGGCCACGCCCAGAACACGCTGCGGGGCGGAGGAGCATGAGCCACCACGGGAGCCCCCAGCCGGCACCCCACAGCACCAGGCAGGCTGCCAACTCCTCAAGGCACACGCCAGTCTGTGCTGGTGGCCGCAGGCGGGCGGCCAGACGAGTGACCTGCCTGGAGGGCCCCCGCGGACCAGCTGCCCAGCGGGCCCGGAATTCTCAAGGCAAAGGGCCGGCAGGGAGCCGTGTGGGAAGGGGGCTGAGTCACCAGCCCACTGACCCAGAGCCCCGGGGCACCGCGCCAGCTCAGGGCTCAGCTGCTGCCGTCAGCCGGTTCCAAGAAGGCAAGCCCTCCCGGGGAGGCCATAGCACCTGTCACGCTGCCAGCCAGGGACCAGCGCCTGACCCTGGGCTGAGCAGTGTTTGGGGCATGAGGGAGGTCCCTGGCCTCACACGTGGCCTTCGAAGGCTGATGAGAGCCCGCCCAGCACCTTCTCTCCCCGAATGTCGCCTTCCTGTAGGCGGACCAGGCTCCAAGCCCGCCATGTGCCCAGATCCCGGAGCCCCACAGTAGCCTGTCCACACTCGGCTGCCAGGGTGCAGCCAGAGGCACAGTAGGCCCAGGGCTGGGGAGCTGACCTGGCCTGGTCCTCCCTACTGACAATAGATAGTTCACCCAGGAAAAGTCTTCCCTGCGGCCCAAGCCCCCAGCCCCCGTGCCCCTCAGGGCCCCTGGGCCAGGCCCCCGACCCCCTGGAACCCACCCTCCTGGCCCTCAGACCCCCAGCAGGAGAGCTACAGGTGGTTTTGGCCAGCAGGCTGCAGGGCCTAGAGGCCCACAGGGGCCTGGGGCCTGTGAGCCTCAAGGAGACAATGACCCAGACTGGGAAACACCGCTGGGCCGTCACAGGCCTGTCTCCTTAGGCTCACTGCACCCCTGCTCAGCTGGCCCGGGCCACCACAGAGGCTGCTGGGAATCAGCGGTCACTGCCAGAGGGAGCAGGGGACAGGAGCAGGGTGCAGGACCCCTGGGTCTCATGCCCCTGTACCCTGAGGGCTGAGCCCAGGGCAGCAGGACCCACCTCCCGCCTGGCCCTGGGACACCCACCGGCAGGCGCTGGCGGCAGACACAAGGGACAGCAGGCTGGTGAGCAGCAGACAGACGGGCCCCGAGGCCCGCTTGGCCAGCTCCACAAGAATGCTGGCCTCCACGCCCTCAGACTGCCAGTGGCTCAGCCGCACGGGGCCCTCGGTGAACCGGTCACTTCGGAAGAGCACCTCGCCACGGGCCACGGTGTCGAAGACAGCGGCCAGGCTCCCCGCACTGGCCGTGGCATCGCCAGCCTGGTGGTCAGGCAGTGCCGCGGGCGGGTGGAGCTGGGTGAGCAGCACCTTGCGCTGGTCATAGAAGACCAGCATGACCTGGGGGTCGCTGGGGGTGGCGGGGCCCTGCCCACGGGTGGCCTTGCAGCTCCAGCGCTGGCTGTCCCTCTCCCGACACAGCTGCAGCCAAGGCTGGTGCGGGAAGATGGCGCCCAGGCCCTCCAGAAAAGGGCCCAGGCTCTCCTCCGGGCCTGCCGGCGGTGGCACCAGGTGCCCAGCACGGCCACGCTCACCCGACCGGCCTGCTGTGCGCGGGCCAGCAGCGCCTTGAGCTGGACGGGGATGAGCGGGAAGTGGGCCACCGCCAGCACCACGGCGCTGCTCTGCTCCGGCACCCACCGGCCCACCAGCAGGCCGCTGTCCGCTGCAGCGCAGCACGTGGGGAAGAAGGCCTTGAGCACCATGCCGGACACGCTGCAAGAGAAGCCTGGGTCAGGGCGGGTGCTGAGGCCGTGGGACCTGCAGGCGGGGGCAGGCGCTAGGTTGGAAGCCCCCACGCGCCCGAAGAAGCTCTCAGACCGCTGTGCTGACCAGCTGAGGAGCTCTGTGGCTGACTGCACCTCGCCCATGGGGCCTTGCGTGCGCCCTCCCTTCAGGGCCCCTCTTCTCCCTGCCCCGGCCTCTCTGCCTGCACCAGGCCCAACTTCTGTGGACTGAGGTTGGCTGGGCGCAGTGGACCCGTGGGGTGTGATCTCCCCAGCAGGGGCCCCCAGTCTTGTGCCAGGGGCCTGCTCAGAACCACCAGGGGATGCCAGCACTGGCAGGGACTGGGCACGGGGCGCCCTCCTGACCCCGGCCCTGCACTTGTCACGTGCCACCTGAGTGGCCACCAGGAGCTGAGGCCCCAGCTGGAGCCCGCCTGAGAGAGGGGCCTCCTGGGAGCTCAGCAGGCCCAGGGGGCAGGGATGGAGAGGGACGCCCCTGCCCAGGGCAGCTGCTGCCCTCCGCAGGCAGTGCAGCCCAGCCGGGGCCTGGGGCTGGACCTGCCCCAGTGGCCTGAAAAGGGCCGCTCCGCCGGGTGGCAGAAGGGACCCAAAGCCCCTCTCCCCAGGGGCCTGAGAGGGCGTGAGTGAGGCGCCCCAAGCAGAGGCAGCCCAGCTGGGCCAGCCCTGATTGGCATCAAGGCCACCTCCTGCCACCGCCTCCCCGGCGCTGAGAGGGCCCTGCCGGGCAGCATGTGGACAGAGCCGAGCTGCCCGGGAGGGACCACCGGCCACCCCTCATCCAGGCCACCCCCACCCCTGCTGGGGGCACCCTCCCGAGCCAGGACGGCCAAGCAGGGCGGCAAGAGGCGTGGCGCTGCCGCGGGGGCGGGGGCGGCCTTCCCTGAGCGCGCGGGGCGGGGGGCGGCGCCCAGCCCCACGCCCGCCTCCCCTGGGAGCGGGGGCCCGAGGCCGGCTCGCCCGCCAGGCTGCGGCGGGGCCGGCAGGGACGCGGGCGGCGGGTCCATACCAGGCGGGCGGGAGGGCGCGGGCGGCTCGTGCGTCTTGAAGGCGCCGCGCGGGGAGGCGGCGGGGGCGGCCGGGCGGGGCGTGAGCCGCGCTGGAGCCTCGGTCCACGGGCGCGGGCGGGGCCGCCCCGCGACGCCCCCAGCAGACCCCGCGCCCGCGCCGTCCGGGCTCCGGCAACCGCGGGCGTGCGGGCCCCGGGGCGGCCCCCCGCGCCCACGGCCCCGCGCCCACGGCCCCCCGCGCCCACGGCCCCCCGCGCCCACGGGCCCCCCGCGCCCACGGCCCCCCGCCCACGGCCCGGCCCACGGCCCCGCCCCCCCGCGCCCACGGCCCGGCCCCCCCCCGCGCCCACGGCCCCCCGCGCCCACGGCCCCCCGCCCCGCCCCCGCGCCCCCCCCCCGCGCCCACGGCCCCCCCGCGCCCACGGCCCCCGCGCCCACGGCCCCCCCGCGCCCACGGCCCCCCGCGCCCACGGCCCCCCCGCCCACGGCCCCCCGCGCCACGGCCCCCCCGCGCCCACGGCCCCCGCCGCGCGCCACGGCCCCCGCGCCCACGGCCCCCCGGCCCACGGCCCGCCCCACGGCCCCCCCGCCACGGCCCCCCGCGCCCACGGCCCCGCGCCCACGGCCCCCCGCCCACGGCCCCCCGCGCCCACGGCCCGCCCACGGCCCCCGCGCCCACGGCCCCCCGCGCCCACGGCCCCCCGCGCCCACGGCCCCCCGCGCCCACGGCCCCCGCGCCCACGGCCCCCGCGCCCACGGCCCCCCGCGCCCACGGCCCCCCCCGCGCCCACGGCCCCCCGCGCCCACGGCCCCCCCGCGCCCCCCGGCCCCCCCCGCGCCCACGGCCCCCCCGCGCCCACGGCCCCCCGCGCCCACGGCCCCCGCCCACGCCCCCCCGCGCCACGGCCCCCCCGCGCCCACGGCCCCCCCGCGCCCACGGCCCCCCGCGCCCACGGCCCCCCCGCGCCCACGGCCCCCCGCGCCCACGGCCCCCCGCGGCCCCCGCGCCCACGGCCCCCCCGCGCCCACGGCCCCCCCGCGCCCACGGCCCCCCGCGCCCACGGCCCCCCGCGCCCACGGCCCCCCGCGCCCACGGCCCCCCGCGCCCACGGCCCCCCCGCGCCCACGGCCCCCCGCGCCCACGGCCCCCCGCGCCCACGGCCCCCCCGCGCCCACGGCCCCCCCGCGCCCACGGCCCCCCCCGCGCCCACGGCCCCCCGCGCCCACGGCCCCCGCCGCCCACGGCCCCCCGCGCCCACGGCCCCCCGCGCCCACGGCCCCCCGCGCCCACGGCCCCCCCGCGCCCACGGCCCCCGCGCCCGCGGCCCCCCGCGCCCGCCCCCGCCCCAGGCCTCCGCCCTGCCCGCAAGGTCACGCGCGAGCGCCGCCCGCCGCTTACCGGGTGCGCCCCGGGGCCGCGCCCTTGGCGGCGGGGCGGGCCGGGCTGCGGGGCCGCCGCGGCGGGCGGGCGCGGGCGGACCTCGGCGCTCAGGCCCCAGCCCCGGGGCAGCCGCGCGCGGGACACGAGCCCCACTTCCGCCGGCGCCGCGCGTTGCCGCGCGACGGTCCGCCCCCAGAGGCGCCGGGCTGCCCCCGGCCCCGCCCGAGCGTTCCGCGCACGGAACGTTCCGCCCGGCCGGGAGGCGCGCGGCCCTCTGGGGTCTCCAGCTCTCCCCGCGGCGCCGCGCCCGCCTGCAGCCTTTCCCCGCCAGCGTCCCGTCCCCTCCGCCCCACGCGCAGCCCCCTGCGCTGCCTGCCAGCCGCGTCTCGGTTCCCCTCCAGCTCCCTGGCAGCGTCCCCGCGCCTGCCCTCTGGGCCCCCGCGCCCCCGTCCCCCAGTTCCTGCTCGAGGGGCCCAGCCGGCCAGCTTTGGGGCGTGCAGATGTCGCCTGCCCCGCCCGCCCAGGCCTGCAAGGGTCCCCAGAAAGAGCCCCTGCCACACTGGTCTCTGCCTGGGGGCGCTGAGCTCCCCAGGCCCCGCGGGCAGAGGTAGGGGCCCCCCTCCTGCCCAGGAACAGAAGCCCCCCACTTGCATTGACCATCTGCTGCGCACGTGCCCCTGCGGGCAGGACGGGACGCGGGCCCTCGGGGACCGCAGGCAGCGACACCCCTGCACCCCACGCAGCCCCCAGCCTCAGCTCAGCAGCCCCCGGGGCAGGCGCTCCTGGACTCGGAGCTGCGCGGCGACGCCCAGCAGAGGAGGAAACCAGGGCAGGGAGACGGCGCGAGGGGCGGCTGAGCCTGCGCCCACCACAGCCACCAGCCCCTCTGCTGCCCCTTACCTCCGCAGGGCCCAGAGCAGCCGCTGGACACTGGCGCCTTGGAGCCCCTGAGGATGAACACTGAGGGCCACGCCCGCCTGCCCGGCCGGCCTCGCCCACCTGCCCGCCTCAGATTAGGAGGCTGGGCTGGGCCCTGGGAGACCCTGCCCTGCCGCCTCCTGGCCCCTGAGCCTGCAGGCCAGCCCTGAGTGGATGTGGGTCGGTGAGCGCCAGGCACACTGTGCTTGGCGGTGGGGGGCACAGGCCCGCGGCCCCCACCCAGACCACACCTTCCGTGTGGGCCCCCCAGGGGCAGCTCCAGGCCCCTCAGGCCAGCCCCGAGTGGTACTGGAACAGCTTGATGTGGCCGTCCCCTGCGTCTGCCACCACCAGCCGGCCCTGGGGCGCACAGGCCACACCCAAGGGCCGCCCCAAGCCCTGGGAGACCAGGCAGACAGGGGGCCCCACCCGGGGGAACAGGGTCACCCGGCGGCGCTGCTTGTCGGCCACAACGATGCTGCCCGCCGCATCCGTGGACACGCCTGCCGGACAGCCGAACGCATGGCCCCGTGGGCGCCCCAGGGAGCCCAGCGACTGGCCGGCACTGCCAAACAGCCGCACGTCCCCACACTCTTCGCTCACGGCCAAGCCTCCGTCGGGCCCCGGGCCCACCCAGCAGGGCCCCTGCAGACCCAGCACAGAGGCCAGGCCTCGGGGCTCCAGGCCGGGGTCCAGGGTGAACATGTGCACGGCCCCGGCCACGTAGTCCGTCACCAGGACGCGGCCCAGGGCATCCACGGCCAGCCCCCGGGGGGCCTGGAAGGTGCCCACTGTCACCCAGCGGCCTTGGGGGGCCCGGGTAGTGTACTGGAGCGCGTGGACGGCCCCGTGGACCAGGTCGCTGACCACCACAAGCCCAGAAGCTGTCACGGCCACATCCTCTGGCACGAAGGCCCCAGCCCCCGGCACGGAGCAGGGCAAGCGGCAGACAGCGCGGCCCTCCAGGTCCAGCACGTGGACGCAGGGTGCGGCCCCAGCTGTCAGGTAGAGCAGGCCATCTGGGGAGCAGTGCAGGCCCCGGGGCCCCCCTGCAGCCCCCGCGGGTGCTGGGATCTGCCCGAGCAGCCGGAGCCTCAGGGAGCCAGCGGGGTCTCCAGGCAGGGCCAGCGTGGGGTGTGGGCCTCGTGGCAGCTGGTTGGTGCGGGGCGGTGCGGGAGCCCAGGGGTCAGGCAGGCGGTGTGGGACCCGGGATCCCTCAGTGGGCCGGCAGCGGGGCCCCCTGTCCAGCCCTCCTTGCCCTTCCGGGCGCTGCTGGCATCCTGCAGGCGGGCGGCAGGACTGGAGCTCGGTCCGGCGTCTCAGCCGCGGCTCCTGGCTGGGGATTCTGGGGTGTGCAACCCCCGAAGGAGGCTCTCAGGCCAGAAGGAGGCTGACGGGCACAGGTGTCTCTGTTGAGAGTGGGCATGCGCCACAGGTGGGCCGATTCCCAATCCCACCTGCCCACGGAACCCTTCCAGGGGCAGCCCCCACACAGGCCTCAGCCCTGGGAGACGAGAGGGTCCTCCGAGGCCGCCCTCCTGCCCCCGCTGGAGAGGAGCCCCCTACCTGGGCCCGGGCTCCCGCTGGCCGCCAGGCAGCTGCCTCTGTTGTTGGCAACCGGAGCCTGAGGGAGGGGTGGGGCCAGGCAGCCAGGGCCGCAGAGCGGGCAGCGGGCCATGTGGGTCGCTGAGCTGTGACCCCGGGGTGCCCCCGCTCCCATGGCCCCTCCTGGCCCATGCAGCAGCCTCTGCAACACTGTTCCCCTGGTGGCTGGGTCTGGACGCCACTCACACCACTGGGAGGCCCCCAGACCCCCAGGGAGGCCCCCCAGGGAGTCCCCCAACCCCAGGGAGGCCCCCCGCCTCTTGGTGTTACCCAAGGACCAGCTACCCGCAGGTTCGGGCAGGCAGGGTGGAGGAGCCCGGTCCCCGAGCAGGTGCGGGCAGGGCCTGGGGCGGGGCTTCCCCCCAGGGTGACCGCCCAGAGCCAGGGCAGGGCGGGGGGCCATGGGAACTCCCAGTGGGCGGGCGGCCCGACTGGCCCTGTGTCTGCAGCTGTGAGCCGGGTGCTGCCTGGCCAGCCTCCTGCCAAGCGGCCCTGGGAAGTCGTGCGCGACCGCCGGGCTCCCTCAGACTCAGGACGATCCTGGCCCAACCCCTGGCCACCTGGCCAGCTCCCCTGCTGCAGCGGGGCCTCCTGTGGCCTTGAGGGGGGCGGCATGATGCTATCGGGAGCCCGGGCCTGGTTAATGGGGCGCCTCCTGCTGTGGCCGGCAGGGCCCGGCTGGCCGGCCGGGAGCCGGTGCGGGCAGGGAGCACCGCCAGGCCACTCCAGCCGCCCCGCCTCTGGGGGAGGCCAGACGCCGCCCGGCAGGACGCAGTGAGCTGTGAAGGCCACGGAGGCCTGTGGTGCCGCCGGGCCAAGAGGCTGCCGGCCACAGCCCTGGGCCACGGACGCGGGGCGGCGAGCCCCGGGCAGCTGCGGTGTGGTCCCAGACGGGCTGCCTGTGGGGGCCCGGCCCGTGGTCCCCCTCCGCCCGTGCGCACTGCCCCCTCCTGGGGCCCTGCGCCGAGCGCCCGCCCCGCCCTCGCACCCCGGGGAGGCGGTCGGGGTGCAGGGCGGCTGAAGGGGCTGGCGCGGGGGACGGGCCGGCCGGGCCCAAGGGAAGGAGGCGCGCGTGAAGGCAGCGGCTGCTTTAATGTCTCGGCGGCTGCCCAGCCCGGGGCGGGCAGGGGCGGGCAGGGGCGGGCGGGGCGGGCAGGGGCGGCGGGGGGCGGGGCAAGGCCTCAGCCGTTGGCTCCGGGGGGGCTCCGCGGGTCAGGGCCAGCCTCGGGGGTCCAGCCGCCAGGCAGGACAGGCCCCTCGGGGGCCGGGAGCGGGAGGCCCGGGGGCGGGACGCTGGAGTCGGCCTCACACTTGGTGGTGCGTCCGCGAAGGGGCTCCGGCGCCTCGGGGTGCAGCAGGCCAGGCGGCTCAGGGGCCCCCTCTGGCCCCTTTGGGGCTCCGCGCCTCACGGAGAGGTCGAGGGGCGTGTCCGGCGGCCGCGCGGCCAGTTCCAGCGCCTGGTGGATGGAGCGCAGCTCGCGGCGGATCTTGCCCAGCTGCTCCCGCAGGGGACGCGGGGCCGGGCCCCGGGCGGGCCCCAGCTGCCCCAGGCGCTGCTCCAGCCGGGCGTAGTCCCCCAGGGCGCGCGTCAGGTCCTCGCCCACCTGCCCGCGGCCGCCCGGCGCCAGGCCCCGCGGTGGGGGCGGCGCGGAGGCCTCGGGGTCGCCTGGCTCCTCGTCGTCGTCGTCTGGCCAGAGCCTCGCGGGGAGACCGGTCGGCGGGCTGGAGGGCAGGGGCCAGTCAGGGGGGCCGAGGCCTGCCCAACGCCCTTCCCAGCGGCCGGCCGCCCCCCAGGCCCACGGGAGCCCGCGCCCTGGGGTCTTGCCCCCCCCAGGACCACACCCAGTGGCTGGGTCGCCCAGGGGCTGAGTCACCCAGCTGAGGGGCCCCCCAACCCCGCGACGGGGAGCCTCCGCCACCCACCTGCTGTGGAGACCGGGCCTCGCCGCGCTGGCGGGGGGCTTCGGGGGCTGTGACCGGCTTCCCGGGGGCAGCTTCCTCTGGGGGTCGCCCTGGGGAGCCCACTCCAGCGCCCTCTCCTGCCCCGAGTGCCTGGGGGCGCCATGCAGCCAGGGCACCCCCAGCCCGGGGACCAGAGCCCCAGGGAGCCCCTGGGGTGGGGGCTCGGCAGGGCCGGGCGCCGCGGCGGGCAGCCCCAGCGCGCGCTCCAGGAGCAGCGGGTAGTACAGGCCGGGCGGCTGCGGGGCAGGACAGGCGGCGGCCGCGGGCAGCAGGGGGCCCGCGGGGGCCAGAAGGGGCACGTGGGCCGCCAGCGAGGGCCCCAGGCAGGAGAGGAGCCGCGGGCCTGGAGGGTAGCTGGCGCCGAGCAGGGACAGCCGGAGGCCCTGGGCCTCGGGCGCGGCGGCGGGGCCGGGCGGCGGGTAGCAGGGGGCCGCGTCCCCCCTCGGGTCCCCGCCCGGCGCTGGCGTCCAGGGCTGGGCCAGGAGCGCGTCCCGGGGCGCGGGGCGCGGCGCTGCTCGGGCCCCGGCTCTGGGCCGCCGCAGGGCGAGGTCGGGCGGGGAGGCCGCGCCCGGGAGCCCGGCCCCGCGGGGCGGGGCGCGCTCGGGCGTCGGGGCGCGGGGCCCGGGCGCGGCGGGGGCGCGGCGGCGGCAGGCCCAGTCGGGGGCGTCGAGCAGCAGCGAGAGCGAGTCCTTGCACAGGCTGTACTTCATGTGGTTGTACAGGTGCGACTTCTCCAGGCAGGTGAAGGGGCACTGGAAGCACTTGTAGTTGTAGGGCTTGCCCCAGGGCCGCGGGATGTAGTGCGGCTTCTTGGGCTTCCGCGCCCGCGCGCCCGCGCGCGCCTCCTGGGCCATGGCGGGCCAGCGGCGGCCGGGCCGTGGCCACCTGCGGACAGGGGCGGGCTCAGACCCTCTGGCCGACTCCCTGCGCCTCCGCCCGCCCGCTCCGGCCGGGGGGCGGGGCGCCGGGACGCCAGCACCCTGGGACCTCCCGGCCTGCCGGCCGGCCACGCGCACCCCGCCCCTCGCTTCTGCCCGAGCGCTTCTGGCGCCGGCCGCGGCGGCCGCTGAAATGGCACCGGGTGTCCGACTGGGCGAGGATGAAGTCCGACTGGGCGCCCTGTGTTCCGAGGGCTGGCCCTGCACCCGGCCCGGCCCGGCCGCCCCCGCAGAGCCCAGCCCGGCACAGGCGGAGAGCCCGGAGACCCTGCGCGAGCGGCCCTTCCCAGACCCGGTGGGGCGGGCCCAGCCGAGCGGCCGGCAGCGCCGTGCCTGGGGGGCTGCCCGCGCTCTGGGGGCGCTGCGGGTCTCTGAGGGGCTGGGCCTCCCAAGGGACAGCCAGCCTGGGGGCATGGGCGGCACAGCCTGGCCACGGTGCCCCACCTGCTCGGCCTGGCTCCATCTGGGTGGCTTCAGGCAGGTCAGCCGCGGAGCTTGGCCAAGACCCCCTCCCCGCACCACCCCCCCCTCGCTCACAAGCGCTAGGCGCTCCATCTGGGCCACCACCTGGGCCGTGCGCGCCCCAGTGCGCCCGGGCTGGCACGCCTGCGTGTGCCAGGCTCCCGACCCTCGCTCGGCTCCGCAGGGGCAGCGGGCACCATTCTGGCCTCGGATGCCCACACCAGGTTGGACGCGGCCGCTGCAGTGACACCGCCCATCCAGGCCCGGGCCTGTACTCACGCTGTGCCTGTGCCTGTGCCTGTGCCTGTGCCTGCTCCGGGGCGGGAGGGGGACGGGGCGGGGCCGGGCAGCTGGGCAGGGCCCCACTGGCCATCGGGCTCTGCACCCAGCAGGCAGTGGCATCTGCTGCCCCGAGCCCAGGTGAGCGGGCATCGGGGGCAGCTCAGGGGGTGGATGTCAGGGTGCGCAGGGCCAGGCAAGCTCCGCCTTATGGGCTCCAGCCCTGGGGCTCAGGCTGGAAGGAGGGGCCGGGCTCGGGAGAGGCCTGGAGCTCTCTGAGGGCTGCAGACCCTGCCTGGAATCGGGGTGGGGGCTGAGGCAGACCCCACCGTGCCCCGCGCCCAGATGCAGATGACAAATGGGTGTGTGCTCTGGAGACAGAGGCGGCTGCGCGGAGGACATCGATCACCCAGCCCTGGGAGCCGCACAGCTGTGCCGCCTGGTGCCACCGCCCACCCAGTGCCCTGCTGGCCGTTAGACTGGGGGCGCCTCGGGGCCACTGGACTCAGGGGGGCCACCCGCTGTGCTGCAGATCAGCCCCCTGGTGAGGGGATCTTGTCCAGAAGTCATCGCAGCAGCTGCTGACCCCAAGGACACCCAGAGGGTACCCTGATGCCGCCTGGCATACTTGTGCAGAGCAGAAGGCACCCCCAGATACCAGCCTGCACCTCCACCACCCAAAGTCACCTTCCTTCCCACACATGCCCCAATCCGGGACTGAGTGCACGGCCCCGGCAGCCGGCACCCCAGGAGCGGGGCGCCTCTGGGGAACGGCTGGTGGCGGGCCAAGACCGGGACACCCCACCCAAGATGGACAAGAGGACACTCCTGCCCGGGCCACCCAGCAGCCACCCGGGGTCCAGCGCCCCCACCCCCAGGTCCCCTTGGGCTTCGGGGAGCCTCCCACAGGACGTGCGTGGCGTGGCGCAGAGAGAGGGGCCAGGTTCCTCCTTGGCTGAGGCTGCGACCCTAACTCCCCCGCTCCGAGCCGCGCCCAGACGGCCGGTGGCGGTGCGGGCTGGACCCGGGTGGAGGGGCCGGGCCGATCTCCCCGCGCCCAAGAGCCGCCCCCGCGCCCCCAACTCAGCCCGCCCGCAGGCCCCAGACTTGGCCGGACGCGCGACCACCCGCGCCCGCCTTACCTGCGCTGCGCCCCGAGCCTGCGGCGGTCGCGGACCCGGCGGAAACTTCCCGCCCCGCCCGCCCGCCCCGCCCCGCAGCACCGGCCGGGCCCTCGGGACGGCGACGCGGGCGCCCGCGGGGGAGCCGAGGCCGGCGCCGGGAGCCGCGGCCGCTCGCTCGGCAGCGACTCCCCGAAGCCTCCGCCGCGACCGAGTCCCCCCGACGCCGCCTCGCGCTGCCCAAGTTGGCGGCAGCGGCTGCCGCGCGTGCGCCTCCGCGCCGGGCTGCGGGGGGCGCTGCGGCCGCGGGGCCGGCCGGCGCGAAGGGGCGCGCGAGCGCGCTCCCCCCGGCGCCCCGCGCCCCTCCGCCGGCCGCGGCGCGCCCTCGTCCCGCGGCTCCCGGGGGCCCGCCGCGGCGGAGCGGGGAGCCCGCCCGCGGGAGGCGCAGGGGCGCGATCCCCGCGGGCGCCCGGCCGGTCCCGCCCCGCGCCCGAGGCTGCCGCGGGGCCCGGCGCTCTCCGCCCGCGGCGCCGAGACGGTGTCCGTCCGAGTCGGCCCGGCCGCCCTCAGCCGCCGGCCGCGGGGCCCCGGAGAGGGCCTGGGTGGGGACAGAGCGCGGTGCCCCCAGCCCCCGGCCAGCCCCCCGCGCCCCTGGGGCCGGCTTGGGAGAGGACCCCGCCCCCTCCCGCGGGGCCCCGGCCCTCCTGGGCGGCCGGGGTGGGGTGGGGTGGGGTGGGGTGGGGGCTGCATGCTGCCCCTCCCGCCCGTGGCCTCCCGGCCAGGCCCGCGCCCACCTCGCAGGCCGCCCCCCAGTCCGGCGCCCCGTTTCTCACCTGGGGCCCCGCGGAAATCTGACTGGCCACTTCCCCTGGGCCCTGGTACCGCCCTGGCAGCGGCCAGACCCCGACTCCAGGGCAGGCTCTGCCCTGTCCAGGGCGGACACCGTAACCCGAGGAGCCTGCACCCGGGTCAGGGGGGTCCCGGAGGCCCTGCCAGCTCAGCCGCGGCCTCTTCGGGGTCCTGTGCTCCGGGGCACCTTGGGGAGGGAGGGGCACCCTCTGGGCGCCTGGGCGCAGACAGGGCCCAGCCCCCCAAGCCCCTGAACTTGGCCTGAGCTGCCCACCCGCGCAGGGTGAGAGGCCAGCCCGCGCAAGGGGGCACCGGCGAGCCTGCAGGGCTGGGGCCGGGCGGGCCACGGTGGGGGCGCAGCTTTCTCTCTGTCTGCTCAGCCTGGCCCAGCTGACCAGCTGACCGTGCAGCAGCCTCAGGCGGAGGCAGCGTCCATGCCGTCACGCCGGCCACCCCACGGACCGCAGGGCCGGCTCCTGCAGCGCACAGACACCCCCGGGCGTGCACAGCCAGGCCAGGGCTCATGTGGGTGCTGCCTGGGGGGCTGCCCGGGGGGCGCCACCTGGTCCTGGAGGCTGGGGCCGACCCTCTGGGGCAGCTGCCGGCGCGGGCTGGACGTGGCGGGCCAGGGCGGGGAGGAGGCCGCGGAGGGTGCGGGCAGGGGGCGTGTGGGGCTGGCTGGGGAGCTGGGCGCAGCAGGGGCCAGGGGACCGGCCGGGGTGTGCGCGGGTGACCCTGGGCCCGGCACTGCCCACTTGCCCCACAGTGGGGTCCTGAGGCAGGGACGGGGACCCCCAGGGCTCCCCTTGAGCCCGGACCCTGCCCCTGGGTGGGCGGTGGGGCTCCTCTCCTTGGCCACCTGGAGCAGGGCTCTGTGCCCGCGACCCCTCTCTGGACAGGAGCGGCCGCGGCCTCGGCCTGGGTCCCGCTGGCCTCCCCGGGTCTGGGGCCTGGCGTGGGGGTGGCGGCGGGCGGCCCGGGCTGTCCCCGCCTCAGGGTCCACACAGCCCTCCCCGGAGGGTGCCGGGCTGCGAACCCCGGGGGGCTGGCAGCCCACACCCTTCCACAGGGCCGCGGGGGGCTCCAGCGGGTCCTCCTCCCGCCCGCGGGCTGCCCCAGGGCCCAAGGGGCGGAGGTGGCGGGAGCCGGCGCGGCTGCGGGGTGTGGGGGCTGACCGCGGGCCCTGGGGGTCTCCAGGGCCCCGCCCCAGCCCCGCGCGCGGGGGTGCCGCGCTGCTCCGGCCGGCCGGCGGTCAGGAGGGGCCGGCGGGCCGCGTCCGGTCGGGGCGGGCGGGCCGGGGCGGGCGGCTGCGGGCGACGAGCCGGTGCCCTCCGCGGCCCGAGGCGCGGGTCTTCCCGCCTGTCACAGGCCGTTTTCCCTGCCTGAGTGGCGGCCGGCGGGGGCGCGGGCCGGCGGGGGTTGGGGGGCCGGCGGGGGGCGGGTGTAAGGGGTCCCTTGACGGGCGGACGGGCGGGAGGCGCCTGCCCCCCCTCCGGGCCGCGTCCAGGCCGCCCTCCCGCGCGGGCCGGGGGACCCCGCACTGCGGCGCCCGGGCGGGGGCGCCCCAGCCGCGCTAATGGGGACGCTGAGCGCTTGTGACAGGCGCGGGCGCCGCGGGCAGGGCCTGGGGGCGCCGCGGGGTGCGGCGGCGCTGACCCCCTCCGCGGGGCCTCGGCCCGCGCGTCCCCCCAGGCCCTGACTCTGCGCCAGCGCCCCCCGCAAGGCTGGGGCGGACCCGGCCCCCGAACACCCTGTGCCTTCGCCGGGGCGCCGACCCCCTGCCCCTCCCCTGCCGGAGCCCCCGGGCGGCTGGGCTGGGGCCCCCCAGGCAGGGCGCGCGCGCTGCCCGCCCGCCGGGAGGCCCTGCCCGGCCCGAGCCCCGCAGGCCTGGCCGCGGTCCCGGGGGGCGGGCGGGGGGCGCCGGGGCAGACGCGCGCGGCAGCTCCCGCCCGAGGCCCGCCCCGGGCCGGCTCCGCCGCTGCCTTAATTGCTCCGGCTCCGCGGCCGGCGGGCGCCGCAGAGAGGGGGGGGCAGGGCAGGCGGGGGGCGGCGGGGGCCGCAGAGAGGGCGCGGGCAGCGGCACCTGCTGGCACCTGCGGGCGCGGGGGGCAGGGCAGGCGGGGGGGGGGCAGGGCAGGCGGGGGGGGGGGGGGCCGGCGCGGGGCCGCGAGAGGCGGGTAGGAAACAAAACGCTTTATTTGGTCCTTCGAGCCTGAGCGGAACCGCGCGGGCCCCGCCGCGGCGGCCGCGAGTGATAAAATAGCCTCTGTCAGAAGAGCTGAGCCTATTTACAGGGTTAAAAATATTCACAGCTCGGAGAAAAGGAAATAAAAAGGGCCGGGGCGGCGCCCGCTGCCCAGGCCGAGCGGGGAGGCCGGTCGGTCGGGCTCCCGCCCGGGGTGCTGAGGGCAGAGCCGCGGGCGGCGCCCGGGCATGGCTTCGGCCTGTGGAGCCCCAGGAATTGCATAGTGTGGCCGGGGGTCCGGGAGCCCCCAGCCCGTGGTCGCCAAGCACCTGCCTCCTGGGGTGCGATGCTGGGACCGCAGGGACCTCCGCTGGCCTCATCCCTGCCCACCGGGCGCCCCGGCCTCAAGCCCCTGCAAGGGGGTGGTCCTCGTCTCACCCCAGGGTCCTGACCGCCAACCCCCCCCAAGGGGGTGGTCCCTGCTTGCCGGGGATCCCGGTCTCGAGCCCCCGTAAGGGGCTGGTCCCTATTCTCCGCCCAGGGTGCTGACCTCCGACCCCTGAGGCGTGGTCCCTGCTCGGGCGCATCGGGCCGCCCAGATTTGGTTCAGTGAAGGGAGCTCCGGCCGCAGCCATGCCCGGCCCCGGCCCCCCTGCGGGTGGGCGCTGGAGGGGCGGCCAGCGCAGGCCACTCGGGCCAGAGACTGATTCGAGGTATCTGCTTGGTGGCCGGGAGACCCTGGCCGGGAGGGGGTGTCCAGGCAGCGGCCTCCGAGGCGGGCGGCTCCTGGGGTCCTGAGATTCTGGTTCAAGCGTGCCCTGTCCGGGTCTCCCTCGTAAAGTGCTGTGGGGCAGGCGGCAAGGGTGGTCACAGCGGCCGGGGTCCGTGCAGGCCGGCCACCTCGGGGGTGAGTGGGGGACTGTGGGCGCCGCGGGAGGTCGTCCAGTCGCTGAGGAAGGCCTGGGCGGCCTTGCGGTGCGCCAGGCGGTGGGTGATGGAGAAGCCGGCGTTGCCTTCTAGCTGGGACAGGATCACCAGGACCTGCCTGGGGGACACAGCCAGTGAGCGCTGGGCGGGACCTCCCTGTGCAGCGCTGGGGCCCGCACCGCGCAGGGCTGGGGCGGCCCCTCCCGCGTGGTGGGGGCTGGGCGGGCCCACCTGTGCAGGGGCGGCACGCTGTCCTGGGTGCGCAGGCTGCCGCGGGTCGACACCACGTTGAAGCTGTCCGAGCAGTCGCACTGGACGTGCAGGTAGGCCTTGGGGTGGCGGTTCTCCACGACCACGATGAGCCCCGCCCAGCCGTGCGTCAGGTAGTAGCAGGTCATGCCCTCGCGGCCCTGGGCGTAGGGCGCAGTGAGCGCAGTCAGGGGGCTCGCTGCCCAGCCCTGCCGACCCTCCGGTCCCCACCCACCTCATGCCGCTCCCCGCGGCTCTCGGTCAGCAGGATGATGGCGTCGGCCAGCGTGGTGGGCTGGGCCGCCACCGGCTCCACCATGACCAGCCTGGAGCTGTACACGGCCAGCACGTGGCCAGGCGGCTCTGGGGTGCAAGGTGGGTCACCCGCCAGGGGGCTAGAGGCTGTGGGGGTGGGGCAGTGAGTGGAGGTCGCTGGCCTGCAGCTCTGGGCGCAGGGGGGCGCAGGGGGTGCACAGGGCAGGGTGGGCCTGCTCAGGGCGCAGGAAGGGGGTGTGCGGCGGGCTCCCAGCGCAGGAGGGGGGTGCAGGGCAGGGCCGGCTCAGGGTGCAGGGGAGCGCGGGGTGGGGCGGCGGTTCCCGGAGCAGGGGTGCGCAGGGCCAGCTCACCCTGCGCGGCGGGCGCGGCGGGCATGGCGGCCCAGTGGTTGAAGGCGCAGCACACCACCGCGTACTCGCCCGGCTCCAGCATCACGTCGCAGCCCACGAACTTCTTGACCGCGCGCCTGCTGTGGGCCAGCAGGCGGCCCAGGCTCAGGCGGCCGCCGCTGCCGAAGGACGCCCGGAAGACCAGCACGCACAGGTCCAGCAGGTGGCCATCCGCAGAGTCTGCGCGCCTGGGAGCGGAGACCACAGCCATCATGTGGGGCCGCGGTGACCCCAGGAGTGGCCGGCAACCCCCGCCGGCGACACCCACCTGCCGCCCTCCTGGAAGAGCGCGAACTCCAGCGAGGCGCGCTCCAGCACGGTGAGCGCCGTCACGCCCACGGGCCCGCGGGCCGAGCTGGGGAAGCAGCCCTGCACCCGCACCTCCTGCCAGTCCGAGTGCACCTTGCAGATGTCCACAGCGTCGAAGTACCTGGGTGGAGAGCGGGCCTGGTTCGCAGAGGCCGCAGCCAGTGGTGCCCGCCCGTGTCCGGCCCAGAGCCCAGAGCCCTGTGCCGGCTGCTGCAGAGGACATCGCCAGGGGGTGTTGGGGAGGGGTGCCCCGCCCCCGACTCCAAGGCGGGGCCAGCGGCGCGGCCCCTACCTGATGAAGTCGCTGTACTCCATCCAGAAGACGCCCTCGCTGCTGCCCAGCGGCATCAGCTCACTGCGCAGGTGTCCCGGCCAGTGCGGCCACTCGTCCGACCAGCTGCCATTCCAGGAGAAGCGGCCCCATGGGTTCCGGAGGCGCAGCAGCCTGCAGACCACGGCCATGAGGCCCAAACTCCTGCGGCGTGCCCCCCACCCCCCCAACCCCCTACCTGGAGCCCTGCACGTCGCGCACGTCCAGGATGGAGTAGGCGTGGCGGGGCCGTAGGCCCAGGCTCTCGTAGGCCGCGTCGTCCACCTTCATGTTGCCGCCCCCACAGGAGGCGCCCATGAGGAACCTGTGGGCAGAGCATCCCCGCTGACCAGACCCCGTGAACCGGCCGGTCCTCCATGCCTGGGGGTCACAAGGGATCCCGGGCCTGGGGTGCTGGCCAGGCCTCCCCGCCACCGCCCAGGGGCCTCCCACGGCAATGGGATGGAGGGAGTCTCGGCTCATGTCCGCGCCGAGGGTCTGCTGTCCCCGGGTGCTGGCTGAAGACGGGCAGTTCCTGTCGGGACCCTGAGGCCACCCGCCTCCCCCCAACCTGCGCCGCGCGCGCCTGTGATGCGGCTCCCCGTGGGCAGGCATGGCCGGTCACGAGACGCGGGGCGGGGAGTGCATCCCGGGCAGGGGCACCGCGGCAGGGTCAGCCGGCAGAGGCCTTACCCGGCCTCCTTGGAACTCAGCATCTTGGCCCAGATGAGGTCGGTGTCCACCGGGTCCTCGCGGGGGTTCGTGGAGCTGACCTGCAGCGCCAAGCTCTCGCAGGGGGCGCCGGTGAGCGTGGCCAGGCCTTCGATGGCGCGGCCCGCCTGGAGGGCGAAGTAGGAGCCGTGCAGCTTGGCCAGCGCCTTCTCGATGAGGGCCACCCACAGCTGCTTGCGCTGCGCCTGCGGAGCGAGGGCGGGTGAGCGGGTGAGGCGCCCCCGCCCCACCCCCCCGCGGCGCCCACCTGCGAGAAGAGCAGGAAGCCGGCCTCGTCGCAGGGCAGCATGTCGTCCACCAGCACCGTGGTCCACGTGCCGTCCTTGCACAGCCGCACCTGGTAGGCGCCCTCCTCGCACAGGCTGCGCGTGACCATCACCCGCTCCACCAGGTCCGGCCGCTCGGCCAGCACCGCCAGCGCGCTCAGGAACCTGCGGGGGTGCGCGTCAGCCGGCCGGCCCTCGCCCGCTCCCGGCCCCCTCCCCGCGCCCGGGCCCGCCTACCAGCAGTTCCCCAGCAGCCCCTGCAGGATGTCCGAGGGCCGGAGGGTGTGGAACACCGACCAGGAGGCGCCGTGGTCCCGGAAGACCGCACAGTTGATCTCGTGGGGACGCAGCCACTGTCTCACGCGCTGCTGGACGCTGTCCCCCGCGGGGAAGCCCACGGACGCAGGTCCTGGGGGGAAGCTGTCGTCCACGAAGCTCACGCGGTTCTGCAGGGCGCACACCGCAGGCTCAGGCCACGCCCGGGGCTCGGGAGGCTCAGGGCTGGAACCCAACGTGTCCCCCCAACCCTCGCCCCTCCCGGCTGGGGCGCAGCCCCCCATCCACCCGGCAGGAGGCCGGACAGAGGCGTGCGCCCCCCACTGGCCGGCACGACTGGACGCACCTCCCTGCAGAAGGCCACGATGTTCTCCCAGAGCGCCTTGGCCTCGCCCTCGTCCGTCTGGCGCCGCTGCTCCACGAGCACGCTCTCCCGGCGGCGCAGGGGCGTGGCGCCCCGGCGCTGGGCCACCAGGACCTGTGGCGTGTGGCAGGCGGCACAGTGCTGCGCGCGGGGCGCATTGAGGAGCGTGCAGGCCGGGCAGGCCCAGGCCCCGGGGCGCTCGGAGCTGCGGGCGGGGGCCGGGCCGAGCTCCGGGAAGCCGTGCAGCTTGGAGCAGCCGCAGGCCGAGCACCGGGGTGCCGCCGTGGGGTTCCTGAGCGTGCACTTGGCGCACGACCAGGTGGTGAAGTCGGGGCTGGAGGGGCTGGCGGGCGTGTAGCGCACTGTGTCCCCCGCCAGGTCGATGACGTCGCCGCCAGCCGCGGGGCTGCAGGCCTCGGAGCGGGTGGGGCTGGCCGGGCCGGGGCCGCACCGGTGTGGCGGGGGGCCGCCCTCACCCACCTCCTCCTCCAGCAGGCTCAGCCGCTTGCCGGACAGCAGCTCAGCCAGGCGGGAGGGCCCGGCCGCAGGCCGCCCTGGGGCCTGGGGGGGGCCCCTGGAGCCTGCCTGGGCCACGGGCAGGGGACCCTCAGGCACGGGCGGCTGCAGCTGGGGAGGAACTTCCCGGCGGCTGCGAGGCACGGGGTGGTTCTGCAGGGTGGGCGAGAAGGGGCCGAAGGGCCCCCGGGGGGGTTCCTGGCCGGCGGCGGGAGGGCCCTGGCCTGCTGCGGCGGGAGGGTCGGCCTCAGCGCCTTCCCCTGGCTGCGGGGGGGCCGGCATGACGTGGAAGCCAGCGGGGGCCACGACTTCGGGAACCACCAGGGCCTCGGGTGGGATCCTGGGCAGGGAGAGCTTGCGGGGCCCCCCGCAGGCAGAGCAGGAGCTGGCCACGGGCGTGTTGTGCAGCGTGCAGCGGGCACAGGCCCAGCCGCTCCCCGGCTGTGCAGCAGTCGCCTCCTCGGGGCGCCCCCCGGCAGGCTCCTCGGGCCCCAGCCTGGCTGTCCGCACCGGCCCCACCTCGTCCTGGCCGCCACCCGGGGGCTCCAGCGGGACAGCAGGCGGCCTGGGCAGGGCCCCGTTGATGGCGGGCAGCGGGGAGGGCCCGGGGGCGGGCTCGGGCGCGAAGCCGCACACCTCGCAGGCTGCCCTGCCCAGCAGGTTCCGGAACGTGCAGCGGGCGCAGGGCCATTTCTGCTCCTCTACGCTGAGCCGCAGGATCTGGTCGAGGTCGGGCTGCTGCCGGGGGGCCTCGCAGATGGAGCACTGGCGCCGGCCGGCCGGGTTCAGGAAGGTGCAGCGGGAGCAGGACCACTCCCCGGCGGCCGCCATGGACCCGGGCGGGGGCGTGCGGCTGGAAGGGAGGGCTGGGTCAGTGCACTGAGCCAGGTCGCCCAGGGGATCCCGAGGGGCACCCCCTCGACCCAAGGCCCTCTTGCAGGGCGGCCCTTTGAGGGGATCCAGGAGTGCGCGCTTTCAGGCAGGACGACGGGCGCTGGCCACGCGCATGCCCTGCTCGACACTCCCGCCCCTCAGGAAACCAACACTCTGGGCAGGCGTCGCCCAGGGTCCAGCTTGTGCTCTGCGGGCTGGACACACCGCTGGAGGGAACAGAGGCGACGGGGCACTTGGAAGGCAGCCCGGCGCCCCGACCAGAGCCCCCGTGTCGTGGGTCACAGCCCAGCCCCCGGGAACGGGGGAACCCCTGCACAACCCCAGTGGCTTTTTTTCTGGGCAGGAATGGAAAAAACTGGTTTTTAAGATTCCCATTAAATTGCAAGGACCCCCAAGTAGCCAAAACAATCTTGAAAATGAGGTACAAATTTGAAGGACACGTTTTCTGATTTAAAAGCTTAGTACAAAGCCACAACAATCAAAACGGTATGGCACCGGCGCAAGGACAGGCCGGTCGACAGTGGCTGGACGGGCCAGCCAGCAGGACCCCTTGCTCGCGTGGCCAGCGGGCTCAGAAGAGGGCGCGGGGCCACTCGGGGGTGTTGGGAAGCTGGGTCTGAACGGCAGTCGCAGAGCTGGGCCCTGCCTGGCACCACACGTGGGGAACACTCCGCGGCGCCGCGACCGGCCTGGGCCCCATGCGGGCCCTGAGCTGCGGCACCAAGAGCACAGACAGAACAACAGACGTCACCAGACCAGCAACTTCTGTGCGGCCAAGACACTCTCGGAGCAGGAACGACCGGGGGAACAGACGCGTCGGCACACAGTGTGCACCGAGGAGGCGTCTCCTTCCAGGGGATCTGAACTCTCAGACCGAGCGTCTGACGGGAGACAGAGGCAAGAAGGGGCGCACAGACACTCTCCGGAGACCCCGGCGCGAGGCGGACGCTGAGGACCGGGGAGAGGGCCAGGTGCTGTCCTGTACCCGCCAGGGCCAGGTCAGAGGCTCCTCAGAGCCTGACAGTCGGCCACGGCCCAGCAGGTCCAGGATGCCGACTAGGGGCGCAGAGCCGGCTCCCTTCACAGGCGCCAGCACAGTGGCATCCAGCACAGCCCGGCCGCAGCGGCAGAGCCAGAGCAGGGCAGGTCAGGGCTGGGCCTGGCCCTCTGGCCCCTGTGTTTCTGGGGGTCCCTGAGCAGGGGCCGCATTCTTGCCAGTGCCACCTGCTGGGGTCCTCCCGTGCACAGGTCCCCAGCGCAGCCTCAGACAGCCAGCTCCAACCACAAAGGGCTGGCGGGCGGTGGACCCTGCAGTCCAGGGGCAGGCGGGTATGGGGTCAAACCTGCCCCCACGGCTGCCTGGAGCCTCAGGAGGTGCCACCTCTGCTGAGCAGGCTGGAACCCTGCCACACAGCGGACAGAGACTGTGGAGGGACAGCTGGGAGAGGGGCCCAGCCCCACCGGGCTCACCCCCAACAGCCCCTGCAAACTGCAGCGAGCCCGGCTGCCCCCTCAGCGGGGAGCATTGCTGACCCTCCTGGTCAGGAAGGGCTGGCCGCCTTTCCAGAGCGCGGAGAGCCCCAGCAGCCGAGGGGCGGCCTGGCTGCGGGGCCCCTGAGGGCGGGAGGGGCTCCCGGGGAGCCCCCAGGGAGGAGGCAGTCCCCACTGGGCCCTGCTTCTCCGCTAGGAAGTCCTGGGCGCCGTGTGAGCCCACGGGCCCTCCCACGCAGAGCACAGCTGGGCTGACCCCGAGATCAGAGGGGCTGCGGGCTGGGCAGGCTCTGGGACGGGCAGTGGGCCCCGCACCCCCGACTCCTGGGGGCCTCTGCTCTAGGCCCAAGTCGCCAGGGTGTCAGGAGCTGCCTGGAGGCCACGCTGGGCTGGGGACGGGGCACTGCAGGCCGTGCCCGAGGAGCCGCCCGCCGGGAACGGGGCCGTGACATGCGTCCCACACGCCGTGGCCCACACTGGCCCGAGGGAGCCCACCTGCCCGCCGGGGCACCCCTCTGCCGCGCCCAGGGAGGACCCAGATCCGGGGCGGCAGGGCTCATGCGGCCGCCTCGTCCCTGCCCAGATCCCCCTGGCCGGGTGTCCTCTAGTCCCAGGGGCCCCGCCTCAGGCTGCGCTTGGCTGTGGGACCCACGAGGACTCAGGGCTCACCCGGCGGGTAACAGGGAGGAGCCAAGGGGCACAACGGGATCGGGGAGAGGCTCCCCGGAGGCGGGCCTGAGCCCCTGACCATGACCCAGGGCTTCTCACCCTGGCGCCAGCTCCCAGCACCCCCAGGTGGGTGGGGCCCCAGGGCCCAAGACACACAAGTCCAGCCGCAGGGGGCCATGTCCTGGGGGGCGGGAACCCTCAGGGGGACGGGGGCATCAGCTCGCAGAGCCCTGGGCCTTGGTTGCCGCGGCCCCAGGGGGGGCTCTGAGGCCCCCGGCGTGCGCCCCTCGGCTCGCGCCTGCCCAGCTGAGCCCCACCTGGCCCTGGAGCCAAGCAGGCCGGCGCCGCTGGTCACTCGCGGGGCTTGGACACAGCTGCCCCTGCCCCGTCTTACCTTCTGGCCCGGGGGCGGGGGGGCTGGTGCTGCCAGGGGAGGAGGGCGCTGCCCCAGACGGGCCCCCCAGGGCCAGGCCTGTACCAGCCGGCTGCCGCCGGGGCCACCGGGCAGCGCGGGCCCCTGGGGAAGCCGTGGTCCGACTCAGTCTCGGCGGCCAGCGAGGAGGCGGAGCTCCCCATGGCCCCGGGACGGCGGCCGCGCTGCGGGCCGGGCCTGGTCACATCTGGCCGGCGGGCGAGGCGGAGCAGAGAGGGGCCCTCGCAGCGGGACAGCTGCCAGCTGGTCAGTCACACAGGACAACAGAGATCACACACAGAATAGAGAGAGAGAGGAGAGCGTGACCAGCAGGAACCTCCCGGCGCCCCAGGCCGCGCCTGCGGGGACTGTGCCCGCCGGATGGCAGCTGGCGCCGGGGCAGCCAGGACACGCGTGCCGCTGTGGGCTCAGGCTTGGCTGCAGGCGCGGAGAGGGACAAGTGTCCACAAGGATGCGAGCGGCTGAGGCGGCGGACACTCGGGGCCGGCACAGCCAAGACGCCTGCCTGGACGCCGCCCTTGGGGCGGGTGGGGCGCGGCCCTGGAGGCTGCCAGGGTGCAGGGGAGCCGGCCCTCAGCAGACATTGGGGCAGAGGCGGCGGCTCTTGCCTGGCTGGGGGCGGGGCCCGGGTCTGCAGTGGCCCCTCTGCTGTGGCTGGGGCAGGGACGGGCAGCAGAGACCTTAGCTTAACGGGCAGGGCCGGGCCGCAGGGGACGGTCCACCACGGGTGCACAGGCAGCAGGCCAGGGCCGGAGGATGCAGCCTGGGGGCGCCTCCTCACGTCAGCGGGGTCCACTGAGCTCACAGGCCAAGACCCTCGGGGCCCCTGGCCTGAAGTCTGTGCCGAGCTGCAGTCGCATCGTGGACGGAGCAGCGGCCGGCACCCTCACCAGTGTCCACACGGCCCTGCTCCAGGCCTGGCTGGCTCGCTCTGGCGAGAACGCCCATGGGGCCACACCCAGCCCCAGGGGCGAGAGGCAGAGGCGAGTGACCACCTCCCGACAGCCCTGCCCGACATGGCAGCCCCTCGCGGCCTGATATCCCAGGCTGGCGCGGCAAGGGAGGGGGCGTCCTCACACCTGGGCGCCCCAAGTTTGCCGTGAGCGGTGAAGGGGAGGGTCCCCTGGCCTGCGTACCTTTGGGCTGCGTCCTGCCCCAGGAGGTGCGGGGCCCTGGCTGACCGGCCACCCCCGCCAAGGAGGCCCCCGCGCCTCCTGCACACGCCCCGACTCGCCAGCACCCAATACAGACGGTCACCAACTGCTGACCACGGAGAAGGGCCCAGGAGGCTTCAGTGAGGCCCTCGCTGCCCCACAGCCCCATCCAGGAGTGGAAGCTGCCAGCGCTGTGGCCACCCCTCCGCCAACAAACGGGGTGCACCTGCCCTGCTCTGGCCACTCCCGGGGCCGGCGCGCGTGTTCTCTGCCTCATGGGCTCTGGGTGCCATCAGGCGAGTCCCGGAGGGCCAGGATGTGCCGGGGCCAGTGACAGCAAGCCCGGCTCTGGTGGGCAGGACGCAGACAAGCCGGCCCCTGGGCACTGCCTGGTCTGTCCTGCAGAGGCTGGGCAGGAAGGGCCCAGCACGGCGGGGCGAGCGCAGCGGCTGGCATGGGAGGCCAAGAAGGCAGGCTGGGCCACCTGTCCCTGCCGGCACCTCCCAGCAGGCGACCCCTCCTCGTCCACTGCCCGGCAGGCGCAAGAGGCCGTGGCGGGGCGGGCCAGCTCAGACAGCCCCCGTGAGCCGCCCCTGCGGGCCACCAGGGCCGGCTGGTCCTACGAGGGTGCAGGCTGGTCAGGGGCGGAAGGACGGCGCTGCAGGAGCCAGAGATGGGCCAAGGGGACAGGGGCTGCAGGACGGCCCAGCCAGGGCACCTGAGTGAGTGGGGGTGACCAGACACCGTGTATACGGGGGGCCCCACAGGGCTCCATCTAAAGTGTCATCTGCGCTTGGGTGTCCAGGGGTGGGCGCAGTGGGGGCCAGAGTGGACCAGACGCTGGGGTCACCGACCAAGTCAGGTGCCCAGGGGGCCCTGCGGCCGAGGGCTCTCCAAGCACGCGGAGCCCCAAGGCTGGGCCAGGAGGGGGCCAGCCTGGCCCCTGCCCGCAGAACAGGGCCCGAGGACCGGGCGGCAGGGCGGGCTGCCAGCGGCTGTCCACTTCCGGCTCTCACGGCCTGCGGTGGGGGTCGGGGCAGGCGTCCTGTCTCCCCGCGGACAGGACCCCAGGCTGCGGGCACCGTCTCAAGCCTGCGCCGCGAGTCGCGGGGGTGGACCCCGCCCAGGCACCAGGTCACTGCCCGGGGGCCGGCGGGAGGGAGGCGTCCGGGCGGGGGCAGAGGAAGGAGCCGGCCAGCGCCGGGCGCGCTTCCTGCAGCCCAGACGGCGTCCGCCGGCCGCGCGGGCCGGGGACGGGGCGGCGGGCCCAGCGCACCCGCCCGGCCCGGCCCGGCCCGCGGGCGAGCCCGGGCGCGGGGCCCAAGCCGCGGCCGGGGCGGCGGGTCCCGGGCCCGCGCCGCCCCGCGGCCCGGCCGGGCGGCGTCCGGCCCCGGGAGTTCGGGGCGCGCCGTCGGCGCTGCCCTCTCGGGGCGCGGCGGCCGGGACGCGCGGCGGGCGCTCAAGGGCAGGCGGGCGGCGGCCGGCCCCGCGCCCCCCGGCCCGCCCGGCCGCCCCGGCGCGGCCGGCGGGGGACTCACCTCCGGCCTGGCCCCCTCGCCTCCGCCCGCGGCCCGCGAGTCTGCTCCGGAGGGCGGCGCGGCCCGGCCGGGCTCCCGCGCTGAGTCCGGCGCCGCCGCGCGCGCCCCGGCCGCCTACGCCGCCTCCGTAGCGTAGCGCCCGGCCGCGGCCCGCGGCTACGGCGCGCCGGGGGCGCACGCGGCGCTGTGAATCGCGCCGGACTACCGCTCCCAGAGGCCCGCGCGCCCGGCCGGAAGTCCGGGCGGCGGCGCGCGGGGGCCGCCGGGAGCTGTAGTCTCTGGGGCCGGCGGGCCGGGCCGCGGCTCCCGGGGCGCCCCGCGCGGGCGGAGGGGCGGCCTCGCGGCGGGGTCCGCGCGCCCGGCTCGCTGCCCCTCCCCCCGCTCTCCTTCCCGCCTCGGTCGGGGTCCACAGCCGGCGCCTCCCCGCAGGAGCCCGCCTAGTTGGAGCCCGCAGGCCGAGAGCCCCCAGCTCCCCGCAGGGCCCCGCAGCCGGGCGGCACCTGGGGGCGGCTGGGGCGAGGGCAGGGGCGGGACCCCGCGCCCGGGAGGCCCAAGCGCTGGGCCTGGCGTCCTCGCCCCAGCCCTAGCGACCGCCCGCCGCCCCTCGGGGCTGAGCGGGTCGGAGCAAACGCAGGCGGGAGGGGTTGTGCCCAGTGCAGCTGTGGGAGGCCCGGCCAGCGGCTGGGTCAGCCAGCTTCCCGCTAGCTCTGGCCTACGGGTACCACGAGGCCAGGACACCCAGAGCCCCCCTGGAGCAGGGGTGCAGGCGGGACTGGCAGGGATGGCCGGCTGGGCTGGCCTGTGCCTGGCACGCTGGTCAGGTTACAGAATGGCCGGAAAGTGCCCACTTGGGGGAACCCTGTTCCTGGAGAGGAGGTGAGCAGGGCTGTCCCGGCTAAATCCCGCCCTCCCCGCGCTCTCTGGTCTCTGACCCATGGCAGGGGGCGCAGAGCTGGCATCTTGACCTTTGCAAGGGCAGGCTGCAGCCAGAACTCCAGGGCAGGTGTCTGGGGCAGGGGCAGGGGCAGAACCAGCCGCGCCCTCCCCGCGAGGAGCCACCTGGACACAGAGACCCCCAGGGTGGCCTCAGGGGGGACTCTCCGTGGCCAGGCTGCTGGAGGCCGGGGTAGAGCGTCCTGCTCTAGCAGTCCAGGGCCTGACTCTGCCGCAGACCCTCCTGCACAGTCCCCCACCCCCACTGGGCCCCAGGTGGCCAGGGTAGGCCCCAGTGGACTTGACGGTGATTCCAGGGGGCAACGGTGGGGGTGGCAGGGCTCCCCAGAAATCTGGGCAAGGAGGGTGCGAGCAGACGGCCAGTGATGCCTCCAGGCCCTGGCTTGCTCACTAACAGGGCAACTGTTTCCCTGAGGGACCCCCGGCTGCTGGGGGCCAGGGCAGGCTCCGCGATCACCCGCCGTGCTGGGGCAGCCCCGGCGAGCACGCTGATGCCCGGGCCCTGGCCTTGGGGCCGCACCTGTGTCCAGGGTGCCTGAGTGGTGACCCTGCTTGCCGAGGTCAGACTCACCCACTGCCTCAGCCTGGATGGGTGGTGGCGCTCAGGGTCCTTGGCCAGGCGGGCCTCAGGGCCTCCTATGCGCCCGGTGTGCGGGCGGCCGGCAGAAAGCTCTGCCATGGTGCTGGGTGCTCACGTTGGGGGCGATTTTGGCGAAGGCCCCTTCAAGTCACGTTCGGTTCCTTCCCTCAGGCCCTCCCTGGTGAGTCTGCCCCCGCTGCGGCCCACCCCCCACCGTGCCTAGCACCAGGGTCTGTCCAGTGCTGCCCTTCCCTGGCCCAACCTCACTGTGCACGTGTGCCCGGGACCCTCGCGGCCCGCAGAAGGGCCCGGCCATATGGGTGCAGGTGCCACGAGGCCCCCAGTGCTTTGGGGGCTGGGTCAGGCCCGGCGGGGGTCCCGGCCCATGGTGGGTGGGGGGCTGCTCCATTAGGAAGTTGCTCCAGGGGATGGAAGCCAGACGTGAGCGAGTGGGAGCTGGGTGTGCGCCTCACAGTTCCTTGCAGCCTGCTCAGGGCCGCCGCGGGGAGCCCCCCTCCACGCGGGAGCCCCAGAATGCCGGCAGGCGCAGGAAGCGGAGCCCAGGTGGGTAACGTACATATATATATATTTTTCGTGTGCGTACACAGATAGTTTTCTCTCTCGGAAGTATTAAAAAATTGATCGACCTTCAATCTATAAAAAATACCTACTCTACATGATAGAAAAATCTCTCCTCCAAGTTTACAACTGATTTACACCCAAAGCTTCCCCGAAGGTACAGCTGTGGGCAACGCCCCCGTCAGTGCAGTGAGCGCGGGCCATGCATGTCCACTCGTGTCCACTCGTGCTCCGCGGCTGGCCTGTGCGTGGCCGGCGTGCAGGTGCGGAGGGCTGCCTGGCCAGTGCTCAACCAGGAGGCCCAACAGCCCCAGGCCGTGTTGCCCTGGGCAGTGAGGGTGGGGCACGGGCTTCGGGAGGGACACACCTGGCTGTGAGCAGCTGAGGCGGCCCCTGGGGCAGCGCTTCTGACGCCTAGACTCTGGCTGGGGAGACTGCACCGGGAGAGGCCTCCCCAAGGCCCTGCCTGCACCGAGAAATCAGGGGTGCTGGCGGCTCCAGATAGCGGGGCCGCAGGTTAGACTGGCCCTGAGCGTAGAGCAGAGGCTGTGGCTCGGCGCCCCCAGCGGCCACTGCAGCAAGGGTCAGTGCGGGACAACCATGTGCCTGGAGGCCTGGGCCTGGCTGGGGGTGGCCTGAGCACCCCAGGGCTGGGCACGGCGCTGCATGTGAAGCTCTAGGAAAGCGGGGGCAGGGGCTGCAGCCCCCAGATAGATCCCGGAGCATGTGGACCCCTGCCGGCCTGGCGCCAGCTTGGGGTGCCTTGCACAGCCCACTGGGGCTCACTGCAGCCTGAGCAGCCACGGAGCAGGCAGCTGTCCAGTCCCTCACCGCCCAGTGGAACCTTGGAGCCCACTCCCGGGGTGAGGCCAGGAGCAGCCCGGGGGCGGCCCCACCTACGGGGGTCCGGCCAGGGAGAGCAGGCCCAGTGCAGGGCTCCCGCTACTTGACCTCCAGGATGGACGGGTTGGTCTCCATGATGGCCACGACAATCCTGTCGATGTAGTCTTGCAGGCGCAGGTTGATCTCCTCCTGCTTCTGGATGGCGTCCATGAGCTGCGGGGCGGGGGCGGGGCGCCGTGGAGATATGAGGGGCTGCGGAGGGTTAGGGAGGGGGAGGTGGGAGGGTGGGGGGCGGGGGCGGGGCGCCACCTCGTCGCGGGACACGGAGCTGATCTCTGCGGCCAACGACTCGGAGAAGGAGGCGCTGAAGAGGTTCTTGGCGCCCTGGATGCTCAGGTTGATGATCTGCCCGTTGAGCTCGTCGTTCTGCTCCTTCAGGCTGCGGTTGTCCTGGGGATGGGACGGGGCGGGCGGGGGAGACGCTGTCAGGACGCGCCCCGCCGCCCCCAGCCTCATTGCCCCCCCCCGCCCGCCCCCCGCGCCCCCCACGCACCTGCTTCAGCCGGCGGACCTCCAGCTCCAGCTCGCCCTCGCGCGCGCGGCTCTGGTACTCCTGCAGGCCCGCGCTGCTGCTCCGGCCGCGCCGCTGCTCCGCCTCCAGCTTGAAGAGCTGCAGATGCTCCAGCTGCCGGCGCAGGTCCTCGATGAGCTGGGGAAGGGGCGGTGTCAGGAGGGGCCCCAGGGCTGGCGTTGCGGGCCAGCGCCCCCACGGCCGGGCGGGGCGGGGTCACCTCCTGCGTGGCCTCCTTGTCCCGCTGGAACTGGTGCCGCTCCTGGCTCAGCCGGTCCCCCAGCCGCCGCTTGGTCGCCTGCTCCTCACCGAGCCGCAGCGACAGCTCCTCGATCTCGTCCAGCAGCTTCTGCTTCTCCTGCAAAGGCCCGGCTGAGCGCGGGAGGCAACCTGGGGCTGGGTGGCTCCCGCGGGCTGTTCCGGGGGCGGGGCAGGCCCTGAGCACCTGTCCCCTGTGGGTCTTTGAGCTCTGGACTCTGCAGCTAAACCCCAAGCTGCGTGAGCCGTTTTCAGAGCTTTCTGGGACCCCGGTGGGAAGCAGGGCGCGGCAGGGTGGAGGCCGCGGCGTGCACACTCTCTGGCAGGAGGAAGTTCGGAGGTGTGGCTGGAGCTGGTGGGTTCAGGCCCCGGCCCCCCACCCCCAGCTAGCCCCGGCCCCCGCCCCCCAGACCACAGGGGCGCACCTCCTCCAGCCGCTGGATGCTGGCCTTCAGGCAGGGCGTGCAGGACCTCAGCTCGCTGTTCTCCTCGTCCAGCTGCTGCAGCCTGCAAGCGGAGCCAGGCTGGGGGCCGGCCTCCCAGGCACCCCACTGCCCCGGGCCAGCGCTCTGCCAGGGCCTGGGGCCCTCCAATACACCACGGCTCAGTGACACCCAGTGTCAGCGAGTCATGGGCAGGGCACTGCCCAGAGGACCGTCCGCCCAGCTTTGCTGGGCTGCGTCTGACCGTGGTGCTCACTGCCCGGGGCAGCCTGTCTGGGGCGCCCTCCCCGGGGCTGGCGGGTTTTCTCGAGTGTCCGCGGGAGTGGGTTTGGGACAGAGCCCTTGGGGAGGAGACCCGGGCCCCTGCTCATCGGGGCACCGACACATCTACAGCTGTGACGCCCGACCGTGGGTCGGGGCCTTCCTGTGGCCGGTCAGGCAGCTGGCCCTGTACACCCACCCGCCCAGACCTGGCCCTCCTCCCAGAAGCCCGCTCCCTCTGCTGCCCAGTCCCCAGCCATGCTGTGTGGGCCGCAGAGCAGAGCCCACAGGTGAATGTCTGGCGAGGTGAAGCCCCGCCCCAACACCCACTGGCCCCACTGGCAGGGCCTGGGCAGGCAAGCATCCCATGCACTGCACCCTCTGGGCAAGGTGACCCGCGGGTGGCCCTCCTCTGGCCCACCACACAGGTGCCCGGCGTACTCGTTGCTGAACCTCGGGCCAGGCCTGGGGCGGCTCCCTCAGGGGTGCCGCTGAGCAGGTCACACTTTGGTCCACTTTGCTTCGGAGGATGCAGGGCGGAGGGCAGCTCCCTCCCGGCCCCTCCTCCCTCCCTTCCCAGGTCCCCCCCTCTGTGGCCTGGTGCAGGAGCCCATCCCCAACCCACAGCCCGGGACACTCCTCCTCGAAGGGTCTGCAGGAGGCGCTCCTTGCAGAGGGCAGGCCCCTCCCAGCCCAGCTGAGTGAGGACAGACCCCAGGGGGCCCCAGCGAGCCGGCACCCCTGCGCAGACCTGCCACCCCCTCAGCGGCGGCCCACAAGGCTCACTGCTCAGGACTCAGGAGCCCGGCAGTGGCCCCACTCCCGCCTGGGGCAGGGTGCTGCTTCCCAGAGGCAGGTCTCACGGCCGGCATTGGTCGCGGGGCCACCTTGTCACGTCAGGCGCCCCAGGCGGCATCCTGGGGTCCCAGCGCCCCGCCTCCTCGCAGGTGGCCCTACCTGGCCTGCAGGTTCTCGATCTCAATGCTCTTCTCCCGCTCCATGCGGCACAGCAGCTCCTTCTGCCGCCGTGTGCCCTCCAGGGCCGCCTCACAGGCCCGCAGCTCCTGCTCCTTGAGCTGCTCCTCCAGCGCGTTGGCCCTGGAAGGACGGGTGCGATGGGGGCCACCCTCCCGCGGGGCCCACAGGCAGCCCCACAGCCCCAGCTCAGGGCACCCTGGCCGCGGCCACGCCCACACGAGCCCAGCAGCAGCGCAGATGCTCAGGCCAGGCGCTCAGCAGCCCTACCCCGCCAGGTGCAGCCAGAAGACAGAGGGACGCGCAGCAGCAGAGGCTGGCAGACCGCGGAGGGCCGGCTGGGATGCCCCGGCATGCAGGGCGGGGTTGGCTGCCCCGCGCACGGACTCTGCCCCCAAGTGGGCACCGATGACGCCTGTCAGATTAGAGCCAGCAGCCATGCACCCTGCCTGGATGAGGGCGGGGACGAGAGCCCTGGGCGGGCAGCATCTGTTCTGAGTGGCGCTGGGCCCCGCGGCCACGCAGGGTGTGGCTACCCACCCTCAGCATCTGGGGACCGGCCAGAGCCCGGGTCGCCAAGGCTGAGCAGGCAGCCACTGCACAGGGCAGGGGTCCAAAGGACAGAGCCTCTTCCACAGACCCAGCCGCTGCAGGGACCCCCCAGCCCAGTGCCCCTTCCCAGGGGTCTGTGCCCACCCACGCGCACTGCAGGAGGGTCGTGGCAGCCGCCTGCACTGGGCCCCGGCCAGGCTGCGCGGGGTGGTGGGGTGGGGCGGGCAGGCAGGGCGGGCGCCAGGGACTCACCTGTGCACCAGCTGCAGGTTCTCCTGCCGCAGCCGGCTGTGCTGCTCGCCGCTGGCCACCGTGTCCTTCTCCAGCTCCGACACCCGCTTCTCCAGGAAGACCACCTGGACAGAGGGAGCGCTGTACCCGACCAGCCGTGCGGAGCGGTGGGGGAGTGGGGGGGGTGGAGAGGGCCGCGTGGCCAGGGTTCGGCCGATGCCCTGCGCTTGCGGGGGGTGGGCGCCAGGACTCAGGGCCTCGCGGGGAGGCGAACCCCAGGCACAGCGGGCCCTACTGTGGGGCTGTCCTGGGGCCGCAGGCGCCATCCCTGCAGCCTCTCCACGCCCGACACGGGCTGCCCACTGGAGAAACTGGGGCCTGACCAGTCCTGGCGCCAGCCTGCGCCCCATCCTCTACTCCACAGGCCACCCGCCCACTGCATCAGGGGCCTGCCTTGTCAGCGATGTCTTCCTCTGTGCCCTCCATGGCGTCCAGCGGAGGGTCCTGAAGGACCTCCCCGGCCATCGTACCAGACTGGAGCAGGTGCCTGTGGAGGGGGACAGCAGCTTGGTCCAGAGCAGGTCCTGTAGCAGAGCGAGGGGGGCCCGGCCGCCCCACACGAGCATGTCCCGCTGGACACCTCTACTTGGGCGGGCACTGCTGTCCTGCTCTTTGGAGCCTGGACCCGGCGCCTCCCGGCCTAGCAGGCACGGCCCTTTGCCCTCAGGAGCAATAAAACGCCTCTTCAGGCCTCCCCACTCGACCTGGCGCCCACGGACCACGAGTCCAGGGTCCGGCCAGCCACGGCCGCCACGCCCCGACAGCAACAGCAGGCGCCTGGCTCCTAGGTCGGGCTCAGGGACACCAGCCCCGCCGCCCACCGCAGCGCCCATGCCCCTCCACCATGCCAGGACACTGCAGCACGAGATGGGGTAACACTCCGGGGACACCAGTGGGTCCTCCCGTCCACCAGAGGCAGAGCTGACCCTCCCGCGCAGACCGGGTTCCCGCGTCCCCCATCCCCAGAGCTCCTGTGGCATCTCTGCCACAGGCATGGAGGCCCACTACTGGGCGGACAAGGCTCCGTGCAGATCTTGCCTGGCGTCCTCACCCAGTCCTGCTCCTAAGCCCCTCACCTTGACCCCAAACAGGAGCTCCCGAGGCAGGATGCTGCCCACCCAGCCCCACCCTGGGTGCCCAAGGGCTGGGTGGATGGAGGACGCCCTGGACGCCCAGGGCCAGGAGATGGCAGCAGAGCCCAGGCAGGGGCAGAGCCGCAGAACAGAGCCTGAGTCAGGGCCAACAGGGCCAGCCAGATGCACACCTGTCTGAGCACAGCCCCCGAGCGGCGCTGGGGGGAGCCGCTGTGCACACCACGGGCCTGGAGGGTGCTGTACTCAGCACTGAGCCACAGGCTTCCAGGTGAAAAGGCGCCATTTCCACCACGGCCTTGCCACTGCCGGGCAGGACTCCCGGGAACACCGGACAGTGTCCAGGGGCATGGACAGCAGCGTGGGGGTGGAGTCCAGCCCCGAAGCCTCTGCGAGGAAGCCCTAAGGGCGAGGCTACCGAGGCCTCAGGAGCTAGCGCCAGGCAGGAAGGTGGCAGAAGACAGAGTAAGAGACAGCAGCGGCAGGCGCGGGAGGCTGAGGCCCGGAAGGGCGTGGGTGGCCCTGGGGGCCGGGTGGGTGGGCCCCCACTGCCAGGCCACGCACCAGCCTACGGGCCCTGCAGCAGTAGGGTGGGCGAAGAAGGGGATTAGCCTCCATGAACTATTACCCAGCTGTGGAAAAGGTGACATTGTGGGATCCAGGACAAAACAGCAGAGCCTCAAGGGGCTCACGTGCAGTGAAGTCAGTCAAAAAGTGGATGGTGTCGGGCCTACTCCTCCATGGGCCACAGTAGCCAGAACACGCACAAGCAAGGAGCGGAGCTTGAGCTCAGCCAAGGAAAAGTGGGGACGGGGTGGCCGCTGCCCGCCTGGCTCCCGCTGGCACTCGAAGGCCCACACGAGCGCAGCTGGCCTTGAGAAACCACGGCGGCCCACGGCTCAGCGCCCCAAGCCCCATGAGTAACTTTCAGTGTTTCAAAAGACAAATAATACCTGGTGGGTGTCTGAAAGGCCCGGGACGGGCAGTCGTGGCTGCTTACCTCGCCACCTTCTTGCTGGAGAGCCGCTTGGTCGGGCTGTGCAAATCAAAACAAACAGGAAACTGCGTGAGCGTCGGCGGGGTGGGGCCAGGAAGCCGGCCAGGGCCGCAGGCGCGGGGCGCACACTCAGCACGGCCGGCGGCGGGACCAAGCCCTCTGTGGGCCACAGCTCCAGCCCCAGGCCACCCCAGGGCAGCCGCAGCCACCTCCAGGCCGGGCCACCGCCGGCCACTGTGCCAACCGCACCCCAGCCCCCAGGCTGGGCTGGCGCAGATGCGCACACGGCCACCACACGGCTGGGAGCCAGCCCACGAGCAGGAGGTGCGCCTGTGCCTAGCCCAAGTCAAAGTGCCCAGCCCAGCTGTCAGCCTTGGCCTGCAGGACGCAGCCTTGCCTTTCTCGTTTAGAAATTTGTTCCATGAATCCCAAACTTTTGTTTCAAAAGCAAAACAGAACAGTGAAAACGACCGTCTCCAAGTCTGGATCCCAAACGCGAGGAAGAGGCAGGCGCCCCAGACCAGACCTGCTCGGGGAAGCTCCTTCCCGCCACCCACGTGGAAAGCAGGCCGGCCCCGCGGAGGCATGTCCCACAGCCAGACGCCGGGCCTGGCTCGCTCCCCGGGCGCCTGGGCCCCCGCCGGCGCGGGCAGAGCAGCCGTGTTACCTGTTCATCTCGAGGTCGTTCAGGCGTGCAGAGAGGTCCTCCAGGCGGGTGATCTGTCTGTGGCACTGGCTGCAGTAAAACTCAAAAGCCTCGTCCGTGAGGATGCTGTGCAGCTTGGCAGCCAGCGGGGCGGCGCTAGAGAGATGAGAGGCAAGTGTTTGGGAGTGCCCGGGTCAGCTGGGGCCAGCTCAGGAGTCCCACTGCCCCAACCCTCAGGCCATACCCGCTCGGCTAGGAAGGGCACGCGACCGCTGCTCCGTCTGGCCGGGCTCGGAGCAGGCGGCTGCGGCCCTGGGCAAACAAGACCCTCCCTGACGGCGCGGGACCGGACACTGGCTTTCCCCAGAGCCCGCGCTGCCCTGCGGGTCCCCACTGCCCCGGCAGCCACACACATGCGCTCAGTGCTCAGCCCTGCCGCTCCCTGTCATCTGACTCAGCAGTTGGTCCGGGTCCGGGGGCGCCCGCCCCCGAAGCTGGAAACCAGGGGGCAGCAACCTCACATCCACTTGGAAGTTCAGCTTCAAGAAATTACTGCCTGGGGGGCCTCCCGGGGCAGGGGTCAGTCTCAGGCAGTCACCACTGCAGGCCAGGAGCTGACCCACAGGATGCCACAGACCTCTCCTGTCTCGCAGCTGCCCCTCAGCAGTGTGTCCCAGTAGCTCTGCCTGCTCTGCTCCCCACTCTGTCTCTGGGGAGTCCTCCCACCCCCACCTGTGGCCTGCACCCCAGCGCTCGTATGCATAAGTAAGTAAATCCTTCTTTTTGTTTTAAAGACATCGCAGCAGCGAAGCAAGGAGACAAGCCACGCCGCAGCGCAGGTCGATCGGGAGAGCCGTTCCCGCCGCCCGCCAGCCACATGCGGGAAGGGGCCTGAGCTCGGCCCACCAGGACCCGAGGAGACAGGGCCGCAGCCGGGAGCACACAGCCCGGGGCCAGGGTCTCCCCTTCCCGGGCGGCTGGATGTGCAGTGGGGACCTCCCAGACAGTCTGGGTGTCAGGCAGCCGCAGGGACGGGGTCCCAGGAGCTGCCCTGAGCTGATCAGGGTTCAAACCCTGCTCTGCACCCGCAGGGTCTGAGGTCCAGCAGGGACGGCAGCGACCGGGTAGTGCCACAAACCACCCAGCCCATGACTCGCAGTGCTCAGAAGGGCGCCGAGGGGAAGCACCGGCAACTGCAGGCATGGCTGGGGCGGGAGGGGCAGGGCCAGCAGGGGTGCCAGTGTGGGGGTCAGGAGGGGCGGGGCCAGCAGGGGCCCCTGCCCAGGTCAGGAGGGGGCTGAGGTGCGGCCCCACCTACCCGGGGGTGCGGAGCACGGGGTCTCTGCTGGCCTGCTCCCCGTCGCAGAGGACTTCCACGCACGGCTCCGCCTCGCCGCCCTCCCCGAAGTCCTCGAAGTGCTCCTCGCCGCCCACAGCCACGAGGCCGGCCTGGCCGTGCAGGTGGGGCCTGCGGAGGCAAGAGGGGGACGCTGGAGGCCGGCCCACGACCCAGCATGGGCGGCACCGGCTCCCACAGCCTCCTCCAGCCTCACCCGGGCCCTGTGGTCAGGGCGCATTGGGGTCGCAAGTCTAGCCCGGGCCAGTGCGCCTCACAAGGGCTGCGCCCACTCCCCTGCCGGGAGGACAGCCCATGGCGGACAAGTGCTGGGGAGCCGGAGGGGCCTTCGCTGAGAGGGGCCGCCAAGCCTGGCCCTGGCCACCCGTGTCCTCCCTCAGAGGCAGGAAGGCCTGCAGCCCCGCCCCCACACAGAGCCCCCCCCCCCACCAGCTCGGGCAAAGCCCAGGTCGGGCAAGTGGGGACCTCACAGAGACCACCCTCGGCCTCCAAGCGGGCACGGAGAGGTGGTGGCCACCCGGGAGCCGCCCATCAGCCTTTCACGCCCTGCCTGGGAGCACAGACTGGACAAGCGGGCCAGGCAGGACCTGGAGCCAGGGAGCGGGGTGCAGCCAGCACTGGGCAGCACATCGGAGCGGGCACCAGGCCGGCCCCCAGCATGACGGTCAGGCCCCAAAGGGAGACCCTGGCTCAAAGCTGTCCACCCACCGGGCCCGAGCGCTGTGGTGGCAGACCTGAAAGGCCAAGTGACCTTGTCCGCCTATGGTCTCCGTCCACAGTGGACAAGACCCACAGCACCACAGAGTAGTGGGGCGCCCCATCCCCAGGCAGTGCCCCGAGTCCTGGCACACGACACAGACCTGCCAGGGAGCAGCAGCAGAGCGCCCTGGCCCAGCTCCTCCACGGTGTCCAGGCCCTCGGAGGCCACGGCCGAGCCGCCAGCACTGTCGGCGTCACCCTCGGGCTGCAGCTCGGGCTGCGCCAGGGCGCTGGTGTCCTCATCTGTGAAGGTCTCGCACTCGCTGAAGGTGCCCTCAGAGCCCATGTACGCGCTGTCCGTGACCTCGGTGGCCTGGGGAGAGCGCCCCCAGTCAGTCCTGCCCCGGGAGGCCACACTGGGCGCAGCTTCCCTGCAGGCCGGGGGTGGGCGGCAGGGCAGAGGAGGGGGGCCTGCCTGGTGTCTGAGCAGAGGCGGGCACAGGTGGTGTCGGGGGCAGAAGACGCGACTGGAGTGACCTCTAGAGCGTGTGCTACAAACGTCCCTAACAGACCCCCATGCCGCAGGCCGCACCGGGCAGGCCTCAGGACCCACTGCCCGAGGGCCCTCCCTAGCCGGAGGTCGCCCCCCGCAGGCGCGGCAGCTCCACCCCCTGCTCGTGCAGGTAGGTCAGGCTGGGTTCCCACGAAGCCTCCCGCCAGCCCTCCACCCAGCCAGGCCCGGGGCCGGCGACCTGCGGCTTCCACGCGGTGCCCACGCCGTGAGCAGGAAGCCAGGCCAGAGAACCACCGAACAGGCGTTGCGGCCTTGAATAAAACGCAGCTCCGGAGCGAGGAGCAGCCACCGTGAGGCCCTGAACCGAGGTTAACACTTTGCCCGACGTACGACCCCAGCCAGCTGCCCAGGGCTGGAGAAGGGGCCTGCGCCGGGGACCTCAGTGGACGGGCACAGCCCTCCTGGCCTCCCCCACCTGCCTGGGCACGGGCCAGGGCCCTCCCCCTCCCCGCAGGCGCCACGGCGGGCAGGCTGCCCAAACTCCACGGCCAGCATGCCAGCCCCCTTGCCCGGGCGCCACCCGAGAATCCCCCATGGCGCGGGAAGACCCCCAGACTCTGACGGCACAACAAGAACCAGGGATGGCTGCCGGGCCCTCCGTGGAACCGCCACGCTCTGGTCCTGTCGGTGAGGGCGGGCCCACACCGGCCTCCCAGGCCAGCCGCCTCTGCGAGTTCCCGTGGGGGCGGGAGCCGAGGCTGGAGGCCGGCACCGGGGACATGCGCCCCAGCCCAGGCAGCCCTGGTGGGGGCGGCCCTGCCCCCCGGCCCGGCCCCCATCCGGGTCGGGCACCTCGGGCCACTGTCCACAGGGGCAGAGAGGCTGGAGACAATGTCGCCGGGCTCCCCGCTAGGGCCTGGCCAGTCTCAAAGGTGGGGCAGCGTTCACCCACCACTGACCTCCTTCCCAAGGGCACCCACCCACGTCCCATGCTCAAAGGCTCAGCGGGGGTCTGGCCTGCGGTAGCCGGGCACTCAGAGGGTCCCAGCCCTCCACGGAGTCCGGCGCCCAGAGCCGTCTCAGAGCTCACCACCTGCACCTTCACCGCGGCCACTGCCCGGTCGGCTCTCCTGGGGGACACCGCTGCCCTCACCACGTGCCCGCACCCCCACGTAGCACTTCACCTCAGGGGCCAGCCCCGCAGTCCCCACGCTCGGGCCAGGGGCAGGTCGCGCCCCGGGAGACGGCCACCGCATCGCCTGGCCACACTCCACACGTCCGTCCGTACAGGCCACTGGCTTCACTCCGTGGACACCGGACACCACAAGGACCCCCGATATGCCGGGCAAGCTGAGTTTCTGCAAAGCCGCGCATCCACCTGAAGCTGCACCCCCGCTCGGACACGCTCTGTTAAGCCCCGGCGCTGACCAGGGAGGAGGCGAAGTCCAGGGCGTCCTGCAGGCTCCTCTCTCGCAGCGGAATAGAGCGGCCTTTGTCTCTCCCCGGCGCTCCCGCGCGCCCTCTGATAAGGGCGCATAGGACGTGCCCGTGGGGCTTCCGCCCGCTCCGGGCAGGCGGTGGGCGGTGGAGCTGTGCTGTTCTATGGCAGCCCAGCTGCCCGGACGCCTGTGGCCAGCACCATAGGCCTGTGCTCCCCCACCCTCGACTCCAGCAGGCTCCTGGATGAGGGGCTTCCTCTGGCCGCTCTGCAGAGGCCGGCCCTGGTCGTGGGTACGTCGCAGGGACATGTCACCAGCCGGAGTCACGGGCGGCTGGGGCTGCCACCTAGCAGGTTAGGGCTAAGGCTTTAGGGGATGGGGCTAGGTGTTAAGGTTAAGGTTGGGGCCAGTGTTAGCAGTTAGGGTGGGGGCTGGTTACAGTGCAAACCCAAGGCTACTGGGCTGCAGCAACGCAACACCAATACACAGGGGCTGTAGCCCGTCAGGGACAGGTCACTGTCTGTGGGTCTCACAACTGCAAGAGACCGCGGGCTCCCGGAACAACCACGGGGTTTATTTGACAAACGGGGGAGACAAAGAGCTCACTGTGGCCACAGGTCGTGGCCACCAGAAGCGTGAGCAGACTGCCGGTCACCTGTCAACAGAGCTGGACCACTCTGGCCAGCAGGGATGGTGACCGCTGGTCCCCCAGAGGCGGTGTCAGAGACACCCAGTGTGAAGAGCTCCTTCTGAGGTGTTGGGAGACACCGACGACAAACAGCTCTTTGAGATGCCAGGCCGGGGCCTCGGGGGCTCCCTTCAGGGGTGGGGAGACGGACAGAGACCCTGTCCCTGCACAGGTCTTTGGCTTCTCTCCTTCCTCGGAGGTCAGCTGCTGGACGCTTGCTGTTCCTTCAGAATCTGGAACAGTGTCCCCAGAGCTCCCGCCAGCCCTGCCTTATATCCCCTCAGGGGGCCCCACCTGCTAGTCTAATTCGACCATTTTTTTTTAATCCTGTAGCCAATTGGACAATTTAGCACCAATTGGCTCACAGCTCGCACCTGACTAGTCCCACCCACGAACCTGGCGCTGTGTGTAAAAGGGAGGCTGCTGGGCTCCGAGAAACCACAGTCAGAGCGGCCTGTGGAGGAGCAGCAGGTGAGAGGCCACTGCTGCTTCAGGCCCCCACCCCGGCTGGGGCGGCTGCGTTCCTGTGCCACGCCTGCCACGACCTCCTAGAGACACTGACCCGTGGAGTGTGCAGAGACCCTCTCAGGCCAGGCTCCCAGGCCCCAGGGGTCGCATCTCCTGGGAAATACTCACCCACCATAAAGAAACAAGGACTTGACGCCCCTCAACAGTGTAAAGGAGAGCAAAGCAAAGGTGTCTGACGGGACCAGATGCCTGTTCGCCCACCACCTAAGTGGCTGGTTCCCCACAGCTCTGGTGACTACAGGCCTCCTGGCACCTGCTGCGTGGCCAGCCTAACCCAGGCCTGCAGGCGTGCCGCCCAGCACTGCGGGCCCACGTAGGTCAGTAGCCTCTTCGCATGGGCCTCACACCTGCCGAGTCCTGCACAGCCACAGTCCCGCAGCTGGACGCTGCGCAGCTGGACACACACCACGCAGCTGGACGCTGGCTCTGCAGCCAGGCCACAGAGTGGACACACTAAGCAAAGCCCAACGGGGACCCAAGGTGGACTCGTCCTTGGCCTCAGAAGCCCAGGCCCGCCAGTACTTGAGGGCAAGCCGTGAGGGTGCGCCTGGCACTGAGGGTCAGGAAGTGCCCATGCACCCCCGGGTGCTCCTGTAAGGGCCCAGCCTCCGTGGTCTAGAGGAGCCGCTCAACTGGGCTGCAGTTTACCCAGGGCTGCTGCCCCGCCCCAGCAGCCCCCATCCGGCCATGCAGCCACGCAACACTCCTGCCCCTGGAGAGGCGGGCTGGGGCTGTCCCTCAGACCCTCGGACACCCCATCCCGCTCTGTCACGGGCACGCAGGCCTGGCCTCCACCTGCTGCCTCTGCTGCTCACCTCGTAGGTGATGAAGTCATCAAACTCGTCTGGGCAGGTGGGGGGCTCCTCCTCTTGGGCTGGGGGGACCCCGCACAGCTGGCCTTCGGGGTCTGTGGAGAGAAGCACGAGCCCTGGCCTCCAGCTCGGGGTGCACAAGCCCTCCCTGCCCCTTCTGCCCCAGAGTGAAGCTGAGGCTACGGCAGAAACTCCCCTGCTGCCCGCACGCCCCGCGCAGGCCACCCCACACCAGCCCCCTCCAAGGCCGGCCCAGGCCTGCAGCGCACTGTGCCCCGCCCCCGCAGAGGTGCTCAGGCGGCCCCTCGCTCCGCCTCCTGGACCCCCTCCCTGAGACCCGCTCCGGATCCGCCTCAAGCACTTGACTAGCCAGGCGCCGCGTGCCCATGCCGAGCTGACGCCAGTGAGAGAGGTCACTGCGCCCTTGGACACCAGGACGCTTTCAAATCACCCGCGAGTCAAAGAAAAAGTCAAAGTGGATTTAAAACTACGAAGAACCCTGGAATCAGGCGGCGCTCCCGGGCCTCTGGGGACCCCGCCCTGCCGGGGCGCGAGTAAAGGCCAAACCGCGGCAGGGCGAGCCCCAAGGTCCCGCGCAGCCCTGACGCCCAGGGCCGGCCAGGGCGGGGTCCACGCAGGTCCCCTCTGGCCACGCAGCCAGAGGCGAGCGGAGCCCGGTTCGCGTGGCAGAGGAGCGCAGCGGGCACTTCGCCAACGATGGGCGCAGATGGCCGAGCCAGGAAGGCTTCGGCCCCGTCACCAGGGAAACGCAGCCCAAGCCCCCACGAGGCAGCTGCGCTCGGCCGTGCGCGAACTCGGGAAGGACTGCGGGGAGCCCCAGGGAGGACTTGGGTGAGGGCTCCGGAAGGAATCCAGGGAGGACTGGGGGGGGCCCAGGAAGGACTTGGGGAGCATTTGGGGGAGGATTTGAGAGGACTTTGGAGCCCTGGGGCAGGGGTTGGCGTGGGGACCTGCCTCTGGGGGGCGACCCTGAGCCTCTAATCCACCGACCGTGTGAACGATGCCACCTCGACTGAAACACAAAAGCAGGGACGACCTGCACAAGCTCCCGCGGGCCAGGGGGCTGCCGGGGCAGGTGGGCAGCTCCCAGGCTCCACAGGGATGCCCCGCACGTGCGCCCCCGCCCGCCCGCCCGCGGGACCCGCCAGCAGCACAGGAGGCTGCAGCGGAGCCTCGGCCACGCAAGGCTGCCCCGGGTGGCCGTGAGAGGACGCCCTGAGCGCAACACGTGCGCCCCAGAGTCCAGGCATGGCCCCGCTCGCCCCGGCTGCGTGCCTCGCTGCTGCCCTGGCGGGGACAGCCCGGGCTGGGCATCCAGCCCGGGCCAGGGCGGGCCCTCCCGCTTCTCCACTAGGGAACGGGGTCTGTCGTGGGGCAGGCAGGCGCCTCTGCAGTGGCCACCGCAGGGCGTGGAGGCCGGAGAGCGTGTCCTGAGCCAGCACAGCCAGAGCAGCGGGGGGAGGAGGCCACACGGTGAGAATACACGGGGTGGGGACATGCAGAGGCGGGACGGCACGGGCACTGACCTCCATTTCTGATGGCCGAGATGCCCCGGTAGAAGTCTTCAAAGCTGATCACACCAAGCCCGCCGGGATCCAGGTACCTCGTTAAATCCTTCACCTGCAATTGCAGAGAAGGTATCAGCAGGCGAGCGGCGGGGGCAGGTGGCGCTGGCAGCGGCCAGAGCATCCTGGAGCCAGGACAGCAGCCACCGGACAGCCGCTGGGGGAGGCCGGCGCTGGACACAACGCCCTGCAGGAAGCTGCCCTGGGGCGTTCCGGGCACCGAGCCCTAGGGACACCCCCGGACCCACAGAGTGGGCGGCACCCCTGGCTGGGGCGCAGGAGTCGGCGCTTCAGGGAGGCGGTTCCGTCCCCAAGGGGGCCTGAGTGTCCTCAGGACTTAGAGTGCGTGCAGTTCCCACACGAGCACACTCGAACCACGGGCCACAGGCACGACACTGGTCCCCAGGCTGCACCATAGGCCCAGGCTACGGGGACCCCGGTGGGCGGGTCCCGGCAGGTGGGTGGGTGCGAGCCGGGGCCCGCCGTGCGCAGAGTGGCTGCAGATGGGTATTTGGCGGCGGGCACCTGGAGGAGGCTGGCGGCCTGCACTGGGCGGCCACCTTCTACAGACAGGATGCCCCAGTGGCAACAACGCCCAGGCCAGTGAAACAGGCGCTACAGGTGGCACCTCTGAAGGGCCAGAGCCCTGGTTTGCGTGGGGGCCACACTGTGTGCGCAACGCTCGGAAGGTCCAGGAAAAAGGACGCGAGGTTATGACCAGCTCTCGCGCACCAGCCCTCTCGCCCCCTGCCCGAACTGACATCAGCGCGCAGCCCGCGGGTCCAATGGGTCACCGCGCGGCCGCCAAGCCAGGGCGCTGGGTGGGCATGGGTGCCACCCAGCAGTGGCGTGAGCACGCAGATCAAGACGCGACCAAGCGCCCACGGTCAGCGGGGTGGGGAGGACACCACGACTGTGGCTATGGCTGGACCCGCGCCAGGAGGGCCAGGGTCTGCTGCAGCCGGACAGCCTGGCGGCCGGGGCACCGCCTGGTGCGGGTGGGCTTCGAGGCTGAGCTAGTGGCAGCGCTGGCCTCGGAGGAAGCAGCAGAAGCGCTCTGGGTGCTCCTGACCCATACGAAACAGTCCCTCAGCACCTGCCCACGGAGCTACCCGCTGCCTGGGGCTACTGCAAGTTGGGGAAGGGGTGAGGGCAGGGCGCAGGGCCTGGTGGGGGTGTGGGCATGGAGGGGCTGTGCACTGTGGGGCTTCCTGTGGGGACGGGCCTGGCCGAGGGGCAGGGCCCTGCGGGAGGGGTGTGGCGGCGGGCGGGCCAGCAGGTTTGAGAGCATGAAGCCCGCTCAGCATCGCCCCTGCGCGACGAGCTGGCCCGGGCTTCCTCTCATGGGGACTTGCGGCTGCCCAGTGGCCCAGCCACCGCAGGGGCCTGCCCTCGGGGCCGCGCGCGGCACCAGCGTCCCGACGGCTGTCTGCTGGAGGGGCCATGTCGGGCGGCTAGATCTGCCTTCCTCGTGTTTCTCGGGCGTGTTGTGTTTTAGTGACTTTATTGGTTTTGTCTCTGGGCTTGAGGTTTTTCAGCCTCAGCAGGAGCCGCCAACCCCCGTGGCAACGCAGCAACGGTCACGTCGGATATATTTCCCGCGCAGACCCGCTCTGCACCGGGCTCTGGGCTCTGCACCGGGTACTTGGCTCTGCACAGGGCTCCGGGCTCCGCTCTGGGCCGGCGAACGTGGCCCCGCATGGTCTCCCCGCCCGAGGCGAAGCTGCGCACACGCCCGCTCTGCAAGGAGAGGCATTCAGGCCGGCTCTGGCCGGGGCTGGCAGCAGGAGTCCAAAGTCGCGTCCTCGTGGCAGCGCCCCCAGCTCCACGGCCGGTCGGGTGGGCTGCCGGTGGCGCCATTACCGGCGGCTCCTGACGGCGGGGCGCGATCCCGGGCAAGCCCAGGCCGGCAGCCGCTGCGCAGTACTGACTGGGCCAGGGATAGGGATAGGGGTGCCCCTCTGGGCCGGGGCTGCTGCATCCGGGAGGCCCCGCTGGCGCAGACCGTGGACACGGAGAGCCCTCGGCCCGGCTCTAACTACGCCGCACCCATGCCCATACCCGTCTGGCTATGGAACCGCTACCAGCCCCGTCGGGTGCGAGCCACGCGCTAACTGGTGCTGAGGAGTCCATCAGGCCCGGGGCTGAGAAAAGGCCCCGTCAGGCCATGCGGGCGGGCGCCGTGCAAGAGGCAGGAGCGAGGCAGAGCACGCCGGAGGGGCCCCCAGCGGCCCCGGGAGGAGAAAGGCAGCGTCCGGCCTGGCGGAAGGAGAGGAGCCAAGACCCTCGCAAGGACGGGGCCTCGGCCCTGCCCTACATGGCCTGCAGGGAGCCCCAGGGCCGCTGCGGGCGTCGTGCCGCCTCGAGCCGGGAACGGGGTCTCTGACGCCACCCCCAGGACCGGCGGGGACCACGCCCGCTGGCCAGCGCCGTCCGGTCCTGGGTGGCCGGCAGGGGTCTGTGGCCACGTGAGCTCTTCTTCCCACTCATGCGACGCCCGTGGCGGCTGTTCCCGGAGCCCAGCGGGCGAGCTCCGCGCCGCCCGTCCTCGCCAGCTGCAGCCACGGCCCCTGCTGCGCTGCACACGCGGTTTGGATTTTGGGGCATTTTGGCGGCTCTGGCCTCAGGGCCGGGCAGCTGCCCCCGCTGTGAGGGAGCAACCCAGAGCGCCACGGCCCCACCTGAAGGCAAGCGATGGCCTGAGGGCCAGCAAGAGGCCAGGAGGAAGCACGACCAGTGGCGGGCGGGCCATCCCACTCGTGGGGGCCAAGAGGGGCTCTGGGCTCCCCGTGGCGGTGCTTGCACAGCCCGCCGGCGGCGACAGTGCCACCCGACAGGGACAGCACCCGCGGAGGGCCGCCGGCAACGGTGGTGACGAGCGGCCAAGTGAGATAGGCAGCCCGGGGCCCCCGGAAACCCAGACTGCGAGGCCGTGAGCAGGTGGCCACCCTGCCGGCCGGGCTCCCTGGGCGTCCAAGGCCTCCCTTGCCCTGCCAGCCTGCAGGGCCCGGGGACCGCACAGCCTCGCCCTGGAGGCCCCCAGCCCCCGGACACAGGCCCCCGTGACTCACGGCGGGTTCAGGCCTCGCTAGAAACCCACAGCCTGTCCCAACAGGCACTCAGTGTGACTCAGCATTCCAGCAGGTTCTCTTGTGCGCTGGAAACGGGGGGCTGCAGGGACAGCCCTGTCACGGGCTCGAGGCCCAGGCGGGCTTCCACACCCGCAGGTCCAGCGCTGGGCGACACTGGGCCGCTAGCCATGCGGGAGAGGACATCTCTGGAAAACACCCCAGCTGCCGGGAGACCCCGCCACAGGATTTGGGGGCACCCTGCCTGCACCCAGGCTTCCCATGGGTCTGGAAGGGGTGCTGGCCTCCCTCCCTGGATGGGGCGGGGGCACAGGCCCCAGGGGCACTGCCAGGCTGGGGGTGTGGGGCGGGTGCAGGGCCAGCGGGGCGGCCTCACACAGACAGTGACACCCGAGCCCAGCTTGTCAGGCGGCCTCCGGGTCTGAGGCGCCGGTCCGTGGGAGGAGCTCCCCCGGAACGGGGTCCAGGGACCCAACAGCATGCACGTGAGTGCTCTTATCCCGGGTTTCTTTCATTTCTACAGGTTGCGGGGGACTCCGCTGGTGGGCGCCTCCGCGCCGCCTGACACCCGTGCACAGGCGCCAGCGCTGCTCTCCACGGCGACGCACGTCAGTCCCGTAGCGAGACTCCGCCAAGCCGCACATGAGCCCCCCACGCTCCCACCGGCGCACGCCCAGCCCACTCGCGCCCTGCAACCGCCGTCGCCTCTCTGGGAGGGTTTCGTCAGAGCGAGTCTGGCCGCAGACCCCGGACTCCGCAGACGTGGGGGCTGGGAAGGAGGCGCCCCCACCAGCCGCGCGGGGCCCCTCCCGGCGCCATGCCGGACCACCGCGTCATTCTGAGTCTTCCTGGGAACAGGCACACTTGGGCTTCTCGTCCAAGTACACCGTGATGCCAGAATCTTCCGGGTCAAGATGGTCATGGGGGGGAGCCCTCCAAGCGCTGAGCACCCACTTTAGCTGCTTGGCAGCCCCTTGTGATCTCAGGGTGGTGAGCCACAGGTGAGTCTGTTTTGCTTACCGGTTTCCTTCAATACGCGAGCACCTAGGGAGGCCGCACGTCCACCCGCCGGGGTCTCAAACGTCCTCCCCACGCAGCCAGTGTGCACGCAGGCACCGCCGGGGACGCCAGTGGAGTCTGCCCCAGCGCGGCGGGCTTGTCGGCCACTTGCCCCCACACCATGCTACTTCCCAGGCCTCAGAGACTCCCATGCGCTGCTTTTATATGTGTAAAAATTATTTTCAAAAGTGCAAGGAGGGCCTCCGGGTGGCACAGAGATTAAGCCTCAGCGCTATCAAACTATCACTAGCCGCTGCCTGGGTTCAACCCCCGACCAGGGAGCTGACCCACAGGGTGCAGCAGCTCTCCTGTCTCCCCGCTGCGCCCCTCAGCAGTGGGTTTCAGTGGCTCCACCTGTTCTGCTCCCCACTCTGTCTCTGATGAATCTGAGCCCCCCTCCCCGCAACTCTGGCCTGCACCCCAGTTCTTGCGTGCATAAATTAAATTTAAATCAATCAATTCGCCTGTGTTCCAATCACAGAAAGGGCATGACTACCTTCTAGCAACTCCCAGACGGCAGCACCGGAGGCCAGAGGGACCCTCGCCCAAGCCCGCACCCCTGCCCGCCCCTGCACCTGCCCACGCTCGCTGGCTCTCACACACAGGCACGAGGCCAGGCCAGGCAGAGACTGGGAAGGACACTGGGGCACCCAAAAGGCACAGCCAAAGTCCCCAGAGACCTGCCACTGTCAACCAGGGCCAGAACAAAAGGCTGGGAGACCCCAACAGGAGCAGCTCCTGCAGGCACTAGAGAGATGGACAGTCTGTCCCACGAGGGCTGTCACCACTTGACTGGGTGGGCGCTCGGTAAAGCACTGGTGGCCAATGAGAGTGTGTGAGAGTGTGTGTGTGTGTGTGTGTGTGTGTGTGTGTGTAGAGCTGGGGCGCAGGTCAGAGGTGCAGGGGTGAGAGGATTCACCAGAGACAAAGTGGGGAGCAGATGAGGCGGATCCACCAAGACAGATCCACTGAGGGGGCAGCAGGGAGACAGAAGAGGTCTGCCGTGCCATGTGGGTCAGCTCCCTGGCCAGGGACTGTAAAGGTGATAACCCCTAGGCCACCAGGGACGCCCTTCTTGGCATTCTTAAACATAACTTTCCCGTATATAAAGGCAGCACGTGGTCGTCTCCGAGGCCCGGGAAGTAACCCCTAGGCCACCAGGGAGGCTCTAGCCAGTGAGTCTTAAGCGCTCTGCTAGCGACGATAAACTGCGAAAATAAGCTTCACGCTGAAGTTAACTCCTTTGAAATATAAAGTCAAGAGAGACCCGCCCTTCCCTGGCACCCTGGGAGAGCACCTTTTACAAGTTCTGCTCTTCCCGCGTCCTCTAGGTGCTGAGGGCCCGGTGGGGGCTGGGGTCACACCTCCCAAGCAACCTGCTCCAGCCCCACACAGGTGCCCAGCCGCACCTGACCGCAAATGCGTGTTTCAGAAACATCAACCACAAGGGGGCCCCACACCCCCTTCTCCTTGCCCCTGCCCAGGAGGCCAAGTGGCCCAGGCTGCACCATCTAGACACCCCTAGCGGCAGGCAGGTGCTGCACATTAAAAATTCAGAGAACCCACTTAAATAATTTAAAGTGCCTTCACCACAAGCCAGCACACAAGGGACGCTGCGCTCGTGCCTCTGAGCGCCCCACGGAGGGGCAGGGCGGGGCTCAGCCTAGCTGAGTGGCGCCCCCAGGGGAGCCCCCCCCCTTTCGTGAGTCGGAGGCCTTGGAGCAGCCTGGGTGCCGGGTCCTCGTGTCCCGATAGCATTGCAGGCTCACAGGGCCCCGCGCTGGGGGCCTCCCGCGTCCCCTAGGCTACTCCGTTTTCAGGGAACGCTCCGCTCTTCATCGTCCCCGGCAGGTATTCTGATGGGAAAGACCCCGGTCCCAGGAAAGGCTAGCGGCTCTCAGAACAGCGTGGGCCCGCGGGGACCCCAGATGACCGGCCCAGGCCCCCGGCCCTGAGCAGAGCAGGTCTGTCTGGAGCCCCCCCAGCCCCGAGGCTTCGGGGCTCCCCCAGTCTGTGGACTCACTGCACTTTGCGAGGGTGAGAAGGTTCAGCCCAAATGCCAAACTCGGGCTTCCCCCGGTGGCCAGTCCCCGTGGGCACTGCCGCCGGGGGCCGTCTCTCAAGTGAGGGCGTCGTGGACGTCAGGAAGGGGAGACGTTGCGGGGATATTGCAACAAGCAGCCGAGAGCCACCAGCGCCGCCTCTGGGGCTTCCGGACTGTCCCCGTGGGTCCCGCTCGCCTCCCACCCCGAGAGAAGGGCCAGGACGCCTGGACCAGCCGTGGAGGCTGCCAGCACGGCCAGGGGCGGGGTGGAGGGGCCTCCCGCCGGAATGGCGAGGACCCCACGGGACACAAACCAACCGGGACCCAGGGCCGCCGCAGCCAAGGACCAGAAGGGAGCCCGGCCTGTACTCCCCGCCACGGGGTGCGGGATGCCCCCGGGACAACGAGGACCTGGCCTGGGTCCCAGATTGGGGGGGACGACGCCCTCCGCACCCGGGCTGGAGGCGCACGCGCGCACCTCTTCACAGGGGCGCCCTGAGGGGCGGGGGCCGCCTGCCTGCGCCCAGCGCCCGCTGTCAGTGAGAGGCCCCTGCAGGGACGGGTCTGCTCAGGAGCTGCCGAGCCCCGCGCCGGCCTGGGCGGCCGCCCGCCCCTCCCCACCGCCGGGACCGGGGCCGCCCCAGAGCAGGGGCGCCCGGCGCGTGCAGGGGGCGGGCAGGGGGCGGGCCGGCCGGAGGGTCGGGGCTCCCGCGGCCCCCTGCACGCCCCGCCCCGCCCCGCCCCGCCCGCCGCCTCCCCAGCCCGCGCGCGGCAGGCCCGGCCGCCCCGCCCGCTCACCTGCTCGGCGCCGTAGACCGTGGCGAACTGCACGAAGTCCGCGGTGCGCACCAGGCCGTCCCCGTCGCCGTCCAGGGCCTCGAACACGGCGCGCAGGCGGGGGCCGTCCTCCGCCCGGCCGGCGGGCTCGCGGGCGGGCGGGCGGGGCGGGCCGCGGTCCGGGGGCCGGCCGGGGTCGGCGCGCCCCCCCTCGAGCGCCGGCCCGTCCCCCGCGGGCGGCAGGGCGGGCAAGGGGGCGGCCTCGGGGCGCGCCGGGCCGGCGAGGCCCCGCTCCGGGCAGGGCGCGGCGGCGGCGGGGCCCGGCCCCGGCTCGGGGTCCGAGGGCGGCTCGGGCGCGGGGTCCGGCTCGGTCTCGGGGTCCGGGCGCGCCGCCCCGCCCGGGACCCGCGCCCCGCCGCCCCCGCCCGGCCCCGCGGCCCGCCCGGCGCGCAGGCCCGGCCCGGCCCCGGGCTCGCGGCTCCCGGGCGGCGGGCGCGGGGCGGGGGCGGCCGCGGCGCCGGGCTCCATGCTCAGGGGCGCGGCCGCGGCCCGCGGGCCCCGCGGCGCGGGCGGCAGACAAAGGCGCGCGGGGCGCTCAGGGCGCGGGCATCCCGGCGGCGGCGGCGCGGGCGGGCGCGCGCGGGGCGCCCGGGCTGCTGCGGCTGGCGCTCGGGCCCGGCTCCGCGCTCGCCCATCTTGGCGCGCCTCAGCGGGCCTCGGCCGGGCGGCGCGGCGGGCGCGGGCCCATGGCGGCGGGGAGGCGGGCGGCGCGAGCGGGCGCAGCGGGAGGATGCTGAGGCGGCGCCGCGGGCTCCGGCCGACGCCGCCGGCCGCGTGACGTCAGCACGCCGCGCCGCGCGGCCCGCCCCGCCCCCGCCCCGCCCCCGCCGGCCGCCAGAAGGCCCGCCCCGCCCCGCCCCCGCCCCGCCCCGCCCCCGCCGGCCGCCAGAAGGCCCGCCCCGCCCCGCCCCCGCCCCGCCCCGCCCCCGCCGGCCGCCAGAAGGCCCGGCCCGCCCCACCCCCGCCCCGCCCCGCCGGCCGCCAGACAGGCCCGCCCCGCCCCCGCCCCGCCCCCGCCCCGCCCCCGCCGGCTGCTGGACAGGCCCGGCCCCGCCCCGCCCCCGCCGGCTGCTGGACAGGCCCGCCCCGCCCCCGCCCCCGCCCCGCCCCGCCGGCCGCCAGAAGGCCCGCCCCGCCCCGCCCCCGCCCCGCCCCGCCCCCGCCGGCCGCCAGAAGGCCCGGCCCGCCCCACCCCCGCCCCGCCCCGCCGGCCGCCAGACAGGCCCGCCCCGCCCCGCCCCCGCCCCGCCCCGCCGGCCGCCAGAAGGCCCGCCCCGCCCCGCCCCCGCCCCGCCCCGCCCCCGCCGGCCGCCAGAAGGCCCGGCCCCCCCCGCCCCGCCGGCCGCCAGACAGGCCCGCCCCGCCCCGCCCCCGCCCCGCCCCCGCCGGCCGCCAGACAGGCCCGGCCCGCCCCGCCCCCGCCCCGCCCCGCCGGCCGCCAGACAGGCCCGCCCCGCCCCCCCGCCCCCGGCCGCCAGACAGGCCCGCCCCGCCCCCGCCCCGCCCCCGCCGGTCGCCAGACAGGCCCGGCCCGGCCCACCCCGCCCCCGCCCCCGCCCCGCCCCCTCCGGCCGCCAGACAGGCCCGGCCCACCCCGCCCCCGCCCCGCCCCCGCCGGCCGCCAGAAGGCCCGCCCCGCCCCGCCCCCGCCCCGCCCCGCCCCCGCCGGCCGCCAGAAGGCCCGGCCCGCCCCACCCCCGCCCCGCCCCGCCGGCCGCCAGACAGGCCCGCCCCGCCCCCGCCCCGCCCCCGCCCCGCCCCCGCCGGCTGCTGGACAGGCCCGGCCCCGCCCCGCCCCCGCCGGCTGCTGGACAGGCCCGCCCCGCCCCGCCCCCGCCCCGCCCCCGCCCCCGCCCCGCCCCCGCCGGCCGCCAGAAGGCCCGCCCCGCCCCGCCCCCGCCCCGCCCCGCCCCCGCCGGCCGCCAGAAGGCCCGGCCCGCCCCACCCCCGCCCCGCCCCGCCGGCCGCCAGACAGGCCCGCCCCGCCCCGCCCCCGCCCCCGCCCCGCCCCCGCCGGCCGCCAGAAGGCCCGCCCCGCCCCGCCCCCGCCCCGCCCCGCCCCCGCCGGCCGCCAGAAGGCCCGGCCCGCCCCGCCCCGCCGGCCGCCAGACAGGCCCGCCCCGCCCCGCCCCCGCCCCGCCCCCGCCGGCCGCCAGACAGGCCCGCCCCGCCCCCGCCCCGCCCCGCCGGCCGCCAGACAGGCCCGCCCCGCCCCGCCCCCGCCCCGCCCCCGCCGGTCGCCAGACAGGCCCGGCCCGGCCCACCCCGCCCCCGCCCCCGCCCCGCCCCCTCCGGCCGCCAGACAGGCCCGGCCCACCCCGCCCCCGCCCCGCCCCCGCCGGCCGCCAGACAGGCCCGGCCCGCCCCGCCCCCCCCCCGCCCCGCCCCCGCCGGCCGCCAGACAGGCCCGGCCCGCCCCGCCCCCGCCCCGCCCCCGCCGGCCGCCAGACAGGCCCGGCCCGCCCCGCCCCCGCCCCGCCCCCGCCCCGCCCCCGCCGGCCGCCAGACAGGCCCGGCCCGCCCCGCCCCCGCCCCGCCCCCGCCCCGCCCCCGCCGGCTGCTGGACAGGCCCGGCCCCGCCCCGCCCCCGCCCCGCCCCCGCCGGCTGCTGGACAGGCCCGCCCCGCCCCGCCCCCGCCCCCGCCCCGCCCCCGCCGGCTGGAAAGGTCGGTTCGCGCGGGACCCCGACCCTCGGTTCACGGCCTGGGCGAGCGCGGCGCTGACGGGGGCGGCACCCCCAGGCGACATCGTGTAACTGGCGCGCAGGCTGAGACAGTCCGCGGAGGAGAAGCGCGGCGGGGGGTCCCCTGAGGGCGCGGTGCCCGCCCCGCGCAGCCTCCAGCGCCGCGCGCCCGCAGGGCGCCCCCCGCGCGCACCCCCAGCGCGCCCCTCCTCGGCACCGCTCGGGGCGCTGCGCCTGACGCCGGTCGGGCTCCGGTGACGCCCCTGCCCGGGCGAGCGGACCCGGCACCGGCGGGAGCGGCCGCTGCCCCAGGTCCCCGGAGGGGCCAGCGCTGGAGACCCCGCGCGGGGGACGCTGGAAACCTCCCCGGGAGCCCTCGGGTGGGAGGAGGTCCGGGCCCTGGAGCAGGAAGCCTCCTCCTCGGCCGCCTGGAGCCCTGGACCTGGGCTCGCCGGAGGGGAGGCTGCCGATCCCGCCCCGCCGCAGCCCCCCCTCGGGCTCGCGGAGCGCCTCGCGCGGGCTTCAAGGCCGCGGCGCTGCAGGGCCGCCCGTGCCTGCCCACCTCTGCTGCGCAGCGGGGAGGGACGCCTCCTGCCCACCTCGCCCACCAGCTCCCACAGGGCTCCCGGCTTGTCCTTCCAGCCGAACCCCTCCTCAGCACCCCTTCTGCCGCCCCTGGCCCCGTGGACGGAGGCACTGAGCAAGGGTAGTCGTGAGCCTTCCCTTCAGCCTCTTTGGGGCTAATTATAACGGAAAACAGCCCCTTCCCGAGCCAGTTACCAGAAACGTCTCCACCAGTCCGGACGCCGCAGCCACAGAGCGGCCACGCTGCCCAGGCCTCCGGGGGAGAGCAGGGCGGAGGCCCGCAGACACGGCCGGCCCGCAGCGCAGCAGGAGCCTCTCGCCTCCGGCTCAGCGGCGCGGGCACAGCACTGAAGAGAGAGACTGAAATTTAAAGGCGGTGAAAGCCCCCCCCCCCCCCCCCCCCCCCCCCAGCAGGACAGGAGTCAGACGGCGGGGCCGGGCGGGGCCCGTGGAGGCCGCGCACAAAGGGTGCGTGAGCCACACCTCGGGCGCAGGACGGTGGCACCGAAGCCAAGAGCCAAGGCATGGACACAGAGCACATGGCCGCACTGCCTAGCCGATGGGATGGCATGGCGCGGGCCCCAGCCCAAGAGCTCGAGGAGCGGGACGGGGAGGCAGACCCAGCCCTCGCCCTCATGCAGAGCAAAAAGCCTCGGAGAGCCGGGGGGGGGGCAGCTGAGGTGGCTGAGAGGTTCGGGGGCTGCATTCTCAGCGAGGAGGCAACCTGGGGCTCTGGGTGGGGCGCCCTCCAGTGCAGCTGACCCTGCTGACCCCTCCCGGAAGCCCGTCTCTTGGGTCGCATGGTAAGGGCTTCACGGTGGCGCGGGTTATCTCAGCCGCCGGGCTGGGCAGCGAGGGCAGCCCACAGGCACACGCCCAGCGCTCCTGAGGCTGAGACCGAGACCCCTGGGGGATGCTGGCACACACCTGGCAGAGGGGCCCTGCTGTCCTAGAAGCCACCGGTCCACCCCGAGGTCCCGACCCGGACCCCAGCCGCCTCTGAGGCCTGGGGTGGGGCTCCCGCTACAAATCCAGGGGTAAGTTCAGCACAGAGGCCTGGGGGAAGATGGCAGAATTTCATAGTTGAGCACCTTTAAAAATTTTTAAAATTTCTCTCCCCAAACCTCAGGGGCACCCGCCTATGTGTCAATGACCACGGGCTCTTTCCAGGGTACACAAAGGGTCCCCCCAACCATGAAAAGGACGGCAGCCTCACCACAGCCGAGTGGTCGGAACAGGTAGCCCCGGGGGACACCGGCTGACAGCAGGAAGGGTGCTGGCGGGTGAGGGAGGGGGCGGGCGAGGGAGGGGTCTATGGCCACCCGCTCCTCTCCCTCTCGCGCACACTCAGGAGGCAAGGGAGGGTCAGCCACGGCGTCTGCTGTGTGCAGCCAGCCCCTGCGGGACCAGCTCTGCGGGCAGCACCCCACGACCACAACCCAGCCCCATGGTGCCTACAGGCTGGGCAGAGGGATGGCTGGGGTGAGGGGCAGCTTCAGCCGCAGCTGTGACATTTATGCTGGAGGCCGTGCGCCTGTCCCTCAGGGCAGACGAAGGTGAGCGCCGAGTGCCCTGGTCTTGTCAGCACAGCATCATAATTTCGCTATTAAACAATTTTAAAATAAATACGTCCTTGGGCCTCCCCGGGGGCGCAGCGGTTGAGCGCTGGGCTGCAAAGCTGCCCGCAGCCTCTGCAGCGCCAGTTCGATCCCCGGCTGCTCCCCGGCCGCCAGGCGAGGGTCCCACATGGCGCGCAGACCTCTCCTGCCGCCCGCTGCTCCCCTCAGCAGTGTCCTTCGGTCCTTCTGCCTGCTCTGCTCCCCGCTCTGGCTCTGGCGGATTCTCTCACCCTCCCGCGCTTCTGACTGTCCCCAGTGCTTGTATAAAACAAAACAAGCAAACAAATAAATAAATAAATAAAGCATGCCTCTATTAAAAAAAAAAAAAAAGAAGAAGAAATAAATAAATCTTAAAAAATAAAATAAATACGTCCTCACCCCAAAGCCTCAAGGATGCCCCCCATGGGCTCCCTGCAGTGTCCCTGGGCCGCGGGGCTGTGTCCTGGCGTCGGGGGCCTGGCCACCCAGCGTCAGCACCGCGCTGCCCCACCAGAGGACTCTGCTGCTAGCGTCCACGTCCGAAGTGATTCGTGTATTAAGTCGGGTTGGGAGGAGGAATTGGAGTGGACTGACCTGGGGCCGGTCGGTGGGGTGTCCAGGTCTGGGCTCCCTGCATGGGCAGAGGGCCACTCTGGGCCGGACGCAGGTGCCTGGGCGGGGAGAGGCGCTGCCGCCAGAAACCGGCTGGGCGGGCCCCTTCGCAGGGCTTTGTCCCCCAAGCCCCGCCTATTGGCCCGGACCCCAGGTCCCCGGGCGACAGGGCCAGGGCTGGGCACCGGCCAGCACTTAGTGCAGGCTCCCGCCTGCCCAGCGCTCCCCGGTCAGCACAACCAAAGGCTGCGGCCGGCCCTTGAACTCGGGACCCTAAACACTGAGCCCGCGTCTGGCTCGGGGCTGCCGGGGCTGCACCGGCTCGCGGCACTCACTCAGGAGCGGGAGCTTTTCTCACCGTCAAATTTAGCAAGCGAGGAGCCAAAATAGCCGCGTCTGAAGGCACATCTATCGCGCCTGACTCAGCGAGCGATGCCCCCATTTAACGCGTCGGCGCGGCTGGGGCCGGTCCCTGTGGGGGCAGAGTCCCCGCCCCGAGGCCCCAGCCGTGAGGCTGCAGACGCTGTGGCCTGGGTCCGCCCCGAGACCCGCTGACCCGCGGGGCAGGGGAAGGGCGGGTCCCACCCGGAGGCCGAGCGCCATGGGGGGCCCCCAGGGGGACCCCACGGCCTCCAGGCCGCGCCCCGCTGCCCCCGCCCGTCCTGAGCCCTGCGTGGGGCGGCGGCATTGAGACCCCCACCCCGGGCTCTCGGGTCTAGCCCCAGGCTGGCCAGGCCCAGGCCACACCGAGTGGACGCGCGGCGCCGTCACTGCAGCGGCCCCCTGCGTGAGGGGGAAACTGGCCGCCCGCGAGCCGCAGGCCGAGCCCAGGAGCCACCGGTGCCGGTTGGTTCCAGTTGCTGTGCACCTGGAGGGGGCCGGGCCCGGGCCTGGGGGTCCAGGTCTTGGGGATGGGAAGCCGGGTCGGGGGCCCAGGGCTCGGGGAGGGGGCCGGGGAGTCGGAGGGAGGGAAGGACGCCTCTCAGCCCAGAGCCAGGCCCCGCGGTGGGGCCCCAGCCCTCCGCCTGCTCCAGGAGGCGCCCAGGTCTGGACGGGGGCTGCTGGCCTGCGGGTCAAGGGCGGCAGGGTGGAAGGGAGCCAGCGCCAGCGAGCGGGCGGGAGGCCGCCCCCAGAGCCGGGCCGCAGGAGGGCAGGGGCTGGGTGGGCGCCCCGGGCCGGGGCCTCCGCCCCTCCCCGGTAACCTGGGGACCAGGCGCCACCCACGGCTCACCGGTCGCCACAGCAACTGGAGGCGCAGCCAGAGACTCCCGCCCACAAGGCTCTGCTATTCTGGGGCAGCCCGGAGCTGTTCCCCGCCCTCCATGTCACTGGGACCAGCGCGGGGCCACGTCAGAGTGGGCTGGGCGGGCGCTGGATGCCACCATCGGCTGGTCCAGCCGGGGTCCCAGGGGCCCCCACACTCGGGCCATGTGCCTGTCCCACCAAGACCGCAAGTGCCGAGGGCCTCGGAGCCGCTGGAGGGGCGGGCGGGCAGGCCCTGCGGTCCCGCGCATGGACGCTGCCCTGGCCGGGGGCCCCTGCGGTGGCGTCCAGCCAAGCCCAGCCCGTGGCAGGGGCTCTGGCCCACGGGGCCTGTCCCCAGCCGCTGGGTGCACCCCGGGCCTGGCCGGCCTCTGCCCGCGGGTGAGGGGGTGCAATCCCGGCCTCGGTGTCCTCGTGTGCTTTCACGACCATCGGCTTCTCGCAGGCGTTTCCCAGGCCAGGCCTGGCTCTCTGGCCCATTCCAGAGCTTGCGGCTTGGGGCTCAGGGGGCGCCCCTGGGGGCGCCCTGGCCACCATCACTCCCCGCTATGCTGTGGGAGCCAGGCCTGGGGGGTGGGAGGTGGCCTGAGTTCCGTGAGGGCTCATGGGAGGGGGGGGCAGAGACAGTGGCCCTGGCAGATTGGACGGGGCTCCCACCGCCCGCCCCCCGCTGGGCCCTGCGCGCTCACCGCGGACGGGTGGTGGGACGCTGACCCTCCCCCAGACGGCCCGCTTGTAGCCCCACGTGTTTCCTTTTCCTGCTGAAACTTTTGTAAAGTCCAGTGAATAGACACCTTCGTGGCAAAAAGACGAATTTTGAAGGAAATGAAATTTATGGCAAGATTCTAAAGCTGCGGTAGGGAGATGGGCAGCATAGCCGGGGAGGGAGACGTGAGCCTGCAGGACACAGCACACTGGACGCCGGGGGCCCCTCCTGAACTCCAGAGCCCGGAGGCTCCTGAACAACCGAGGGGCTCCATGGGGATGTCCCAGCTGTGGGGAGCAGCCCCGGGCACGTCAGCAGGCACTGGACGCGGGCAGGACGAGACAGGCCTGCCTGGCTGGCTGGATAGCACAGCCCAGCAGAGCAGCTCCAGGTCCTGGATGGCCTCCCGTAGCTCGGCACATCCCACTCCGAGGCAGCCCCGCCATGCTGGCCTGGCCCTGCAGATGCCTGTCGGGAGGGCAGCTCAGCAGGCCGGCTCGCTGCCCAGTCCCGCCTGCCCAGGCCAGTGCACCGGAGGGAGGGAACGTGGATGCAGCTGCTCCCTATGCCCGCCAGCATAGAGAGCACCTGCAGAAGCACCAGAGACCGGGTCACCGGGAAGCCAGGGCACCTGCCTCCCACCCCACCAGCTGTGTCCACCCGGCCGCAACCCAGGACACCAGGCCGGCACGGGGCAGGACTGGGCAGCCCGGGCATGGGCACTGGGGGCTGCTGGCCAACACATCAGAGCCCTGCTGAGGCTACACCTGTGCCCCCGCAGGGTGCCCAGCCCAGCCAACGCCCCTGGGTCAGCCCACCAGCGCCCCCACAGGGCCAGGTCCCCTCAAGTCCACCAGGTTCCCGCCACCCCACTGGGACCAGGCGCACCGGGCAGAAGGGCTTGGGGGCTCGGAGACACCATCCTGGTGGGGATGCTGCTCAGGGCAGGGAGGGGCAAGTTTGCGGGGGCTCCTGCCATACCTCCTCCCGCCCTGACTCCAGCCTGTTGTGTGGGGCAGTGGGAAGCAGGCAGGCGAGGACATGCAGGGAGGCGCCCGCGGGTGGAGGGGGCACAGGGCCCTCAGCGAGGCCGGGCCACCGGACGGGTGACCAGGGGAGTGGCCAAGGGAGGTCACAGGGGTGGGGGGAACCGGGGGCAGGTTGCTGAGGGGGTGCCCGGGTGGGTGACAGGGGCGGAGCCGCTTGTCACCTAGAGCCTAGCAGAGGGGGGCTCCCCGCGGCCCAGCAGCCCGGGGTCGTTGGGCAGTGTCAGCCACGCCCCGCCGTCCACCACCAGCAGAGCTCCGGTCACGTAGGAGGCCAAGGGGCTGGCGAGGTAGAGCGCGCCGTGGGCCACCTCTGTCTTGTTCCCCAGCCTCTGCAGGGGGCTGGCCTGGACCTTCCTGCTCACGCTGTCCGGGGGGCCGCCTGGAGGGCAGCAGGCGTCAGCACTGGGCCCCGCGGTCCCCGCTCTCCTGGTGAGGCAGGCGGCTGCGTGGGGCACTCCCAGCCCAGCGAGGTCTCCCACCCGCACCCTGCCACGTCCTGAGGCTCTAGGGGTGCCCGGATGGGGCCCGCCGGCCGCGTCCTTTCGGCCTCCAGGGAGCAGCTGCCCACCGGGTCCTGGGCCCGGTGCCTGTGGGTGTGCACTGGCCGGCAGGCCTGCCCAGCGTGGGGCGGCCCTCTGGCGGCAGGGGACCCCGAGGCCAGACCCGCCAGGGCTCCCGGGGCTCACCCAGCCGACGGAAGCCCTCGGTGCCACTGATGGGGCCGGGGGCCAGGCTGTTGACGCGGATGTTCTGGGGACCCCACTCCACCGCCAAGTGCCTCGTCATGGCATCTGCCGGTGGGGAGGGCAGAGTGAGGGGGCAGCGCCCTGGCTGGGCTGCGGGCACCCCGCAGGGCGGGGCGAAGGCGAGGGCCGCAGCGGTCGGGGCGGGGCGGGGGCGGGGCCAGCGGGGCCGGGGGCGGGGCAGACGGGGGCGGGGCATCGCGCAGGGCGGGGTCGGCGGGCGGGGCCAGCGGGGCCACGGCCGGCGGGGGCGGGGCATCGGGCGGGGCGGGGCCGGCGGGGCGGAGCAGCGGGCGGGGCGGGGCGGGGCCGGCGGGGCGGGGCGGGGCCGGCGGGGCGGGGCCGCGGACGGGGCGGGGCCGGCGGGGCGCGGGGCGCGGGAGGGGGCACGTACCCACAGCCGCCTTGGCCGAGCCCGCGTGCAGCTGGAGCGCGCAGCCGCGCATGCCCAGGGTGGCCGTGATGTTCAGGATGACCCCTCCGTGCTCCTGCAACGCGCGAGGCGGGCGTGAGCGCGTGGCCGGCGGGCGCCCCGGCCCGGGGATACTCACCCGAAAGAACTTCTCGTGGAGCGCCCGGGACACGTTGAAGCTGCCCAGGGCGTCGATGTCCATCACCGTCTTGAAGGCGTTGAAGGACAGGGCGCTGGCGGGGCACAGGAAGTTCCCCGCGGCACCTGGGGGCGGGGCCGTGGAGCCGGCGAGCACGCGCCCTCGCGGCCAGCGCGGGACGGGGCGCCGCGGGCTGCGCGGACACGGCCCTGGCGGGGCCTCTGCCGAGCGAGGGGCCGACCGAGAGGCGTCCTCCAGGCAGAGGGCGAGGGCGCCCCAGAGGCCGCGAGGGGCGCGGTGAGGGCGAGGGGCGCGGGTGAGGCGCCTCTCAAAGGGAATTCCAGCAAGGGGGGCCCACGGACGCCAGGCGGCGGGAGAGGAGCCTGGGGCCTGGCTGACCGGAAGGAAGGTCTCTCCTCTCTGGGGAGGGAAGCTCAGCGCCCCGAGCCCGGCTCTGCCTCCGATCCATGGCAGTGCAGCAGGGCCCACGGCCCAGGAGGAGCAGCGTGGCCGCAGCCCTGGCGCTGAGCCGGCCCCCGCATGTGCCCAGGCCCTGCCCTCGCCCCAGGCTGGGGTTGCCGAGAGCCCCTGGCCTCACTAAATGGTGACTCACAGTTAACAAGAATGTCGATTTTCCCAAATTCCTTCAGGGCCTGGTCCACGGCAGCCATGATGGCCAGGGGAGCTCGGACGTCCAGGGACAAAGGGAGGCAGCGCTGGCCAGTGGCAGCAGACAGCTTCCTGGCAGCCTAAAAGCCAGACAGGAGGAGAGGTGGGCAGCAGCCAGAGGCAGGGTCAAGAGGCTGACACGTCCGATGTCACCGCTCCCCACCCAGGAGGCAGAGCAGCAGTGGACACTTCCTGAGACCACAACCTCTAGTGGCCTCGTGAGACACCCAGTCTGTCCCCCACTCCAGGCCACTCACTGGTCAGTTGCCATGCCAGCCCTGCCTGGAGGCTGGGCCTGGTGAGACCCCTCCTACGGTGGGTGGACACAGCCCCCCCTCCCATGGAGACAGGCAGTCTCAGGGCCACAGTCCTGCCAACGTGGCCCGCGCAGGACCCAACAGCCAGACTCCTCAAAAGCCTAGGGCGAGCCTCAGGTCACTTCCACTGAAGGAGGGGACCCCACCCTCTGGGCCCAGCCAAGCCCAGTCCTAACGTGGACAGGTGATCACGGAGACCCTCACCACTGACACTCTCGGGAGGCTCCTGCTGGCGATGACGGTGCGGCAGCCGTGCCTGCAAAGCCAGGGCCGGGCATGAGTGGGCGCTGGTGCCTCTAGCCAAAGCACAGCGGGCTGGGCACCAGGACAGGGGTCAGGGTCCAGCTCCACCCCATCCCAGAAGCCTCAGGCCCTGCTGTCCAGTGACCACAACCTGCTCAGCCATCTCTGTACAAATGGGGGTGCTGAGGCCAGAGCCCAGGCCCATCCCACCTGGAGAAGTCCCGGAGCCCGCCTCCACACCCAGCTGGCCCTGGACAGCACGGGGCCTCTCCATGCACTGTCCCCACGTGTGGCGGGCGCATCCCCCCAGGGTGGGAGGGAGGGCAGGGCAGTGGGGGGCTCACCGCATGAAAATCTCGGCGATCCGGAAACCGATCCCGGAACCACCACCCGTGATGAAGGCCACCTTGTCCCTGAGGGAGACGCGGCTCTTTGGAGAGACCCTGAGCTGGGGCCCCCTCGAGGCCCGACCGTGCGCCCCCCCCCCCCGCCACGTGCGCGCGCCACCCGGGCCTGCGGACGACTCCAGCCCGGTGGACGATTCAGAACGACCCAGCAGAGAGAGGTGTCTTCCAGGCGTCCAGCCCCCCCACTGCTGCGGCAGGAAGCGCGGGCACCTCTGGCCAAAACAAGCAAGGCGCTCTCCAGGGCAAAGATCAGTGCGGGCGCAGGGCACCCTCAGGCCCCCTGGACACTCAGCCAGTAGGCAGCGTCTCCACGCGCCTCTCAGAGGAGTACCTGGCCGCTCCCCGGGCGCCCCAGACCCAGCCCGGCTCGCGGCCCCATGCGCCCCAGCCCGGCCCGCTCCCCTGGCGCCCCAGCCCGGCTCGCTCCCCCATGCGCCCCAGCCGGCCCCCAGCCCGAGGCCCCGGCGCGCACTCACCGGAGCAGGTCCGGGCAGAAGAGGTGGCGGTACTCGGGGAGACACTCGTCCTCACTGACGTCGGGCGGCGGCTCGGCCATGGCGCTCGGTGCGGGCCGGGCAGACAGGACGGCGCGACCCGGGTCAGGGCACCAGCTCCGCCTCGCGGACTCGCCGCCCCGCCCCGCCCCGCCCCCGCGGGCGCGCAGCCGCTGGAGCCGGGTGGCCGGGCCCGGGCGCAGGCGCAGTGCGGCTGTCCTGCCCGGCTCGCAGCCCTTGCCGGTCTCCAGGGTAAGATCCGGCCTCTGTGCCGCCGTCCGAGCCGAGCCGAGCCGAGCCGCGGGCTGCGGACTCAAGCCCAGCCAGGCCCCAGCTTCCTCATCGCCAGCTGTGCATTTCCAACGCCAGTCGCGGGGCGCTCAGCAAGTGACCGCCCGGGCCACCTTGCCTGCTGCATAAACTGACCCCAGGGCAGGACAGGGTTGGAGCTCAGGACAGTCGGCGCCCCGGGGGGCCTTTCTCCGGAGTGGCCAGACCCTGCGCCGGTTCCCCAGTACGGTCCGCACACTCCGTGCTGCTCCAGCAACGCTGGACAGTGAGGTGGCCGGGGCCTGAGTGGCCAGCACACACCGGGCTGCAGAGTGACCCCAGGAGCAGGGCGGGTGCTGCGACACGGAGGGGCAGCATGGACGCACGTGCACCCCGGCAACGAGGCCATGAAGGGCCACTGGGCTTCCTCCCCTGGCCTGGCCCCCACAACCTCCCCTCCTGCACCCCAGGAGGCCAGACAAGCATCGTTCTGGGGGTGTTCATCGGGCTGGGGGTGTGAGGCGCCTCTATTCCTGCTCTGCTCCCGTAAATGCCGCTACTTGCCCAGGCAGGAGACCAAAGAACACTCGGCTCTCGTGCACAGCAGGCGAACTTTCATGTTCCCTCCTTGGACCTCTGGGGAGCCAGCCCAGAGGTGCTGTCTGGGCCCTGGACAGCACCCTGCCGCGGGCAGCCTCCGAGGCGTTGGGGTGGCGGATCATGGCCCTGGAGGTGCAGACCGCATTGGGGCCTTCCCAGGCCTGCAGGACAGAGACCAGGAGGGAAGTGGGGGGGCCGGGGCTGGGTGGCGCCCATCGGCGGCCCCGCCCACTCGATCCCCACCCCCATGGCCACCACGGGCCTGAGCGCACGTGCGGTGAGGCGGGGTGGAAGGGCTCCCTCCTCAGGTCCTCGGAGTGCTCCCCTCGGGGGCCTGGGGGCGCAGGGGGTCGCTGGGAGTGCCCCCAAGGCCCGCCCTGGCCGCGGCGTCCCGCCGGGCACCCTGGCACACCCCTCCCGGCCCCCCGCCACGCGAGGCCCCCACCCCCGGCCCCTGCAGCATCGTCAGGCCGCCAGCTTGAAGCCCCTCGGCTCGAGGCGCCAGAGCACGCCCCGACGGCCGCGCTGCACCGTCTGACTTCCCCGCCACCGAGGCGCGCGCGCGGCCGGACGACCCTCCCTCGGAAGAGGGCGAGTGGGGGCTGCCCCTCGCAGGCGCCCCGCCCGGGCTCCCCGCGACCCGCGTCCGCACCGCGGGGCACCCCGGGCAGCGGGCGCGAGCAACGCCAGAGCCCCTCCCGGGGCCGGGGGAGGGAGGGGCAGGTCGCCGGGACCTGGGCGGGCGGGAGCGGGCCGAGGGCGCCAGAGGGGGGGCCGCCGCGGGGGGCCGGGCGGCCGCGCCCAGACTCGGGCAACCGCGGGCCCCCGGCCTCTCCCCGGGGAGCGGCGCTGCCGGGAAGGCGGGCCTCGCCCCGCGTGCCGCCGGCAGCTCCCCCGCGCGGACGGGCCTGGCCCTGGACCGGCCCACGGAGCCGGAGGGGCCCGGGAGGCCCCGCCTGAGAAGCGGGCGGCGCCGTCTCCCGCCCGGCCGCGGCGGCCACAGCGGCGGGCAGCCGGCCTTGGCTCCTGCGGCCGCGCGCGCCCCCCCCCCCCCCCGAGGCCGGCGCCGCCTCACTGGCCCGCGCTGGGGCGCACGGGCGGGCGCGGTCCGGCGCCGGGGTCCGCGCAGCAGCGCCCGCAGCGCGGGGCGCCCGAGGAGGCCGCGCATGGAGCCGCCCGCGGCTGGCGCGCGCGGAGCCGCAGAGAGGCCGGCGCCCCGAGACGGTGGGAGGGCGGGCGAGGGGCGCCGGAACCCGGGGGCCGGGGCGGGGGGCGAGGGGCGCGGGAACCCAGGGGGCGGGGCGCGGGGGCGCCAGGCTTCGGGCCCACCCAGCCACCCCCACCCGCCGCGGACCCCGTGGCCCAAGCCCCACGCACACGCGAGCCGGGGAGGGCCTGGCCTGCGGCGCTGGACACCGTCCGGCCAGGACAGCAGACAACCGCTGGCGGCCACTGTGAGCCCGACGGCGCGGGGAGGGAGTGGCCGGGGAGGGCGGCGCGTCCAGGGCGCCCGCGGTGGGCAGCGCCCTGAGCTGGGCAGCGCCGGGCTGTCCGCGGCTGGCGGGGGCGCAGGGGACCGTGGGCGTCGCCACGAGGTGGCCGGGGCCTGGCGCTGGCGCCTCCGAAGAGCCGCGTCAAGGGGCGCGTGTGGGGGGGAGCGTAAGATTCTTACTTTCATTTTTTACAGAGAAGCAGTTTGCAGATGGAGCAAAGAGCCCCCGTCCCACACCTGCCCCCCCCTCGCTCAGCCTGCACAGCCTCGGGAGGTGGCCAGCAAGTGTACGGCGAGTGTCCATGCACCCAGGACCCGCGCTGACCGTGGGGCTGCGTTTCCACCAGGGCGGAGAGGCAGAGCTTGCCCCCCCACGTCCAGGTCTGCAGGGCTGTGCCCGCTGCCTGTTCAACACCTGCTAGTCCCGCCCAAGGGCAGGGGCGGTGGTTCTGGCCCAGCTGCAGGCTGCCAGGTGTCAGGGTGCCCTGGCCACCTTAGCCACTGGCTTCCGCAGCCTGGAGGAGGGACGTCTGCTCAGCCCCTAGGCACTTTCCTGCCTGGCACAGTGGCCCCAGCAGGCAGGGCCGGCACAGTGCAGCTGGCACTGGATGGGCCAGCAGGTGTCTCTGACCTCAGCGAGGGCCTCCTTGGTAGAAACCAAGCTTCCGGCTCCAGAGGCATTGTCCCCATGGCAGTGACAGCCTGCGCCCTGCACTGCTCCTGCCCACCACACCAGCCCTTCTGCAGTGGACGCGGCCTGCCCAGCTCCGTCCACGCTGCCGGCTCTCTGGGTGGTCACTGGGAGGGGAGAGCTTGGGGAGCAGCTGGCCCCACAGGTGGGCAGCAGAGGCTGCAGTGTGAGGGTGTGGGGTCCAGAGGGGACCGGGCAGCTAGCACGGCCCATCGGTGGCCTCTGTGAAGTAGCTGCTCCGTGTTACCCTTGGGGGCTACCGAGGGCGCCCTAGGTACTGCCACCCACGGCTCCCTGCTGGGCTCTGAGTGGCCATTGCCACGGCCCTGGGGACTGGGCACAGCACAAGAAGGACAGGGGGTGTCCTGGTCCTGGCCAGGCCGACTCTGTGGTAGGCCCGGGGCTTTTTCCTCCAGGTGTGGCCACTCACCGGCCAGCTGCACGGCCACCCTGTGCTGCCGGAGCCGCAGGCTGCCGGTTCATTTTCACCCAACTCCGAGTATTTTCTCATTTCCCTTTTGAGTTCTTGTGCTCTAGAAACTACGAGTCATGGTTGAGATAAAAGAAGTTCGGGGCCGCCCTGGTGGCACAAGGGGTTAAGCGCTGCACTAGGAAGCAATTCGTAGCCTCTGCAGCAGGAGTTCAATCCCCGGCCAGGGAGCTACCCACATGGCGCGGCAGACCTCTCCCTCTCCCTGCTGCTTCCCTTCAGTCTGCCTGTTCTGCTCCCCACTCTGTCTCCGGTGAGTCCTCTCACTCTCCCGTGCCTCCGACCTGCATTCTAGTTCTTGTATAAAGATAAATAAATCTTTAAAAAACAAAAGAAGTTAGCGGTAAGTGGTGAAACAGCCATGTCCATGAATTCGAAGACTTGGCATCATTAAAGCGGCAAAGCACTCATCAAAACTGTAACAGGGGGGTCCCCAGGAAAGGGGGAGGTTCCAGGTTCCCTGCCCCACCCAAGGGAGGGTGGAGCTGAGCAGGAAGAGGAGAAGCTGCACAAGAGACTGAGGAAGGAAGCAGGATGGAGCCAGGAGACCTGGAGGAGGCGCGTGGAGCCCAGAGACACGTGAAGAAACTGCGCTTGTCTTTTGGTCGTGGACGGGGTGACACAGATGTGGGGGAGACCCGTGGGGAGGTGACCATGGCAGCTTTTATCTTGATGTTGATTTTGCTCTTTTCCTTCCGGGCTTGTCTGGTTGTTTCTGACCCTTCTCTGTGGGTCCCCACTGGAAGATGCTTTAGACTTGCGGCAGGCTTTGGGGCTTTGCTCTGCGCCATTCCCATATGGATGGACTTTTACCCACGAGGGGACGGGGCACTTTGGGTGCTTCACTTAGAAACTAGACTCTTTGCCTCACCTGTATTGTTTCCTAGTTTTATTAAAGTTCCTTCCCCTTAAAGTCTCCTATGTTTTGTGTTGATGCGGCGGATGGCAGAACCCTTTTAGAATAGGCAGGTTTGCGGGGTTTGGGCTGCCCCTCTCCCTGCCCTGTAACAAAAGGACCTGCAGCTCCTGTGGCCCCCGCCTGCCATGGGCGCTAACAGAGGCCATGAGCATCGCCGACCCAGGGAAAACAGAATAACCAGAAGCCACTGGAAAGAACGAAGCAGCAGGGTCTCCCTGGGGCTCAGGGTGAGCCTATTTTTTATTAAAAATTATTTATGCGCACAAGAGCTGGGGTGCAGGCCCGAGGTGGGGGGTGAGAAGACCCCCACCCCCCAGAGACAAGAGTGAGGAGCAGAACAGGCGGATGCACGGAGACACACTGCTGAGGGAGCAGCGGGGAGATGAGGGGGGGTCTGCTGCGCCCCGTGGGCAGCTCCCAGCCAGGGATGGACCCGGGCCCAGGTGACCCGGCGCCACAGGGAGCTCCTGTGTTGGTTTTAACTGGGCTGCAAGACCGTTCGGTGGGGGAGAGAACAGGATGAGCCATCACACGTGATGAAGTCACAGCCCCACAGTGTCCGAGAACGTCGAAACACATCAACGATCAAAAGGAGAGAACCAGGGCCTCCCCGGTGGCGCAGCGGTTGAGCGCTGGGTTGCGAAGCTGCCCGCAGCCTCTGCGGCGCCAGTTCGATCCCTGGCTGCTCCCCGGCCACTGGGGGAGGGTCCCACACGGCGCGCAGACCTCTCCTGCCGCCCGCTGCTCCCCTCAGCAGTGTCCTTCGGTCCTTCTGCCTGCTCTGCTCCCCGCTCTGGCTCTGGTGAATTCTCTCACCCTCCCGCGCTTCTGACTGTACCCAGTGCTTGTATAAACAAAACAAACAAACAAATAAATAAACATGCCTCTATAAAATTAAAAAAAAAAAAAAAAGGAGAGAACCACAACGCTAAGACGCCACGGAGAAGGTTTAAGGGTGGTCTTGGCGGGGGCGCCTCAAGGTGACACCAAAGCAGGAGCCGCAGGGCCTCCCTGGCGGCACCGGGGGCAGTCCCAGCGCCATCAAGCTGTCCCAGCCGCGTGGCCCGCGTCCATCCCCAGCCAGGAGCTGACCCACGGGGCGCAGCAGAACCCCCGTCACCCCGTCTCCAGCTGCCCCTCAGCAGTGTGTCTCCGCGGATCCGCCTGCTCTGCTCCCCACTCTGCCTCGGGGGGGGTCCTCACCCCTCTACCCCTGGCCTGTACGCCAGCTTTTGTAGGCATAAATTAATAAATAAATCTTCAAGGAAAAAAAAGGCCGAGCTGTTCAAAGAGCCGGAGGCAGCGGCCGCGTTCTGTGCCGGGTGTTTCAAGCGGGGTGGTTCAAGCGGGGTGGGAGATCCGTCTGTCAGCGGAGCAGGCCTAGCCCCAAGCAGGCCCCGCACTGCCCCCACGGCCCCGGGCGCTGCAGCTGCCCACTCCCGGGGACCTCTGGCCTGGCCGCCAGCCGCGGCCCCTCCCAGGTGAGTCGGCTTCCTTCCCGGAGGGCTGCAGGAGGTGACTGGAGAGAGTGCCCCCCGCCCTGGCTGCCCCCGCCCCCCCCCCCTGCACCGGCCCCTTCCTGCGTGTGTCGGGGAGACCGTAGTTGCACTTAGAAAACCGATCTGGTGAAATATTCACAAACCCCTTGTGTTCCGAAGTCAGGGGTGCGCGTCTGTGACTCTCAGAGCCTGGGCGGCTGGTCTGGCTTCAGGGACAAGTGGGGGGCCGGGGGGGGCACTTGGCAGGGCCCCCCAGGGCCACGTGGCAGGAGAGCCAGCTCCTTCCTCAGGACGCCCTGTCTCTGGGGGCGTCTGGGGGGGGTGCTGGGCTGCAAGGTCAGAGGGATCCCCGTCCCCAGGCCTTTCTCAGCGGAAGCCCTTGGAGGCGCAGCCAGGGCTGCAGACTCTCCCAGGGGCTGTGCCGGGAAGTGCTGGGGCCCAGGCGCTGGATGGGCTGCGTGGGGTGCCACTTGGGGGCAGCTCTTCCCCCCCACGGGTCCGGAGGCCTCGGGATCGAGAGCCCTCGTCTGAGTGGACAAGTCCAGTCACCCGTCCGCCGGCAGACTTGGCAGGTCTCCTCTGCAGCGAGCGCCACAGGGTGACGCATGCTGCTGGCCGAGGGCGGCCAGGCCCGGGTCCCGGGGCCGCGGCGGGCGCAGTGGCAGGTCTGGGCGTTTCCTGCTCGGCACAGGGACACGCCACAGGTCCCGGCCACCCGGTCCTCGAGCCGCACTGCCCCTTGCTCAGGCCCCAGCCCGCTGGGCAGGCAGCGCCCCCCGCCGGGCGGCGACACGTCCTGGGCTGCTCAGGCCGGGCCGGGCCGGGCCGGGCCGGCTCCTGTCTCCGCCCTGTGGGGCTTCTGGGCCTTTCACTGCCCTTTAGTCGCATCGGGTTTTAAGAGCCTGGCCGGGCCTCCCTGGGGCGGCTGTGAGGCCCTGGGCAGCCAAGGCAGCCGGAGTCCACGCCGGCCGGGAGCCACCCACGGGACCCACCGGGCGCGGCAGACGCCCCTGACCCGCGGCCCCGCAGCGCTGCATGTCGGGGGCCCCCGGCTCTGCCCCCCACTGTCGCTGGGGCGTCCTCCCGCGCCCCCTCTGGCCCGCACCCCAGCCCTGGCGCGCACGAATAAACGCCCTCGCCACGCCCTCGCGCGCGCGCCCGCCCTGCCCCGCCGCCCGCGGTGACCTTGGGCTCCCGGGAGTCCCCCAGGTGCGCACAGGTGGGCGCCGCGGCTCCGCCCGCCCCCGCCCCGCCCGGGCTCCGCGCCCGCCCCCCGCCCCCCGCCCCCCAGACCCCTCGGCCTCGGCGCTGGCCCGTGACCCGGCGCTCCTGCAAAGGTGGGCGCCTCTGGGTGGCCCCGGTGGGGGGCGCCCTCCCAGCCCTCCTGCCCGCCCCTCGCAGGCCCCCTCGACCGGGCAGGGGTGTTTCCGCGGGGGGCGCCCCCAGCCCTTCCCGAGCCCCGGGGCCCCACTTCCAGCGCCGCCCCCGCCGAGTCTCTCCCGGCCCTCGAGCCTTGTGCGGCCGGGACAGACGCTGCGCGGGGCTCGCCCGGCTCCCCGGGTTGCCCGGGGTCCTCCTGTCGGGGCGGCCGGCGCCGGCCCCGGGCGCCCCCCGCCTTCCCCGCGCACCGGCGCTCGGGGGCAGCCGCGAGGCCGCGGGGTCCCGCCACTGCGCCCCATCCCCGCGGGGGCCCGCGCCGCCCCCCCCCCCCCAGCCCGCCCCTCCCCCCGCCCCTCCCCTCCCCCCGCCGCCGCGCCCCCTCCCCGGGCGTCGGGGCGGGCGGGGCGCGCGGGGCGGGCGGGGCCTGCGGCGGAAGCGCCCGGGGCCGGGGCCAGCGCGCGCCATGGGGGCCCGGGGCGGCGCCGGGGGCGGGGGCGGCGCGGGCGCGGGCGCGGGCGGCGGGGGCCGGGGACGCGGGCCGGGGAGCGCGGCCGGGCGCAGCCATGGGCCGGGCCGGGCCCCGGGGCGCGGCGGCGGGGCCGCGGCTGCTGCTGCTGCTGCTGCTCGCCGGGCGCCCGCCCGCGGCGGCCGGCGCCGGCGGGACGAGCGGTGAGCGGCGCCCCCGCGGGGGCGGGGGGCGGGGGGCGGGGGGCGGGGCGCATTGTGACTCGGGGCGCCTGTGCGCTCAGCGGCGCGCGCTCCCCCCGCCGCGGGGCCCGGCCGCGGGGGTGTCGCTTGGGTCCAGCGCGCGGCGGGCACAGGCCCCGGCCCTTCCCGGGGCTCCGCCCCCCACGGCAGCCGCTGCCCGCGGAGGTCCGGCTCCCGGAGGCTGCCCTCGGCGCGGGCCTGGGGTGGGCACCCCTGTCTGTGGCGCTGGGGGCTCTGCTGCCCCCCCCCCGCATCACCGGGCCGGACCCCTGGACAGAAGGCAGGGGCCGCCCCTCCGGGCTTCTAGGGGGTGACCTCCTCCCCCCCTGGGACCGGCTCCCACGCCCTTTGCCCCCCAGCTTCCCGCCTCGCCGAGGGCCCCTGGCCGGTCGGGCTGTCTTCTCTGCCCCCAGCAGGGGCCGGCGTGGCTGGGGCAGCTGCTCACCTCCGGCCGGGGTCCCCGGGCAGGGCGGCTGGTCCGCCCGCTGCGCCCCTCCCTCACCTGCGGCTGTGCCCTCTGCTCAGGACTGCTCCGAGCGCCCTCCCCTGCTGCCTCCCGCGGCCTCTTGGGCTGCCCAGGGCTGCCCCTGCAGGCCCCGAGGTCCTGGGGGCACCACCTGCCTCACGGTCACCCGTCTGGGCCTCAGGCACAGCTGGAGGACGGACGGGCCAGCAGACCAGCATGGCCAGGCCCTGCTGTCTTCCCCCAAGGTGCCTCTGCGCAGGTCACAGGACCCTGTGAGAGCCCCTCTCACCTGGTGGTGACCCCACCCACCCCCCGCTGGGCCTGCTGGGCCCTGACTCTTCCTCTGGACCAGCTTTCGCAGCCATCGGCCCCTGGGAGGGTGCCTGGGGTGCTGGCGCCCCAGTCAACGCCCAGGGAAGGGGAGCAACACATGCAATCACCAGCCTGGCGCTGGGGCCGTCCAGCCCTGCCCAGGCGCCCGGTGGCTGAACCCCTGGTGTGGGACCACCCAGAAGCACAGAGACCCTGGGTGCTGCTCTCTGGGCCCCAGGGGGGCCCGAGTCCGGTTGTGCTGAGGCCTCGAGCCAAGGGAGTGAGCAGTGACTGGGCTTTGGGGGCGTGGGGGTGCTAGCAGCTGGGGAGGTGGGGGCCTGAGCGTCACCGCCAGGACTGGCCCTGGGGGAGCCCCAGCCAGGCCTGCAGGTCGCCTGCCGTCTGTCTGGCCTGGTCCAGTGCTGCTCTGCAGGGTTCTGTGCCCTGGAGCGGGGGCCTGCTGTCCCTAAGCTGCTGGCCCCTCTCCAGGTGGGGCACCTCCCCAGCTGGTCTCCTGGGCCCCAGCAGGCACCCTGGTCTCCAGGGCTGAACCCCTCCCTGCCAGGGGGCCCATGGACAAGTCCTGGGACCGGGTCAGAGAGGGAGGGGTGTCCTGTTGGCAGCCCCAGGGCAGAGGAGAAGGGGAGGCTCCCTCCCTGACCACACCCTCAGCCCCTGGGCCTCCTCCCTGGACCCTGAGGTGCGGCCTTGGGCTGAGCAGCTGGGCGGCACCTGTGAGTCACTCCTCCTCGGTCCAGCAGCAGGGTCAGGTGGGGCAGGGCCGGCTCTGACTGGGTGCTGGGTGTGCCCACACCCGAGGGAGCGGAGGAGGCCTCATGCTCGTGGCCTGGTCCCTGGGGGCAAGGTAGAGGTTTCTGAGTCCTGGCCTTGCGCCCAGAGCCCCTGAGCCGGGGAACAGAGGGGGTGAGACCAGCCCTTGGGACGCCTGCCCCTGGCAGAATGGGGCCCGCCGCTGACCCACGCCCGTCCCGCAGAGGGCAGGCTGGTGTCCGAGCAGTTCCTGCAGACCCCACAGAAGCTGTCCCCCTACAGCTGGTACGGCAGTGCCCGGCTCTTCCGCTTCCGCGTGCCCCCTGACACTGTGCTGCTGCGCTGGCTGCTGGGGGTGTCCCGGGCTGGCAGCGCTGCCTGCACCCCAGCGGAGGTGACCGTGTAGGTGCCCTGGGTGCCTTCCCTGGGGTCTCCCTGTGGGTGCCCCCCCCCGCAGCCCCACCCACGCCTGCACCCTCCTTTCCTGCCCCAGGCACTTCCGCTACGGTGCTCCTCCGGTCATCAACCCGCTGGGCACCAGCTTTCCCCCCAACACCTCCGTGCGGCCCTCCTTCTCTGTGACGATGCTGCACAGCAACACTTCGGTCAACCTCTCCCACCCCGCGCCCGGGGACTGGTTTCTGGCCGCCCACCTGCCCCCCGCGTCCCAGAGGATTGAGGTGCAGGTGAGGGGGCAGCACTCGGCCCCTGGGCCCCTGCTCACCCCCTCCCCACTCCCCTGCCCTCCCCTCCACCCACCCCTGCTGCCCCCAGCCCCCCCACCCTCCCTCCTGCCCTCCCGCCCACCCTGCCCGCTCCCCACCATGCTCTCTCCGCATCTCCCCAGGGCTTCATCCCCGCCTGCGCCTACGTCTTCCAGCCGGACATGCTGCTGCTGCGGGTGCTGGAGGTGTCCATCCTGGAGCCTGGCGTGCCCCTCCCGCAGATGCTCCTCTCCCAGCCCAGCTACCTCAAGTGAGTGGCGGGGGTGGCTGGCGCCGCCCTGCCTCTTGTGGGGGAAGCTGGGTCTGTTCCTCGGGCACCAGGAGGGGGCCCGGCCAGGGGCGCAGCCTCCAGCAAGATCTGCCCCGGCCAGGGTCTTCGTCCCCAAGCACACTCAGCGGCTGCGCCTGGAGCTGCAGGGCTGCGCCTCCAACGGGAGCCAGGACTGCCCTGTGCGCCTGACCGTGGGCTCGGCCGCCCTGCCCGAAAACCTCCAGAAGGTGCTCGTGTGCGCCGGCCCCACCCGCGCCTGCGGCCTTCTGCTGCCCTCGCCGCCATGGGACCACTGGCTGCAGGTGGCCGTCCGGAGCCTGGCGGTGCCCCCGGCCGCAGTGGCCTTCAGTGTGGTGGCTACCCTCACAGGTGGGCCCGGGAGCGGGCGGCCTGCCCGGCTGCCGCCGCCTCCCCACTGACCCCGCCCTCTGCAGCTTGCAGGCCAGAGAGTGTCCAGCTGGCCCCGCCTGGCGGCCTGAACCAGAGCGGCCAAGGCCCTGAGGACCAGCTGCCCCCAGGCCCCGGACCCCACGGTGATCCCTGCTTCCTCGGCCTTCCGGCCACGAGGGAGGACGTGGATGTCCTGTCCGTGCGTTTCCGGCCCCTGGATGGCCTCTTGGTGCCGGCACGGCCGGGAGTGCCCACCGTGGTACGGCTGCCCCTCAGCTCGGGCATGGACAGCGGGGGCTCCCTTAGCGTCTCCTTGTGGGCCAACAAGGTATCTCCATCCCCGGGGCCTCGGGGCTGCCCGCTGGCTGGGGCTGCCGGGTGTCCTGCCGTTCCAGCTCCCAGGCCGCGGGGCCGGGCACAGCCCCAGTGGGTGGGCGGACGGGTGGGCGGGCGGTGACTCAGGACTGGGCTATGAGGCCTGATCCTACAGCCTGGGGCTCCCAGTACTGCCCATCGAGTCGCGGCTGGTGCCAACCCCCCCCTCCGCAGAGCGCCATGGCCGACGACAGCTGGGTGGCAGCCTGCCTGAGCCCAGCCTCGCCCTTCCTTAGCTTCAACACCTCGCACAGCTGCACCACAGGTACAGCCTCGCGGGGGGCACCTCCCCAGCCTCGCCACCCACTTCCCGCCTGACCTGCCTCTGTATCCGTGCAGCCTTCTCCCAGGGCTATGCCCTGTCCCTGAACGCCTCGGCTCTCAAGGCCACGTTGGTCATCCCCTACCCTGAGACAGACGACTGGTACCTGTCCCTGCAGCTCATGTGTTCCCCAGGCCCCGGGTAAGAGCACGTGTGGCCACGGGTGTCTGGGGGCGACCCGGCCCCCACGGCCTCCCAGGGGGCGTCCCAGGGTGCCCCCTCCTCTGGGGGCACTGCCTGGTCAGTGGGCTAGGCAGGCTCGCGGCCAGGGCCTCGGGCTCTGGGCCCGGCTGGCTGCAGACCTGTGGCCGCGCCCTCGCAGGGGCTGTGAGCAGGCCAAGGTTCCCGTGGAGGCTGCCTCGCATCTGGCCCCCTGCCTGGACGACTGCGGGCCCTACGGCCAGTGCCTCCTGCTGCGCAGACATGGCTTCCTGTACGCGGGCTGCAGCTGCAAGGCAGGTGAGCGCTGGCCCAGCCCCTGTCCCTGCCTGCCTGGGGCCCACACCTGAGCCCCGTCACTGCCTGCCCATACTGGCTGAGCCTGGGGGCACCGCCTCCGGCCCGGCCTGCCCCTGGGTGAGAAGGGCCTGGATGCGGCTGCGGTGGGGGGCTGGGGACAGCTGCGCCCCCACGCCTGGCCTCAGCTCATGGCCTGCCCTGGCCTGCAGGCTGGCGCGGCTGGAGCTGTACAGACAACAGCACGGCCCAGACAGTGGCCCAGCAGAGGGTGGCCACGCTGCTTCTCACCCTCAGCAACCTGGGCTTCCTGGCACCCATCGCTGTGTCCGCACAGCGCGCCTTCCTGGTGGAGGCCTCCGTCTACACCTATACCATGTTCTTCTCCACGGTGAGCCGGTCTGTCCGGGGTGAGGGTGGCGGGCTGCCCTGGGCTGCAATGACCGCCCCTTCCCCCCTCCCCCAGTTCTACCACGCCTGCGACCAGCCAGGGGAGGCGGTGCTGTGCATCCTCAGCTACGACACCCTGCAGTACTGTGACTTTCTGGGTTCCGGAGTGTCTATCTGGGTCACCATCCTGTGCATGGCGCGGCTGAAGGCTGCCCTGAAATACGTGAGTGTCCGGATGCCCCGGGCCTGGGCAGCAGACAGAGGCCCTTGAGTGCAGCTTGTGGCGGGAGAAGCCAGAGTAGCGTCCAGTAGCTGCCCGTGACAGCTCCCGCCCCTCCTGGAGACCAGCTGCCCACGGGAGAGGCCCCTGCCAGGGCAGGCTGCGTGGAGGGGGCCTGTGGCAGGGCGGAGCAGGCCTCAGCCTATATCTGTTCGGAGCTCTCCTTGGAGGGGCCAGACCTCCGGAGCCGCTGCAGCTGTCCCAGGTCCCTAGAGTCCCTGGCACCCTGCCTCGCCGAGTGCCTGCCTCGGAAATTTGCCAGGGGGTAGATGGGGGGGCAGTGGCCAGGCAGCATGGCCAGAGGGATCCCTCCCTCCCACCCAGCAGAGCAGGACAGACAGCAGACCCAGGGGACGGGCAGAGGGCTAGGCCAGGCAGCAGGGTGAGGGCGCGCCCAGGCTCCTGCTGCTCCAGCCTGGGCCCTGGACCCATGGCTGCTCCGTGTCTTGCACAGGTCCTCTTTCTCCTGGGCACGCTGGTCTTTGCCATGTCCTTGCAGCTGGACCGCAGGGGCGCCTGGAACACGCTGGGACCATGCCTCTTTGCCTTGGCGGTCATGGTTGCCATGTGGGTAAGGAGCGGGCCCCTGCAGCCCCACCCCGGGAAAAGAGAGCCTGGCCCCACTCTGGCACTCCCCAGTCAGGCCCAAGTCCTGCCCCTCTGCCGGCACTGCTGCTGGCCCCCCTTGGGCCTGGTGGCTTCAGCCTGAGGCCTCCTGGAGCTGGGAGCCCCGGGTAGCACTCCCACCTGCCCCCACAGGTGTACCGCTGTGGGCACCGGCACCGCTGTTACCCCACCTCCTGGCAGCGGTGGGTCTTCTACCTCCTGCCTGGCATTTCCATGGCTGCCGTGGCCGTCGCTATCTACGCCGCCATGATGACCAGCGACAACTATTACTACACCCACAGCATCTGGCATGTACTGCTGGCGGGGAGCACGGTGTGCCTGCTGCCACCACGCGACCAGCACGCCGAGCCCTGGGCCTGCACCCGCAGGCTCGCCTGCCACTACCAGATCTGCAGGAACCACCGGGAGGAGCTGTACACAGTGACGTGACCCGCCCGGAGCCCGCGGCCTCTGAGGGCCTCTCCTGCCGGGCAGACCAAGAGCGCGGCCCTTCCAGGCTGATTGCCAGCTGAATAAAATTGCCCTGGCACAGGCTCTTGCTTTCTCCTCTGGGAGATCATCCCCTGCTCCCCGTGCTGCCGTCCTCGGCGGGTCCTCCTGCAAGTGCTGCAGGCCTGGGGTTGGGCCGGTTGCCTGGTTGCGGGTGGCAGTGGGGAGGGCAGGCCCTGCGCCCCGCTGTCTCCCTGCGGGGCCATGACACGGGCCTGGGTGCCTCTCCCGCTGGCCCCTGCTGAGGCGGGGCGCCGTGCCCTCCCTGAATCGCTGTCCCCTGACGCTGCTCCCTCATGCCAGCCTGCGGGCGCGTGGGGGCGCCCCTGATGCAAGCGCGTGGGCCGTGGTCCCCAGGGACTGGTGGGCTCGCGCCGCGCGGTGACAGTTGTGCCTCCTTTGGCTCTGGAGGGAGCTGGCGCCCGCCCCGCCCGCCTCCGCCGCCCCACCGGGCCCCACGTGTAGGGAGCCCCGGCCGGCCGCCTCCTGCCGCCCTGCGCGGGGAGCGCGTGGGGCCTGGGGTCTGGCGGCCGCAGCAGAGCCCGGCCGGGCCAGAGAGCAGGGGGGGCGCGGGCAGCGGAGTCCGCCGAGGCCCTGGGGGCGGGGGCAGGGGGGCCTGGGGAGGGGTCCAGGGGGTGGGGGAGGGTGGGCCTGGGGCGGGGTCCGCGGGGTGGGGGGGGCCTGGGGCGGGGGTCCGCGGGGGGGGGGAGGGTGGGGCCTGGGGGGGGAGGGTGGGGCCTGGGGCGGGGTCCGCGGGGGGAGGGGGCCTGGGGCGGGGTCCGCGGGGTGGGGGTGAGGGTGGGGCCTGGGGCGGGGCCCGCGGGGGGGAGGGGGGGCCTGGGGCGGGGCCCGCGGGGGGAGGGTGGGGCCTGGGGCGGGGTCCGCGGGGTGGAGGTGAGGGTGGGGCCTGGGGCAGGGTCCGCGGGGGGGGGGGAGGGTGGGGCCTGGGGCGGGGTCCGCGGGGGGGAGGGTGGGGCCTGGGGCGGGGCCCGCGGGGGGTAGGGCCTGGGGGGAGCCGCACCCGCCGCCACGGCTTCGGGGGTCGCCGAGGGGGAGGCTCATGTGATGCTTTTCGGGCGCGAGCGCGGCTTTCAGACGTTAAAACGTATTTTCGTGCAGCTCTGGCGTCGCCGCGCGTGGTGACGTCAACGCTCGCAGGTGACGTTCCAAGGCCACGCGCCTCGCACGGCTCCCGGGCCCTCGGGGAGGAGCGCGAGCCCGGCGAGCGCCCCCCGCCCCCAGGCGCGGCGCGGCGCGGCGCGGGCCACGCCCCCAGCCGGGGTGGGGCGGAGCGACGGACGGGCTGCGCAGCCAATCAGCGGAGGCGCGCGGGCCACGCCCTCAGCGGGGGCGGGGCGGGGCGACGGACGGGCTGCGCAGCCAATCAGCGGAGGCGCGCGGCCTGTCGCCACTTCCGGCTCCGGCGCGTGGCGGCGCTCGCGGAGGCGGGAGGCGCGGGCCGGGCCGGGGGCGCGGGGCGCGGCGGGGCGGGGCGGGCCTGGCGGCGGCGCGATGCCCCTGCACAGGCTCCCGGTCGCCGTGTGGAAGCGGCTGCGGCTGCGGGGCGGCCTCTGCGCGCGCCTGCCCGCGCACTACCTGCGCGCCCTGGAGGACGCGCGCGCGCCCGCCGCCGTCCACTACCGGCCGCTCGGCGCGGGGGTCGCGGCCGGCCCCGGGGGCGGGCGGCGGCCGCGCGTGGAGGACGTGCCCGTCCCCGTGCACCGGCCCCCGGAGTCGCAGCGGGGGCTGTGGGGCGGCGAGGGCCTCGTCCTGGGCCAGCGCTACACCGGGGACGACAAGGTGCGCGGGCGCGGGCCGCGGGGGGCGGCGGGGGCCGCGGGGGGCGGCGGGGGGCGGCGGCCCGCGCGGAACCCCGGGGCGCGGGCGCTGACGGCCCTCGCGCTCGCCCGCAGCTCGGCAGGCGGGTGCGCAAGGTGTGGAGGCCGCAGCTGTTCCGGCGCGAGCTCTACAGCGAGATCCTGGACGCCACGTTCGCCGTGACGGTGACCATGCGCGCCCTGGACCTCATCGACGCGGCCTTCGGCTTCGACTTCTACATCCTCAAGGCAGGTGCCGCCTGCGCGGCCGGCAGGTCCAGCGGGGCGGGCCGGGGCCGGGCCGGGGCGTCCTGCGGGGCCTGAGCGCGGCCGCCCCTCCCGGCTCCCGGGCGGCGGGGCTGGCTGGGGGCGACGCCGCGGGGGCGCCCGGCCCTTCGGCGCCCGGCCCCATGGTGGTCTCCCGCAGACCCCGCCGCAGGACCTGTGCTCCAAGTTCGGCATGGACCTGAAACGGGGCATGCTGCTGCGCCTGGCCCGCCAGGACCCCCGGCTGCACCCACACGACCCCGCCCGCCGGGCGGCCATCTACCGCAAGTACCAGGTGAGGCCTCGCGCCCCCTCCCGCCCGGCCTGCCCCCCGCCCGGCCTCACGTGTTTCTCTGCCCACCCAGGAGTTTGCCATCCCAGAGGCAGAGGCCGAGTGGGTCGGGCTGACGCTGGAGGAGGCCATGGAGAAGCAGCGGCTTCTGGAGGAGCAGGTGAGGGCGGGCGGGCGAGGGCAGGCGGGGGCAGGTCGAGGGCAGGCAGGCACTGCCGGACGGGCAAGGCTGTTCTGGGACCGGCACCCCCACCCCTGCCCTGCTACCAGGTCTGGGCCGCTCCCGTTCCCTCCAGTCCGTTTCTAGCGCGCTTGACAGAAAGGCTGGCACCCGCGTTTGCATGCTTCAAGTCCCAGCACCTGGTGTCTGTCACTTGGGAGGGCTGCAGCCTGCTGGCGGGCCCCCGTGTGTCTGGACCACAGCACCCCTGGGCAGGGAGCAGGGAGGCGAACCTGGTCCTGGCGGCCAGTGCCCCTCGGTGGACCAGCAGCGCCAGGTCCTGCCCTCCTCCAGCTCCCAGGCTCTGCTGGAGCCTCACGGGTCCCTCCTCCCCACAGGACCCCACTCCTCTGTTCAAGGTCTACACAGAGGAGCTGGTCAGGCGGTTTCAGCACCAGGCGCTGTCCGAGCCAGCAGCCGTGGCGCCAAGGAGAGCTGGCAGAAAGGCGGTAGATGACCCCACGGCCTGACAGGCACGCTGGGCGGCGGGTCCTTTTTTGGGCACATGGCTGGCTCTGAGGCTCCGGGTGCACGTGCGAACCCTGTCCCACTCTGCGGCCCCCGCCCTCGCCGCAGAGGCCCTGTGGCCCCTCCCCTGGCAGCGCGAGTAAAGTTGGAGCCAGGCGTGCGTGTCTCCTTTGCTCTCCCTGGCAGAGGGGCGGCGCGCACCCCGTGCCCCTCCCTGCCGCCCGACGTCCCCCAGAGCGGAACCGGGAGTGACTCGTCTGTGCAGGCGCCCGAGGTGGCGGGTCCTGTAGGCAGACTCTGGCCTGGCGCCCTGGCCTGGCCATATGGGAGGCAGAGCTGCAGGCGCCCGTGCCTGTGTTTTCTCACGAAACATCCTTGCATCATAACACTTCGTTATTCCAAGCTGACGGCACCAGCCTGGCGAGGCCCGGTCCCGGTCCTGACTGTGGTCCCAGTTCCCCTATCCCAGCCCCAGATCTCAGCTCCCTGTGTCCTGATCTCTTGTCTCAGTCTTCCTGTCCGAACCCTGCATCTCGGCACCCCCCCCCCCCCCCCCCCCAGCCCAGTCCAGTGTCCTGGCCCTGCGTCTCAGTCCTCTGTGTCCTGGTCCCATGTCCCGGCACCCTGTCCTAATCTGGCCCCGGGTCCTATCCAGCCTGGCCCCAGCCATGGCACCACGTGCCCTTTCTTTTAACATACTTCCAGGAACCCCACCGACACCAGTGGGTGTCAGGCTCCTAGGCCTCTGGGCCAGCTCATTGGTGTAGGGGTGGGCAGAGCATCCGGCCTTGCCTGGCCCCTGCGTGGCTGCCTCCCCAAAGCTGAGGCCAGGTGAGGTCAGGGTGTGTGTGGCCTGGGCCTCTGGGACAAGCCGTCCTCGGCAAGTGCCCCCCGTCCCTGGACCCATTGCTGCTGCAGTGGAGCTGGGCTGCCCATGCTCATCACTCACCCAAACCCCGTCCTGCTTTCTGGGCCCCTCCTGGAGGGCTGGGCTCTTGGTTGGGGGGCAGGGGGTGGCCTGGGTCAAGTCTGCAGAAGTTGGGCCTCTGGCCGAGCATGGGGGGTAGGGGGCAGACCCTCCCAGCTCCCTCCTGCCTCAGGGCCCCAAAATTGGCCAAGCCCATGTGTTTCTGTGGCAAAAGCCCAGCCTGTCAGCTGCCCTGGGCTTGCGGACACAGGATGTGGTCAGCCTCCCTATCCCAAAGCCTTGTGTCCACATCCATCCTGGTATCCCTGAGTCCTAGCAGAGGTGATAGGACTGCCCCTGCCCTGACAAGCGTGCCTGCCCGCTGACCGGTGTGGAGCGTTAAGGGCGCCTTCAGCCACCCTGAACCTGGGGGGCTGAGCTTTGTCCAGTCTGCTTCCTCCCACACTCACCCCACAAGCCCACTACCCACTCCAGGCTCAGGGCTGGCAGCTGTTGGACCCTGGCCCCCAGAGCCCCTCGCCCTGCCCCCTGCCACATGCTGGAGCCCCAGGTGGGTGAGCTTCCTACGCGCCTGCCCAGCTGCACAGCCCCTGTGCCCCCAGCTCAGCCCAGCCTGAGTGTCCCCCTCAGCACCCACAGCTGACCACCTTGTCTTGTGGAACTTCCAGCCCAGCGGGGAACTTTCAGGCTGGAGGCTCTGTGCTCTGGCCAAGGACAGGCTGAGCAAGCCGTCTGCCTGGTGCCCCCCAACACCCTGCCTTGGCCCTGACCTCCTGCAGCCCAGCCCTTGAGGTGGTCAGAGGTGGGCGTGCGGGCCGCCTGGTGCCCTGCAGTGCCTAGCATGCTCCCAGGCGGGCACCAGGGAGGCTCCTGAGGGTAGCGCTGCAGCCGTGGTGGGTGGGCTGGGTGGGGAGGCCCTGACACAGGGCAGTCACTGACGTCCTGGGGTCTCGGAAGTGGCAGGTATGGGCTGAGCCCAGGGCAGCGGCAGGCGCTGAGAGGCCCATGTGGGCGTGTGGGGCGGGCAGGGAGAGCAAGACCAGCTGGCCCCTGGGGTCTGCATTGGGCCAAAGCCTGCCCCACAGCAGGGTGCTCCCCCACCCATCATGGTCTCACCAAACCGGGTCTGGCTTTCAGCCGCTGGGGCAAGCCCAGCCTGAAGCCCTCCACTCACAGGCACCGCCGGGCCAGCACCACGGCTGCCGGGGCTCAGGCAGGTGTGGAGCCACGTGGGCTTGTCCCACCAGGGGCACAGGGACCTCACACCAGTCTCCATACCCGCCCCCGGCCACGTTCCGGCCCCACAGGGCCCAGCGCTGCGCAGCCAGGAGCTGCTGCTGGGTGGGTGGCGGCGTCTAAAGGGGCTGGTTGCCATGGCTACCGTGGGGTTCTGAGGCGTCATCTGGTCCCTGCCTCAGCCAATCGGTGCTGGGAGCCCGAGCTGCAGCCCGAGTCACGCTCCCCCTCCCAGCCACGCAGTGGCCAGGAGCAGGCCGCGTCCCGGAGAGGCCGAGCGCTCGGACCAGGGCAGCCCGTCATGGCGGACCGCGGCCGGTGGGGCGGGAGCAGGCGCCAGAGCTGGGCAGGTGAGGTAAGCCGGCAGGTGGGCAAGCGGGCACCCCACTGCCATTGTCCCGTGGCGGAGCTTGCTGTGGCCCCCACCCCACCCCACGCTACCCAGGCCCCACGCCGCGGCAGGAGCGCAGAGGCGCTGCTGGAACCCGCGACATCACCCTTCACTACAGGCCTCACGTGGAGGCGGCATCAAAGCCCAGCTGGCCGCGGCCACCACCGCCCGCCGGCGGCAGTCATGTCAGGCCAGGGGGGCGGAAGCAACGTTTTCTCGACAAGGAGGAGGCTCCTGTGTGGGAGTGGCCAGTCGGGGCGGGCCTGTGGCCCGCGACCGGGGCTCCGGGGATGCCCAGCGGCAGTTGCCCACGGCCGGCGCCACGGGGCCGTGGGACCAGTCCGCTGCGCAAGACGTGTCTGGCCAGGTCACCCCCTACTGCCCCAGGCAGCAGCCGCCCCCACGCGGCTCTCGCCCCTCCCCTCGGTGCCTTCCAGTCCGGCGTCCGGCTCCATGGGCCAGTGGCACTCGGGGCGGGGGCTGCAGGCACGCCCGGCCAGGCTGCCACGGCTGGCCAGAGTGGCAGATGGCCGGGTGCCCGTCGGGCTTCAAAGCCTCTGCGCTTGCCGGGGGTCGTTAGGTAAATGCCGACCGGCAAATCTCTTAATCCACTGTGGCTAATCCAGCACACTTTGTTCCCATGGTGTCTGGGCAACAAAGGGCCGGGCCCACACGCACCGCACCACAGGGATTAGGGCCTGCCGGCCGGCACCACACAAAACCACAGGTTGACTTCCGGGGTGCCGCCTCCGGGGTCCCCGAGACTCCTTGGGTCCGCTCCTGGGGCCATGCTACCTCGGGGTGTCCCATACATAGCATCCTGAGAAGAACCACCCACAGGAAGGGCCGAGAGACCCCGACGTGGCCATCCGGGAGGGGCGGGCGGGGGCCTCCCCGTAGCACAGGTGCCAGCTCGGGACAGTTGTGCTGAGGGGGCATGCGTGTGGCAGAAGGGCGGACCGCAGGCTGTCATGGTGGAGGAGGCCTTGGCCAGCCGCTCTCCCCAGATGCCACCCAGGGCCTCCGCTGCTGCTGGGGCCAGTGCCAGGGTTGGGGTAGCAGCCCAACCCGCTCAGAGGTTGGGTCCCAGCTCAGAGGTTCCTCAGGAGGGAGCCAGGCTGGGGGCGGTGTGCTCCTTCCCCAAACTCGCCCTCCCCAAGCCCCAATCCACTGAGCCATCTGCTGGGCCCCTGGACACCTCCTAGAGTCAGAATCTTCCAGAAAATCTCAAAGGCGTCCCTGCCATGTCCTTTGGCCTGCAGTGGGCTGTCCCCCAGGGGCGTGGGATGAGCTGGGGCAGCAGCCGCTGAGCCCTCTGTCCAGTGAGACACGCCTCAGGCTGCTGCAGTGGCCCCCCAGGGGCTGGATCCCAGGACCCTCCCAGTGTCTGCCTGAGGCCAGTCTGACTGAAGAGCCCCCTGGGCCCGCCAGCAGGAGGCGCAGAGAGGAAATGGCAAGGTGGCTGCCCTCCAGAGCGCACCAGGTGGCCAGAGCGACTCCCGTGGCCTGGGGTGCCAGTCCAACACCCACAGGCCGCCAGCTTGGGATGGCAGGAGCACCTGTCCTGCTCCAGCCTCGAACTGGACAGAGCTGCAACCGGGGCCAGCGCTGCTGACTGACCTGCCCGCCCACCTCAACCCGGCTCCGGCGTGGGAATCTGCAGCTAGCAGCCCCCCAGGAGGACCGGCTGCCTCGCATCCCCTCCGAGCTGGCCCCACCCGGCCTGCCCATGGGCGGCACTGCGACTGGCCTTGGCCAGTGGACAGGCTGCGGCCGCAGCACTCGCTCCATCTCAAATTTCCCTCTTGGGTCCGAGTTGGTACCATTTCATCTCCACACTGCAGCTCCTCTAGTCCCCGGGAGTCCGAACAGCAGCCGCTGCGGTCCCTGGAGTCGGAACCTGGGCCAGTCCGCGCTGGCCGTGCGGGGCTCACCACAAAGCCTCCTGTCTCGGCTGTGGGTGCCTCTACCGGCCCCGGTGTTGCCTTGTTGGCCTTTATCCCTTCTGAGCCCTCCAAGGATCCTCCCTGTCCCCCCCAGCCAGGCTGCTGACTCCCTTCTCCTCCCCACAGGGAGCCGTGAGGAGTTGGAAGCCCCAGGGGCCTGTTCTGGTCCCAGGGCCTGGGGACACCCGCCATCACGGGCCAGGAGAAGGATGGACGTGGACGCACCCCCGGGGGCCTGGCCTGGCTGCAGCAGCAACTCTGCAGAACCAAGGCAAGACTAGGGGCCAGGCAGGGGCCAGTGGCCAGCAGGGGGGCCCTGTCCGGAGGCCTCAGCAGAGGGCGAACAGTGTGGTCAGGGCCGGGGTGCCTGGTACCCACCTGCAGTGCCCGGCAGGTGGTCAGGTGGGGGTTGTCTTGGGCTTGGTAACCCCCTTCCCGGGAGCGGGAGGCGGTGGGCGTGAGCAGTGTCCAGATGTGCAGGCTAGAGGTGTGGGGCCTGGGTGGCAAGGGGAGGGCTCGTGGAGGCTGGCCACAGGCCAGAGACTAGGTGCACGACAGGCGGGGAGGGTGCTGTGGAGGGTGTGGGCAGTGGCAGGGCCCCCGCGCTGCGGCTGAGCCGCGGCCTCTTTGTCCACAGAGCTGGGGTCCTGTCCCCTGGGGCTGCTGCATGCACCTGCAGCTGGGGTGGCTGAGGCGTCCCTCAAGGACGGTGATGAGCGCCTGCTGCCCGCACCCTCCTTCTACGGAGGGCACCGTGACCAGCTGGGTGTGTGGCCAGGCCAGGGCTGCTGTGGGGGGCACAGAGCCCTTGCGGCTGGTGGGCGGCCCACAGGCAGTGCTGTGGGGCCGCTGTCTGCACTGGGGGTGCCCTGGGAGCGGGGGTCAGGTGCGCTGGGGCCAGGACTCCGCAGGCCTGCCCACAGGCCTCCGGGCGTGCGCAGGGTGGCCTGCCCACTGCAGCCAGGTTTGTGGGGAGACCGCAGCGTCTGGGTCTGAGGCTTGGGACTGGGGGCCCGCCCACCGCTCGGGGCCCAGGCGTGTGGACCGGGCGGAGAGGGCTGCGGCGAGCGCGCTCAAGGCCCCTCCTGGGCGCCCGCCCTCCTGGAGCCTGGGGTAGAGGGCCCCGGGGGTCTTGCTGTCCGGGGAGAAGGCCCCGCTGCCTCCGGCCACCTCGCCCGCCCCGCGCCGGGGCTTGACCCGCGGGGCACGCGCCGGGTCTGCGGCGCCGAGCGCGCTCACCCGCTAGGGCGGCCGGAGGGCTGCCAGCGGCCGGGCGGGGGACGCCGGTGGCCAGAGCCCGCAGGGCCCTGCGCGGGGCGTCTCCCCGGGCCTCCCTGCCAGGGGCACCGGCGTCCCCCGCGCGCATCGGGGCGCCGCCCCGCCCCGGGCGCGCCCCCGCCCAGACCCGCCCCGCTCTCGGCCTCCGCGGCCGCGCACTGCGGGCCCCGCCCCGCGCGCCCACTGCGGGCCCCGCCCCCGCGCGCGCACTGCGGGCCCCGCCCCGCGCGCCCACTGCGGGCCCCGCCCCCGCGCGCCCACTGCGGGCCCCGCCCCCGCGCGCCCACTGCGGGCCCCGCCCCCGCGCGCACACACTGCGGGCCCCGCCCCGCGCGCACACTGCGGGCCCCGCCCCCCGCCGCGTGCGTCCCGGCGCCGCCCACGTCCGGCCCCGCCCCGGCCCCGCCCCCGCACTTCCGGGCGGCGCCGGCGGGGGCGCTGGGCCTGGGCTTCGGCGCTCTGGGCGCGGGTCCCCGCTCGGGGACGCGATCGCTGCGCCGCCGCCGCCGCCGAGCCGCCGGACGGCCGGGTCGGCCGCAGCGCGCCCGCGAGCAGGCGGGGAGCGCGGGCGGCCGGCCTCGGGGCGCCCCGCGCCCGCCCCGCGCCCGCCAGGGCCGCCGCGCCGCCGCCGCGATGGGGGCCGCCCCGGGCCGCGCCCCCGCCGCGCCCCGCCCGCCGCGCCGCCGCTGAGCGCATGGGCCGCGGCCGCCCGGCCCGGCCCGGCCCGGCCCGCCCGCCGCCGCGGTGAGTACGCCGGCCCGGAAGCGCGGCGGCGGCGGCGGGCGGCGGGCGGCGGGCGGGCGGCGGCGGCGCCCCCGGAAGTGCGGGCCCGGAAGTGCGGCGGGGGCGCGGGCGGCGGGGGCGCGCGGGGGCGCGGGCGGCGGGGGCGCGGGCGGCGGGGGCGCGCGGGCGGCGGGGGCGCGCGGGCGGCGGGGGCGGGCGGCGGGGGCGCGGGCGGCGGGCGGCGCGGGGGCGGGGGGCGCGCGGGCCAGGAGTGCGGCCGAGCTGCCCGAGCGCGGCCCCGGAGGCAGCGCTGTCCGCGCGCGGGCCTGGCGCGAGGCGGCGGGCGCGCACGGGGCCGGCTCGGCTGGCGGGGCGAGGCGGCCCTGGCGTGCTGCGCCCCCCCGGGGGTTTCGGCGAGCGGGCCGGGGCGGGCCGGGGGCGGCTCGCGCGGCGCCCTCCGCGCCGGGCGGCAGGACGGCAGCCGCGGGCGCGTGGGGCTGTGCTGGGCACCCGCGTCCTGGCGTCCCGTCCCGCTCGGAAGCTGCCCGCGCAGCCCTCGCCAGCCTGGAGGACGGCGGGCGGCACCAGCCCGCGGCTCCCCGGGTCTCTGGAGGGGGCGTGCCCGAGGGCTCGCCGCGTCCCGCCCCCCGGTCCCGCGCCAGGTGCGAGCCCTCTGAGGGCAGGTGCCGGGTGGGCAGCAGCGCCGGCCCCTGTCTCTGGACCCAGGGAAGCTGCAGGGGCCCGCCAGGGCATGGGCGAGGGTGTGACCTGAGGAGCTGAGCAGGGCCTGGGCGCTCAACCCCCCAGGCACCTGCAGGAAAGGACCTCGAGTCACCCCTTTGGAAGAAGAGGGGCGTCTCCCGCCTGCAGGCTGAGCTTGCTGCGGTGGGCAGCCCTGCCCTGGGCCAGGACCAGCCTCCTGCAGGCACTGACTGCCCAGGGTGGCCCCCTGCTCTGCGTGTGGTGTGGGTGCTGAACACTCCCCGGGCCACGTCCTGGTGATGTGGTCATTTGGGGCCGTGCGCGTCCAGGGACAGCCAGAGATGGAGGCAGGGCACAGGTGCTGCTCCTCTGGGCACTGATGGGCAGTGAGGTGCGGTGTCGGGGCCCTGGGGGCCTTTCTGCGAGCTGGCGGCGAGTCTGAGGGGTGCATGGGAGGTGGTGAGGGCTCGGCAGACTGGGAGGGGCTTGTGGTGTGCGGGTAGCGTCGGCCTGGGCACCTGTGTGTCTGGCACCAATCCGGCTCTCCAGGACCCGCTGGCCATCTGCCACTAGGACCTTTCCTGACCAGTAGGCAGGAGCGATCTGCACCTGCTGGTGGGGCACGTGAGCCGTCAGTCCTGCCAGTTGGGGGCACAGGTGTTGGGAGGGAGGGCCGGTTCCCAGGCCCCACCTGGGGGCTGGACACCCTCTCCTTCCTCGTCCTCTCCTGGGCCGGGCAGGCATGCTGCTGGGCTCTGGCCTGACAGCCCCAGTGTAGTGGCACCCCCGGACCGGGCCATCCCTGCTGGGGCCTGGCGTCCCGCCGTCACGGGGGTGTCCAGAAGTGGCTTTGGCGGCACAGGCCCATGTGCCAGGGGGCCGCCTCGAGGCCTCTGGGACCCAGCTGCCGAGACCCCACCTTAACTTTGTGCTCTTGATAGTCTCAACAGGACAGACTGACTCTTTTGGGAGCGCTGGGTGCTGACGTCCACGGCGCAGCACTCCTAGGCCACTGACGCGCCGAGCCCCAAGATGAGTGTCCAAGGGCAAGGGCTCCCCTTGGACCTCGGAGCCAGCTTCACCGAAGATGCCCCGCGGCCCCCCGTGCCCGGCGAGGAGGGCGAGCTGGCCCCCGCCGACCCCAGGCCCGCCAGCCACGGCTTCTGCCCCGGGAAGGCCGAGGCGCCCGCCGCCACCCCGCGGCGCTCGGACCTGGACCTGGGCTACGAGCCCGAGGGCAGCGCCTCCCCCACCCCGCCGCACCTGCGGTGGGCCGAGTCGCTGCACTCGCTGCTGGACGACCAGGATGGCATCCACCTGTTCCGGGCCTTCCTGCGGCAGGAGCACCGCGCCGACTTGCTGGACTTTTGGTTCGCCTGCAGCGGCTTTCGCAAGCTGGAGCCCTGCGTCTCCAACGAGGAGAAGCGGCTGAAGTTGGCCAAGGCCATCTACCGCAAGTACATCCTGGACAACAGCGGCATCGTGTCCAGGCAGACCAAGCCGGCCACCAAGAGCTTCATCCGGGACTGCGTGACCCGGCAGCAGATTGACCCCGCCATGTTCGAGCAGGCGCAGATGGAGGTGCAGTCCAGCATGGAGGAGGACACCTATCCCTCGTTCCTCAAGTCTGACGTCTACCTGGAGTACGCGCGGACGGGCGCCGAGAGCCCCGCGCCCCGCAGCGACCCGGGCCCCGGGCTGGGCAAGGGTGTGCCCGGGTACCTGCCCACGCTGACCGAGGACGAGGAGTGGCGGTGCGAGCGGGGCGAGGGCGAGGACGGCAGCGCCGGACCCGCGCCTCCCAGCCGGCTCACGCAGCAGCTGCTCCCGGGCACGGCGGCCCCCCGGGTGCCCCTGGGCAGATGGTACAGCGCGGGCCCGGAGTTCCGGTGAGTCCCAGGCGCCGGCGCCCCCCCCCCGAGCTGCGGGCCGCTGTCCAGCATGGGTCGGCTGTGTGAATCTTGACCCCTGGGTGTCAGAGGCAGCAGCTCCTTGTCCTCCAGGCCTGCATGGGCACCCCAAGTTTCCACGGACGGGGCGGGGTGTCTCGGGACCCAGCCTTTGTGGCCTTCCGGGGCCTGGGCCACCTGGAGCTTTTCTCTTCTCCCTGTCCGCCCTGGGGGTGGGCCAGGTGCGGCCTGTGGGGCCAAGCCGAGGGCTCCTCACTGGTTCCCGCTGCTGCTCCCTGGGTGGGCCAGAGTCTGGTGCAGCCTGAACCGGCCCCTAGGAGCACAGGGTGAGCCAGGCCCGGCGGCCTCCTGTCCCGGGGAGGCTGTGGGTTTGCGCCTCTTCCCGACACCTGTGGCCAGACGCGGCGGAGTCCTGTGCACACGGGGGCCGGGGCTGCCGTCACGCCCTGAGGGGTGGGCTGGTGGGGGGCTGCAGGAGCGTTGGGCTCCGGGTGGGCTGCAGCTCCCCTCTGCGTGGACTCAGTTCTGCGTGGCATTTTTGGAAGGTGCCCGGGACAGCAGGGGGCACCTAGGCGTGCGGGTGCTGGGACGGCCGGGTCTGGTGCTGGGACGGCTGGGTCTGGGGGCTCCTCGTCTTCCTGGCCTCCGGTGGGGGCTCCAACCGTTACTGCCTGGTCTTCATCCCAGAGACTGGCACAGGGCCTCGATGGTGCCAGCGGCTGATGGTTTACGGGGGACGTGGCCGCAGGACCCGGGCTGTGGGGCCAGGCTCTGTGCCCTCTGGAGCGCGGCCGCAGCCCCCGAGGGCCCGGCCTGCCACGCTGCCTGCTCCCCCTCGGCCCTGCGGGAGGCTCCTGGGCACGGTCCTGTGGCTCCTTCTGTGTCTTCCTGCACGGGTGGCTGGTGAGGCGGTCCCAGTCTGGGCTGGCTTGCGTGGCCACGGCAGCTCCCTGAGGTCGTCCACTGCAGCTGTGTGGAGAGGCTGGAGCAGGGGTGGGCGCAGGGGTGCGGGCCAGGCCAGCCGGGTGTGCGAGGACAGGTCTGCAGCCACGGTGCGGCAGGCGGATCCCAGGACACTTTGGTCTCTCCTCAGCGCAGTGTCCATCCGTCTACAGCGACCCCACGCCTCGCCCCATGCACCCCTGCCCACGCCTGCCCACGGGGCTGGGGGCGCGGTTGCAGTGGGCGCTCACTGCCTCCCGTCTCCAGGTGTGGGCCCTGGCGGGAGCCGGTCAGCCCCTGCTATGCCAGCTCTGGCTACTCTGTGGCCCCGGCCACCAGCGCGAACGACAGCGAGCAGCGGAGCCTGTCCAGCGACGCCGACAGCCTCTCGCTCACCGACAGCAGCGTGTGAGTCCCGCGGCTGCCCGCCGGGTGCGGCTCCCCAGGGCTGGGTCGCGTGAGAGCCGCCACCCAGGACTGTTCTGAAGGGGGGCGTGGGGGTTGTCCATTCTCAGGGCGGGCGCACGGCCCCACTGGCCGGTGCTTACACGGCTTACCCTGTAGGGACGGGGCCCCCCCGCACCGCACCCGCAAGCAGCGCCGCCGGGAGGTGCAGGAGAGCGTCCAGGCCAACGGACGGGGGCCCCTGCCCCACGTCCCCGTGAGTACCCGGCGGGCGGGGAGGGCGGCCAGGCCAGCTCCTGGCTGGGACCCTGCGGGGCGTGTCCATCGAGGGTGGGACACTGAACGGGAAGGACTTCTCTGCGGCGCTTCGGGAGAAGTGGCTTCTCGTTGCTTTTACAGGGTTTTGCGAGTTCAGGAATTGCGTATTTATGAATTATTTATGTTATGAATTTTTTTTTTTTTAAGATTGATTTATTTATTTCTACCAGCACTGGGTACAGTCAGAAGCGCGGGAGGGTGAGAGAATTCACCAGAGCCAGAGCGGGGAGCAGAGCAGGCAGAAGGACCGAAGGACACTGCTGCGGGGAGCAGCGGGCGGCAGGAGAGGTCTGCGCGCCATGCGGGACCCTCCTCCCGTGGCCGGGGAGCAGCCGGGGATTGAACCGATGCTGCAGAGGCTGCGGGCAGCTTCGCAACCCAGCGCTCACCCGCTGCGCCACCGGGGAGGCCCAGTTGTGAATTCTTTAAGAATTATTTATTTATGCTACAAGAGCTGGAGTGCAGGGCCTCCCTGGTGGCGCAGCGGTTGAGCGCTGGGTTGCGAAGATGCTCGCAGACTCTGCAGCTCCGGTTTGATCCCCGGCCACTGGGTGAGGGTCCCACCTGGCGCGCAGACCTCTCCTGCTGCCCACTGCTCCTCTCGGCAGTGTGTGTTGTCGGTTTGCTTGCTCTGCTCTGCTCCCCGCTCTGGCTCTGGTGAATTCTCTCACCCTCTCATGCTTCTGGCTATACCCAGTACTTGTATAAATAAATAAAATAAAATCTTTAAAAAAAAAAGAGTTGGGGTGCAGGCCAGAGGTACAGAGGGGTGAGAGGGCTCACCAGACACAGTGTGGGGAGTAGAATGGGCGGATCCACTGAAACCCACTGCTGAGGGGTGCAGCAGGGAGACAGGAGGGGTCTGCTGGGCTCTATGGTCAGTTCCTTGGCCGGCAGTGGAACTCTAGCTGCAGAGGCTGTGGACAGCTTCATCGCATTGAGACTAAGCGCTGAGACTAACTCCTGCGCCACGCAGCAGGCCCCTGCCCTGCCCCTTCTGAGGTCCTCTCAGATGCCTGCTTCTAGGGCTCCCGCTGGTCCCTGTGTTTAGAGCACCCTCATGGCAAGCCTGCAGGGGGCCCCACCCTGCTCTCCTGGGTCTCGTCCCAGCCAGAGGGAGGGGGGCTCCTCCGGACACATCGGGAGGTCCGGGCGGCCTGGCCGTGGTACACCAGAGGCTTCCCCAGGCCTACTGGCCCGGCCCTGTCTGGCCGCCGCATGCCCAAGTGGCTTGGGGAGGCCGTAAGCACGGGGCTCCATCCAGGGTGGGGCTGGGCGGGTGGCCGCACATGGGATAGGGCGGTCCAGGTCTCTTCTCTGCGGTGGGCCCGATGGTGACTGAGTCTGTCCCCTTCAGCGCACCTACCGGGTCCCCAAGGAGATCCGCGTGGAGCCCCAGAAGTTCGCGGCGGAGCTCATCCACCGGTTGGAGGCTGTGCAGCGCACGCGGGAGGCTGAGGAGAAGCTGGAGGAGAGGCTGAAACGCGTCCGCATGGTGAGGGGGCCGCCCCGGCCAGCTCCAGGGGACGTGGCTCCGGCCTCCGGCCTCTGGCGCCCACCACGAGGACACTCCTGCCCCCCTCTGACTCCCCCCACCCTTTGCGCTCGCTTTGCCCTGCTGTTCTCATCCTTTGTCCATCTGCCCGTTCCCTTCCATTCCTGCTCTCGGGGTGCAGGAGCGTCCCCCTTTTTTTTTTTTTAAAGATTTATTTAAAAAAAAACATAATCTCTGGGGTATGGACCAGAGGCACGGGGGGTGAGAAGATTCACCAGAGACAGAGTGGGGAGCAGAACAGGCAGACGGACCAAAGACACTGCTGCGGGGAGCAGCGGGGAGACAGGAGAGGTCTGCCGCACCATGTGGGTTTCTCCCTGGCGGGCCGGGGATCGAACTTGCGCTGCAGAGGCTGAGGATTGTTTCACAGTGCAGTTCTTAACCCCTTGCGCCACGAGGGAGGCCCAGGAGTGTCCTTTGACCTTCGGATCTTCTGCCCAGTGAGGGGCATCGAGGGACGGCCAAGTGCGGGCGCGGAGCCCCGTCCAGGCGTTGTGGGCAGTGGGTGGGGCATGGCTGGTCTGAGCGTGCAAGGACACTGAGGGTTGGGCTGATTGAGTGTGAGGGGGGCCACCCTCGTCACCTGCACCCTCACCTGCAGGAGGAGGACGGCGAGGATGGTGATGGACTCCCTGGGGCCTCGGGCGTCGGCCACAAGCTGCCCCTGGCGGGGCCCTGGCACCACTGTGTGGCCCGCTACCCAGACGTGGGCTGTGCAGGGCTGCGCGATGCGCACGAGGAGGACCCCGAGAGCATCCTGGACGAGCACGTGCAGCGTGTGCTGCGGACACCTGGCTGCCCCTCGCCGGGGCCCGGCCACCGCTCCCCGGACAATGTGCCCAGGCTGGGGCCAGTGCTGGGGGGTGCCGCCCCAGGCCACGGGAAGCATGCGCCCAAGTTGGGGGCCAAGCTGGACCCGGCCGGCCTGCACCTGCACAGGCACGGCCACCACCACGGCCACCACGGCACGGCCAGGCCCAAGGAGCAGGCTGAGGCCGAGGCCTCCCGCCGCGCCCAGAGCGGCTTCCCGTGGGGCCCAGAGCCACATGGCCACCCGGCCAAGCCCCGTGGCCACGGGGAGAGCGCGGGCTCCACCCCCGGGGCGGGCGACGGCCTGGCCTACAGGTGCGTGCAGACCCGCGGGGGCAGGGGTACCGGGCTCGGGGCCTGGGGGGGCGCCGGGGTCAGCGGACGAGCAGCCCCAAGGGACGTCCCTGCGTGGTGGGCGCCCCAGTCACGCCAAGTCTTGTCGGCAGCGGGAAGGCGGGCGTCCCCTCCAAGAGAAGCGGCCGGAAGGGCGAGTCGGGGAGGGCCACCGGTGGTGAGGCGCCGGGCCCCGTGGAGGACGTGGAGCGGAACCAGAAGATACTGCAGTGGATCATCGAGGGGGAGAAGGAGATCAGCCGGCACCGGAAGGCCGGCCACGGGTAGGGGTTGGCGCGCGGCGGGGCGGGAGCTGTCCAGCCTCCGCCTGTGTCCTGTTCGTGCTCTGTGCTCCGTCCGGGGGCCGACTCCCACAGTGGGGCCGGGCCGGCAGCCGTGGACAGACTCCCGGCCCGGGGGTGGGCTCCGGAGGGGCCCGGCGTCCTAGCTGTTGTCCTGGGCGGCCCCTCTTGGCCTGGGAACAGCCCCGGGCCATTGCAGTCACTTGTCCTGGGGTCCCCGCTCCTGCCGTCCGGGGCTCTGGGTGTCCAGAGATGGCGCTGCCCCACCTGCAGAGATTCCTGTGGTTTGTGAGCCCCCCTCCGCACTCTTGCTGGCCCAAGGACTCCCCTCCCTCCCCTGAGGCGGGGGCGCCCTCCCTGCGGCCAAGCTGAGCCCGCGTCACCAGGCTCCCCCATTCCCCCCCCCCTTCCTCAAAACTGAGGGCGGGGGCCCTGGGGCAGAGCTGGGGGGGAGCAGGAGAGGCAGGGCCCCGGGTGGGCACTCGGAGGTGCTTGAGTCATGGGGTTTTCTTTCCAAATTTCCGTATTTCAGGTTTTTTAGGGCACCTGTTTTACCTTATTGGCTTATTTTTCCTTATTTGTGCGTACAAGAGCTGGGGTGCAGGCCAGACGGGGGGGGTGAGAGGACTCCCCAGAGACAGAGTGGGGAGCAGAGCAGGTGGGTCCCGAGACACACTGCTGAGAGGCAGATAGGGAGGCCTGCTGCGGCCTGTGGGTTGCCTCTGCTGGGGATGGACCGGGCCGCAGTGGTGACCGCCTGAGGCTCAGCCCTGGTCCCCCGGGAGGCCCAGAGCATTTGACATTAACTTTTTTTTTTTTTTAATTTTTTTTTTTTTAAAGATTTATTTATTTATTTATACAAGCACTGGGTACAGTCAGAAGCGCGGGAGGGTGAGAGGATTCACAAGAGCCAGAGCGGGGAGCAGAGCAGGCAGAAGGACCGAAGGACACTGCTGAGGGGAGCAGCGGGCGGCAGGAGAGGTCTGCGCGCCATGCGGGACCCTCCTCAGGTGGCCGGGGAGCAGCCGGGGATCGAAACGGCGCCGCAGAGCCCGCGGGCAGCTTCCGCAACCCAGCGCTCAACCACTGTGCCACCGGGGAGGCCCTGACATTAACTTTATTTTTTTTTTAAAGATTTATTTTTATTTATTTATACAAGCACTGGGTACAGTCAGAAGCGCGGGAGGGTGAGAGAATTCACCAGAGCCAGAGCGGGGAGCAGAGCAGGCAGAAGGACCGAAGGACACTGCTGAGGGGAGCAGCGGGCGGCAGGAGAGGTCTGCGCGCCGTGTGGGACCCTCCTCCGGTGGCCGGGGAGCAGCCGGGGATCGAACCGGCGCTGCAGAGGCTGCGGGCAGCTTCGCAACCCAGCGCTCAACCGCCGCGCCACCAGGGAGGCCCCTGACATTAACTTTAAAACAAAAAAAAACAAACAGCAGTTTTTCAAGTCTTTGTGTGGGAGGTGACTCAGGGCTCAGTGCGCCTGCCTGGGCCCGGCCACCTCTGCCCTCCCCCCCCCTCCCCCCGCCTGACTCCGCCCTTCACCCTCAGGTCATCTGGGGCCAAGAAGCAGCAGGCCCACGAGAGCTCCCGGCCACTGTCCATCGAGCGCCCTGGGGCCGTGCACCCCTGGGTCAGCGCCCAGCTCCGGAACTGCGTGCAGCCCTCGCACCTGTTCATCCAGGACCCCACCATGCCGCCCAACCCCGCCCCCAACCCGCTGACGCAGCTGGAGGAGGCCCGCCGGCGCCTGGAGGAGGAGGAGAAGAGGGCCAGCAAGCTGCCCTCCAAGCAGAGGTCCGGCTGGGTGGCACTGCCTCGGGAGACCCCTCCTGCCGCGGGGTCCTGCATCCACTGGGGCTGCACAGCAGTCCCGGACACTCCCCAGGCAGGGCCACCCTGGGAGCAGGGGCCGGGCCAGGCACACCCCAGCCCGACCGCTGGCCGGCGCTTGTCCCCTGACCCGGCCGCCATGCCCTGGCCTTGGTCTTGTGGCCACCAGGGCCTTACCAGCACCAGGGGCCTCCCTGGGCGAGGGCTGCCCCCCACTCCCTGTGCAGGCTGGGAGTCTGCCCTGTGCTCCCTGCCTTCCTGAGTGGCGGTGGGGCCAGAGGCCGGAGGGCCTCCCTGGGGTTTGCTCCGGCAAGGGGTCCCCGCTCGGCTCCCACCAGCAGCACTTGTCCTGTCCACCCGGGTCACTGAGCCCAGGGCCTCGCTTCCTGACACCCTGCTGGGGCTCCTGGGACGGGCTGGGTTTGAGGTCGCAGTGGGGAGGGGGGGTCCCCTGGGAACCTGCAGTGAGTGGCCATACAGCCAAGGTGACCACCTAGTCCATGTCCCAGACCCTACTGCCGTGGGCGGTCCCGGGGACCACTGTGGAGGCAGGTCAGGGTGCACTGACCTGTGGCGGCCACTCCAGCGCCCGTCGGGTGCGGGGCCTCCAGACGTGTGACAGCCACTCAGTGCCCATCGGGTGCGGGGCCTCTAGCTCTCTGCACAGGCTGACCAGCCTGGCCTCCGTCCTGGTAGGCTCTCTGCCAGGGCCGCCCCAGGGCTGTATAGCTGGGCCCCTGGCTGTTTGTGAGGTTTGGGGCTTCAGGCCCCGTGGGGTGAGCGGTGGCAGGGCCCACCGAAGGCCAGGCTCTGGGTGGGGGGCTGGGCCCTAGGGAGGCTGGGCGAGGGCGGGGGCTGGTCTGATGGGACAGGCGGCAGGGATGGCTTGCGTCTGCTGCACTGTTTTGGGGTGTGGGCACTGGGCAGGTGTCGGCCCAGGCTGTACAGGAGGCCAGTCGTGGACTGGTAGACATGCAGCATTGCTGAGTGTGGGCAGCTCCTCGCAGGCCCTGCCATGCCCAGGGCCAGGGGTCACCCCATCTCTGCCCACAGGACAAAATCACAGCGGAAGGCAGCCAGCGGGAGCGCCCAGCCATGTGACAGCATCGTGGTGGCCTACTACTTCTGCGGGGAACCCATCCCCTACCGGACGCTGGTGAGGGGTCGTGCGGTCACCCTGGGGCAGTTCAAGGAGCTGCTGACCAAGAAAGGCAACTACAGGTGAGACCAGGGCTGTGGCAGGGGCTGTGGTCAGCAGGTGCCAGATGCCCCCTGCACCCGTTTCCACCCTGGCACCCAGCCTGGGCCTTCAGAGTGGGCTCTGATGCCATGAGGCTGCCTGCACAGCTCTGGGCCCGTGTGGCCTGCCCTGGCCGCCGCCCGGTGTCCTGGCACTTCCATGTGGCCCAAGCCCCGCGGCACCTCCCCAAGCAAGGCTGTGTCGTCCTGTCTGCCAGGCAACTGGGAAATCCCCCTCTGGCCACTCGCCCGGAGAGGCTGGGCCCCAGCTGCCCCTGCTGCTGCCCTGGGGGTGTCCGGGCGCCACCGTGCACCCTCAGGGCCGGGCCAGGGGAGCTCAGCAGCCTCGCCACCCCCACCCCAGATACTACTTCAAGAAAGTGAGTGACGAGTTTGACTGCGGCGTCGTGTTCGAAGAGGTTCGGGAGGACGAGGCCATCCTGCCTGTCTTTGAGGAGAAGGTCATCGGCAAGGTGGACAAGCTGGACTGACCAGAACGTGGGTGCTGCAGCAGGCCTACCCTCACCGTCACTGCCTTCCCGTGGGGCTGACACGGAGCCTGCAGGCCAGGGCTGCCTGCCCGGCAGCCTCCACCTCTGGTCCATCTGTGCCCGGGGCAGGGACCCCAAGGGGCCCCACATGAACAGGCTCTGTCCCTGCCCAAGAGGAGGGAGCCCTGTCCACTCCCCAGAGCAATACCCGGAGTGGGGGCCAGGTCCAAGCAGGGCAGCTGCCCAGGCTGCCTTGGGGACCCTCCCAGCCCCTGCTGCTAACTGGGGCCACCCTGGGTGCCGGCCCCAGGGCCCGCTGCTCCTTGGGCATCGCCAGCAGCCCGGACACCAGGAGCCCTGCGGGGCCTCTGCCCCTGTCCATGTCACCGAGTGCCTTCAACACACTTGTCTCTTGCCTGCCACTGTGGGGGCCCCGCCCCTGGCCGCCCCCCTCAAGGGCCTTGTAAATATGTACATTTCTCAGGGCAGGGCCAGCTGGGGCCGCCCGGCCCGTTTTTTTCATGCGCTGACTTGTACAATTATCTTTTCAAAGGTACTTGGATAATAATGAAATAAAACATTTTTGAACCTTCCCTAGCTGTGGAGTGGCTCTGGGCGGCAGGGGCCCTCGGCCAGGCCTAACACGTCTCCTCGGCCTGACTGGTCCCGTGTGGCCTGTGGCAGCCGAGGAGGTCATCCTGGCCTCCAGGGTAGGGTTTGCGGTGGGGGCGGTCATCATCTGGGTGAGGCTGGCAGAGCACGGAGGCTAGCCAAGCTAGTAGCCTTGCCACAGCACCCTTCCTGCCCGGAGAACCCCACACCCAGCTCGGACCCCCTGAGGCTGGGACCCGTCCAGCACAGAGTGGGCCCCCGGAGGCAAGACTGGCCCAGCCAGGGGTCAAGGACCACACGACAGTCGGGGCTAGTGCTTTATTCCCCGCCCGAGCTCCCTGGCCGGAGACGGCTCCCAGGCACCGATGCCCCTACAGCTCCTCCTTGGGGACCGCGGTGGAGTTGGCTGGCGGCTCCTGAAAGGGGCACAGACGCCCACTGCAGTGCTGGCCTGTCCCCTTGGGTCCGCCCCGCCCGGGCTGCCCCATCGCTGCCCCTGAGGGCGGGCTGGAGGCACCCACCGGAGCCGGGGCTGCAGGCTCCTCCGCGGGCTCTTCCGCGGGCTCCTCCGCGGGCAGCACGCCCCCGCTGTCCAGGAACTTGGAGAAGGTTTCCAGGTCCCTGGTGCTTTTGTATTCAATCACCTGAGGACGGACAGGAGGGCTGCGCCCCGCCCACCCGCCCCCAGGCCCCGCCCCCGGGCCCACCAGCCCTCCCGGCCCCGCCCACCCGCCCTCTAGGCCCCGCCCACCCGCCTCCAGGCCCCGCCCCCGGGCCCACCCGCCCTCCAGGCCCCGCCCCGGGCCCACCCAGCCTCCAGGCCCCGCCCCAGGCCCCCCCGCCCACCCGCCCTCCCGGCCCCGCCCCCGGGCCCACCCGCCCTCCAGGCCCCGCCCCCGGGCCCACCCAGCCCGGGCCCCGCCCCCGGGCCCACCCAGCCCGGCCCCGGCCCGCCGTCTCACCCTCCGGCCCGGCCCCGCCGGGAAGTACTTGAGGGTCGGGAAGCCGCGCACAGGGAAGCCGTCCAGCTCATTGGCCGTGGCGTCCAGCTCCGCGATGACGATGTCCTCGCGGTCCTTGTACTTCTCGGCCAGCGCCGCCCAGGCCGGGGCCATCTCCTTGCAGTGGGCGCACCACGGGGCATCTAGGACAGAGGGCGTCGGCCGGGCCCGCGGAGCCGCCCGCCGCCCCCCGCGGGCACTCACAGAACTTGACGAACACGTTCTTGGTTTCATCGAAGGCCACCTGCTCAAAGTTCTTGCCCACGAGGGTCTTGACGGGCCTCTGGTCCCAGTCGGGGGGCACGTCCTGGCTCAGCAGATAGGGCTGGGGACGAGCCGCTTCAGGGGTCTGTCCGCCCGCCCGCCCGCCCGCCCGCCCGCCCGGGCAGCCCTGGCCACCTGGATCTCGCCGCCCAGGACGGCGTGGCAGAAGGCGGCCACCGAGGCTGCGGTGAGCGCCGCGTCCTCCGCAGGCGCGTACTTCTTGGTGGTCTCCATGTTGATGAAGCGCAGAGTGGGGGCCTCCTCGGCCTTGAGGCCGAAGTACTGCAGCACGTGGTCGTTGTCGGCCGCGACGTCCACCACCACGAACAGCACCTGCCAGCGGGCGGTCAGCACCCGGCACCCGCCTTCCCACTGCCCGACCACTGCCCAGCCAGTACCTGCCCCCGGAATGGGGGAGCCGCCTCCCCGAAACCCGCCAGCAGCTCCTGGTGTGGGGCCAGTGTCTGGTTGACAAACAGCAGCAGGTGGTTGAGGATCCTGGCTGCGAAGATCTTAGGTGAGGTCTGCAAGGGACACTCTGGGGTCAGCTCCCCAGGGCACCCTGCCCACCTTGCCCCGCCCACATCCCCACTGACCCGCCCGCTCCGCCCCACCCCGCCCGCCGGGCGAGACCCCGCTCGCCTCGCTGTTGAACTCCGTGACCAGGCGCAGGCTGTGCGTGAGGAGGAAGTGAGACAGGTCCCCCAGGTCCAGGCCCAGCTCCTCGTCCACTGGGAAGTCTGCCCGGCCCTCATCAAACTGGATGGCATCAGGCGGGTCAGCGGGAGCCACAGCCCTGACCCGGCCCCCCTCGGTCTGCCCCAGCCTGGCCTCACCTTCTTGAAGAGGACTATGCTGTCCTGGGTGAGGCCAAACTTCTCAAACAGCTGTGGCCGGTCAGTGAGGCCAAAGGTCATGTCCAGAGCATCCTGGGCCAGGGCCAGGAAGGTGGCAACGTCCTTGTCCTGCAGGTCCTAAGGCGCCCAGCCAGGTGAGGCCAGCTGGCACCTCAGGCCCTGCTCCCACGCCGGCCCGGGCCATGCCCAGCTCACCTGGAAAAAGCCGATGACCACCACATCCCGGGCCTCGATCAGCGCCTGGGCACCCTGCTCGTCCTCCAGCCGGGTGGCGCTGGGCCCCACGCGCCGCCGCAGCCACTCGGCGATGCCCTGGGCCTCGCGGGGGCCTACAGAGAGTGCCCTCAGCTGGGCCCACCAGCCAGCGCCCGCCCCTCCCCGCCCCGCCTCCCCGCACCTGTGTACTCCTCCGGGTGCGTGCGGTTCCCCGAGCGGAAGAACTTGAGCGTCGGGTACTCCGTCACCGCGAACTCCTTGGTCAGTTCTGGCTCTGACGGCCCGTCCACCTTGGCCAACCTGGCTTTAGCCGACTCTGCTGCCAGCAGGGCCGCTGCCTTGCTGTACTCGGGGGCCAATGCCTTGCAGTGCCCGCACCACGGGGCATCTGGGGGACGGGGCCATGAGCATGTCCGCTCTGCCCTGGGCCAGACCCCTCCCTGCCCGGCCTCGCCGCGCACACAGTGCCAGCCCCGGCTGCGACTCTGAGAGCCCCCTGGGTCCACAGGCTCAGGTCACACGGGGCCGGGGTGCCTGCCAGCCGGGTATGGTTGTCAGGCGGGTGGTCACAAAGCCATGAAGGGCAGACCCGGCCGCCTGGGGGACAACTGCTCCCCGCCCCCCCCCCACTCCCTAGGCTGGACACCAGGCCAGCTCAGCCCTGGCCACTCCCTCCACAGCCGCTGGGGGGGCCCTCGGCCGGCGCCCGCTTTGCCTGCACTCACAGAACTCCACCAGCAGCGCAGGGTGCTCCCGCAGAGCCCGGCCCAGCGTGTGCTGGCTCAGTACCAAGACCCCGTCCTCCTCAGGGGGCTCCTCCTCGGGGGGCGCCTCCTCAGGACCCCCAGTCCCCGTCTCCTGTCCCCGCAGCCCGGAGGCCCCGAGCAGCAGCAGCAGCACCAGGAGGAGCTGGCCGTCCATGGCAATGCCGTGTGGCCGGGGCGGGGGCAGATAAGGGGGCCGGGGGCCAAGCAGCGGCTGCCACGTGGCCCTGCCCAGCGGCAGGAGAGATAAGGCCCCCCCGCGGGCAGACAGAAGGACACCGAGGCCACCGAGACAGGGCGACATTTAATAGGGCTGTTTGGGGCACAGGCCCAGGGAGGGGCGCCCCAGGGGGACAGGGCTTGGGGCTGCAATCACTGGGGGCTGGGCAGTGGGGTTCGTGCAGGGGGACACGCGCTCAGCTCCCCCAGTCCCGGCCGATGTGCAGGCCCCACTCCCAGGACAGGTGGTCATTCCTGTCGTCGTCTGTCAGGCAGGACCGGACCACGTAGGCGCCCCGCACCAGCGCGCCCCGCGGAGCCTCCTCCTCCGGGGTCACCACTTCGTACTCCTGGGCGCGCGGGCCGTAACTGCCCAGCATGTAGACGGCCCTGTCCACTGGGGGGGGGGCGAGGCATTAGGGCCCCTGCCCGCGCCCCCACCGGCATCCTTGCGCCTCCTGCGCCTGTGCCCCCGCCTGCGCCCGTGCACCCCCATCCACGCAGCACCGGCTGGCACCCCTGCGCCTCTCATGGCCCCTGCCAGAGCCGCGCCCCCAGCGGTCCTCACCGCGCAGGCCCTGGCGGTAGGTGTGATGCCGGGACTGGAGGCCGCTGACAATCTCCTTGTTGACCTGAGAAACGGGGGGGTTAGGGGCCCGGGGCAGGGCGGGGCGGGGCGGGGCGGGGCCCCGGACCCGCTCACCTTGAAGGTGATCTTCACTCTGTAGTCGGCCCCCTCCTTCAGCACGAACACACGGCCCTTCAGTGCCGCCGGCCCCCCTGTTAGAGAGGGGCGCTGAGTGGGGCTGCAGCGGGGACCAGCCACGGGGGTCCCTGAGGGCCCAGTGTGATGCGCCGCAGGCTCTGCCCCAAAGGCCACTTTCTGGCTTGGGGGGGGACCTGGGCCCCGGAAGTCACCTGTGAGGTCCATGGTGATGGGCCCCGGAGCCTGCTCCGACATCAGCGTCAGCCGGGTCACCTGCACGTTGGGCAGGCTGGGGTCTGAGGAGAGACCACAAGTGGACAGGGCGCCCCGCCCCCGCCCCGCCCGGGCCTGCCCGCTCCAGGGCCGCCCCGGACCCGGCCTACCCGCGGGGGGCGGCGGGGACCCCAGCAGGGCCCGCTTGTACTTGGCCAGGCTCTCGTCGTGGGAGTCCAGCTGCTGGATCTCCAGGAGGCTCTTCCTGCCTGGGGCCCGGTACTCCGGCACCGCCTCGTCCAGCGCCTCCTCCGGCGGCAGCTGCCCCCCGTCCTTGCTGGTCAGGAGGACTGGACAGGCGGGTGTCAGCAGCGGCCGGCATGCGCCCCGCGCCGGCTCCTGCCGCCAAGGGGACTTGGGAGGTGGCCGGGGGTGGGGGGGTCGGGGAGGGCGGGGTGGGGGCTGGGGGCAGGGTGCTGGCTCGGCTAGGGAGGGCCGGCGGGGCTGCTGCCTTCTCCCAGCCCCACCCACGGGGACTCCCTGACTCTGAGGCCAAAGGTGGGGAGCAGGCCCGGATGGGGACATCCCCAAAGTCGGCGGCCACCACTGCCCAGTGGTCACCTCTGAGGCCCCCCCTGGAGCAGCGGCCCCAGGGCTTCTGTCCCGTGTCCCCAAGATGCCCCGGGGGCAGCGGGGCCTGCCTTCCTGTGCCGGCCCCTCCCGGCCTGGCGCCCCCTGCACCAGCAGGCCCCTGAGCCAGGCTCGCCAACCCCTGGCTTTGCTGGGGCACATCCCGGGGCCTCCGGCCCTTAGGGAGCCTGGGGCAGGGGTCTCACCCCCTTGCCCCCCTCGGGCCTGGGGCAGGGCTTCCGAGAACCCGGCCCTGCAGCGTCTCTCAGGGTCTTCTGGGCTGTCCCAGCCCCCCAGGAAGAGGGGACCTCGGAGCAGGCTCCCGGGGGAGCGAGGGCGGCCCCCCGGCTTCCCAAGCCCAGCCGCCCCCCTTGGCTCCCTTCCCCACGGGTGCCCCGCAGGCGAGCACGCGGTCCCCGGGGCGCCTCCGGAGTTCCGCGGGGGGCGGCCCCCGCCCGGCGCCCCCGGCCCCGCCCCGCCCGCCGCCCGGCTCACCCCGCGCGCACAGCGCCAGCCGGAGCAGCTCCAGCAGCTGCGCGCCCAGCTCGCACGCGTCCAGGCCCAGCATGGTGGCGCCGGCCCCGCCGCCCGCTCGGCGCTCAGCCCCGGCGCGACTGCGGTGAGCTCATCCCGGCCGGGAGCGCCCCCCGCGCCCGCGCCGCGCCCGCGCCGCGCGCCCCCCGCCGCTCCGCGGACCCCGCGCCGCCCCGCGGAGACGCCGCCGCCCCGGCCCTGGGGCCCGCCCCCGCGGCGCGCGCGGGAGGCCGGGGGTCGGGGACGCCCCGCGCGGGCGCGGCCGGGCCGCCGGGGGAGCAGGGGCGCCCCGGCCGGCCTCGCGCCCCGCAGGCGCCGCGCGCACCTGGGCGCGCCCGCCCCGCGCCGCCCCGCGCCGCCCCGCGCCGCCCCGCGCCGCCCCGCGCCGCCCCGCGCCGCCCCGCGCCGCCCGCGCCTCTGGCCAGGGGGGCCCCGCGCCCGCCCGGCTGAGCGTCCGCAGCGCCGCCGCCCAGGCGCGGGCCCCTCCGGGCGGCCGCAGGCGTCTCTGCGCCGGGCTGGGGCTTGGGTGCGGCTCTGGTGCTGCTGGGCCCCGGGGGAGCCCCACGCCCCCGTCCTTGCACAGGGAGAGACCCCGGCCCCAAACGGGAGCGCAGTGCTGGGGCCCCAGGGCCCCCCCCAGGCCGTCTGGCCTGGCTGTCCACCCAAGCCCGGGGATGGGGGCGCAGGGCGGGGAAGGGGGGGCTGGACTCGGGCAGGGCCTTCAGGGGCCGGGTCTGGGGGGGACGGGGACACGGCCCGGCCCCCACTGCTGAGGACACCAGGCCAGACCTGGCCTTGCCTGGAGGCGCCCGCAGGCCAGCAGCTGCGGGTGCTGGAGGCCCCTGCCTCGAGTGGAGCTGCCCCTCAGAGCCCCACCTTGGCGGGGTCAGGCCTGCAGCTGGGGCCAGGCCCTTTTAGGAACCCATTCTGGGCCGCCAACTCCCTGTTCTGACACGTCTCAGATGCCTCACTCCCCTAGAGCTCCCTGTGGCTGGCCACTGAGCCACACCATGGTCAGTGGGGAGGGGCGGCCAGCCTGGGGCACCCCAGCCGAGCCGGGCACTCCTGGCTTCACCTCTGCCCTGCAGCATCGAGCTGACCCAAAAACACACCCCAAAGCCGGCTGAGTTCCGGGAGGTGGCCCCAGCCCCCAAGGCTGGCCAGAGGGCCCAGCCCCGTACGTGGCCCCAAGCAACTGCCCCAAGAGTGTGCCCGCGGGCCTGCAGGCACCCTGGCAGGGAGGTCCTGTGGAGCTGGTAGGGCAGGGGCGCCCTGAGTCCTGTGCCCTGGGAGCTCTGCCACGGGGTTCTGGTGCCAGCTAAGACCCCGCCTCAGAGGCCAGGCCTGCCCAAGGGTGTGCGGTGGCTGCAGCCCCAGTTTCTCTCGCCCCCAAGCGCTGCAGGAGGGGGGGCATGTGCAGAGAGGGGATGTGCCCAGGATGCCCTGTGAACTTTGGGGTCCCAGTAGGTGGGGTTTGGGGTCTGCGCCCTTCCGGGCTGCAAGCTCCGGAGGCCTGAGGCTGCTGCCGCGCGGCTGGGAAGAGTGGGTGAAGCACAGTGGAGGAGCCAGGAGACCCTTGGGAGCAGCCGGTGAGGCCGGCTGAGTGCGGCATGAGGGGTGCAGACACAGGCGACAGTCTCGGGGTGCTGGCCTCTGCCTAGAACTGTGGGCCTGGCATGCAGCTTGAGGGTCCCCCATGTGGGGCTCTGGAGACACGAATGGACCTGGGGAGCTGGTGAACCAGGAGCCGCTTGGAAACCCTGGGGCGGGGGTGTGGGGGGGCTCCTGGCCCAGTTGGCTCATCAGGTGTCTCTGGAAGAGATTCTTAGGGGCCTTCCTGGGGCGCAGGGGTTAAGTCTCAGCACTATGAAGTTGGCGGCGGGAGCCTTGGCGCCGTCGCAGGCGCCTGTGTGTGGGTGGACGGGCTCGGGCCCTGCTCCGAGAGGCTCGCCAGGGCTCCTGCCCACGGCCCGCCTTTTCCCAGGGGCTGCTCTGAACCTTGACCTGCACCCGGCCGGTATGCGGGCGGCCATCACCCCTGCCTGTCGGTGGACTGGACAGTCAGGGAGCGCGTTCTCAGGCGGTGTCCGGCTCGCTCTGGGCGGGCGCGCTCGGCGGGCAGCACCAAGACCGGCCGCTTCGCCGTCAGGGGGCCGTCGTCCCAGCGCCCGGAGTGCTGGCCGGGCCCAGTTTGGGGGCTGCTTCTGCTCTGGACCGCACACCGCGGCTCCAAGCCCCGTGGAGAGGCAGCGAGGCCGCGCGGCCCAGGCGCTCCTCCAGGTTTGCGACGCTCTGTTTGGCGCCACGTCCGCCTCGCTGTGGGGGTGCAGGACAGTTGTCTTTGCGGGGGCCTCGGTCCCCCACGGGCACCAGGCCTGGTCTGGGAAGGTGTGGGGGTGCCCCTTCCCTGAGCGCCTGGGGTGAAAGTGGGCGGCGGGTCGGGACCAAGGGGCGGCTGTGGGGTCGGGGCGGGGGGGGGCGGGACTCCTCCAGGGGCGCCCTGTGCCTGCGCTCAGGCCCGCCTCCCCGCGGGTGTTCCCGTCCACGCAGAAGCCACATCCCGGACCCAGCCCCGCACTTCTTCCCGCCAGCGGGGGGGCCTCAGGGCCCTGGAGCAGAGGGGACGCGGCCATCCCGGCCAGTCAGACATGGCAGCCTCTGGAACCATCCAGCAGGCAGCCAGGACCCCGAGCCCGACCACGGGCGACAACGGGTGGACAAGTGACCGGCGCCCCCGAGCGCTCGGCCGCCTGCAGTCCGCCGTCTCGCGGGCTTCGGCAGGGTGGGCGCAGCCCCAGGGAGGGCTCAGTGGCTCCAGGGGGTGCAGGCCTGAGAGGATGCCCCGTCCCTTTCACCCACTGAGGCCGTCCTGGCGCCCTCCTGTGGGCACCACATGAGGGGGCATCTGGGGGGGGTTCTGCAGCAGAGCAGGGGCCCAGGCCTCGGGGTTTGGACTGTGGGGGACCCGGGGAACGTGAGGCGGCCAAGTCCAGGGAGTCCTGGGGAGGAGGCTCTGGTGCTGGGCAGCCCATCCCAGGACACCCCTGGCCGGCGTCCCCAGGGTGACCATCCCAGCGGCCTGGGGCCTGCCAGGGTGGCGCCCTCATCTCCGGCCAGGGTGGCGCCCCGCAGACCAGAGCCCCTGCTGCCTGCTGTGGCCGCCTCAAGGTGCCCAGGTCATGAGGCTGGTGGCTTCTCTCGGGGCTGGGCACCTGCTTCCTGGGCCTGCCTGAGTGTGGGTGCCCGTGGCCCCACCCTGGCCTTTGCAGAGGACGAGCGGCTAAGGGCGACGGGCCAGGCTTGCCCCTTTACGGGCCCAGGGCCGGCCTGGCTGCAGAGGGGGGGTCCCTGCGGCCTGGCTGCCCACACGCAAGGGCCGGGCTCCTGGCGGCTGTGTGGGTAGCCCGGCCCCCGGGCAGGCTGGGCTGGGGCCCTGAGAGCCGGACGCTGCTCGCCCATCCGCTCCCTGCCTGGCAGCAAGTCCAGGCCGCCCGCAGACGGACAGACAGAGGACAGGAGACGGCTCTCGCGCTTTCTCAGTGCAGACACCTTTACTGTGGCTCTCGCGGGGCCTGCAGGCTGCTCTGTCCTGAGGGCGCGGACCAGCAAGGCACGGGGGTGAGTTCTGCGTGTGGCGGCACCGAGCACCAGGGAGCAGAGGCCGGGCTGGCGCAGGCCGGGAGGGTCGCTCCACGCAGCCCCCCCAAGTGGGGCTCCCAGAGGGGCCCGGCGCACAAGTCCTGCCTGCAGCCCCGGCAGGGCCCAGTCCCACTGCCCACGACGCCCCGGGGCCCCCTCAGAGCTCTAGGGCACCGGACGTGTGGGGTCGGCTTGGACAGAAGAGGGAGGGGCCTTGGGCGGGCTGGACATGGGGCCAGGAGAGCCTGGGGGGGCGGGAGGCGGGGCAGGGCGGGAGGCGGCCCGTCCCATGCTGGCGTGGAGGCCCTGATGGTCGCTGGCGGCTGGTGCTGGCCTAGTGCTGCCCGCCAGCTCAGGCCTCGCCCCGGTAGCGCAGGCGGGAGAAGCGGTCTCTGACGGCCTGGTCGCTGTCATGCCCGCCCTCCACCAGGCGGGTCACCCTGCCGCCCGCGATGAGGTCCCGCACCTTGTGCTTGGTCACGGAGACCAGGCCAGGCGTGTCCAGGCCGGCTGGGCCCGTCAGGATGACACAGGCAGCGTGGCGGCTGGGCTCCAACAGGGCCACTGGGGGGACACGGTCATCAGGGCTCCGGCAGGTGGAACAGACCACCCCTGGGGGCGCCGGGCCTCGCAGCCCCACTCACCGTGGAAGGCGGTGATGTGGGCGGAGACATTGGCCAGCTCCAGCAGGACGCTGGGCAGCGTGGGGTGGAACAGGTACAGGCTGTGCTGGGGGCCCCCAGGGTCCTGGGGGGGGCAGCATGGGGCTGAGGCTGACCACATCTGGGTCAGAGACCTCGCGCCCCTGGCTAGGACCCAGCTGTGCACCCCTCCAGTCTCTTCCCCCACACCTCACCCCTCCGGGAGGCCCACCCTGCCCCGCTTACCACCTGGCTGGCACCGGCTGGCTCGTGGCGGCCCCAGAAGAAGAAGGCGGAGCGGCGGTCTGCAGTGGGCAGGCTGGCGGGTGGGGGGTCCCCCGGGAGGCTGAGGAGGGCCTGGCGCCACAGGATGGACCCAGTGCCGGCGTCCAGGAGCAGGATCTGGGGAGGAGGGGCAGCGTGGGGGCTGAGGCTGGCCAGGACGACCTCAGGCCTGCACCGACCTCCGAGGCCCTCCCGTCCCAGAGCCAGCGAGGGCCTTGGGTGCTCGGCCCACCTGTCTGTCACTGCCGGTTCCGTTTTCAACAGCCAGAGCCAGGGTGTCCGGTTTGTAGTGGCCAAGGGTGGGCTTTCTGGAAGGAAAGGGAGGGTGCGCTCCCGAGGGTCTGCCAGGACAGGCCCGGCCGGATGCCACGGTGGCGGCTCCTTGGCTCCCCAGGTTGGGACCTGGCCGGCCCTGGGCAGTCCACCAGTGACCAGCCAGACCCCACCTGTGCCCCCGTCCCAGGCCACAGGTCCCTCACCTGAAGACCTGGGCTGCGTCAAGGGTCCACCTGGGTGACAGCTCCTGCCCGTCCAGCAGCACGCAGGCCTCGGCGCTCACAAGGAGCAGGTCCTGCCCGGCCCTCCCTGGGACCAGCATCAGGTAGCGAATGGCCCCAGGGCTGGAGGAGGGGTGGAGGGTCGCGGCTGGGCCCGGCGCAGCGGCAAGACCGGCCCCCGCAGCCCTGCCTGCCCCGCCTCCCGGTGCACATGCAGGCTGTGGGGTGCCCGCCGGCCCCACCTGCGCCAAGGCAGCCTATGGGTGGTGGGGTCCAGCTTGTGCTCCCAGGCGGGGTCCTTCTGCAGGGGGCTTTCCCGTCCGGCCGCGGTCTCGTAGAGGCCCTTCACGGGGTAGCCGCACAGCGAGCTCGCTGCCCAGACACGATGCCGTCAGGCGGGCCCAGCCTTCCCGGGAGCCGGCCTGCAGGGGCATCCAGGGGAACTGGGGCCTCACCGCAGGGCAGCAGGACGTAGTGGGCACCTGCCCTGGTCTTGTAGAGGAGAGGGCTGCTGGCCCCGGCAGGGCCAAGGCTGCCGCAGTGGCCGAGCTGGAGCCCGGAGCCGCCGGAATAGAGGCTGCCTTGCACCTGGAAGGCAGGAGGCCGCTCAGTGCTGCCCGGGGGCATCAGGCTGACCGGCCTGCACCACCCCTCTCTCTGCCATGTGGCTGCGAGTCCGGCCGCGAGGCGCCCCTTGGTGCAGGGGTGTCTGGTGGCGGCGAGGGCCTGGTAGCCATACCTCCTGCCCCTCCTGGGTGAGCACCAGCAGGTCCGGGGCCCCGTCGGCATCCAGGTCGGGCACGGCGAGCAGAGTGCTCAGCACAGATGCGTTCCCTCCTGGGCCGCCGGCCCTGCGCCACAGGGTCTCCCCTAGAGGAGCGCAGCATCGCTGGATGCCGCACCCCCCCCACCCCGGCAGCTGGCGCAGGCCCCGCGGGGTGGGGGGCACGGGGGTGCAGACCCTGGTGCGGCCTGGGGGTCGGGAGTGGCCTCCTGCCATCCTGCTTGTCCTGGTTTTCTAGTGTCTGCTACACGGCGGACAGCTCAGACCCCCGTCCTGGTCCAATGGGTCTCCCCCAGAGCGTCCCAGCCAGCTCGGGGGTCCACCCCACAGGGTCCCCCCAGTCCCTAGCCCCCCACCAACCCTCCTCACCGCGTCCCCTGCCCCCACCCTGCCCACCGACCTGTGAGGGCGTCCACCGCCAGGAGGGTGCCGGGTTGGCCCACAAGGACGCAGGCGGAGGCCGGCGTGCGCCCCTTTGGCTGGGCCACCACGCACTGGGCCAGCGCTGCATCCTGGGCGGCCGGCCTCTCCCAGAGCACGCTGCCGCTGGCCCCCGACACGGCGGCCATGAAGGTGCAGGGAGAGGAAAAGCCTGCAGGGGAGGGAGACCCGCTGGGGGGCAGGGGAAGTGGGGGCTTGGCGGGGGCAGGGGCAGGGTCCCCGGAAGCCCAACTTCCTGCTCCCCTGGGGGGGGCGGCCCTCCTGCGGGGTACGCTGCCCCTTAGGAAAGGCCGACGCACCTTCGTCAGCGCAGGAGCGGCTGCCATTGCTGCCGCCGCTGTTCTTCTTGTAGAGGAAGAGAACGTCCTGGATCTTGTCCCCGTCCACGTCTTCTGTGGCCAGAAAGTCGTAGGCGACTGCAAGAGAGGCCCGGCTGTGGCGCGCAACGGCCTGGACGGCGGCGCAGCTGGACCCGCGGGCGGGAGGCCAGGGCCAGGGCAGGTTTGCGGCCGTGGTTTGCTGCTGTTTCTGGGATGCGGCACCAGAAGGCAGGGAGGAGCGGTGGCCTGGGCACCCAAGACCGGCCCCGCGGGACGGGGCCCCAGGCCCCAGGCCAGCTCTCACGTGGTCAGGGGACGCGCGGCTCAACCCTGCGAGCCCTCACGCCTGCCAGACACCGCAGCTGGGGGTGGCAGGAGCCCCGGGCAACAGGGGATGCGAGCCCTGTGGCCTAGCAGGTCTGCTTCTGGGTATTTATTTGAACAAAATGAAAACAATAGCTCAACAAAACAAAACAAAATGGCTGCACCCCGTGTTCTGCACCCCATTCACGGCTGCGTGCCCCGAGCGTCTGTCCGGCCCAGGGCGAGGACACTGCGGCCAGAGAAGCGCCAGACTCGCTGCGAGGCGAGGACGAGCCGCTGCTGCGCCGGGCTGGGCGTCCAGCGCGGGAGTCCCGGAGCGCGGCAAGGACGCCTGCCCGGCCGAGGCCCGCCGGGCCCCACGCGGCGTGACAGGGACGGCGCGGCCCGTCCAGGTGCCCAGAGCAGGAGATGGACGCGGCTGCTGATGGGGCCTGGGCGCGTGGCCTTGGGGTGCAGCGGGGAGGGACCAGCATCGGGGTGGGACCTGGGGCGGGACCTGGGGCGCCCCGCGGCCCGATATGGGGAACCCGGAGTCCAGCAAGGCACGTGCCCTGCCGCCGCTCTCTCCCGGGTCCTCCTGAGATGCAAGAAGAGACAAAAGGAACCCCAGCGCGGAGGAGAACCGGGGAGCACCGGGACCCCGCTCTGTGTGACGCAATGTGGCCTGGGCCCACGATGCTCTCCGCGGGGGTGCTCCCCAAATCTCAGCGGGGACCCCCCCACGCCTGGGACAAGCAGCTCCCTGGAGAAGTGGGGGATACGTCGAGACCTGCGGGGCCAGACACTGGAGGACACGGGAGAGGACACAGGAGGACACGGGGCACAGGGGGCACAAGGGAGCATGGGAGCCACTGAGGGGGCGCAGGGGCCACGGGGGGGGGGCGCAGGGCTCACCTGCGGAGCTGAGCTCCACCCGCCAGGAGCCCTGGGACACCGGCCGCTCTGGGCAGGGGATGACGAAGGAGACCACGAACACCACCAGCAGGCAGAGCGACAGGGACAGGAAGAAGGCCACGGCCCGGCAGCGGGACAGGCGGGTCTGGGGGGCCGGGTGCCCCGCGGCCTCGTCCCCGGGGGCCGGCGCCCGCCCCGGGCTGTCCTTCAGCTTCCCGTCCTCCTTCCTCAGGGGGTGGATCTCGGCCTCCAGGTCCTTGCCGTCCATCATCACGCGCACATCCCAGCGTCCACTTGGGTCACTGCAGTGCAAGACAGGGACAGCAGCGGTGGTCACAGCGGGGGGCCTGCAGCGCCCTGGGGTGGCCGGGCCCATTGGGGGCCCCCCCCAGGAAGTACCTTCGCCCGCCTGGCCCGGCCCCATGGAGGAGTTAATCATTGACCTGGCGGGTGTGGCGGCCGGGGCTGACGCCAGGTCGGGCTGCCGGCTCCCCGCCCCCTCCACAGCGCCCACCTGGGCCCTGGGCGGGGTGAGGACACCGGGGCGAGGACACGGCTTGGGGCCGCAGCGTCAGCTTGTCCTTCCTGCCTCGAGTCCAGCCGGTGCCCAGAACCAGAGGCCCTGGGGGCCTGCGCCCTCCTCCCTGACCGGCACCACTGAGCACACGGGCCGGGCCGGGTCAGCCCTGGCCCCGGCGGGGCGCAGCCAGCCAGCCGCTCCCTCCGCTTCACTGCGGCCTGTGTCTCGAGCCTGCCAGGCGCTTCCCGGCGGTGTCCCCACCGTGCCCCCGCTCACCCCTCCCGGGCCAGCGCCTGGACTGCCGCGTCCGCCCCCACCCAGCCCCTCACACAGCCGCAGCCCCACCCACGAAAGAGCAGGCCAGGCGGCTGGCCGAAGGGTGGTCGGCAGCCCCTCCAAGGGCGAGCTGGCCACGGCTGACCATGGCAACAAAGCAATCTTGGTGTTTCAAAGAGAAAAGGTGCTGCAGCCTGTAACAGAGTCCTGGGCGCCGGCCCCCGCGGCTGTCCGGCAGGCGGGCGAATGCTGCCCACAGCTGCAAAGCGCAGCTCAGTGTGGGTGAGGATCCGCCCTGGTGGTCTCCCCTGTCTCGCTGGCGCCCTCCTGCTGGGGCCCCAGAGCGCTCAGACCACCAGACCTGGGCTCTGGACAGCCAGGCTGGGCCCTGGGCAGGCCCTCGGACACTGGACACCGACCTCAGCAGCCACGCGTGTCTCTCACCACCGCCTGTCTAGGTGGGGCTGCTCTCAGAGGCCTTCTTGTTTTTTTTAAAGGTTTATTTATTTATGCATACAGGCCAGACATGAGGGGTGAGAGGACTCACCAGAGACAGAGTGGGGAGCAGAACAGGTGGACTGACTGAAACACACTGCTGAGGGGAGCAGCGGGGAGACAGGTGAGGTCTGCCGCGCCATGTGGGTAGCTCCCTGGCCGGTCAGGGATCGAACTCGTGCTACAGAGGCTGCGGATTGCTTCACAGTGTGTTGCTTAACCCCTTGCGTCACCAGGGAGGCCCCTAGATGCTTTCTTGTTTTAAGATTTATTTACTTATGCATTTAAGAACTGGGTGCAGGCCAGAGGCAGGGGCGAGGACTCCCTAGAGATGGAGTGGGGAGAGAGCAGGAGGACCCACTGCTGAGGGCAGCGGAAGACGGGAGGGTCTGGGGCGCCGTGGGTCACTCCTGACCGGCATGGCGACGGTGTGATGGCGCTGAGCCTAACCTGCGCCCCATGGAGGCCCGAGGGCTTAGACTCCTGAAAACTGCCCGGTTTCCTTTTCCAGCTGCTCGTGTAGACATCACTGGTTTATAGGAAGCTGCAGACGGATGGAGGGGGCCTCCCCCGCGTCCAGGCCCCTCACGGCTCCCGCACCGCGGGCAGGACTGGCAGCCAGCGCTGCCCTAGCTCCCACGCCCCACCCAGCCTGGCTGCCGCCCCCCACCTCATGTCTAAGAATTGGCCATTTTGAGGATGTTGTGTAAATGCACAGACCATGAACCTGAAACGGGCCCTTGGGGTCCTCCACCGGCTGACGCGTCCAGCGGGGCCTGTCTGCAGCCAGCCCCGGGGCCTGTGTGGACACAGGCCTCCCTCGTGCTGGACCCGGGCGGCATCTGGGCTGCTCAGGAGGCTGCGGGGCTCAGCCGGGCTGTGCAGTGTCCACCCCAGCCCTGCCCATGTCTGAGAGCCACTCTCACTGTGCGCCCTCAGCATCAGCGACGCGGCTTCCCTGGCAGGTCCTGCTCGTGCCTGGCTCACTCAGGCCGCTGGCACGTGAGGGGATCGCTGACCCATCAGGCCCAGCCCGCTGCTGGCTTCCTCCTTCCTGGTCCCTTGGGGCCACGACAGGCTCCTCTGTCTCGTCTCTGTGACCGCCGGCAACGGACACCTCGCCAGTCCTTCCAGCCTGCCCTTGGGGATGTCGCTGGGAGGTTCCCGCCCCGGTGGGCAACGTGAGTTTTGCTTTGACCCTCAGATGTGACCAGGGAGCCTCGCGAGGGGGCGTGGCTGCCGGGGCCGCCCGAGCCCTGACCGCCTCTGTTCTCCCCACCCCGTGCTCCGTCTCCTGGGGCCTCCCTCCTGCTTCAGAGGGGGCCAGTCCTTTGGAGCAGGTCTGTAGCCGCGCCTGCGGCCTGTGCGGCCCCCAGGGGAACCACGTGGTGGACCTCGCCCCCCGTGGGGGTTGGGGGAGAGAGTCTGCGGGCTTGCCCAGACAGAAGTGCGCAAGCTCCGGTGCTCGGCCGGCCGTGCCCCTCCGTACCCCGGGAACGGCAGCCGCTTCTCGCCCTGCGTGGGGGCGCAGCACGACTCCTGCTCCGTCACCCGCAAGACGAGGCTCAGCGCCCGCTTCCTTCTTCTCCGCCACTTTGCCACAGCCTCTGCGCCCAGATGCCAACTCCCGGGCGGCTGCCCCCACCGTGCCTGGCCGGCCCTTTAGGTCACCCACTGCAGGGACACGGTGGCTGGAGCCCCTGCCCCACGGCCCGGAGCGCCCGCGTAGTGTGGGGTAGCATGAGAGGTGGGCTCTGACCTGCTGGGCGCTCAGCCGCCCTACTCTCCACTGCCCTGGCCAGGGCAGCCCTGAGGGCCTCCTGCCTGCCGCGCCCCTGGGTCTCCGGCCAGCAGCTGTGGCAATGACCCTGGCGAGGGAGGCCCCAGGCGTGAGGACAGGCTCAGGCTGCGGGCTGCGTTGTGGCTTTTTCTGCCGGGACAAGGCTGGGGCCTGCACGGACACGTTCTCCAGCTGCTTGGGAGCCCCTCACAAGAGGGGCCAGTGTGTTTACCGGCCCCACGCCGGGCCGCAGGCAACTCCCACAGCAGGGTTCCACCTAGTCCTCCTGGCCAGGCCCGCCGGCCACTGCCCTGTGGTTCTGATGGGCTGACCCTGCCTGCTGGGGGCGCCGCGCCCTGGCCAGGCACCAGAGGGAGGCCGGAGACGGGCTGCTGGGCACGGGGCAGCTCCCTCAGGGACACGCTGTCCCAGGGGGAAGGGCTACTCCAACTGGGGAAGCCTCTGCACCTGGGATGCCGGCGGCACACAGCCCAGGGCGGTCGCAGGGCGGCCAGCTCGCGCCTCGGTGGCTCTGCGGGAGGACACGGCGGAGGAGGGGCCCCAGCGAGGCCAGACCAGCCCCGGGCATGGCCCCAGCCCCCGCGGAGCTGCTGCCGGAGGCGGGCGGGACGCCTGGCCACCAGCCTCTGCCGCCGGGCCCCAGCGCAGGCACCGCGCGGGCGCCCGGGCGATGCCGGGGAGGGGCCCCGCAGGCGAGCTGCTGCTGACAGACGCGGCCCCGCGCGCCCGCCGCACGCGCACACGCGCCCGGCCAGCCCCGGGTCCTCGCCCGCTCGCCAGGCCTGTGTGTCTCACCGGCTGCGCCCCGCGGCAGGTCCACCTCCGGGGCCTCCGCCGCTGCCAGGCCAGGCCAGGGAGCGCTGCCGGGCAGGGCAGGGCAGGGCCGACCGGACGGCAGCCCCGCGCCGGGCGCCCCCTGGACGGCGCAGACGCCCCACGAGCGCGGGGCGCCCCCAGGCGCCCCCCAGCTCGCGGGGCGCGGACTCCGGGACGGACGGGCCCAAGGTGACCCGGCCGGCCCGGCCCCGGCCGGCGGGGGCGCGCGAAGCCCTGGCCCGCGCGCGCCCCCTCGCGGGCACGGCCGCCCGTCGCAGGGGCCGAGCCCGCGGCCGCGCCCCTCCGGCGGCCCACGTGGGGCGGGCTCTGCGCCCGGAGCCGGCCGGCCCGGGAGGCCCGCGCCCCGCGCCCCGACGCGCGCCCGCCAGGCGCCGAGACCCGCGGGCGGGCGGGCGGGCGGGCGGGCGGGCCGGGCGCGGGGCGCGCGCGAGGAAGGGGCGAGGCCGCCGCGGGCACGCGCGGAGCCGGGCGCGCTCACTCACCTGCCGCCGCGCCGCCGCCGCGCCCGGCCCGCGTCACTTCCGGCCGGGGGCGGGGCGGAAGGGCGCCGGCGCGCCCCGCCCCCGGCCGCCCGCGGTTGCTAAGCGACAGGTGGTGCGCGCCCCTGCGGCCCCGCCCCCGGCGCCAGGTGGGCTCCCCGCGCGGGGCGCCGCCCCACCGTGCCCGGCCTGCGCGCCGGCCCGGGTGGAGGGAGAGCCGGGCTGACCCCCGGGGCGTCCACTCCCGGAAGCCGCGCTGGCCGCCGCTGGCCGCCTGCGGGCTTCAGACCTGCCGGCGGGCGCGTCGCCCTGGGGGGGCGGCGGCTCAGCGGGCAGTGCTGCCCGCAGAGCGAGGGCCGGGCCGCAGGGGCCTTGCTCGCTGGACGCGGGACCGACTGCCCGGGGCAGCTCCGCCGCCAAGCGCTTGACGTCCGGGTCGGCCCGGGCCGGGCGCCCAGCCCTCTGGGTGCCCCTCCGAGCCGGCCCCGGCGCGCCCTGGCGGTCGGGGCAGCGGCACTGAAGCAAGGGCAGCTGGAGGCGGCGCTGCGTGGACTCGTGGCCGGCAGCACACGGGTGGCCCCGGGAAGACGAGCCCCGGCCCCTCTCCGGCCTGGGCATTGCTGCGCCAGCCCGCAGCGGCCTGGGGCGCGCCCGGGACGCAGGGTGGACAGCGGCCTCCAGCCTCGCCAGCGGTGACCCGCCGGCCCCTCTTCGCCGAGCCCCCGGGGCTGACCGAGGGCGCCGCTCAGCCCCGCTGCCAGGTTGTTCCCTGAGGTCACCCAACGGGGCGCTGGGGCCAGAGCGGGGAGCCGCGGCGGCGGCTTTGCGCTGCGTGACGGCCAGGGGCCTCGCGCGACCCGCGCGCGTGTCCAGCAGCCGCCGGGTTGGGCGCGGCGCCAGGCCCCTCGCGCGGGGCGGCTCGCCGAGGGGGCGGGCGTCGAGGTCCTGCGGGCACCCGCCGGGCGTGGAGGCGGAGACGCACGCGGCCGGCCTCTCAGCTCTGCGTCCCGCGCGCCCGCGCCTACAGTTCCCGGCAGGCCGCGCGGCGCGCCTACAGTTCCCGGCAGGCCGCGCGGCGCGCCTACAGTTCCCGGCAGGCCGCGCGGCGCGCCTACAGTTCCCGGCAGGCCGCGCGCCGGCGCGACGCACTTCCTCCCGGCGGCCCCCGCGGCGGGAAGGAGCCGAGCGGGCCGAGGCCGACGCGAGCCGCCGCCGCCGCCCCGCGAGGACACGCCGCGGCCGCCCCGCCCGCCCGCCCGCCCGCCATGTCCGCCCAGGCGCAGATGCGGGCGCTGCTGGACCAGCTCATGGGCACGGCCCGGGACGGTGAGTCGCGGCGGCGGCAGGCCGGGCCGGGCGGGAGCGGGAGAGGCCGCCGCGCCCGAGCCGGGGCCGCGCCGTGTGCGCCTGCGCCGCGCGCCCTCCCCGCCTTTGTCCGGCGCCGCAGGCCCAGCGCGAGGTCCGGGCGCTGTCGCGGGGCCGGCGGGGGCGTCCTGGCCAGACTCGTCCCCGCCGTGGCTTGCGTCTCCTTCCCGCGCGACGAGCTCGTGAGTTCCACCGGCACACGGGCTTGCGAGGCCTCCGAGGGCCTCCGCCGGGCGGGCGCGCCTGCGGGCCCCGTGTGTCGGCGAGCTGTTGACTGCTCCCCGTAGTTCTATTTCATACAAACTGAACAATTGTGGCCCCTCTATTTCATTTATAAAGGTTCAGTGTATCTTTGCCTGCCTACATCAATCTGCAAGGGAGTTGCAGAAAAGCCTCATGTTCATCGAGCCGTGAGTCACAACCAATTTCTAAGCTGTTATAACGGAAAAGTGTTTGCCTTTTTTCACAAGTAACTTTGAAAGCGTAGTTCAGAAAGAAAACATTGTCAGCGAGAGACACCGCATCGCCCTGGGTGCGGGCCGGCCCGGGGCTGTGCCTCCTCTGGCCTGCGCGGCTCCGGCCTGTGCGCAGCTCGGCCAGACCCGGCCCGTCCGTCCCACCCTGCCCTTGCTCTCTGTATTGCTCCGACTTCCTTACTGCAGGTGGGGCAAGGAAGCTTTTCCTTAAAAACTGTACAGCTGCGGTCATAAAATTCTGCAGCTGAGGTCTTGGAGACGGCAGGCAGGACAGTATGAGTTGGAGCTCGCGGTGTGTATTGACTGATCTAGTCTCTTTTTTGCCTTTTTTTTATTTACATATTTATATTTTGTTTTGCAAGCAACTTCCAGGTGCCAACTCTTTTTTTAAGGGTGGGGGTGAAAGGGAGGCAGTGCTAGGCATAGGTATTACCAGTCAGCAGTAGAGCTTGAAAGCGTTTTTGTAAAACCTTATAACTTTGGGCAAAGTGCGGCCCGTGCGTTTGTCCGTGATCAACAAGTCGCTTTTGTTGATGGGAACGACCAGCCACGACACACGAGGCGGCCATGGCCCCCTCCGCATGGGTTTGGGGTTTTACTGCCCGCATGTGTCTTGTGGGCCTTGTGACCTCTTGGTGCTCAGCCTTTTACTCCTGTCGCCTTGACTTCTTTGGCGCCATGATGGAGTTAGAGCTCATTGTGATTCTTCATGATGTATTTACCAGCAGAGAGCAGCTGCACCCCGCTCCAGTTGTGAATATCTCTAGATCAGTCTTGCCGTGTTTGCTAGTCTGCACATCACCCAGGTGAACTGTCGTGCCAGGGGCGCTGTTGTGCCCGCGTGACATTGCTGTTTTATTTAAAACCATGAATAAATTTCAGGAGACGAAACCAGACAGAGGGTCAAGTTTACAGATGACCGCGTCTGCAAGAGCCACCTCCTGGACTGCTGCCCCCATGACATCCTGGCTGGAACGGTAGGTTACCCGGGGCCCTGTGGGACTCCAAGCGCGGCAGGCGGTGGGTGTTTCAGGCAGATTGTCTCTGCTGGGCGGAAGTTGCACTGTGCTTTAGTGACAGGTTTTGTTAGTTGGATGGGGAGAGGGGGAGGCTACTGTATCTCGCTGGAGGGTTTTTTTTTTTTTTTAAGTTAAAGAAGTTTCTTTTAAAGATTTGTTTATGTTTTCAAGAGCTGAGGTACAGGCCAGAGGTGCGGGGGGTTAGCGGGTTCACCAGAGACAGACTGGGAAACAGAACGGGCGGATCCACTGAAGCCCACTGCTGAGGGGAGCAGCGGGGAGACAGGAGAGGTCTGCCGCACCCTGTGGGCAGCTCCCGGGCCTGCTGGGGATCAAACTCGTGCTACAGCAGCTGCAGACGGTTTCATAGGTTGTGCCTTAACCCCTTGCGCCACCCTGGAGGCCCTGGAAGGTTTTCTCGCTGAGGTTGTCAGGCTTTTGTGGAGTCACAGCCGAGGGCAATGCTGGGTGTGGCTGCAGCGGGAGGGTGTTTCTGGGCCGCCTGTGGCTCTGAGGGTCGGGGCCTTCTCAGGCCACAGGTGTGTGACGTTTGCTCCCGCAAGGGACGTGTCTTTCCTCAGTTCTCGGGTTCTTATGAGTTAGTCGGGGCCAACGGGGTTTCCTAGTCCAGTCTCCCGCCTGCCTTTGGAGACACCGGCGCGGTCCCTGCCCATGGGCCCTGCGGCGCGGCAGGCCGTGCACACGTCCCACCTGGGGCGGGTGTTCACTGAGGCGTCTGTCTCCTGCAGCGCATGGACCTGGGAGAATGCACCAAAGTCCACGACCTGGCCCTGCGAGCAGACTACGAGATCGCAAGTAAAGAAAGGGACCTGTTTTTCGAATTGGACGTAAGTTCTCTGTGGCACTGACCCCTGCCCGAAGGGCACCTCTGAGCTCCCCTGACAGTGACATGCGTGTAAGTGGGTGGTGGCGGGACTCGGGGTGCTGGCTCTGCCTCCCCCGCCCTCGCCCCGTCCATTTGGGGGTCATGTCCTTTCATGGGTGCGTCTGTGTTTGCGTCCGGACCTGATGAAAGCGCTGCATGGGGCAGTCTCTGGTGGTTTCTTTCCTTTCTTAGGCTTGCATTCGCGCATCTGCCGGGTGCGGGTTGTCTGCTTCTCAGCTGCCTGAGCCCCCCGCACTCCCCGGATGGGCCGGTGTGGCAGATGCTCTTGACCGCTGCAGGGTTTTGGCCCATCAGCCGTGTGACATCCTCATTTCCGTTCTTCGCGCAGGGACTGTCGTTTCACCCCGCGCTGTCCCCTCACCAGCCCTATGGCGCCGTGGGTATAAAGAGGCGTCCCAGGTTTTCCCTTTCATCTTAGGAACCCTTTTGTGGCCGTTTCTGACTGCGTTTTCTCTTCTTTTTTGTAAAAGATTAATTTATCTGTACAAGAGCTGGGGTAGAGGTCAGAGGTGTGGGGGGTGAGAGAACTCACCAGAGATAGAGTGGGGAGCAGAACAGGCAGACTGACTGAAATCCACTGCTGAGGGAGCAGTGGGGAGACAGGAGAGGTCTGCCTTGCCCTGTGGGTAGCTCCCTGGTCTGCTGGGAATTGAACCCGTGCTGTAGAGGCTGTGGGCACTTCACAGTGCGCTCAACCTGCTGCACCCCCGGGGAGGCCTGTTTCTACTCCCTACATCTCCCGGGGTGCCGTGCTGTGGCCCTTCCCGGCCACGCCCGGTAACAGCTAAGGTGAGGTTTCCTTTGAGCCAATCTTCTCCGTCCCCGCTGCAGAGGCTCAGTCTGGAGCCCCCATGGCAGCTTCTGTCTCTGCTGCCCCTTCACGTGTGTGGCCGGGGGCAGTTTGGGACTCTAAGGCTACCCAGAGCCCCTGGGGCCCCTCCCTCTCAGCCATGACCCCGGGGAGCACTGACAGGGCTCCAGCATCGCTGAAGCTGCTGGCAGCTCCTGCCTGACTGGTGGTGGAGCTGGGATGGCGTCTCCTGTGTGGGTGGTGGTCACCCTTCAGCAACCTGACAGGGATGCTGTGAAGCAGCCACTGCCGTGGGACAGAGCTGGGCGCGGGGTGGGGTGGGGTGGGGTGGTGGACCCCGCAGCTGGCAGGGCACAGCCTGGCGCTGGCGCTCATGCAGCTTTGGAGATGCCCCAGGAGCGCTTGGGAGCGGACGGGCGAGGAGACCCAGGCCGGCCCCGGGGGCCGGGTGGGGTTTCCGTGAGAACAGCCGGAACTGGATCTGTGGTTGGACCCTTGAAGGTGAATTTTGTTGTCTTTTTGTTGTCTTGCCGATTTGCAAAGCCGCTGCCGAGTCACTGTGCGAGCAGGAGGGGCTGGTGGAGCAGGGGCAGAACAGGACCCCAGAGCGTCTCTGTCCCTGGGACGAGGGCCTCCAGGGTGCCGGAGCTAGGTGTCCACCTCCGCCGGGGCATGACCCCCTCCCTCCCTGCTCGCCAGCGCCTCAGCCACTTGGGACATCACTTCCCGGCCGGTCACTGAACCCGCAGCCTGGGTGACACCGCATGCGGTCCGGTGTCTTGCTGGACGCCTTCGGGCGGGAGTCCCCAGGGGGTCGGGGAGCTGCCTCCCTGCCCTGAGGGGTTGCTGGCGGGTGGGCGGCGCCTGGGGCTGCAGCGGGAAGGTGCGGCTTCTCTTCTCACCGCGGGAGAGGAGCCCCAAGTGGCCCAACGCAGCAAGGACAAGCAGACACGGGACCGCTGGGGTGTGGGCGTCTGTACCGAGACCCTCCCGTGGCTCTGGGGAAGTTGCTTTTGGGTAAAATCCGGGGAGGAGCTGCTCAGGACACGCCTACGCTGAGCCCCCAGGGGCGGGGAGCTCTGAGCCACCAGGCAGCAGAGGAACTGCCACGTCCGCCCGCGTCTGGAGTTCCCGAGCGGCTCCAGCCTGTGCCACTCCTCGGGAGAGCGCGGCCACAGCGTCTGTGCGGTTCTCACATGCGGACGGGGCGTAACGGCGTGGCCCAGAACCCAGTCCGAGAGGCCGCCCTTCCCGGGAAACCTCGCTCTGAGCGCAGCCTCCTGGTTGCCCAGAGGAGGCCGGCGGGTTCCTTCTGCTTCCTGTGGCGCACAGGGTAACGGAGGGAGGGTATGCCTGTACCCCTGGTTTCTGGTTTTCCGGGGTGTCCCTGAGGCCGTTTCTCATCAGGGAGGGCCTTCGCTGCTTTTTGTGGCCGGTGATCGTCCGAGCACGGCTCCGCGGTCACGCCCAGTCCCTGGGCGCGGGGGGCCAGGCTCGGGGCGTCCGGCGGCTCGCGCTGCGGCCCCAGCAGGGGCGTCCTCGCCCGCAGAGCCGGTCAGCACATGCTGGCTGGGGTGCAAGGAGGCGTCTCTGGGTGGGCCTGGGTCCCCTCCTGGCCCTTCTGTCTGGGGAGGCACCTCCTGGTTCTTGCGGCTGTTTCCAGCAGGGCGCAGCCTTGGCCTATCCCCGGCCGGGCGGGTCTTTGAGTGCCCAGTGAGCGCGCCTGGGCCGTGAGACGTGTCTTTAACCCGGTGGAAACAGTCTGGCCTCCCAGCCGCCTCTGTGGCGAGGAGTCTCCTGATGGCCCCGCCTGCGCCCAGCAGAGCCCCCGGCTCCGGGCCCTGCCCGGTCTGCATGGAGGCCGTGCGCCTCGGCAGCAGCTCGCCTGCTGTCCGGGGTGGGTGCTGCACAGGCAGCGGAGGTGGCTGTGTGGTTTGGAGAATGCACCTGCTGGTCTCCGCGGAGGGGCCCGGAGCCGCGTGGGGGCTGCAGGGCTGCCCTTGGAGGGCTGGGGCTGGGGCTGGGGCTGGGGCCTGGCTGCCAAGTGGGCGGTGGGTAGTGACGAGGCTCTGGTTATTTTGTGGGTTCTTGATTTTTGGATTTTAGTAATCCAAATGTTTTTCACTTTGCGTAGGAGAACTGGGGTGCACACCAGGGGTGCGAGGGGTGGGGGGGACTTCCCAGAGACAGAGTGGGGAGCAGAACAGGCGGATCCACTGAAACACTGCTGAGGGAGCAGCGGGGAGACAGGAGAGGGCTGCTGCGCCCTGTGGGTCAGCTCCTGGCCCGGGCCGCAGGGAGGCCCGCCGGTAGTTTCTCTTAGTTGCTGAAGCTTGTTCTTTGGTCTCTGACTGACCCGACTGCAGGTCACGAGGGGTGAAGGCCACGTCCGGGCTGGCCGCTGTGCCGCGGGTCCCGCCAGTGTGGGGCTGCTTTGCCCTCCTCCGGCCCGCGGCGTACTCGTGCTTCCTGGCGACTGCTGGAGAGCGGGGGTGCGGGCTGCTGGCAGCAGGACGGGGCCCGGGTGCCAGATCCGGGCTGGGGACACTGCCAGCCGGTCCCCCTAGTCCACCTGCCCTCAGGCCCTTGTCTGGAAGGAGTGGCGTTGGGTTTCCGGAGGAACCAGAACATTCTCTGGGGTCCGTGCCGTCAGCGGCAGCAGCGCTCAGGCCACGTGCCCTGGCCATGGGGGTGATGCTGTCACCACCTGGTGTCCGGGCCAAGTGGTCATTGGCCTTGTCGCCCCTGCTCAGCGTTTCTTTTGTCTGCCGCCGTGCCCGGCCCCTGCAAGCGAGGGGCTGCAGTCCTGTCGTCGGGGGCTCCGGGGCGCTTGACCCCCTTTGGTGCTCACGGTGCTCGGCCGTGCGCGTCCTGCTCGCGGGGCTGCCTTGGCCTGTGCCCCTCCCATCCTGTCTGAAGCGGGGCCCGTGCTTGTTCCCCCAAACTGCCTCGTCACGTCATCGCTGAGGGAGCAGGTCCCGTCCCGCGGTCTGGTGAGGAGAGGAACCTCCCGCCGCGCCTCCCGCCACTGAGGCCCGCGAGCTGGCGTGGCCGCCCCCTGTGGGCTCCCCGGACCTGACGCCGAGTCCGCTTCTCCGCCAGGCGATGGACCACCTGGAGTCTTTCATCGCCGAGTGCGACCGGAGGACCGAGCTTGCCAAGAAGCGGCTGGCGGAGACGCAGGAGGAGATCAGCGCCGAGGTGTCCGCCAAGGTACCGGCTCAGGGGCGCTGGGGAGTATGTCCCAGGCAGGCGCCTCCAGAGAAGCCTTTCGCAGCGCATGGGGGCCCGGGACCCTGAGGGGCACCTCTGCTGAGCAACTGGCGGGTCCTCTCGTTGACGGCTCAGGCGGGGCTCGTTAGGGCGGGTTGGGGAGCAGAGGGCACTCTAGGGATGCCTGGGCAGGCAGGGCTGGCCTCGGCCCTCAGCGTGGACCCTGCTCCTTGCTCGTCCCCCGCAGGCAGAGAAAGTACACGAGCTGAATGAGGAGATAGGGAAGCTGCTCGCGAAGGCCGAGCAGTTGGGGGCCGAAGGCAACGTGGACGAGTCCCAGAAGACCCTCACGGAGGTGGAGAAAGTCCGCGCCAAGAAGAAAGAAGCCGAGGTGGGCGGGGAGGCTGCGGGAGGGGCAGTGGCTCTGCGGGGTCGGCCGTCTGTGGGTGCTAGCTGTGCCGGCTTGGGCGGCGGGCGGGCCTGAACAACGGGTGACCCGACTAGCCATCGGGCACAGGCCAGCACCAGCTCTGGGCCCCAGGGAGCTGGCCCGTTGCCGACTGGCCAGGGCCTCCTGTGGTGGCTGTGCAGAGGGGCCTGGGCGCTGGGGCTGCGTGTCGGGGGTGGCGCCGGGCCAGGCCTGGTGTGTGGTCGGCCGTGTCTCCCCAGTGGGCCCTTTGGTCTGGCGGACACCCGCTGGACCTCCCAGCTCCACGTCGGCACTGGGGCGGGTGGCAGGAGCCCTGCTGGGCGCTGCCGAGTGCTCCCGGGCCTGGGAGGCGCTCCCGGGAAGCAGGTCTGAGTTTGTCTGGGTCACAGCTCTCCAGCTAGGGCAGGTGACCCCGCGTGCTCCCTGTGCTGAGGCCACAGACTTGAGGGAGTCCCTCAGGGGACCCTGGGCCCGGCTCACTGTGGGGCCCGCGAGGGCTGCCGCGGCCCAGGCAGACCAGAGGCCCGTGTGGGGCCATCCTCTCCTCGAGGGAGGGGGAGCTGCAGCCCCAGCGCGGGGTGGCTTGTTTCTGGGACGGCTGTTTCAGGAAGCCCCAAACTCCCCACGGCGCCATGCCTGCGTTGGTGTGAGCGGGTCCCCCAGAAGCACCTGCAGAGCCCAGTGGCCTGGGGCTGGCTCTCCGTGCGGGCCCGTTCTGCGCCCTGGCCAGGTCCACTTTTCCTGGCCCGGGTGGTCACTTCTGGTGCCCGGGCCAGCCTGGGGTGGCTGCGCAGCGGGCTTTGCCGCCCCTTCTGCTGTGGAGGTGTCCAGACATGGGTCTGGCCTCTGCGGCTTCTGCCTGCCTCTCCCGGGCCCCATGGTGGGGCCGGTCCTCCTGCTGCCCGTGAGGATGCCGCCTGCTTGCCCGGGACTTAGGTCTCGCCTGGAGCCGGGGCTGTCAGCTCCCCACTCCGACCGGAGCCCAGGGGCGGGGGCAGCGGCCGGGCACCGAGGATGGGTGGGTGTCCACGTGCCGGAGCCTCGCCTGCTGCCTGCTGACCCCGCCCGCCGGCGCCCGCAGGAGGAGTACCGCAATTCCATGCCCGCCTCCAGCTTCCAGCAGCAGAAGCTGCGCGTCTGTGAGGTCTGCTCCGCCTACCTGGGCCTGCACGACAATGACCGGCGCCTGGCCGACCACTTCGGGGGCAAGCTGCACCTGGGCTTCATCCAGATCCGCGAGAAGCTGGGCCAGCTGCGGGTGCGTGGGCCGGGAGGGCGGGCGTGGGCTTTGCCTCTCGGCCTTGGGCAGAAGCGGCCGTGCAGAGAGGGTGCGGCTGGACGACGGTCACTCGCTGGCCCCGGCCCTTGCCGGGTGGGAGGAGGGCACTGCGGCCAGGGGGAGGGGCCAGCCCCGGTGTCGGTCAGGGCCCCCCCCCCCCCCCCGCGGGGAGCGGCTGGGGGCCATGTCCCTCGTGTGCCCTCTCCGAGCTCCCCTCCCGTGCTCCCCGGTCAGGAGTAGGAGCAGGGGCCTGTCTCGCGCAGCGTCTGGGTGGGGGGGCCTCTACGCTGTGTGACCCGCCCTCGCCCCCGCTGCTCCTCTAGAAAACCGTGGCCGAAAAGCAAGAGAAGCGGAACCAGGACCGCCTGCGGCGGAGGGAGGAGCGGGAGCGGGAGGAGCGGCTGGGCTGCAGGTGAGGGGCGGGCGGGCCTGCCCGGGAGGGCGGGCAGGGCGGTTGCGCAGCGCCAGGGATGCCCCCGGCCAGGCTGGTGGCACACCCGGCGGCGGATGCTGGCACTCGGGGGTCGGCCTCTCTGGGGTGCAGGCTGGCGTGGCGGCCACTGTGCTGCTCTCGCAGACAGCCCTGACCCTCTTGCCTGAGCTGCTGGCAGGGCCCGGGGTGGGGTGGACGCTGCGGGGCGCTGGCCCGGGGACCCACTCACCCCCTTTCTTTCCAGGTCTGGATCCAGGACCAGAGAGCGGAGGAGGTGGGTGTCCTGCCTTGCCCTGCCTTCCGCCGTCTCGTCCCTGCTTGCCATCTCTTGGGGGGCTGGGAGGCCAGGGTACGGGGTGGCTGCTGGGGGTGGCTGCTGGCCTGGAGGGGGGCGGGGGGGATGTGGGGGCGGCGCCGTCACAGCCGGCTCTGTGCAGGTCTCGCTCCAGGGACCGGCGTCGCAGGCGCTCGCGATCGGCCTCCAGAGAGCGTCGGAAGCTGTCCCGGTCCCGGTCCCGGGACAGACACCGGCGCCACCGCAGCCGCTCTCGGAGCCACAGCCGGGGCCACCGCCGGGCGTCCAGGGACCGCAGCGCGAAATACAAGTAACTACTCAGAGTCCTCGGTAGCCGCGGCCAGGAGTGAGCCCCTGAACCGAGAGTGGGTGGCCTGGGCACCCCCGGCCCAGGGCCTCCTCGCCCCCCAGATCCCAGGTCTGTGACCTCGGGCCATGCTGACCCCATGCAGGCTGTGCTGGGCCTGGGGCAGCTCCCAGCTGGCTGCGCCCACCTGCACAAGGGGCCCCAGGGTGGGGGCCGGTCAGCACGAGGGGCCGAGTTGCGGGACGCTGGCCGGCCTGAGCCTCCGCCTCACTTCCCAGGTTCCCCAGAGAGCGGGCGTTGCGGGAGGAGTCCTGGGAGCGGGGCGCTGCCGACTGGAGGCTGGAGAGCCCCAACGGGAGGACGGCGCCGCGGAGGTCGGAGGAGAAGGAGGCCGGCGAGATCTGAGCCGCACGGTCCGCCCGCGCCCCACCTGTGCCCGCAGCCCAGAATAAAGAGGCCCGACGGGCTGCACCTGCCGCATGTCCCGCCTCGGGTGCTCGTCTGGGGCGTGGGGGGTGCTGTGGGCCTCATGGGCCCCTCTGCAACTGCTTCCTGGGGTTCTGGGGTGTGTGGGGAGGGCAGGGGCTGTGGATGTGCTGGGCGCCCTTCTCGCCCATGGGGGGGGCTCTGCCTCGTCATCTGCAGCCACCACCTCTGCGGGCGTCTGGGCCTGTGGCCACGGGCCCTGTGCTGCGGCCCGGTCTCCAGGCCACTCTCCAGGGCAGGTGCCCCAGGGGTGTCCCCCAGGGCTTGTGGGGGTCATGGGGTCCACCCTAGCTGGGCAGCTGGTGTCCTGGCCCACGGGGGCTCCCTTCTGTTCCGGGGAGGGGGGCGCGGGAGGTGGTGGGGCCCCCAGTGCTCAGGTCTCAGAGAGTGGCTGGCCTGGCCCCTTGTCCCCCCAGAATCCTGGTGCCTCCCCCCCCCCCACATACACAACGGATCCAAGCTCCCTTCATTGCTGTCCTGCTGGGGGTAGGATTTGTGGGCCGAGCCTTGGGGCACCGCAGGTGGGGTGGTGGCAGCACTGCTGAGGCCCCACCCCAGACCAGAGCGCGGGGTGGGCCTGCCCTGCGGACCCTGGAGCGGCTGAGTGACCGTGGGCCTGCGGGCAGGGTCAGTTCTCGGGAAGGGTTACTGGTGGGCAAAGCCCCGTGAAGGCCACTGCTGCCCGGCCGCCCCGGACAGCCACTGCGCGCTCCGGGCGCCCTTTTGGGGACCCCACCAGGCAGCAGGGACCCCAGCTCGGGCCTCGGGCCAGGAGCTCCTTCACACTCCCGCCGGCCGCCCTCCCCGGGGCCCCAGCTCCTCCCCGGGAGCTGCCACAGCCACCGGTCTGCCTGGTCCGCATGAGGTGGAGCCCGCGGGCCCGGCCGGCGGTCCCCCGCCCAGCTTGGGGGTGAGTCTGGAGCAGCCCCGCGGGCAGCCTGCGGTTGGTCCAGGCCCAGCCGGGGACAGGGGGGGGGGGGACCCCCGGGAGCCGCCCTGGGCCGGAGGAGGGCGCGTGGGCGGGCGCCGCTGCTGCCGCCGCAGTGGCGGGAGGAGGCCCGGCCCCAGAACCAGTTCCCGAGGCTGGGGGCGCGAGCCCCGGCCCGAGGGCCCCTTCGCCCGCCCGGGCGCGCACCCCCAGAAAACACGCGCAGCCGAGGCCTCCGTCGCCGGCTTTACTGAGCCCTGGAGCCGCCCCGCACCCGCCCCGCTTCAGCGGCTGCCGGACGCCAGCGCCGCGGACACGCGGCTCAGGAACTTGTCCAGCGAGGCCTGCATGGGGGCGCTGAAGTCCCCAGGAAAGTGCCTGGCGAGGGTCACCAGCAGGCAGTGGCTCAGGAGCTGCGGAGAGAGAGAGTGTCCCCCGCGCCCGCGCCCCGCGCCCCGCGCCCCGCGCCCCGCGCCCCGCGCCCCGCGCCCCGCGCCCCGCGCCCCGCGCCCGCGCCCCGCGCCCCGCGCCCCGCGCCCCGCGCCCCGCGCGCACCTGGAAGCTGGCCGGGTCCACCCGCAGCGCGCGCGCGTGCAAGTCGCTCAGAGCCGACAGCGCGCCCGGCAGGTCGTCCAGGTGGGCCACGGCGAGGGCCAGCGCGTCCGCCACCTTCTGGCCGTGGGCTTTGACCTGGGCGGAGCCGGGACGCAGGTCCAGGTGGGGGAAGTAGGCCCGGGTGGCGGGGAAGGCCAGGAAGGTCCTGCGGGGCGAGCGCGTGAGTGCGGGCCGCGGAGGGGGGCCCCGCGCCCGCGGGCCCCGCGCACCTCTCCAGCGCCTCGGTGGCGTACACCGCCGCGTGGCCGCCCAGCTTCCTCCACAGCGCGCGCACCGCCGCCCGGTCCGCGGCCGCCAGCTCCATCGGGGCGCGCGCGCCCGCAGCGGCTGCGCCGGCCGTCGCCGGCGGGGGCGCCCCTGGGGTCGGCGAGCTCCGCGCCGCCGTGCGCTCCTCCGCCGGCCTCTCCGACCGCCCGCGCGCGACTGGGGGCCGCCGCGGCCGGCGTGCGGGGGTTTGCGTCTTTCCAGACGGAGGCGCCGCCCCCGGGCCCCCAGCGCCCGGCCCCGCCCTGCGCCCCGGCCCCGCCCCGCCTCTCCCCCACCCCACCCCCCGCAGGTCCCGCGCCCGCCGACCCGAGCTGCTCGCCCCACCCGGCCACACGCCCGGAGCGCGGCCACCCCTTGGGCACACTGGGAGTGCGTCCACTTTAGCCCCCGCCTTGTTTCTCCGCACGGCAGAAAGGGGGGGCGGGCCCCCGGGTTCTTCCCCTGCGCCCAGCTGGGCGGGCGGCCGCGCGGCCGGAGAGCGGGCTCTGCCTGGGCGAGGGAGGCCGCCGCCCGGGCCCGGGCCGGGCCTGGCCCCCGCGCCGCACGCCCCGGTGCGGGCGGACACTCCTGCCCCGCTCTCCGCGGACTGCGGGGCGCGTCCTGGCCTCAGAGCACCAGTCTCGGGCCCGGGAGGATGCCCGGCTGGGTTCCAGGCCGCGGCGGCCCCAGAATCGGTGTCTGCGCGGGGAGCGTCGCGGGCGGCGCTGGGGAGGGTGCCCGCCGCGCCATGCCCGCCATCCGCCGCCGCGCCGCCAGCGCGCACTTGGGAGGCTTCTTGGGGCCCCTGTGGGGAAACCCTAATACAGCCCAGGGACCGAGCGGGAGGCCAGCCCAGTCAGGGCAGCCGCGGGGGCGCTGCGGGAGGTGAGCTGGGGGGCTGGCGCCACCCCGGAGGGGAGGGCAGCGTCAGCAGCCCGGATTGCCCAGCAAATGCCCACGGCTGCCCGGCCGGTCCCAGGCTGCCCATCGCGCCGCGCAAGGAGCCCCCGGAGGCGCGCGGCAGGTCGTCGCGGACACAGACACCCCAGGCACGGACTGCGCCGCTCAGACTTTATTCAAGGGCAGGAAGTGGGGGGCGCCGGGGCGCCTGGCTCCGGCTTAACGGTACTTGGAGGTCAGCACGGTGCTCACGGTGGCCAAGAACTTGTCCAGGGAGGCGTGGACAGCAGGGGTGAAGTCGTTGGGGTGGTGGCAGGCCAGGGTCACCAGCAGGCAGTGGCTCAGGAGCTGCGGAGAGGCGGGGCGTCAGGCGTCGCCCGACCAGCCGCCTCAGCCCCCTGCGCCCCGCACCCCCAGGCGCCTCAGCCCCCTGCGCCCCGCACCCCCCAGGCGCCGCGCGCACCTTGAAGTTGACGGGGTCCACACGCAGCTTGTGCGCGTGCAGGTCGCTCAGGGCGGACATGGCGCCGGGCAGGTCGTCCAGGTGGCCCACGGCGTTGGTGAGCGCGTCGGCCACCTTCTTGCCGTGGGCTTTCACCTGGGCGGAGCCGTGGCTCAGGTCGAAGTGGGGGAAGTAGGTCTTGGTGGTGGGGAAGGACGTGAAGGTCCTGCGGAGAAGGGAGAGCGGGAGGTGGTGGGGCGCGGGCGCCGGCGGGGAGGCCGCGGCGGGCCGGGCCGGGCCGGGCCGGGCCGGGCTGGGCCGGGCAGGGCGAGGGCGCTCACCTCTCCAGGGCCTCGGCGCCGTACTCGCCGGCGTGGGCGCCCACCTTGTCCCAGGCGGCCTTGATGTTGGACTTGTCGGTCCCGGACAGCACCATGGCGAGCTCTGTCTGAGTCTGGGTCAGAAGCAGAAGTGCGGGCTGGCGGCGGGCGCGCGCTCTTATGCCGGGGCGCCGGGGGCGCGCCCACCGGGGCCGCGCTCATTGGCTGGCGGGGAGCCAGGCCGCGGCGCTGGGCTGGGCAGCACGGGGCGGGGCGGGTTCCCAGCTGGGGGGGGGGGGGCGGGGGCTCGAGCCGCCGCAGGTCCCGCGCGCACCCGCCGCTTCACGCTGCACCCACCTTCCAGGAAGCCGGGAGGTGGGTCGCGCTGGTCCCCACACCGAGCACACCACACCTGCCGCCCCTGAGCGTCCCTAGCACCAGGCTGCGCGCCCCTGCTTGGGGCCTCGGGGTCGCGCGCGCGCAGCGCAGATCTGGGAAAGAACGTGCCACCGAGGGAGGGTGGAGCGGCCTCGCCACCCCTGCGCCCGGCATTGCCGCGGGTCCTAGCTCAGCGCACACCAGAAGGACCGCGGGAAGCCTCCAGGCCCTTCCCCCACGCTGCTCGCCTCCGTCCTGCTCCGGACTCCCGTAGTCCACAGCGCTCACCACGCTGTCAGGCGACCCTCAGTCCAGTTGGGGCATAATGAGGGCCCCTTCTCGGGGGACTGGTGTGGGCACAGAAGGGGGCAGGGACCCGCGTGGCTGTCAGCTTAGCTGAGATCCTGGGGCACCACTGGGCGCCACACTGGAGGGCAACATTGGGTGCAGCTGGGCAGCCCCTGTGGGCCGCGGCCAGGACAGGCTCCTGTGGCCACAGGTGTAAATGGGAAGATGAGATGTGGGGGTGATGGGCTGGGGGCGGGGGCAGGGATTCCAGCTGCCCTCTCCTAGCTAGAGGGAGCAGGTCCTTGCCAAGCAAGACCCGGGACCCCGAGTAAAGGCCATGGAGTCCACCCACGTGTCTGCCCCTGGGGACTGGGCCCCCTGATCTTCCCCCAGGGCCTTTGCTCAGACCTGCCCTGTCCAGCGCAAGTGACGGTCAGCGCAGGTTGGACAAGGAAGGAAGCAGCTCAGACAAGCTCCCAGGGCTCCCCTGCTCTCCTCCAGGGCGGCAGCCCCCTGTGTCCCCCAGAGCCCCCCAAACCCAGCCCCCACCCCTGCCAGCCCTCCCTGTCGTGTTTGTCCCCATCCTGCGGCCCAATCCCAGCTCTGAAGAGCAAAAAGGGCTAGAGAATGAGCAGTGGGGCAGCAGGGACACCCCCAGATCTGGGAGGACCTCTCCTGCCACTCACCCCAGTCTCCTTGCCCCGAGGCCTTTTCAAGGTGACACTGGCTGGTGGCACTTGGCCCAGGCCCCGAACCCTCACTCGCGAGGAGCTGGCCCATGGGCGAAGGGAAAGACAAAGGCCTTCCGACCGGTGCCTGAATCCACAGCTAGGAGGGGCCTGTCCCCAAGCGGCGGCGCAGAGCTGGCCAGGGCAGGCCGCCGGCGGAGCTGAGGGGTGCTGGGGCCGCGAGGAGCCTGCCCGCCCCACACCTCAGGGTGCGGCCATGGTGGGCGTTAGCTCGGTCCTCAAGTGTTTTTCTGCCTAAATAAAGTGGCGTTGGGCTGTGGGCAGAGGAAAGGAGACCGTGTCCGGGGGATGAGAGCCCCTGAGCTCCCGGACACACCCAGGCGGGGGCGCCCCAGGGGGCGGCACCCTCGAGCCATGGAGCGCTGTGGTCTGTGGCCCTGCGCCTGGCGGCTCTTTGCCTGACCTCACAGCCCTGAGGCCAGAGTGGGGTGAACAGTGAGCTCCCCACGCGCCCCTGGAGTGCAGGAGCAGGGCCTCTGCCCCCAGGCTCCCCTCCTGCCCTGCCCTCTGCCCCATGGGGCCCGCCAGGGCTCCGAACGCTGGGCCTGGGCGGCCAAGGTGCCGGAGGGAGCACCTAGTTTTGTGGGTGGTTTTGCTTTGATGTGGGGTGAGTTCGTTTGCCTGGGATCAGCCAGGAGACGTGAAAGCGGGTGTCGATCTTGGGTCTCCCTTCCTCACCCCAGGAGGAAAGTTTCAGTGGGGTCCGCGCAAGAACCCAGGCCACCTGAGCCCTCCCGCCTCCAGCTCCCCGTTCCCATCCCCCTCCCCGGAGGCGCGCGGCAGGTCGTCGCGGACACAGACACCCCAGGCACGGACTGCGCCGCTCAGACTTTATTCAAGGGCAGGAAGTGGGGGGCGCCGGGGCGCCTGGCTCCGGCTTAACGGTACTTGGAGGTCAGCACGGTGCTCACGGTGGCCAAGAACTTGTCCAGGGAGGCGTGGACAGCAGGGGTGAAGTCGTTGGGGTGGTGGCAGGCCAGGGTCACCAGCAGGCAGTGGCTCAGGAGCTGCGGAGAGGCGGGGCGTCAGGCGTCGCCCGACCAGCCGCCTCAGCCCCCTGCGCCCCGCACCCCCAGGCGCCTCAGCCCCCTGCGCCCCGCACCCCCCAGGCGCCGCGCGCACCTTGAAGTTGACGGGGTCCACACGCAGCTTGTGCGCGTGCAGGTCGCTCAGGGCGGACATGGCGCCGGGCAGGTCGTCCAGGTGGCCCACGGCGTTGGTGAGCGCGTCGGCCACCTTCTTGCCGTGGGCTTTCACCTGGGCGGAGCCGTGGCTCAGGTCGAAGTGGGGGAAGTAGGTCTTGGTGGTGGGGAAGGACGTGAAGGTCCTGCGGAGAAGGGAGAGCGGGAGGTGGTGGGGCGCGGGCGCCGGCGGGGAGGCCGCGGCGGGCCGGGCCGGGCCGGGCCGGGCCGGGCTGGGCCGGGCAGGGCGAGGGCGCTCACCTCTCCAGGGCCTCGGCGCCGTACTCGCCGGCGTGGGCGCCCACCTTGTCCCAGGCGGCCTTGATGTTGGACTTGTCGGTCCCGGACAGCACCATGGCGAGCTCTGTCTGAGTCTGGGTCAGAAGCAGAAGTGCGGGCTGGCGGCGGGCGCGCGCTCTTATGCCGGGGCGCCGGGGGCGCGCCCACCGGGGCCGCGCTCATTGGCTGGCGGGGAGCCAGGCCGGGAGCCGGGCGTGTGGGCGGCGCTCCCGGGCGGGGGTCCAGCTGCCAACGCCCCTCGCTGCCTCTGGAACTCGGGGTCCCCACGGCCCCGGGGCCTCCCACACCCACACGAAACGCTCCCCCCTCGCCGTTGTGGGGCTGCGCGGGGGCTGCTTGCGAGCGGGCGGGCGCAAACCGGCTCCCGTCGCGCCCCGCTGCGCGGCCCCAGGGCTGTGCGCCCCGCGGCAGGAGTGGGGGAGCGGACGGCTGGGGCGGCCCCACACCTCCGGGGGCGGGTGGGGCTCCTGTGCTCCCTGCACCCCCTGGTTGTTAGCTCGGGATGAGTTTGGGGAAGTCCGGGCTGGGCCCCGCCTGGCCCCCGCGGCAGCGGCTCTGGCTCTGCGCGGCGCCCGGAGCCCTGGGGCGGTTGGCTGCGGGGCCTCGGCCACCACGCGGGCCCGGGGCGGGGCCGGGGCACCAGGGCCTCTGCCGTGGGTGGGCTCGGCCAGGCACGTGCCAGCGTCCCCCAGCTGGTCGGCCGTGGCGGTGGGGCGTCCTCCGCGCCCGGGCGAGGCCCAGCGGAGGGGAGGGCTCAGGGGCAGGGGTGTGGAGGGCGGGAAGGGGAGGGGAGAAGCTGGGAGGGACGGAGGTGCGGGCTGAGCCTGGACTCCGACCACGGTGTGGCCGCACGAGCCAGGGCCTGGATTCCCAAGGCCGGCAGCGCCGGCCGGGCGGGCTGGAGCGAGCAGGAACGCGGGTGTCCTCGGCGACGGCGAGGCCCGCCCACGAGCAGCGGAAGCCCCCCGGCGCCGCTCGTCCCGCCCCAGCCCTGCCGCGGGGCCGCTGCTCCCACCCCGGCCCGCCCGGCCCTGCCAGAACCGCCAGTGAGAACCGCGGGCCTCGGAGCGCGCAGGCCCGGGCCTCGGCGCCCTGGCCGGCAAAGGCTCGGGGTCGGCCTGAGGTCTCGGAGCGCCCCGCGGGACCGGGGTGCCCCCCCAACACTGCCCAAAGACCAGGCGGGGCTCGGAGGTTGGGCCTGTTTATTGACCGCATAGCCTGGGCGGGGCCGCGCTCAGCGGTACTTCTCGGTCAGCACCGCGGCCACCGCGCTCAGGAACTTGTCCCACGCCGCCTGCATCTCCACCGTGAACTCGCCCTGCAGGTGGGAGGCCAGCACCACCTGGAAGCACTGGATCAGCAGCTGCGGGGCGGGCGGGGCGCGGTGGGTGAGCCGGCCCAGCCCCGCGCCGCCCCCGCCCGCGCCCGCCCCGCCCCGCCCGCGCGCTCACGGGGAAGTCGGCGGGGTCCACGCGCAGCACGTGCGCGTGCAGGTGTGCGAGCGGGCTCAGGGCGGCGCGCAGGTCGTCCAGGTGCTGCACGGCCACGCCCACCGCCGCGAGCATGCGCCGGCCGTGGCTCCGCAGCCGCTCCTCGTCCAGGCAGGTGCCCGGCCGCTGGAAGTAGGTCTTGGTGCTGGGGTACACCGTGAAGAGCCTGCGGGGCGGGGCGGTGAGTGGCCCCCGGCCGCGCCGCCGACCGCGGGAGCCCCGCCCAGCGCCGGCGCGGCCCCGCCCACCCACCTGAGCAGCAGCTCCGCCCCGAACGGCGCCTCGTGGCCGGCGATCAGGTCCCACACCTGCGCGACGTGGGCGCGCTCCTGGGCGCTGAGCATGGCGCTGGCGTGGCGGGCTCTGGGGCCCCGCCCGCCGCCCGGCTCCTTATACCCGCCGCCTCCGCGCCCCGCCCGCCCTTATCTGCGGGCGCGCGGGACCCCCGGCGGCGCGGGGAGAGGCGCCAGGCCGGCACTGACTCACGCAGCTGGGGGTGCGGAAGGGCGCGGGCACACTCTGGGGGATCCGTGGTTCCTCCCCTGCGGGCAGACTTGCTCCTCCGCTGGAGGGAGCCGGTGGAGACCCTGAGAGAGTGCGGGCCGGGGCGGCTTCTTCCCGCCGCCGCGCGCGAGCCAGGATCGGGAGCCTGGGTGCGGTCCCCCGAGCCCCACACGAACCCACCGGGTTAAATGAAGTGACGGTCGTGGAGCAATTTGGGGGAAGGGAGAGATGCGCAAACTCTCATCTCACCAGAAAAAAAGCGCGGGCGGATTTGGGGCCGCACCTCGGGGCCTGAAGGCGCACGGCCACCCCAAAGGCCCTCGAAGCGGCCTCGATCGCCCTGGCGCTTCCTGCGCTCAAGCCCCCACCCAGCCCCTCACGTCCTCCGCCCCCGTCCCCAGCACGGACAACGCAGGCCCCAGTTCTCATCCTCATCCCTTTATTGGGGAGTAAACAGAAGATGCGGGAGGGTTCGGGGAGAGCAGAGGGCGCGGCGTGGCCCCGCGGGCGGCGCGCTCAGCGGTACTTCTCGGTCAGCACGGCGGACACGACGGACAGGAACTTGTCCCAGGCGGCGTGCGCGTCGGCCGTGAAGTCGGCGGGGCAGCGCGCGGCCACGGTCACCAGCAGGCAGTGGGACAGGAGCTGCGGGGCGGGCGGCTCAGCGCGGGGGGCGGGGGGGTGGGCCGACCGCGCCCCCGCCCCGCGCAGGTCCCGCCCGCGCGCCCGCCCGCCCGCGCCCACCTTGAAGTTGACGGGGTCCACGCGCAGCACGTAGGCGTGCAGCTCGCTCAGCGGGGCCAGCGCGCGCGCCACGTCGTCGATGCTCCGGACCGCGTCGCCCACGGCGGCCGCCACCTTGGCGCCGTGCGCCCGCAGCTGCGCGGAGCCCGCGTGCAGGTCGAAGTGCGGGAAGTAGGTCTTGGTCTGCGGGAAGCTGGTGAAGAGCCTGGCGCGGGCGGAGGGCGTGAGCCGGCGCGGCCCGACCCCCGCGCCCCGGCCCCCGCGCCCGCGCCCCGCGAGCCCGAAGGCGCGGGTCCCGCGGGTCCGCGGGCGGTGGTCGGAGTCGCCGGCGCCCCGCCCCGCCTGCGCGGGCCGCGCGGCCCCCAGGCCTGTCCGCGCCTCGGCGGTTCCTCCCCCTCGCCCACCCGCCCCCCCGCGCCCAGTCACCTCTCCAGGGCCTCGCTGCCTATGGCGTCGGCCTGCGCGGCGATCTTGCCCCACATGGCCAGGATGATGGTCCTCTCAGCCGTGGTCAGAGACATGGTGGCTGCTGAGCGAGGCGGGGTGGCACACGGGCCTGGTGGGCTCGGCTCCCGGCCCCTTATATGAGGAGCGGGAGGGGGCCGCAGCCAGGGGCCTGGGGTGCAGCGTCTTATCAGATGGGGCCTGTGGGCCAGCCTGGGGCCTGGGGGGGGGCGGCGAGGGGCTATCTCTGCAGCCGGCCAGAGGGGTGTGGGCCGCAGCCTGACCCCAGTCCCCCGGAGATAGGGTCCAGATGGAGCAATGCTGGCCCCACAGCCTAGCCTCTGGGAGGCTGCTCTGCTGGTCCTGAGAGGGAGGCCAGGGACACCCTCCCTCCCTCAGCCTCTGACTTGCTTGGTGGGCCCCAGTGGAGGCTGAGGGCCTGGCCAGCAGGCCCAGCCTTCCCAGCACTGAGACGCCGGTGAGGTTGTCCAGCCACGGGTGCTATTAGGTGCTTGGAGTCAGGCTGGTGCCCGGCTGACAGCCATGGTGTGGCCTTCATGTGCACAGGCACCCGCACAGTTGGTGTGGCCCCCCGACTGCGGTGCTCCCCCACATCTGGGCCTGCGCCCCCACCTCCCTGGCTGCCGGGACAGCAGTGCGGGGACTGGCGAGGCTCCTGACAGCTGCTGCGTGTCCCTGCGAGGTGCTTGCGTGTTGTTGGAGAGCTGACTTACGCATAATAAACATTTCCTCACAGCACATTGTTTTTGAATATAAATGTTTCAATAAGGGAGAAGGCAGGTGCACAGCGACGATGATTTTATAAGAGAAGGAAGCGCTGAGGGACCCAGGGGTGCCCCCCCCCGGGTGCTGCTTTGGGCTCCCTGGTCCTTGTCCCGTGTCTGTCTTCTGAGGCTTCCACTCAGCGCCCCAGGCTGCCCAGACCCTGGTCTCGGTGCCTGAGCGGGGCCTGGGGCCCCCTGGCAGGGGCTTCGGTGGAGTTGGGCCGTGCCTGGCCCTTTACCTGCTGCCACCACCGTGGCCGAGCGCCCCGTGTGGCCCCTGGACTCTTCCCTCTCACTGCCAGCGATCAGCCCACGTGGTGTGTCTGTGCCTGGTCTTGCGCAGGCCTCCCTCTCCATGCACCCCCTTCCCTCTCCACATTTTCCTCGACTGCTTGGAAGACACACTCCCTGAAGACTCTGGTAGCTCGGGGACCCCGCAGCCCCGCCAGGGCCGCCTGTGGGCTCAGCATGGTCCTCCGGCAGCCCAGTGGCCACAGCAGGCTCAGGCAGGGCGCCGGTCCCGCCTCTTAAAATTCCTCCTGCGAGAATCGGGTGTGTGAGGCAGGGGCTGGGCGAGCCGGCGGGGGCGGCTGGGCATGCAGAGATGGTGAGTCTCCCCAGAAAGTCCACCTGGATGGCCCGGCCGCAGCTCCTCCCCGAAGGGGCTGGGCGTCCTTTGAACTCCCAGAAGTGCAGGCAGGAGCCAGGAGAGACCGCCCCATGGCTCCGGGGTACGCCTTGATGGGAGCCTAAGAGCAGAAGGCGAGGGGTCCCCCAGCCCCTGGGGTTACAGCACCCTCCTCCTGTGGGGTGTCCTGAGTCCTGTCTCCCCTCTGTCCAGGTCGGTCCAGCAGGCAGGCAACCTCCCAGCCTCTGCTGAGGTAGCCCCAGGAGTGCCCATGGCCCCTGCTGCTCCACCCTACTTTTTTCTCCTGGTCTGTGTCCTGAGCCCCCCAAACTGTGCTGTAGTGCCGCAGACAGGCCAGCCAATGCTGTTCTCTGCGATTAAGGAAGACTTGAATCTGCAGCAGGGGGAGGCTGGGGAGAGCCGTCGAGAGCAGCTCTGCCTCTCACTCTCCGGGCCCAAGCGTTTATTAAAGATATGAACAAAGGAAAGAAAACACAATTGTGGTTTTGCTGGTACAGATTAAAAATAAGCAACCTCTGAAAACAAGTTTTCCTGGTTAGTGGGGATCATGCGCCCAAGCCAGCTCATCCTCAGAGAACAGGAGTCAGTTCTGGGAAGAAGCTCTGTTTGCAGAACCACTAACGTCCTGGAGGTCCTGTGCAGAGTCCACAGGTGCTCTCCACAGCCCTGAGGGGCGGCAGCAAACACTGAAGTATTTGCTTCTAGGGTGGGGTGTCCATGCCCAGTCACTGCCCTGGCCCTCTGCCCTCATCACCTCCAGCGTCCGCCACTGGCCCCCTGTCCCACCAGATGGTCCCCTGCCTCCCGCCCTGCCCCTGCTGGACCCCACCGCTCACCCACCCTGGTGGGGGGACGGCTCCTGCCCCCCTGTGCCCCTCCCTGTCCCTCCTGCCACCCTGCTGCTCAGGCCCAGCCCACAACCCCTCTGAGAGGCACCGGCCTCACAGCCCCCAGTCTCGCCTGGACAGCAATGCAAGGAGGGACACGTGAGGGACACTCGCACGGGTGCCAGCGGGCAGGAGGGCTGCCCCAAGAGGGACAGGTCTGCTAAGAGTGGCCTGTGTGGCCGCAGGCGGGCCCTTGGGGAGCGGCCCCTGCTGAGGGGTCAGGAGAAGCCCTGGCATGTTCAGGTCACAGCAGGCAGGGGCTGCTGCCCTGCGGAGGGAGAGAGTTGGTGAAAAGGAGCCTCTGCACACTCGCAGGCGGGCACGAGGGCCGCTGCTGCCCTTTTTCAAAAAATTTTTTATTTTGGGCCTCCCTGGTGGCGCAGGCGGTAGAACGCCGCGCTGTGAAGCTGTCCACAGGCTCTGCAGCGTGGTTTGATCCCGGCCGGCCGGCGAGAATCCCACATGGTGCGGCAGGCCTCTCCTGTCTCGCCCGCTGCTCCCCGCAGCAGTGTGTTTCATCAGTCTGCCTGTTCTGCTCCCGACTCTGTCCTCTCACCCTCCCGCGCATCTGGCCTGTACCCCGGTTCTTGTATAAAAATAAATGAATCTTTAAAAAAAAATCTTTATTTTGTGTAGAAGAACTGGTGTGCAGGCCAGAGGTGGGGGTGAGAGGACTCCCCAGAGACAAGGTGGGGAGCAGAGCAGGCGGGTCACTGCTGAGAAGCAGCGGGGAGACCGGAGAGGTCTGCTGTGCCCTGTGGGTCAGCTCCTGGCTGGGGATGGAACTCGTGCTGCAGCAGCTGTGGACACTTCGCAGCGCTGAGACTTACCCCTGCGCTCCAGGGAGGCCCCAGTGAAGCTCAATTTTTGACAAGCAAAAGACATAATCAAAACCAAATAAATAAATAAATTTTTAAAAGAAAAGTTCAGGCCTCCCTGGTGGCCTGGGGGTCAGTCTCAGGCGGTCACCACTGCGGCCTGGCCAGGAGCTGACCCAAGGGGTGCAGCAGCCCCCTCCTGTCTCCCACCGCCCCTCAGCAGTGTGTCTCAGTGGACCCGCGTGTTCCGCTCCCCACTCTGCCTCTGGGGAGTCCTCTCACCCCGCGCCTCTGGCCTGGTCTTCTATGCAAAAAAACAAAAAAGTTGAAAATCCTGAAGAAGAAAGAAAGAAAAGTCCGACCTCGCTGGCTATTGGGGAAAAGCAAATCCTAAGCGCACCGCCCCAGCCCAGGCCCAGCGGCACAGCCTCCAGGACGCTATTTCAAAGGCCGAAACAGCACGACAGGGCGGCGGGGCTGGGGTGGGAGGGCGAGCGGAGCGCCGCCCTGTCTGCAGGTTGGGTGCGCCCCGCGGGGCAGAGAACCGGCCCCTCCGAGAAGAAGGGCGCGTGGGGCGCCGCGGACTCTCCTGAGGGGCGCTCTCCTGAGGGGCGCTCTCCTGGGGCGCGCTCTCCTGGGGCGCGGGGGGGAGGGGCCGTCGTGTGCCCGGGATGCGCGTAGCCACCACAGGCCTGGCGGGGGCGGGGGCGCGGCACAGGGGCGGGTGGGGCCTGGGCGCGCGGTGGGCAGCGCGCCCAGGAGGCCAGGGCGGCTCCCTAGCGTAGGCTTCTTGGCCCTCTTTGCGGTCAGGGAGTGACGGAGCCCGTGGTCTGGGAACCCGGCCGCCCCTGTGCCCAGAGCGCGTGGCCGGCCGAGCGTGATGACCGAGCTTGAATCCCGGAGGAGGCGGCTCTGTCCGGGCTCTGCCCTAGCCGGCGGCCCCTGTGGAGTGGTCCCCAAGGCAGGGCTCGCCTCCGTCCGGTCTGGCACCCCAGGCGTGATAGTCCGCGGCTGCTGGCAGGAATCCCTTCTCCGCTGCGCCCAGCACGTTTCCCTGGCTCGTTGGGACGCCAGGGCCTGGTGGACGTTGGTTGACCCAGTCTCCACCACTGCAGTTGTTAACTTCACTGTTGGGGCTGTCTCTGATGCTTTCCGGGATCCCCTGGCGCCTCTGGTCACACCCCGGCCTGGGGCCGCTGGCCCAGCCCCTAACCTTGTGGGGCCTGTGCTGGCTTCAGCCTTACTGGGGTGCCCGAGTTGGGGAGCCTTAGGACCGGTCCCTGCCAGGAGACCTGCTGTTGGGATGTTCCTTTTCTTTCTTTCTTTCTTTTTCTTTAAGATTTATTTATTTATTTACGGTACAAGAGCTGGGGTGCAGGCCAGAGGTGGGGAGTGAGAGGACTCCCCAGAGACAGAGTGGGGAGTGGAACAGGCGGGTCCACTGACACACACTGCTGAGGGGCAGCGGGAGGTGGGGGGGGTGTCTGCTGCGGCCCGTGGGCAGCTCCCGGCCGGGGATGGGCGGTGACAGAGACAGCCTGAGACACCCCCGGACCCCTGGAGGCCAACGCGGGAATTTGGATGAAGGTAATTGGGGGCAGTGTGTGGTCATGCTGTGTCAAGGGTGGTTGAGACCTGACTCAGCCCCTGGAACAGGGGCCTTGGAGGGCTCTAGTGTAGCCCGCATTGGGCGGCCCCCCACAAGGATGTCAGGGTGTTTTCTCATCACTCCTCCTCCCCCCACAGTCACCCCCTAATCATCTTTGCCTTTTTTTCACAGTGGCTTGGATGGCTTGAAAATGTTTGGAGAAAATTTCAGGCCACGCTGTGCCCTGTCACCACTGCCCAGCACGCTGGGAGTCCGGCCTGGGCCTGTCCCAGGTCTGTGCCCCGAGGCCCTGGGAGGACCCTGACCTGCACAGGCCGCTGTGTCCCCGCAGCCTGTCCTCAGTGCCCGTCT